GGGGGGGTGTTCAGTTTGTGTTGTTTGAACTTTGTGTGTGTGCAGTGCAGTGGTCGATATTCATTGTTAGTAGTGGTGTAGATACCTGGGGTACTAGTAGTAGTAGTACTCAAACGAATAGAAGGGAAGGACAGAGGGCCTGAAACAGATCGGGAGATCAACAGTTAGTTACATGAAAGGGTTAGAAGGGAAGTCCGTACACTCTTATTATACAAGGACAGAAGTCTAATTACTCCAGAGACAGCAGAAGATAGAACGGGAGCGAACGGGATGGGACCAAACAAGAAAAGGAGGAGAAAGGAGAGAAAGGCACAGATAAGTGTCCCCGGCGGCATTGTACATACAATATCATGTACAGTATGTGTAGTTGTAGATAGCCTTCGCCTTCGTCTACCTGATTCACCAACCAAGGTAGGTACTTACCTTATCATGCAGGGACCATACATGCGGTCATGGTTATCAAAGGCTGCTTTCATACCTAGCAGAGACTTTCAGACGAATATTCTAATCAATGGAAAGCAAGAAGAGGAAAGAATAGAAGATTGCAAATCTTGTAGTTTGTAATTGTAATCATTATAAAATGCCATAGCCATAATCGTCATGCTAGTATGCAACTGGCAGTCCTGATCAAACCGAGAAGCCAACGTCAGGTTGATCAGTCGACCTCCTCAGATCCCGCCTCGTGCTTCTTCTTCTTCTTCTAAAGTCGTCGTCCTCATCCTCAAAATAGGCAGAGTCCTCCTCTTCGTCCGAGTCGAACTGGTGTGGCTGCTGCCTCCTCGGCACAGGGGCCGGGTACCGATGAGGGCTCATGACAACGACCTCAGGCTCCTTGTTGATGATTTTGGGCTTGAAGTCTGCCGCGTCCGAATTCGAGTTGACATTCGTATTTGCGGATGATGCCAAGGGCGCGCCACATTGACATAAGCCGCCACAAAAGGTATCCATGGTGCTGTCGTCGCAGTATTTGTAGCTGGGGCATGAGATGCGGCCATCCTCGCAGGCACACCTTGATTGGCAGGTCTGGAGCGTCACCGCAGGCCCTCCGTAGCAGGACATGCTCTGCTGGCTGCTTCGGCAAAAGAGGTTGTTGGTCCCTTGCATCGGGTTTAGTCTGTGTAAGGCATGGTTGGAATAAATGTTGTTGTCGTCGTGGCCTCTGTCTCTGCTATCGGAGCCGTCGGCATTAGGGATGACAAAGGATAGTGCCGTGATGGCGAAGAGAAGAACAATCGTCAGGGATATTCGAAGCGTCATTGATATTCGCATCGTCGACATTATTGTATGTATCTATGTTTGAGACAGTTGGACGATTGGCTCTCCCTGCAGGGCGGCAGAAGAGCGTTGAAGAGCCAGCCACAAGGGAGCCTGCTGGCTCAGCAGCTCAACACCTCTTGCAGCACAGGGCTTTGAAAGAGGCAAGCTTGAAGAGAGCAAGACCAGAAGGGAGTGGAATTTAGGTTTTGCGGCGTCGTGAAAGTTAAGGTTGGATGTTGAGAAAACCGGTGCGAAGCTCTCTATTAATACGAGCTGTCCGGGCGAATTGTCCGCTCGAAGCTACCACAAGTTGTCAATATGGGCGGCGTGACCGTCGGGAAAAGGAAGTTGAGGGCTTTATCGAAATTCGGTACTGCACCAGCACAGACCCTACCACTAAGGTGGCACGGCGAATGGCGGATGGCTCGAGATTTGAAAGTTGGAGAAAAGAGACTGTGGTGTCTTCATGGAGTTTGGCCAAGTACATAAGGTACACCTACCTCATGCTACTGTCATCCAGTAAAATGTCCATGCGCGACCGTGTGGTCAGATGGCAGGTGCCTGGGGAAGACTTTGCGGGCTGTGCAAAAGGATGAGCCAGCTGTCGACTCAGATCAGGGCCAAGACGCCATTGGCCAATATTCCAATTTGACAGCTGTCAGACCAACAATGGCCGCTGCATTAGACAGTACAACGCATAGGGAGAACTCGAAAGGGCCAGAGCGAGATTGCTTTAAAAGGGTCATCTCCTCTGTTGTTCTCTCGGTAGAGTGTGCAAGCTCCAATGCAATTTTTGATAAGTGTCTAGAACGGCCGCAGTGCCCGGCCTGGACTTACCGATTGATAGCCACTGAGTGCCGGGGGTTCATAATAAAGTGACGACGAGATTGTCCATCCGGTCAATATCCCAGAGAGGCATTGGACACCAGGTCCCGGCAGAAGAGAGTGTCTGGTGCAGCTGTACGACATTGTACACTGTTCACACCTGCGGACAGTCTCTTCGCGGGCAGGGACCATGCTGCAGATCATGGGTCTGGCTCTTGCACTTCGACTACCTTGACTTGTGCCGCATGTCCGGATCGAATACGAGACGAATAATGATCATGTATCCGTACCTACTGTACAGCATTGGTAGATAGCCAATCTAGCCAACAGCCTCGTGTGGGATGCTGAGATAGTGCACCAACTGTAACAAGAATGATCAGCAGCCGGTCGAATGCTGAATGGGCGACACACAGACAAATCGGGCAGATTAGGCTGTGGACTGGTTGGTGTCAAATAAGCTGTAGGGACAGGCCTTCAGGAGGACCGTGCGGTGTCCAACAGAGACACCAATCTGGTTGGCAGTTGGAGTGGTGAGAGTCTTGAGGGGAGGATGGAGCGAGTTCTTGCATAAACCCTCTACCGAGGATATACTGGACACGTACCTGGGTAATATGAAGGTAGATATGAGATTGATGAGTCCACCTGGCAGGAGTCCATCTTTTTTACCCATTTTTTTAACTGATCGTGCTGGCTGCCCACGGCGCAAATTAAGGATAAGAATAAGCTCATGATGCCAAGGCCGCGGCAGGTGCAGAGATGCCCGTTTTGGTTAAGCGTACTCCTGGTCTATCTTGACGTCAACTGGAACTTGAAGCTCTCCCATCACTGCAGGACTTCCCCCCGGCCGCCCACATCAGGGTTACACTGGCAAGTTGATGAACTTGTGGACAAAACTCCATCCATCCCCGGAGTAAGTTCCCTTCTCCGGCGGCCACAGCAGCTGCTGCACATGGTTCGCTGCTTGAGTGTTCTTCTACTGGCCATCTCCAGTGTCGATCCTCAGGGCTTACGTTGCAACGTCTTCATGAATGGTCCCTGTCCGGTACTCGGCGTCCCTTCATCTGTTGGCGGACCTCTCCTCCTCCCCCACAGAGCTGGCCTCAGTCATCGTTAAGACGCTTGCCCGACGAATGAGACTGGACTCAGCAATGCCGGTCATGCGACCGTGGGATGGAGTGCCATCTTTCGGCTTTTTGCTGCTAGATACAGCATACTGACTATCCACGCCAATCCCTTTCCCCAGTTTTATTTTGTCCCCACGGCACACCACAAGAGCTGTTTTCACGAACTGTTTTCCCCTTGATGCTTAATATTTTCACTGTTTGATCGTGTCTTGTTCGTGTTCGCTGCGCCGCTATGGCCATCCTCAAGACGACCCCAGCAGCACCTACTGCGATCAATCCAGAACGGAGTGATTCAATGGAGCACGCTCCTGCTGGCGATGTCGAGAAGGAATTAACCTCTGTGCAAAAGGAGTCGGCGGGCGCCAGCCCAAGAATTGACCCGGAGTTGGAAAGGCGAGTGGTTCGCAAGATCGACTGGCATGTAACGCCGCTGGTTACCTTTTTGTGTAAGTGGAGGGAGCCGCCAACAGACCGAATTCCAATATACTCTTCGTCGGGCGGACTCCGCTGTCATCATATGCTTCTCAGTCTTGAAAGAGAGGTGCGGTCAAGGTGCAATGCTAATGCCTTTCAGTTCTTCTGTCGTTCCTGGATCGATCAAACATTGGCAATGCGCGTATCGCGGGCATGGAAGAAGACTTGGATCTGGATGGCGACCGCTACGATTGGTTGCTGACCATTTTCTACATTTCCTACATTGTGTTTCAGTTCCAGGGTTTCATGTGGAAGATACTGTAAGATCAGATAACGCGCACTGGAAGGGTGTTCATTGCTAAGATACTATAGTAAGCCACACACATGGGCTTGCCTCATTACCCTTGCATGGTCAGTGACATCTGCTGTTGGAAATTGATTCGAGGATTGACTCAGAATAGGGGCATTGTGGCAACATGCCAAGCCGCAACACAATCCTGGGGCGGCGAGATGGCTCTACGGTTTTTGCTGGGAGCGGCCGAGGCTGGCTTTGGCCCCAGCATTCCGTATCTTCTCTCATTCTTTTATCTGAGGCATGAACACGGGTTTCGCAGCGGAATTTTCCTTGCTGCCGCGCCTCTGGCCAACACCTTTGCAGGGGCGCTGGCCTATGGAATCACCAGCGGTCACTCGAAGCTGGCCAACTGGAGGCTTCTTTTTCTGGTTGAAGGCATTCCGACCATTCTGGCCGCCCCGTTGGCGTGGTTCTTCCTTGCGGACAGTCCCACGACGGCCAGGTTCCTGACCGAGGAAGAGAAAGAGGTTGCAAGGGCGCGAGTCATCCGACAACATGGCCATAAAAAAGAGGGGGAGCATAGAGTCAACTTCAAGGACATTGGATTGACTCTGCTCGACCCCAAGGCGTGGTTCACAGCAGTAAGTTAGGCTGTCTTCAGTGTTAATGCTCGTGGATACTGACCGGAGTGCAGTTGATGTACTTTTCTTGCAACGTCTCGTACTCATCCTTACCGGTGTTTTTACCTACCATCATCAACCAGATGGGCTTTTCATCGATCAACGCTCAAGGACTGTCGGCACCACCGTACTTCGTCTCGACCATTGTGACCGTGGCGACTTGCTGGATCGCCGACCGTACTCGCCAGCGTGGGTTGATGATTGCATTTCTGAGCTGCGTCGCCGGCATTGGATACATTCTTCTAGCAACTTGCACCGCGGTGGCTCCGCGATATTTTGGCACATTTCTTTGTGCCTCCGGGGTGTTCCCGGCCATTGCCAATATCTTACCGTGGGTGGTCAACAACCAAGGAAGCGACAGTCGCCGGGGCATGGGGTACGTTTGATTCATCTGCACAACATGGGAGCAATCGTGCTAATCATTCGCCTGCAGAATCGTCTTGTTGAATCTGGTGGGTCAGTGCGGACCCCTCCTGGGCACAAGAGTGTTTCCCAAGAAGCAAGGCCCCCGCTACATAGAGGGCCAAAGTATCTGTGCAGCATTCATGTTTTTCAACGCCTTCCTGGCCCTGAGTCTGAGGACGCTTTTGGTGTGGGAGAATCACAAACTGGACCAAAAGTATGGACGGGTGGATGAGCGCCAGGCACAAGAGGCCCGCGATGGGGGAGTGGTAGCTGACACGAATGTCGGGGAGGAAAACTATGGTGCGGCATTCAGATATATCCTCTAGTCGGCGCACTGGACGAATCATTCTCAACACACAAACAGTTGTGCGGACAGAGGTGTCAGTGTCCTCCGGCTACGGAGCTCGATATCGAAAATACTGCTCGTAATTAGGGAGTCAGACATTGACCAGAGTTTTGATTTCTGCATTCGAGTTTTCATTCCAACCGCGGAACTCCCGTCAAGGTGAGTTTTGGCTGATGCTACCTGAGTGTGATGTGGGACATAAATGCGTGAAAAATGTGTTGTAAATGCGTGAAAAATGTGTTGTAAATGCGTGAAAAATGTATCTCGCAGGCAGTTGAAGAGCACTATCTCCGGTGTAATGCCGGATCGGGGAACGACCGGCTGTGTTTTCTTGATCCAGAAACAATACCGGGAGTAGGTACCTACCTACACGAGGTACACTTGTAGTTGTACCCAGGTACTTGCAGACGTAGGCACTGCCTCCACTGATGCATGCAGCAAGACTACCTTGTGGTCTACTATTCGCCGAATCGTCTCTCGGAACGACGTGCAGACAAGCAATAATATTACTGTATATTGTTGAGGACAACAACAGGTCAAAGCGGCAATGCCCTAGAAACCACTGCAACGGTGCGGCATGAAGACTGGGGGGTGGTCTTGGTGGTACCTACCTAGTACTGCCAATGGTGATGGTAGGATTTCAACTCCGAGGCCGAATGCCGGTCGTCGTCCTCAACTTGGCCCCAGCTAACTTTTTCGTAGCAGTAGTAGTGATGGCAGAACTCATCAGAATCAAACTCATCGCCCTCGGGCCTGAACGAGAACCCCACCATGACCGGCCCTGTCAGTATCGCTCGCTGCTCCGCCCATCGAGATGCCGGTCCAATCGATGGCCATCGTGCACGACGCCTGGGATCATGATTACCCATCATGCCGGCTCATCCATCGTTATCCACCCCACCTACTGCCCCTCTATGATCCGAGTCGCTGTGCAGCACAGCGCCAGTGACATGGCGTGGACAAAAGAGAGGATCGGATTTCGCAATTGCACTGCCAGTCGATCATAGTATATAAAAGAACTCCACGAACCCTGACCCCTCCATCACGTTCCCGGTCCTGCCGCCGCCTTGTCTATCTGCAGTTTATTGTACTGTACTGTACCTGCGTCTTTCTCTACTACTGTTGAGTCCTGTCGGTGCTTTTTGTCTCGAACGGTTTGACCTGCGCCCCTCCTCGCAGAACAACTTGAACAACCACCAACAAACTTTTCAATAAACACTGCGGTGCAAAGAAAGACCATCGCCGTCAAAATGGCCTCCAACCCACCCGGAGCCTGCTGCTACAAGGGCGTCAAACACGAGGGGGAAGCGACGGGCGAGATCTCGACGCTGGGCGATTTCGAGGTTTACATCAAATACCCGGAGGACAAGTCGACCGAATATGGAATCTTGATGTATGCAAACCCCCAGGATCGAGCATCATTGCACCAATACCTTGAATTGCTATGCTAACACTGACACTAGTATCACCGACGTGATCGGCCACCGCTTCATCAACGCCCAACTCATCGCCGACCAATTCGCCGCCAACGGCTACTTTGTGCTCATGCCCGACCTCTTCCACGGCGATCCGATCCCTCTCAACCGCCCAGGGGACTTTGACATTATGAAATGGATCAAGGGCGAATACAACGAGAAGAAGATCGCACACCTGCCACCCGTGGTCGATCCGATTATTGATTCGTGCTTGGTGGAAATGCGGACAAAATATAATTGCAAGGTGAGTACACTGTACACTTTCTCCGAACTGGATTCCCTCCTCTGTTGGCCATCCGCACTCTCTCTTGGCCGTTCATCCACACACACACTCGGCTCGTGTTCACTCATTGACACTCACCCCCTCCGTTGGCCATCAACTCACACTCTGTGTTCGTTAGAAAATCGGCGCCGTAGGCTACTGCTTCGGCGGCAAATACGTCGTCCGCCACCTGCGCCCCGACGCCGGCAAAATCGACGCCGGATACACCGCACATCCGAGTTTCGTCGAGGCCGACGAACTCGAAGACATCAAGGGCCCCCTCGCCATTTCGGCCGCCGAAACAGATTCGATTTTCCCGACGGAAAAACGCCACGAGTCCGAACAGATACTCAAAGACCTGGGGTTGCCGTATCAGATCAATCTGTATTCCCAGGTCGAGCATGGGTTTGCGGTTCGAGCGGATCCGAAGAATAGAGCTGCAGTCTATGCCAAGGAGAATGCGTTTTTGCAGGCTGTGCAGTGGTTCGAGGAGCATTTGAAGAAGGAGAAGCAGTGAGTTACCTTACTCTTCACGATAAGTATGAGCACATGTCATTTCTTTGGATGCGAGGGACGAAGTGAAAGGCAGCAGCGCCGGCCGAAAGAAACAAGGCTGAGCGCTGGTTTTCGCTCCATCGTACATACACTGTGCTGTTCATAGAGGAGAATCGCACTACTGCTACACCCAAGAGCCCCTGGCTGTTATGAATCCATCACGTCCAATCTAATAATGCGTACTTTGTTACATACATTGACTTCTAAAAAAAAGGACAAGTTCTGACTCTTCTGGGCTTGGGTTGATCATATAGGTCGTCAAAGGACGCGGCAAGGCTGTGAGCGATCAACGAAGGTCCACTCCTAAAGTCCGCCTGTAACATAAGTATACACTGGTACGCGGCAGAATGCTACATCTTAGGTGGCATCCCAGTCCTACGACAATATACGGATATATCAGTTGCAGTGGTTACTGGTCTTGTTCAGTTACCCGCCAAGCGATGCAGGAAAATCTTGTCTCTTCATTTCCTTCAGGTTTATGCTTCACTAGTATCACTAGTGGTAATAGTAGTAATAGTAGTAGTCGCTAGCATTCGACTCGTCGTTGAAAGGCAACGTGCGGCTTCGGCCGTGAGGGCATACTAGGTTGTCGTTCTCTCATGCTCCGTCTCACTTGATATCCTAGATAATCCAAAAACCAACGCGAACTAGCCTCATGCTAAGTATTCTAGTAGCCGGGTGACAACGTCCGCTATCGTCGAGTTGATCGGGACGAACCCCTCGCCTCGCTGACGTGTCGATACAGCTTGGAAACAACCATCGTCGATGAAAAGCCAAGATGAGACGGCTATTGCACGCCCATCTTCTCCGCCGTGCGCATGAGAGCACCTGCGAACATTGTCAGCATATGTATTCTAACAGGTTAAGCGTATCCAAGTTGTCAAACACGTACCGACAAAAGTGGTTACCAATCTTGCGCGTCCTTGCACGATATCATCGGGCAGGAGATAAATGGTCGAGCCTATTTACCCAGTTAGCTTGTGTCTTGAAAACAAGTCGAACCGCTTCAACATACCCATCTTTCTTGCAATGCTGATGGACAACTTGGCATTTGCATAAGCATCTTCAGGCGTTTTGCCAGGTGTGACCAGGTCGTAGTCGACGTAACCACTCTTCATTCCGTTCAGGACATCAAGCAGGAAGATGCCACTGGTGATGGCCGGATCTCTAAAAGACCTGACCGACGAGGTCTTGCCACCCCGCTTGGACATGTCGTTGGCCCACTTGATCATGTCCGAGTCGGACAACTCGCGTTTGCCCATGCGCTGCGCCAGGCCGGACAAAGTGCTGACTATGTCGCGGCGCATCAGCTGCCAAACCAAAGCCAGGGTCAGCGTCTTTTGACCGTCGGTGATATCGGCTCCTTGGATTCCAACGAGAGAGAACCGGTTCTGCTTGCCCAATTCCACGGCGTAGTTGGTGTTCTCCACCATCTTGAACCGAGACATTTCGCCCCCGTGCGCCGGAGGCTTGTTGACATGGCGCCAGTTGACACTGCCCGGGATGACCTTGTCGTAGGCCTGGAGCAATATGGTCCCATCCCGCAAATCATCGAAGAAAGAGTGCACGGGTGGTTGCACGTCCAGACTGTTGAGCCACAAAGTAAACACTCGTGCTTCGCGTTCTCCTTCGGCATCAAAGTCTTCGATCTCGGGCTTTTCTTCTTCCGTCAGCGGGTCAAGGCCGGGATGGGTGTTGAACAGGTTGGCGACGAATGCCAGGTTGAGCTTGGGGTTGCCGGCCACCAAAGCCGTGGGAGTCAAGAACTTCCGGCAATCGATCTTCTCGGCATTTTGCAGAACCTGTTCGGCCCTTTGTAATAGGTCTCGCGTCTGCAGGGGAGCCCTTGAGCATACGTCGGGTTTCAGCTGGTTGAGCAGGATCGTGTAATTTTCACCGTCCTTGACATCGCCAGAGAAGTTGGTCACTCTTCTTTGCCAGCCTGCGTTCTTCAGATGGTAGTTGAACCACCGGAGCAGGATCTGCTCGGGGGGTAGTCGCAGGAATTGCTCGAGCGTCTCATCCTCCTCCAGCAGTCGGTACAGTTCCGGATGCAGTTTGATGTCGATCTTGCCCAAGAGACCACGTCGGATGATCTGCCAAATAAGCCCCAGAATCAGATGCTCACGTACTTCAATGATGTCTCCGGCACCAATGTTGACCACGGAGCAGCCGATACCCTTTGCCGACTCAATCACAATGTTGTTGTTTTCCGTCATGTGGAACGCGTTCAACGTCTTGATTTTGGTTCCCGGCCTGTTTAAGACTCGCTCATCGATCGTATCCGGCACGCTGTCGTTGATCAGTTTGGCCAGTACGAGTCCGTCCTTGCAGTGGTCGAACATCTCGAAGGTGTCGGTAGGGAAGGGTAGGAGGTGCCCAATGTCGGGATCGCCGGCAAGGACGGCATTGATGTGGGTGGTGAAGGCAGTGCGCTCTTCTTCATTGATAGTATGCCTGACGTTGGCTGATGAGCCTTGGACCTGAATCCGACCACCAGTGCTACCTCCCAGGCTGGGCTTCGACCCATGCTTAGGAGAGGGTGCCCCGTTGCCTGCACCCGATCTTTGGGGTCCCGCTGAGATACGCTGCTGCTCAGGCGACGATTCTCGGACCTTTGCGATGAGGTCAACATAGTCTTCCAACGCTACTCGTCTGGAGCTGTCCAGGTCAACTTCTTTGAGGGCTTGTCGAACAACATCGTAGGATTGTCCTTCAGAATGCTGCACCGCTTTGATGACAGTCGATTCGTCCAGATAACCCTTATCTTCCACGTCTAGTTTGCGGAAAGCATCCTGGAGCTGGAAGATTTCGCTCTGCGGAAATTGAGGATATTTGCGCTGGAGTTTGAGAATCGCGGTCATGTCGGATGGAGGGGGCGGGGAGGATCCCGCAAAGGGTGAGGGAAAGAAACGGACGAGGGGAGGCCTTTGGTGCTATGTGACAAGAGCAGAAGGACAATAGAAGAGATCAGCAGCTGGATATCGAGCAGTAAGACTGCAGATTTAAGTAAACGTGGTTATGGTGGTGCCTGTTTTGAAGCCTCAGCTTTCCATGCACAAGCTGAGCGGGTCGGAAGGGCATACGTAGGTGCAGCCAGCAGACGTCGTACTGCGCAGTGGACGCCGGAGGCTGGCAAGATAGGCCTGGCTTACATAATAATACAGAATTTTTGCATTAGCTGAGCGCAAAGTGAGGCTGATGCGCGACGGCCGCTAAAACCGTGGCTGAGTGCATTAGATACGCGACTAGTACGAGTATAGTAAGGGCGCTGTTATGACGATCCCGTTGTGACCACATGTCCAATCATCCATCGTGATCTGAGCCTTGCCGTGTCAACATCTCTTGTGCCATATCACTCCCTCCCTACCTAGGTACCTGGTAATAATTCATTCTGTTCATTTGTTCTATCAATTGATAGACTAGTCCTAACCCCTTTCTAACGTCCAACATCCACTTTCATATTGGAGCGCTTTCCCGCCCTTTTCAGGGCCGTCCGAAAGGGCATGGCCGAAGCCACCCGCTCGTCTTTCCTAGGCTCAATCTCGGCCTGGAGTAGAAGCAGCACTCCGCCTCCCAAGTCTCCTCTCCAGAAGCCAAAAGAAGATCCTCCGGCCCTACGACAATCTACGGGTCTTGATCACACAATAAGTCTGAGGCCATCCCCCAGTCTCCGCAAGTATCCGAAAGATTGTCCTCCGCTCAAACCCAGATGGTTTTATGCTGTGGACGTGCCGAAAAGGAAGCCTTTTGCTTCTGAGTCGACACCAGAGGAGAAAGTGAAGCCTCCACCGGTCCCGAAGAAACTGGTACCGTTCTCCTCTCGAGACTCCCAGGCAATCGAGAAAGCATTTCAGTCGCTAGACAAGGACGACCACGGTCAAGGTGACAACGCTGAACCCACTAGCACCAGAGTCCCGGTCAACGAAGACTTCTTGTACGACGTCCACATCGAAAAGCGTGAGTTAGAGCCTGTGTATTGGCTAGGTCCAGTCTACGACGTCCGGAGAGGCAGTTGGTTCTATGCCGATGGCTCAACATTGAAACCATGTGATGAAAACCTCGCCAACCAGCTGGAGGAGGGCTATCTCAAGGTAGCACCGTGGAGAAGGATACCCACCACGTCCTCACGGTCCAGCTCCCAGCCAAGAAGTCGTCCGACTTCCACAGTTATAGACAGCTCCTCTGCACAATCAACAAGCACAACACCGCCTTCGCAGGATGATGGTCACACTGCCGGGTCAAACACCCATAGACTGTTTGGTGCTTATATGAACACAACGGTGACCTATCAGGACGCAACTGTTGCCTATCTCACGACTGACGATCTATTTTCGCGTGTGAGCAGCACGGTCTACGGCAGATTCGTTGGCTATGGAGGCACCAAAGTTGTTCGCGGGTGGTCAGACACCAAGACTACAGACTCAAAAGCGGGTTCGAAGGCGTTTGAAGTACCGAGCACCAAGGACAAGCGGAAGTCTGCCAATATACCAGCTGAGGCGGCGCCAAACGTCGAGCAGAATGATAGTAGTTCACAGTCCACAGACCAGGAAGTCACTAAACCTCGACGGACGGCCTTGGAGCGTCAACTCTCGTCCTTGGCGGGCATGCCGCACCCTGATGACGCGCAAGATCTAGCCGAGGAAGAAGCAAGGGAAGAAGAAGAGCGGGAGATGGAAGACGCCAGAGAAAAGGACGGCGATGATCAGGCAAGACAGATTGACCACTTGGTCCTGGTCACTCATGGAATAGGTCAACGACTTGGCCTGCGACTCGACAGCATCAACTTCATCCACGATGTGAACACAATGCGGAAGACCATGAAAGCCGTCTACGACTCTGCACCCGACCTGCAAGCTCTGAGTGGCGACCCGAAAAACTGCAAAATCCAAGTCCTGCCAATCTGTTGGCGTCACTTGCTAGATTTCCCCAAGCAAAGCCTCAAGCAGAACCGCAAGGAGTTTGATCTTGGAGATGCCGACGCCGCTTTTGACGACGAATATCCATCTCTGCAAGATATTACCGTGGAAGGAGTCCCTGCCGTGCGCAATCTGATCACCGATCTTGCAATGGATGTGCTCCTCTACCAAAGCGCCTACAGAGAGCACATTGCCACCATTGTCCAAAAGGAGTGTAATCGAGTGTACCGGCTTTTCAAGGAGAGGACAGGTTTCGACGGCAAGGTCAGCTTCTGCGGCCATTCTTTGGGCAGCGCCATCCTTTTTGACCTCCTGTGTCGACAAGAAGAAACATCCAAGACTCGACCCCGCCGTGTATCCAGCCGGGCATCGCGAGACTACCATGGACCCGAACACAACGACCTGCGCTTGGACTTTGACGTGGAAAAGTTCTTTTGTCTTGGCTCCCCAATTGCTCTTTTTCAAATGCTCAAGGGCCGAACGATCGCTGGCCGTTCAATGCTGCATTTGAATTCCCTTGGGTCCGCGGGCATGCCAACATCGCCGTTTGATCCGGATCCTATGGGCAACGACCCATTCGACAGCTCTTTACGACCCGGTGGGATAGGAAGTGGCGGCATCGGCACCTCATCGAATTCGCTGATTCCAATCAGTGTATCGTCGCCGAAATGCAATGAACTATTCAACATCTTCCATCCCACGGACCCGATTGCCTATCGAATGGAGCCTCTGATCTCGCCGGCTATGGCACAGCTCAAATCCCAACCGCTTCCGTATACCAAGAAGGGACTTTTTGCGGCCCCGGGCATTGGAAATATGACGGCCAGGGTTGGCCAGCAAGTCATGTCAAGTTGGTACAGTTTGACTTCGGGGGTGGCGTCAAGCCTGATCAATAGAAGTCTAGGCATTACAGGCGAAGAGCAAGCGTTGGCGCAAGATAAGGCCAAGCTAGGTGGCAGTAGTACCAATACGAGCGGCGGAAATGCACCATCTAGCCATGGCCAGCCAATCCCACCCGCTCCCGTTGTCAACATGCCCCTCGCAGATTCAAAAAGACAACAAGATCTCGCAGAAGCAGCAGCCAAGTCATCCACCTCGACCGGCGACGCCCCGACACTAATCGACTCGGAGATCGAGACCCTCTTTTCGGGATTCCAGAAACGTCACCAAAACCAGCACCAGCAGCACCGTGTTCGGCCGCGCCGATCACGCTCTCACACTGCTTCTACAACTGGTACAGCTGAGGCTTCTGACACCGAAGACAAAGACACGGCGCAGCAATCATCCGCCACAGAGTACCAGCTATCCCTCGAGCGCTCGAGAAGACTGAAACGGGAAGAAGCCAAAGTTCGCGCTCTCAACAGCAACGGTCGCGTCGACTACCATATCCAGGAAGGAATGTTTGATGTCTCGTTACTCGCCAGCATCGCGAGCCACTTGAGTTATTGGGCCGATGAGGATGTCAACCATTTCATGATTGGGCAGATGCTCAAGACCCGTGCGAGGGAGACGAGTGATGATATTCGGAATGAGATGGATAAGGATCGGTGGTGAGCAGTGTCTAGCCCTGAGCTGTGGGGAGTTTTGAGCCGTGGTGAACCCTGAGCAGTGGTGAGGCCTGAGCAGTTGTCCACTGTGAGCCCCTCTGCACACCAACCGGTGAAGTTCGGATCGGAATATGGATCGAACGAACCGAAACGGAAGAGACCGCAACGAATTTTACGATAAACGAGAAGAAGAAAGCCCCAACTCCAGTCAGTGTTGAAAGAATAAACTTCACTATTCCTAAAGGTCAAATTCAGATCACCCGAAAACTAGGTTAGATGCCGGAGGTTGGATTGTTGTTGGTCTACCTTAGGTTATCTGTCCAAGACAAGGCTCAGCCGCCACGGACACAAATAAATCAAATGCATGTTGGTGGTCTGGGGAAAATGGTCAACGTCGTGTAGATCCGATTCCTAGCTGCTCAATTGCCCCGAGACCCTGCCCTCGGGGATCTGGCCTGTGACATGGTATATTATAGTATGGTATAGTATAGTACAATAGAATCGACAACCTCGACTCAGTCATTCAAACTAAGGAAACGAAAACTCTTGCGCGCCCTAGATGAGGATCTTGGTCTTTACTGCATTATTCTACTTACCGTAGATTACTTGTGCCATATAGTATATTCGTTAGTATAACTTGAAGGTATATACCCTATTGTATATAATTATAATTGTTCCAACCTATATATGTAATATGTAACTGTAAGGCTAATGCTAATCTTTTGCTTTTGCTGCTGCTCAAAAGGTATCTCACATGAATTCAAAGTCATCATCATCACCACCTTCATGGGCGTGTTGGGATTGGTGATTCTCAACGCCATCCTCGAACATGTCTTCTTCCCTTTCTCGCTCCTTGCCTTTACCCTTATCTTGCTTCTCTGGCTGAGTGGTAGGGTCGCCGTCGCCGCCGTCACTGACATTGTTGTCGTAAGAAGCTGGTTCGCTTGCAGCCTCTTTCTCCTGATTGTTTATTTGTTCGTCCAGCAATCTCTCCCTTTCCCTCTTGGCTGCGGCGGCATTAGCCAGCCAAGACGATTTTCTCACTGATCCAGATGATGGCGTTGCACCAGCACCCGGCGCACCACCACTGAGTTTAGGTTTTCCATCAGGACCCAACTCGACCTTGATACCCATATTGTCGAGTTTCTCGCGGAGGGCAGGCTCGGTCCGGACTTCGCGGGCTTCGAGGCTCGAGACCAGAGCCTGGTTCTCGCGATTATCTTCGAGCAGGAATTTCAGACACATGACGGCGTGTTCTTTGATGTAGGGGTTGCATGCTGGAAAGCAAAAAAAAAAGGAGTCAGCCAGTCCGTCACTCAGCCAAGTCTGATCACATACGAGAGGTATAATAGACACATGTAAGAAGTCCACAAAGGGATGTGTGTCAAGTATAAAATATACAAAGTCATGCTTGATTGTAGACGGGTTATTCGGATCGTTCAGGTTCTCACAACATACCATCATATTGCGTGCAACTAAGGATCGTTTCGACCCCGCCATACTGTCTGATTTGGTCCTGGACGGTCCGTGATTTCCAGACCAGACTGGACAGGACCAACACGATCAATTTCTTCAGGTTGCGCCATTCGAAATCGGCGGGTTCCTCGCTCACGGCTGGTGGTGGTGGGGAGCTGCTTGCAGGTGGTGGTGAAGGAGGCCGTTCGGTGTCTGTGGAAGACGACTGTTTCTGACGAGGTCTCTGCGTCACTGGGTCGACGGTCGATGCGTCGTATGGTCTTTCAACTGTTACGGGCTCAGTAGTGGCCGTGGCAGGGTCAGTCGCAGTCGCGTCATTGGCAGTGTTGGCAGTATTAGTTGTAGTATTTTCTGCCCTCGCCGCAGGAGGGAGTGTCTGTGTTAGTGGAACCTTGGCGATGCTGGTGTCGAGTTCCTTAAGCAAGGTGACCAGGTCATAAACGATTTCCCACTTGACCAGAAGTTCCTTCCATTCATTGTTCTCGGTCAAGACGGCAAAGAACTCGAGGAACTGGTAGACACCTTCATAGACGCGTTCCATGTCCCACAGGTTAAGGGGGAAGTCTTCCGCTAATGCAAGGCCTGCTCGGATTTGCCCTTGCAGGTAGATCAGCGCACAGGTTTCCGGAATAATGTTACCGCGAAAGACGATAAATATGTAGCGGACGGTCAAAACGTCGACTCTGCTCAAAGGAGCTGGGACCCGGGGTTTGGGAGGAGCCTTTTCCTTGGACTTTTGCACGACAGATGCAGGACTGTATTTGGCCCGGAAAATGTGCGTCAGAATCTTGATGACCACGGCTTGAGCCGGAGAGATGATATCTTTCGGCTGCCCAAAGTCCGAGTAAGCATGAGACATGAGTCCGTTCTTGAGAATGGCTTCCATGATCTGCACCATCATCTTGAAATAAAACTCGTCGTCCGGAAGATCCCATGCAGCTATGAAGATGAGCAATTCCCGCAAGACATTGCGACCGGCTTCTTGTGCCAGCAGGATATGACATCGAACCGCCTGCATGTTCTTGACGCCTTGTCGGTCACCATTCTTGGATCCAAAATTGTCCACAATCCCGGCTTGGATGATCATGGGAAGAGCCTCGATCTCGGTCGGTCCGAGAACAAGAGGTACGTCAGTCAGGAGGCCACGTTCCTGATCCCCTGACGCGCGGTAATAATCATCCTCATCCTCCTCCTCTTCAATACTACCCTCGACACTATCGGCAAGGTCGTCATCGAGAGGGCCTTCGGGATTGCCATCCTCGTCATAAACTTGGTCACCATTTTCATCAAGCACGGGCCCGGACGCCGATTCATGCAGTCGTGCCATCAACTCGTCTTTAGCTTCTTGTAGTGTTGCAGCGGCGGACTGAGCTGTTCGGGGCATACTCTTGTCCTCCTCGGTCAATTCCTGCCCAAACTCACTTATTTCGCCATAGGAGCCAAGATCCGGCAAATGAGTCCAATGGCTCGGGCGGTTTTGAGTGGGAGCCTTGACCCCGCCACCAACTGATTGCTCACGTGCAGTCACAGGGGCAGAAACAGAACTATCTTTGTCCTTTGGCGGCATCTGCGCCCGTAACTCGGCACCAACCTTGAGCAGAGTGTCCGGGTTATCATCCAGTTGAGTGGCATTCATACCCGACAACTTTTCCATATCAGTTCGTATCTTGTCCATCAGCACCCGGGCCGCTGCTTGAGTGTGTTGGTCGGATTCCTTGTTCGTGCTCATCAGATCGAACAGGGCGTGCACGTCGTCAATATTATACCCGAGTCCGCCTGACCGTTGTTCCTTCTGGGTCTGAGGCAATTTCTCGACGGTCGATTTAATCCTGTCTTCTTTGGCAAGGTGGTCTTTGTCCTCCTGATTCGTCGTGGTCGTGGCCGGCGCCTGCTGGACAAGTTGCTCTTCGCCTTCATGGCTTTGCGACTGTCCAAACAGATCAAGCCACAGCACCAGTTTCCTCTGTTCATTGTGCATGATGAAATTGTGCAAGAACTGCAGACAAGTAATCAACAGCCTTTTGTACAGATGTACCACTTTTTGCCATTTTTCCTCGTTTCTCGGGTTGGCCTCGCCATCGTAGCCTCGCGCCGTCACCCGTACGCAGACATCGATCAACTTGAGGATCTGCTGGTCGAACCCCTTTTCCGCCGCCAGGTTCTGCGCCTTCTTGGTGGTGGCCAGTAAATTTCGAGCGATGGTGCATAGGTCGTTGATTCTTTCAATGTCCTTGACGAGAGCCGGGTAGTGCGCCGCGATCAGGTCCGAACTGCTGCCGGTAAAGCCCAAGTGAGGCGGGTGTTTCCAGGCAAAGGATTGCTGCTCCAAGGCCGGGATGGCCACAGCCAGGACGTCTGTCAGGCCTTCCCACACTCGAGGGTTGAACCCCAGCGAGGATCGGACATCGCTTTCCTGGTGTGACTTGTAGAGAATCTGTTTTCCGGCTATCAACAAATGTTCCAATCTCTTGTCATCGATCAGGCCGAGGTTTTCGTAGTGGGTTTGGGTGCCAGTTAGGACGATTTGGAGAAGTAGTGATGCGCTCATACTGCCGCTGACTCTGAATCATACTCGATCCAAGTATTCTCGGAGGCGTTACTTTTCGTTCTGTCCGTAGCCGTCCTGCACATTTCTCGCGAGAACAAAAGATCCAGGGACTCGGCACAGTTTCCTTGCGTAAAGTGGACTCGGTGGTAGCAGACGCTAGTGCGGATAGTGCTTCAGTATTCGGGCTAATTGTAATACAACCGCCGATGTCGCTCGGCTTTCGTTTATCCGAGGAAATAGTTGTAAGCATTGGAATGCTCGATTTCTGGCCTTTTTCTTCCTACATCCCTTTGATTCTTCGTTTTTTCTACGTCAACGACTCTCTGGCCATCCAAATGCTACTTATTTAAAAAAGTATGGCTATATATCAGGCGGCACCAGATTCCACCTCTTCGTATAGATATGTATAGTTGTGTGCCGGACCGTCCCACCCGTTGTCCTGCAGCGAATATCCAACCCGGCCCAGCCGAACCTACCTCAGTGCATCTGTGTTGGTGGTCAATCACCTTATATTCGTCCTCATGGCAAAGGTAGAGCCCTCATCCTGTTGACTCGCCATTCTATGCTGGCTTGATACTTCCGACCACAGCAGGTACGGGGCTGGATCGCACGAGTGTGACTTTGTTCACAGGCCAATCTTTCTCGGCTTCCTAAGATCATACTCCAAACATCAAGACGTGATCAACTTCAAATAATCGGCCACGATCAACGTGATCATACTGTCCCCAGTCAGCTTGCAACTATGGCTCAAAACAGGTCTGGACTTACGCATGGGGTGCAATCCTAACATAATAGGTACCGAAGCCGCGGTAGAATCTCAACGGGCCTTCGTCACGGATGACCTTTTTGGCGCAGTCGAGGAATCCATTGTATGGATATTTGCCGTCGGGCCCCTTGTGCTGCTTCTGCAACCGAGTCTTGATGAAGTCAAAAGGCAAACTGAAGAAAGAAGCGAAGAACCCGGCAATCGCCGAGGCGCCAAAACGGTTGGTGCTTTCTGACAGATGCGGTGCGTAAGTCTTCAACTGAGCCTTGGACTCGGCAAAGAAGGTGAGTTGGCCAAAGTTCAGGGCCATGGCACGAATGACGGTGGGAGTAGCCCCTGCCCACAAAGCCGTGATGCCTTCGGTTTTGGCGATGCGGGTGAGGGCGTCGAAGACAGACCGGTAGTTGGCCCTCAACTCCTTCGGTTTGAGACCATCGGACTGCATTCGGATCAAGGCCAGGTCTGCAGGGTTTCCCACCATGGCAGCCAAGCCGCCCGCGGCCAGGCCTGCGGCGCCACGCTCCGCGAAACTGATGGATGTGCCCTTCTTTTCGGCCCTTGCCTGCAGGGCGGTCTGGAAAGTGTCGAAGAAGCCCAACCGGGCAGTGGTATATACAGCTTGTCTCAACAACCCTGCCGACAGGCCGGTATACAAGTCGAGCACCTTGCCCTGCGCGATGATGTCCCTTGCGACGCCAAATGCTGTGGGTCTGGGCCCTGCCTTGACGCCTTCTCCTGCAAGCTGTAGGCGTACCTTGACCATGTCTATGGGTTGGATGCAGGCGGTTGCGAACATGCCTGCGAGGCCTCCGTTGACGAAGGGTAGAGCGGCTCGGGTGACAGGGAGATGGAGGAAGTCATTCTTGACCTGGACTGGGTTATGCACAGCTTCTTGAGCGGCCTCTTCCACCCTTGTGGCCGCGGTACGGGCGCCTTCCTTGATACGGTTGGCGGTACTCCCAGACATGGTCGCCGGAAGTGAGAGGGAACAGCAGGATCGAAAGGATGAACGGTGAGTGGTAAGGCAGGTAAAGGATCTAGCGCACCACCGTTAGCATATCAATCTCGATTGCCTGAGCGCAACACCGAGGTTCCCGCGGCGTCCGAGCAAAGCTGTCCAAGCTGCGGGGGCCGTACGATGCCTCAACTTCCGCTGTGATAAGGGCAGTAGACAGACTCACCACGCAGCAGAGGAGGCTCGTCAAGGCAGCCAGCCACTCGTGGCTGGGGATAAGGATGTTTCTCTGCTAAGAATGGACGCTGGACTGCGATTAGGGTCTTCAACGATTGATTATCAACCCGAGAGAGACAGAGGGCTGTGGCTGCAGCTCAATGGTCCACGGTGCCGACTCGGTCGATGAGGAACGTGGAAGGAAGCACTGGCACGGGTCCAGCGGACGACGGCGGGGATGAGAAGAATCAAGGTGAGTGCAAAAGACCAGGCACTCAGCCGATCGGAAGATGACCGTCTTGTGTCTGCTGCGTAAGACCGTGACTCTCCGCAAACCTGGAGAGGAGGTGAGGGTGGGTGGTGTTGGAGGACGACAGCGTTATGCGGCAGCGGTCGAGTCTGGGGTCTGCCTGGAGAGTGGTCAGGGCACTGATCCTGGTTCTGGAGATGGGATCGAATTGGCTGACTCCAATTGAGGCCTTGGGCAGGGCGGAGTTGGATGGCCGTGGATTGGAGGACACGAAGAGGAGATGGAAGGACTCGGAGGCCTTGATTGAGGTGTGTGCTTGTGCTGTAGTGGTAGTCGTACCTAGTCCAGTATCGCACCGCGAGAATCTCACCAAATCGGGGAGAACGCAAGATGCGGGGAAGTGCCACTGACAGTTGTTGGCGAGAAGAGAGAGAACATGAAGCGGGTGTTTGAGATAGGATGCTGCACCAGTATATACCTCAGGTATCCAAGGTATATGTCTATCTTGATCTTGGTCTCCAGTCCACTCCAGACCCATAGTACCAGCCCAATCCTCCCCACGGCGTCTGCGAAATCGTCGTCCGGAATTGCACTGAGTGAACTGTTGACTGTGTCGGATGCTGCGTCTCTCCGCCTCTGACGCAGCGTGGCCCCGTCACATCGCACTGCAATCCCTGTCATGCTGGCAGCCGCTATACCAACAGCAGAGTTAGTTGCATCCTCACCATGGGTCCGTGTGTGCCGTACCAAGACGAGATGCTCCTACTACCAAGGTACCAACCTCAGCTACTGGTGCTTGTGCTTCAAGGCCTGTCACATGTCGACCTTTTGCTTGTCTTTGCTACTACAGGCACCGACAGTATGTACAGTAAATTAATTGTATACTTTCTGTTCGTCTCTGCTGTCCCAACAAACTGTAAAACAGAACAAAAGTCCAGTTGAGCTGCCCAGCCGCGGCATCGCGCCCAAATGGTCCTCATTTCTTTTCCATCACTACAGTAGCAAGATCCTGTACGAACCACTGCAACCTGTTTCATCCGTGCGGTCCTATACGACGATCATCAATCATGCTTTCCTCATCGTCCCGAGTGCCCTACAACGAGCCTACTCCTACACTTCCCACTAGTACTATGCCATCCACTCCTAATCCATGCCTCGTCCAGCAGCACGGATGCTAGCGTAGGTGGGTAGCGGCGGGTATAATCGGGAGCGTACATGGGGAGGAATATCTTGCAACAAGATTGATGCACGCTGGCATGGCGGGAAGTGTCAGGGAGCGCGGGAGACACTATAGGCAGTCCGAGTTGAGGCTCGGAGTCTTCAGTCGGCCCGCGGTTCGATCGGATACGATACGAAAGGCAATCGATTCAACGGGACGGAACCTAGGCTTTTGCTCGTTGAATTCAGCGCTGTTGACCGTTGCTAGTCCTACAATCCGTGTAGATTAATAAATCCCTCAACAAATGATCTTGATGGTGGTTGTGTTGTAGCTACAACGGTTCCCCGATCCTGGGCGTTTCCGTCTGCTTTTCCGTTGAGGGTCCGCCCGCCGCCCGCGCAGTTGGACGACAAGTAATGGTAAGCGGAACGATTTCGATTGGACGTCAGCCTGTACGACCGCAGAGCCACTTTAGGCTTTGGCTTGCCGTCTGTAGTCCGCCTATAGGCACTTACAGCAGAGAGCCGACGCGCTGCTATCACGCTGCGGTGATAATGTGATAGTGGGTGTTGAGTAGGTAGGTAGGTACCCAGGGATTCTTGCCCGTTGTTCAGCCTGACGTTCCACGACAAGTACTGACACAGCAGGCTACACTGCCTCGCTACAGGTATATAGTACCGCACCCTGTTCGCTGGTTGTATCGTCATTGTGCTCGGCCTTGTTGCAGTCTCAACGAGTGCCTCAGCCTTGCCCGCGGCCCCAGGCTCCTCCATGCCTGGACGTCCCACCAGTATGAGCCCACCAGGCTCGGCCTCCAGGGGTCCCAGTAATTAGTCCACCTCCATAGCCCTCATTTCGTTTCACAGTCCACTACTGGTACGGTGCTGAATAACTGATATTCCACGTGTGAGTTGGATGCCATCCCCACTGGCTCCAATACTAGTGCGTAGACCTCAAGCCTAAAGACGATCATCAAATCGTGGTGGAGTCTCCTGGCCGCAAACCGTGCCCCAGATAATAATAATAATATTCCGAGCCAGCCCCGGGCCTCGCCAATTGTGCTGTCATCTACCACCTCGGCCCAGCCTTAACGTCTGCCAGACCCCTGTTGCCGTCTGGTCTGTCCGACCACGGTTCCGATGCTCAGGACAAGTATCCGGCCTTATCCTTGAAGCAATCGACACACGGATTGATTTTGTACGTGCAAGGAGCAAGGACGCATCAAGCCTTGCCCTTCTCCTTCCGTTTAGTCAATAGCCCCTTGACGTTGAACGGCTTCTTAATCTCCTTGATTCGCCGCAATAAATCCCTCATTTTCTTCTCTCGTTGCTCCGGTGTCAATGACTCCTGTCTGCTCACAATTGTCTCGGACTCCGAGAAAGCCACAGACTGGCGTGGCGTGGCTGGAGTGGCTGGCACCGCTGGGGTTGCGCTCCTCCTCTTGAGATTGTCTTTGACCACCGCTTGGTACACCAGCATCCAACCTGATGCTCGCTCCTTTTTCGGCGTTGCGTTGTCCTCGTTGCTCTCATGGCTACTTCCCACAACAAGCTCGGTATCCTGGGCCTCGGCCGACCGCCACGGACAGTATTCCAGATGGTCTTCCACACCGTCGAGTTTTTCCATTGCAGGTGCATCTCCGCGATACAACCATAGGCCCAATGACCGGAAACAGTGTCGGCACTCGATCACATCTTCACTCTTTCGCACCCATCCACATATTGCCAGACGGAGTGCATTGATGTTAGGTTGACCTTGACTATCGAACCGATATCTCTCCAACTCTTCAGTATCATTTCCAGATGTAGTAGGCAGAGGGGCAACTTCTGGTACTTCTTCTGGACGGGTCATGATGCTATCGTAGCGACTTCTCAATCCCAAAAGCGCGGTGTTTGTATTCAGGAGCCCCTCGATGCGTTGGATGGAAGCATCACACCCTCTCTTGCGCCAGAGACAGCTTTCGGCGTGCCCCGTCACCAGGAGGTCCTGATATCGCCGGACCATATTGCGGTATACCTCTGACGCCATGTCGAAGTTATCTTCTGCATTTCCCCCCTTAACCTGACCACCATCTTCATCATCCTTGCTTTCTGAATGCAAGTGGTTGTTATCCATATTCAAATCCACATGTAGCCGCTCTTTACATGCACCACAATACACCGTGTCTGTATCCACACATGTCCAACCCCGTTTCGCCCAGGCTGTAGCATTAATTGGTTCGGTGGAGGGGATGTGCCACTGAGTCACATGTCGAAACGTTTCCAGCCGCTGGAGAAAGGCCGTGCGACTGGAGGGCAGGTAGTGGCCGGCAAGAGATGTGGTCGAGGAGGACGTAGTGATGGTAGTTTTGGATGTGCCGCCTATACGGCGTCTTTTGGAGGAGTCTGAAGCGGCATCCTGCGATAAGGAAGTTGAAGATGCATTATTGCGTGAGCTGAGGGAAGTTCGAGACGGGGAGGCAGCGCCGTCGGTCAGAGCCTCGAGAATGCGATCGAACTTGCGCTTCTTTGCTTCCACGGCATACGACATGGCCGGAGAGCAAGACAGTTTGGAGACTTCGACTAGTCGTGGATGAGCGACTTATTTATCCGAGAGTTCTTGTTCATGTGGCGCATGGAGATTCAAGTTGTATACTGCCAAATGGCAGATGAGTATAGATAAGGACAGTGGTCTGTGGTTCACTGCGACTTCAAGTTGAATGGCACTCTCTCGTCACTGCAGTTCCACATCCATCCACCAAAACAAAAACGATTGTAATAGTGCCGCGATAGGCTTAGCGTTGACTCGTTGTTAATTTTAGGTAAGCACGCGAGCTGAAGTACTCTATTTCTAGCCCCTGACTTCATATAAAAAGAAACTTCAGCCTTGCACGGCCGCAACTTGACTTCATGTGTACAAGGTTGATATCACCAAACATTGCACAGACATATTACAAGCATGAACTTTGAAGAAAGGGAAATAAAAACATCCATCGCAAACATGTATTCCATTTCCAAAGTCTCCTGGCATGGATGGCCTTGCCCATGGCTCTCGCAACTGATACTGTCCTGGTGCACGCTGGTGGTATCCATGATCAAGTGTCCAAGATGGCGTCGTCGGACACCATGCCAGGACACAGGTAGGCTGATAATATCGCTCTGGAGGACTTCAGTTACAAGCTTCATTTCACAAGATTCTCCTGTTTTCTGAATATTAAATTGTCGCACCTAACATGCAGACTGCGCGATTCATCTCCCTCTCACTCTCTCTCACCTCACATCCCAAAACAAGAGACCGCGCCAACTTCCTTCTTCGCTCTCCCAACTCTTCACACTCTTCACACTCTGCCGCGTTCACATTTCTCTCTGTCTTGATCAGTGTTATCGCTCTAAAGCATCTCTTTCAAAGCATTTCTTGCCTCGCGCGACTGTTTCTCTTCTTCCTGCTCTTGTCGCAGTCCATACCTTGTCTCCATCATGGCTTTATCCAACCGAGACCCAAGTCGAGAGTCGACTGAAGATGGCAGTAACCAAGACACCTCTAGCACCTCTCAAGCTGGACAGACAAGCATGCCCAGGTAATCGCGGCCTGAACAAATGCTTATACCTTGTTGTCGCAACTAACAATCGCCAGGCGCAGCTTACGGCTACAAGCCCAGTCCTCCTCTCATGGTCCCGTCATGACATCGTCCTCCTTTTCACACAGTACCACCATGACATCGTCGTCCTTGCCACCCAGTCCATCGGCGCAGCAACAACGTCAACGCCATGATGTCGTTGATTCAGCTCCTGGCAGCAGCCAGTCTCCAGACTTGGACCTCACTTCAAATTCAGATCGGGACAATAACAATAACAACAACGAAAACAGCAGTCAACTCAGCACCACAAAGAAGCGTAAAGCTCGTTCCTCTTCATCTGAGTCTATCAAGTCTGCTATTCCCGATTCCAACCCCGATAGCGATTCCTCTTCAGATTCAGATTCAAACCCATCTCAAAAGAACAAAAAGAGCAGCGCGCAGTACAATACTGCAAAGAAACGCAAAGCTCGTTCTTCCTCGTCTGAGTCCATCGAGACTGCGCCCGATTCCTCCTCTCCTTCATCTTCAGATTCAAACCCATCTCGAAAGAACAACAAGAGCAGCGAGCAGTCCTATCCTACAAAGAAACGCAAAGCTCGTTCTTCCTCATCCGTGTCTATCAAGACTGCGTCCGAACCTTCATTCGAATCCTCATCCCTCTCATCTTCAGACCGAAAATTCTCTCAGAACAAGAAAAACAAGGCCAGCGATCAGTCCAATACTGCGAAGAAGCGCAGAGCTCGTTCTTCAGCACCATCGCCAAAGCCTACCAATCCTGTCTCTGATCCCTCATCCGACTCCTCATCCTCCTCATTCTCAGATCCAGATCCGTCACCAGAACCAAGTGACAAAGACGATTTCAAGCCTCGAGTCATACTGCGATTCCGTCGGCCTGCTGCACCTAATAACAATAACACAAACGTCACCACTTCGCAGCCAAACAACGACAGAAGTGAAGAAATCCAGGCTGCGCTCGATAGGCAGCCTTGGTACGTCCAACGGCTGGATCTTGGGACGAGACTTCGGCTCGCCAATCTTCCTCCGTACAGCCCACCCGACTTCCTCCATACCTACCTGAATCGAGGTAGGATGGGGAAGCGGGCGCGGTCGTCGTCTGCCGGCTCGTCTCCCCGGCGCCGCCCAGCAGGGCCGCCGGCCGGTTCCTGGTCGTTGGTGCCGCCTCCTCCTCCTGCCACCGCCGCCCCCTCCTCCTCCGGCACAACAAGTGTGCCTGGACAGCCTGTGGCTGGTCCGGCTGGTCCGGTTGGTCCCTCGGTCGGTCCTGGTCCTGGTCCTTCTTTTGGGCCTGTGGGCGGTCCCTCGGCCGGCGTTGGTTTTGGTGCTGGTCCTTCTGTTGGGCCGGCGGTTGCCGCCACCTATACTGGTGGTGGAATCGTCGGTCCCCCGCTGCTGGCTCCTGGCCCTGGTTATGGTGTTCGTCCTGGCCTTGCTCCTGGTCCCGGTTTCTTTGGTCCTGGTGTTGGTGTTGGGCCTGGTGTTGGTCCTGGCCCTGGTTTTGTTGCTCCCGGCGTTGGTTTTGCTCCCGCTTCCTCTTTTGGAGGACCGTCGATTGGTGCCGCTGCCACTGCCCCTGGTGGTGTCAGCGGCCCAATCTTCGGTCCTCCTGTTGCCCCTGTTCCCCTCCCCCGCGTTGGTGGATTCGCACCAATCCGCCCATTGTCTGCGTCCTGGCCAGCCTCGCTGCCGACCTTCCACCCGCGCCCGGACTTCTACACGCGGACGCAACCCGTGGCATTCTCCATTGCCGATGTCTATCGGCACATGGAGAGCCTGATGGCCAACCCGGGCCGCATGTACGTGACAGTGCAACTGTACGCGTTTGTGCGGCCCGGGTCGGTCGTCCCTCCTGTGGTGCCTGGTGGTACGAGCAGTAGCCCAGCTGCTCAGGCCGCGGCCACAGGAGGTGCCACTGGTGCTGCTGCGAGTTCGGTTGCGCCGGGTGGTATAACACAAAGCTCACAGGCTCCAACGACGGGGCCAGCACCTGGCTCAATCGAGTTCACCGACTTGCACGGGAACCCGGAGGTGCTGGCCGCCGTCGTGCCTGTGAGCTATCGACAGCGGGGCGAGCTGAGACAAGACATGGGCATGGTGCGGGCCATCCTCCGTATCACCCTGCGGCCTTCTGGTAACAGAGGGCCAGCGACTTCCTTGCCTCCCCCGACCATTGATGACCTCCTGTCCCGCTTCCTGACGGAGGTCATCATGGTCAACGGCGCCACTTGGCAGTCCGTCAATAGGAGGGAGAGGGAAGTCGTCGCCCACTTGACCAACTCGGTCACGGCGACCGCTGCCGCTGCCAGTGCTGCTCCGGCGGCAACAGCTCCTGCTGCTTCTTCTTCTTCTGCTTCTTCTTCGGCGGCCGCGGGGTCCCGGGGAGGAAGAGGGAGAGGAGGAAGCCAGCGGGCGGCTGGCAGTGGTAGTGGTCGTGGTCGTGGCCGTGGTCGAGGCCGGGCGCGGGGTGGTCGTGGTGCCTCTGCTGGTCAGGGCAACACCACGCCGCCGCCACCTGCTAATCCTGCCGATCCTTAGTAATAGGGATTGGCCTGGTCCGACAGCTGCGATGCTGTTGGGGCTCTCGAACAGAGAGTCGGCAAGGGGCTGGCGATGGAGGATGGGAGGGATAGGGGAAGGGGGTGCGTGGGAGCTGATTGGGGTGGCCGGAGCAGTAGATAGTTTTTTGTTAGAGTCATGGGCGGCGTCCTGGCGTTTCTGGGGAGGAGTTTTTTTTTTACAAGTCATTCTGTCAGAGCCGTGTTAATTGATTCTACAAACCCTATTGCCTCTGCCTTTCTTGCTCCGTGATCAAAAGAACGTTGGATTAAGATAATTCCATACAACACCAAAAGTAATGAATGAACCGCAAAGTGTAATCTCAAACATACTTCCAATAACAATACAGGTCCAACCGCCAGAAGATGATGGTTGCATCGAAATAAAACCCAGCACCAAACCGTCCGAGAAGTCAAGCATATTGTATGCAAAACTCCAATAACTCATGCGCCGGATTCAGACCTGGACCACGCAACCAGCCGAGAAGGCGCCGATTGACGCTCAGTATTACGGCGACTTGAGGACGCCGACGACGACGCCGCAGGAAGGATTGGTGCCATTCCTGATCGTGGTATCTAACCTTTCGCGGCCAGCCCTTCCCTCCAGCGTGCAATATCCTTGGATTTTTTGTTCCACAGCTTCTCAATCTTTTCCATTTCTTTCCGTGACTGCTCCAGTTCCTTCTGTTTCTCTGCCACGCGTTTCTGTAGGCTCTCAGAGTCCAGCGCCCGCAAGTTAACGTTGTTGACGTTCTGAGACGAACTGGCATTGCTGTGACGGTGAGGCAAAGATTGTGGACCCTTGGCTGGCAACGCCGGAAGCTTGCTTTTCGAGGCACGTCCGCCAGATTGCTGCTTGCCATGGGCCAGATTGGTTGCTGATGACGAGGACTGCCAGGCGCCCGGCATGTTGACACCCTGATGACCATCCAGGGCAGCATCGTCTGCCTCATTAAGTCCTGTCTCGTCGTCCATGATCGGCTCTTCCTCATCGCTGATGCCAACCTCGCCGACTTCGTCATCCTCGTCTTCGTCATCTAGAGTGTCGAACTCGTCTTCCTCACCAACCTGCTCGCCGTCGCCTACAACCCAGATCACTCCGTGACGCTCACCATGACGACTGAGTTTTTCCATGCCACCACCAAGGTTGGTGTAATCGTCCGCCTCTAGAACACCAAGGCCGTCCATGGTGCCGACCTCACCAAATTCTTCGACATACATTTGCCGTCGCTCTTCCAACTCGAGAACCTTTTCGCTTTCGTCAGCAGTCAAGTGGCGCAGTACCCAGCCGTTGGGTGTGACGAGGCATCTTCGGAGCAAATCATCTTTACGATCTCCCGCGTCGGCAACACTGACTGCATGGCCGTCCTTGAGAGCTTGCTTCTCCTTAAGTGGCAAGTAGATGTATCCGAATGCATCATTTGGGGCGTATCCATTCCCATCGAGATAGTCCTGTCCTCGCCTCGAATCAGGAGGGAGCTTGTAAGCGGCGGAATTGAAGCTCTGAGGATTCAACCATGGATGGTCCTTGGACAAGTCTCCGGACTGGATCATGGAACTGATGATTTTGGGCATGGAAGAAACATGCTCCTGGAGCAATTTTTGTACAACACCGGGAGCGTCGGTGTTTTTGCCCAACTTATCGGCTTCGTTGTAAAGATCACGCAGTGTGTATGGCGTTTTGGTGGTGTCTTCAGCCTTTGATGCCGGTTCTTCCTTCGGGGTGGATGGTGGCGGAGTTGCAACAGAACGTCCTGTCTTTTCAGGTGCGGCTGAATCCTTCTTGTCTTTCTCCCAATGCTCATTCTTCGAACCGTTGTCAGTAGATGCTGCACCAGCTGCTGCTGCAACTTCTGGCTTGCCGGCTGCAGTGCCCGCTTGCTCAGACTTTTCTCGAGTTTTGGTGGAATCATCCATGTTTGCAGCTGTACTGCTCTCGACTCGTTTCTTCTGCTTCTTCTGTCTAGCAATGACAGGCGCCACTTCTTCAACAATGGGAGGCGTGGGAATGTTCACACTAGTCTCACCCGTCTCTGTCGACTTTTTCGCCTTTTCTTTTCGGTCCTTCTTCTGCTGACTCTTGCTCTTCACCCGTTCTGGTGCTGAACCAACGATACTATGCGGAGGCGATGAAGCACGTGAAGCGTCGTGAGAATGTTGCCTTTCTGACACTGCTGGAGTAGACGGTCTGCTATGCTGTGCAGAAGAAAGAGATGGTCTCCTAGAACCTTTCTTCGCAGCCGAAAGAGGAGGGAATGCAGCAATGGTTTTCTCGGGAGCTGCAGAGGCGGGAGTTGGTTCGGCTGGCTTTGTAGTTGTACCAGTGGTCAGTCGTAAGGTTCTCGGTCGCGCGGTGGAAACTTTTGGTGTTTCGGAGGGGGTCGTGACAGAAGCTGGAGTTGCAGGGCGAGAACTCAAGGCGCCAGGCGTGCCGACAGAGCCTGAATCCAAAACAGGTGTTGCCGGTTTGTCTGGTACAGCAGGCAGCAGTGGAGCCTTTGAAGTGATGGTACTGGTTGGTGGCAACTCTATCTTCTCAAACTTTGGATCGGCCGCTTTTTGCTTTCCTTTAAGATCGGCGGTTTTCACTGGCGCTGGCGCCTCGTCCTTCTTCTCTTTTTCGCTCTCAACTTCACTCGTCTCGGATTTCTTGTTCTCCGTCTCAGTTTTTACGCAACTTGTTCGAAGTTGAGGTGAGCCAAAACTGATTTCATTTACTCCGTTTCTGTGCTTTCGAACTGCCAGTGAATGCTCCTCATCACCTTCTTTCGGCGTCTCAGGCGCTTTCGGCTTCGGTGTCGAGGTGCGTGGGCCGAGGGGTACCAGTGGGATCGCCGGAGTCACAGTCACGGAACCACTGGGAGTAGCGCGCGCTCCTATTTGATTCGCGTGGGCGGGCGTTGCTTGTCGTGAAGGCGGTAGCGGATGAGCGTGAGTCAGTTCAAACCCAGGTGGGATTCTAGGGGTCGTGGACCGAATTCCTGAACTGTGAAGACTGTGAAACGAGGAAACGCGTGAATGTAACGGCGGAGTCCGCGAGCTCGACCGGAGAGGTAATGGCGGAAAGTTCTTGTCGTCCACTACACAGAGGAATTAGCACGCGATAGTTCGCACAAAGGACTAAAACAGGACTCAAAGAAATCAGAACCAAGACGGCGGCGGCGACAGGTACATGATGGCGGCGCGGAATACATGTGAACGGCATAGACGACCAGGCTTTCTCGCATCGAGCACTTCCATCCAGCACAAAGTTTACATTGTATCTTGGAACATGGACTCCTGAAACATCTGTAAGAAGTCGTTTTTTTGGTCTGCCTGACTTGTAGTAATCGTCAGGAGAAAAGGGTACTAACATACATCATATCATAATCGTGCCCTGGAGCCCGGTGGTGCCGCTCCCTGGATGAGAAAAGAAAGCCCGGCCGACGGATTAGCTGGTGATGCTTGGTTCACCCGCCTGCCCGGAAGAGAAGTGTTGAAATCCCATGCCGTAACTCCTCAAGCTTTCGCCGTTCCAGCTACTAACTCATGCTTGCTCGATCGCTGTTCCGAAGTGGTAGTTTTGCAGCCACCAACGCCTAACAAAAGTCCATCGAATTGAAAAGAAACACCAGTCGAAAAAAAGAGTCGCTCGTTCACCATCGATTGTTGTACCCGCCGCCACCGTACATCAGGTTCGAATTCTGGTACCCACCTTGGTTACCCCCAAAGAGCCCCTGCCCGGCCGTGTTGCCCTGGTGCACTCTCGCGGTTACGATGCTCGGGTCCGCAAGATGCTCGACACCACCTCCTGAAGAGGGAGTGTTAGCATGTCTTTGCTTCTTCCCCTTCTTCTTTTGCTTGACAAGTCCACGGTCCTGGTACGCCCCTTGATACTGGGGGTAGAGCGAACTCAGGACGCCAGAGGCAGGGGCAGACAGAGGGGGTGAACGCAGGGGGCTGTTTTGCAAGGAAAGGAGTAACTCACGCTTAGACACCTCAGGACCCTGATTCGTCCCACTTCGATTTCTCGCGTACACCTCTGTGTTCGCATCCTTAGACGTTCCGAAGCCGGGGTTGGTAAAGTTCTGGCCGTGCGCAAACATGCCACCGCCACTGACCGGAGGAGTTCCAGCCGTAGGCAAGCCTGGAGGAGGACCTTGTACGCCGCTGGAGTAGAAAGTCTGTTGTTGGCCTTGAAAGCGGTTGGCACTGGTGGACTTGGAGTCTGTGTTGAAGTATCGTGACCCGTGGCGTTGATGACTACTAATCTGGTCGTATTGTGCCTGGCTGTACTGCGGTCCCCGCCGGTCAAAGTCTGACATCTCAAAAGCAGTGTTCTGCCCCGACGGCTGACCCAGACCGGGAGCTTGCTGAACGTTGTCTAGATTGAGAAACGCCAGCTGTTGTCGTTGTTGGGCAGTCAGGTTCCGAGAATTCAGATTCATCGCCAACAACTGGTCCGCAATAGATTGAGACGGTCGACCGATGGCTCCACGAGCGGAAGAACTCCTCGGATCGTCCTCGGGTTCACCACCCAAGGCCAGGCTGCCTGCATTCATGCTGTCCTCGTCGAGCGTCTCTTCGGCCGCAGAGGTTGCTTGTGCTTCGAGTTTGGCTTTCGTCTCGGCCTCTAACTGGGCACGTCGTTTCTCTTCTCTCTCACGCATTGCCAGGCGTTTCAAGCCGCCATACGGGTCGATAAAAGATGGCATGGACCTGACCAACTCACGAAATTCGGGTGGCTGGAACGAATCATCGTAGACAAACCCGGCATTAGGCAATATTCTGGCCACGACCGCATCAAACTGCTGTTGCGCATAGTCAGCCGGTGTGGAAGGGAGCTTAGAGGACGATGACTGGGCGGGTTCGGAGGTGGTCTTCTTGGGTGCCGTCGAAGCCGCGGCAGAAGAAGAAGCTGTCGCGGATGCAGATGATGGTTGAGATGCCGGCTCTTTTCCCTTCGGCTCAGAAGTTTTGCTCGTGACCAACGATGCTTGTGCCATTTGGGGACTGGGAGTTGCCCGACTGTTAGCTTGACTAGCACGTCTGGTTCGTGCAACACTGGCATTCGCGGTTGCCCAGTGTGCGGTTGAAGGCAACGCAGACCCATCGTGACTGTTCTTCCTGCTGCCATGTTCTTCTTTACTGCCTTGCCGAGCCATTGGATTAGTAGTCGCATGGTTCTGTGCTGCAGATAAGGGCCGTGCAGGCGCCGAGGTCTGCGATGATTGCGAAGCAGCCGTTGGCTTGTTTGAGAGCCTTGCACCATGAGGTTCGTTCTGGAGAGAGCTATGTTGTCCGTCTTCACCAGTCTCATGCAGGAAACTGCAGTTCTTGTTGGTGCAAGTCTCACCCCGAAGGAAGGCTGAGCAGTACTTGGTGGTGCCGTACTGGGCCCGCAAGACACGGTCGCCATTCAACGAGCCATCGACAGTATTGATGCACAGCGCAGCATCTTCTTTGCGTGCATATGTAACATAGACGCCGATTCCTTGGTTCGCCGCTCCCGGTTTGGCCTTACTGACGACGATCTTCTCGATTTCGCCATATTGACCAAAGTACTCTGGACCACGAAGTGTTTGGAGTAATGCCTGTTCATCCTTGATCTGAGGTATTAGACCGATGACATAGACGAGGTTCTGCTGTTTGACGCGGACGCCAGCTAGATTTCGGCGGGAAGAATTCTCGACCTCGCGCTTTTCTGTCTCCTTTCGTTTCGCGGCAGCCTTCTTGTTCTTGTTCATCTGGTCGAGCTTGAACTCTTCCGCAGTCGGGATCTTGTATTGAATGGTCTTTTCATCGTATGGTCTTCGACAGTTGGGGCAGGTACTCTTCTCGTAGGTGTTCTTGAGACTGTTGAAACAAAACTGGCAGATCTGATTGTTTGTTAGTACCAACACGCGAAGGTTGTCTGAGGACGGTAGAGGAAGAGGGGTCGGGCATGGCTTAACGAGAACAGGGGCGCAACCGTACCTGGTAGCCACAAGGGCAAGGTCTGAAGTTCTTGTCCGAAAGATCGAACTCTTCGATACATAATGGGCTACGGACAGAGTCAGTACATCGGCCATCGAAGGCTGGACACGGGGATGGGGCAGAAGAAGTGGACGTACCAGGTCTCCTCATCCTCATCGATGACGGTATCCTGCGATCTATTCATCTCTGCGGATATGACAGATTCACTGTGTGTAGAACCACCACTTTCGACTCCTTCACCTCTCGTTGCAGGTTGGAAAAGTCCTCCATGCACTGGTTTGTAGCTGGGTTGGGTATCGAGACTGAGCGCAGGGGAGGAGATGTGGTATACGCAGCAAATGTGTACTCGCTGGACGATGAGCAAATGATGGGTGCGCGGTATAAATGGCGGCGAGGCGTTGAAGTGAGGCAAAAAAGGTTGCTCGAGTGGCAGTGGCAGAGATGCGATGCAGGTGTCAAATCGAAAGCGCCAGATGCTCGCGAGACAAACTGCAACGGCGCAGTTGCTGCCTCATCGCCCGATTGGGTTTAGTGCCGGCGGACGGGTCTTGGCGTCTTTGAAGCTCCGGATCTCGAAGTTCACGTCGACTTCAGCGCAGCCAGTAGTAGGACGGACAATTGGAGTTACTACTACGACCTCTATACACCTCAGCCTGCACCTCACGCCCGCGGCTCTACGTGAGGTTTACCGGATGCGAGCGTCCCGAGAGAGTCAGGTGTAGCTCTCACTCCCTCTGCAATGTCGTCGACAAAGTCCCTGCTCCGTTTGGCGAGCAAAAGGCCGCTCAATGTAGCCTCTCAACCAGCAAGATGCGCACAGCGCGCCGCTCTCTCGCAGTCTGCGAGACGGGCTGCCGAAAAGGACAATCTTCAAGACTTGAGAAAACCAGGCTCTGACATGCTGGAAGAACTGCGAAAGGCGCCTCGTCCACGTGAGTGATATAACCGCACGAAAGACAGGATCATGACGCTCGAGTTGAGATATTGACCATCGTGATGCAGCAACGGGCAAGCTCTCAGCTCCCATTGTAAACGACGCCGACAAATACGCCGACAAGGCCCTTCCTCTCCATCAGTATGGACAGTATCTCATGTCCTGCCTTCCGAAATACATCCAGCAATTCTCGGTCTGGAAAGACGAACTATGCATTTACATCACGCCCAGCGGTGTCATCCCCGTCTTCACCTTCCTGAAGTACCACACCGCGGCCGAATATACCATGGTTGCGGACATCACGGCGGTGGACTTCCCCACAAAAAACTACCGATTTGAGGTTGTCTACAATCTACTCAGTGTGCGCCATAACTCGAGGATAAGGGTCAAGACCTACGCTGACGAGGCCACACCCGTGCCGTCAATTACTTCGCTCTACGACGGGGCCAACTGGTATGAGCGAGAGGTCTATGATCTTTTTGGGGTCTTCTTCACCGGCCACCCGGACCTGCGTCGCATTATGACGGATTATGGATTTGACGGACACCCGCTGCGGAAGGATTTCCCCTTGACCGGCTACACGGAGATCCGGTATGACGAAGAGAAGAAGCGCATTGTTGTGGAGCCTTTGGAGATGACGCAGGCTTTCCGGAACTTTGAGGGCGGTACCAGTGCTTGGGAGCAGGTGGGTACTGGTGTAGACAGGAAGCCGGCCGAGTTCAAGTTGCCCACCCCGAAACCAGAGGAGAAGAAGGAAGAGAAGAAGTGAGCTGAGAAGAGCGTTGATTTGTCGCTGCAGTATAAGAAGCCCATTCAAAACCTTCAATAAATGTTTCAAAAGATCATTAGTCGATGCACACTGCCTGCTGCATTGTACATCCAGATGAAGAGACCAATTGGCTGCTTGAGTCTCCCTGATCTACCACCGATGTCCGCAGCCCCAAGCAGGCGCTAATCAGGCAGTTAGTATTGTACAAGTCGACGAGAAAGGTCTGTTTCTCTCCGGTTCTAAAAGTAGTCCACTTTAGACTGCATCTGACTACATTCTGTTCTGCCCACGTTTCTCACATGAAGCGTCCAACATGACCACATCGCTTGGTCACCTGCTAAAAGTCGGCCATCGATGCTTGCATATTCGTCCAAGGTCACCTCGAGCGGCTTGCGTGCCGGCACTGACTATGGGCTTTCTCCTTTCATAGGGCTTCCGAGGCCGCAGGAAGCGTCGGGCCGATATGTCATAAGATCAAAGCGCCTGCATAGGTACACTTGACACTTCCGCCCTGGCTGAAACTAACCCTTGCCGGCATATATGGTAGTGGTTAAAAGGCCTGTCCAAGCCCTTCACTTTGAAAAATAACAGACACTCCACCGACCGCTAGGGTGTGTAGAGTAAACATTCGAAGAGATACGAGTTTCATCCTGTCGAACTGGCTGACCTTTTCCATATCACCACCGCAGCGGCAGCAGCACACACTACGGCGCCTAAAACCAGCCCATACCTCATCAATTGACCGTTAGCATCATCTTCAAGTGGTCGAGGATAGGCGGTGACTGGTTCAAGCCCAGCCTCGGAAATGGCCACGAAGAGCTCTTGTATCGAGGGCCAGGTGACGCTTGTCGAAATCGGTGGCCCTTGAGGCATGCGTTGAATGTGAGCAACATATTCGTCCGGCTGGTACTCGGCTCTTTGGGTTGTTCGGTCGAGATCAGCCTTCAATCCGACATAGAGCGCCGGAAGGTCTTCGAGATGTGGATAGGTTTTGCGGATGTTTGGTATGTAGGCGAATGAGTCGGGGTCGGATGAATCGTATGTATAGATGATTACGTCGCATTGATCGAGCAATTTGCTCTTATTCTCCAGAACGGCAGCTTCAGATTCTCCCAATTCTTTCAGGATCAGATAGCACTGTCTGCCCCCAGGAAGTTCCACGGTGTTGACTGCCACTCGTGGCTGGATGGTCGGCAGATACAGATTGTTGAATGGACGGGCGAGAAATGCATCAAGCAAAGCAGACTTTCCGGAATGTGGAGCACCGAGCACAAGTGCGAGGATCACGTTCCTACCCACTCGTCCTGGACGTCTTCGACGTTTGCGTGGCTTCGTCAGCTTCAGTGCAGCCGTGGTGCTGGGATTCGACCGATCGGTAGACTCGAAGCCCAGATAGGCCAAATACTCCAAAGTAGTCTTGGGCGATGTGAAAGTGGTCATGGACCATTGAGCTAGCCATCCTTGCAGTGTGACATGCCCGGCGTCGTTGCGCACCGTACAAGATGGGAAGTTATTGTCTATCCATAGCTGCGGAATCCCTGGCGTCGGAGCAAACAGAGAAGCTAGTTCCTCGTCCTTCAGACCACCGTCGTTGTCGCGATCCGAGGTCAGAAAGAGATCAACCAGAAACCGATAGCCGGCTGGCGACAGTTCGGCTGACGCATATTCAGGGACTTCGAACCTTGGGTGCAAGAAAGATTCTTGCAGGGACAAACTATCGGTGTACTGGAAGGTTCGGAGGATGACCCAAATTGTCTCGTGGCGGCCTTTCTCGGCGTATAACTTGTTGAGGAGAAGGAATCCTTGGGACGTGATCCCCCGGCTGGATGCTGCTTCCGGATTGTGGTTTCGAATGATCTCTTTGATATGCTGCAAGTCTTCGGGGCTCAATCCCTTGTCGAAGCATTTGATTTGGAAGTCCTCCATCTCTTTGTCGCTCAACAGGCCATCTTTGTCTTTGTCGCTAAGATAGAAAATACGCAGCAGGGCAGCCACAGCAGCTGGTTTTAGCACCGATTCTTTGGCATCGAACAAAGGGGCGATCGGATGGGTGACGGCCTTCTGGCAGAGGAAAAAGGCCTCGTTGACATTGTAGTGGTTGCGGGCACTTGTTCGGATACAAGAGTCGATTTCCTTGAACTCCGACATGACCGGTAGCATCTCTTCTTCCATGATCTGGGCCGGCGTACTGCTCGTGACCAGGTCGGATTTATTGGCACATAATATGACTGGGAGATTAACTCCCAAGGACCGAAAGTATGGCAACCAGAACAACGCAACTCTTTCATAGCTGTAGTGGTCCGAATAGACCAACAGGATCACATTGGACTTTCTCAGCTCTCGTGCTAGATTCGCGCGGTCTTGCGGGAGGGCTGAGGTATCGACGATAGTCGTGGTAACATTTTCAGGGGTCCCCAGCGAAGGAGGGATCGTGATCTGAGGAAGAACCGCTTGGATTCTGCTGCTGACGAAGGTATCTTTCACCAGCGACGTGATCAGACTGGACTTACCACAACCCTCGTCACCGCAGACGCATATTCTGACGGTGGCCATTGGAAGACAGGCCTGGCACAGCACACGAGCTGAAAAGCGGTAGCGATCAGTTCAACTACCGAGCCAGTGGTAGTGGTTAGCAGCGGCCTTTAAGTTGTATCATGGTCACCTCGCGGAGTGTCGACGGCTCCTGGCTTGGGCTTCACGACCATGGGAGGTAGCACAGCAGCGACTGATGTGACACACCGCAATTTCGAAGTAACCTTGAACAATTGCGATAGTGAAGAGGCCTACGAACACCTGATGGGATAACTTACAGGATACAGTCAAAGAAATGCCTGCGTTGTAGGGGAAGTCGACACGGCCCACCGCAACTACTCCGGTCAGGCTCCATCTGTCTCAGCTTCGGATGATGTCGATGGGGAACAAATCACTCGACCATACTTTCTGCTGATTGATTCTATTACTACTATACCTCTCGCCGTACTGCTGCCTGGACCATAACCTCATTCTACCGTCCTTCGCGTTACTCTCCTATCTGGCCTTTGTGCTTCATCTTCGCCTACCGAAACCCAACCCGCATTTCCCCAGCTTAAAGCTGTCGTGCCCGTGATTCCTCCAATTCCCCCACCAGGCTTGTCGTCAGGCCGCCTGCTTCCGATTGCGCCCTAGGGTCAGCACCAACACAACTACGACGCATATCGCTTGTTGAGCGCAAACGAGTCTAGGCATTAGGCAAGAGCTTGACACACGAACCTGAGGTGGAACAGCGCAGCAGGCGTACAGAGACAACATGCCGTTCGGCATCAACAATCCGCTGCCCTCGTCCATGAGGAGTGAGTCGCACCCCGATCAATGCCCCCGTGCGCCTTGACTGACTCACCACGTTCTGTCCAGGCGAGTGCAAGAAAGCTGGCAAAATCCTAGCATCATTCGTGGATCCGAGACAAAGCTTTGGCCCCGACAAAGTGATACCGCCTCAAATACTTGCCAATGCCAAGGTCAGTCAGCCAATACCCCAAGACAGGATCCTGCGCACGCAAGACCGCTCCGTCGGGACCAACATGCTAACACTCACCATAGGGTCTGGCAGTTCTCACCGTGCTCAAAGCAGGCTTTCTGGGCTCCGGCCGCTTCGGCTCCGGCATCGTGGTGGCACGATTAGCAGACGGCAGCTGGTCCGCACCGTCGGCGATTGCAACTGCAGGGGGAGGATTCGGCGGCCAGATTGGGTTCGAGCTGACGGATTTCGTCTTCATCCTCAATGACTACAATGCAGTACGCACATTCGCACAAGCGGCCTCCGTCACACTCGGCGGCAATGTCAGTATCGCCGCTGGACCTGTGGGACGCAACGCCGAAGCTGCAGGGGCCGCGAGCATGAAAGGTGTGGCCGGCATCTTCGCATACAGCAAAACCAAAGGACTGTTCGCCGGTGTCAGTTTGGAAGGGAGTGTCTTGATTGAGAGAAGAGATGCCAATGAAAAAATGTACAACGGCCGAGTCACGGCCCGACAGCTCCTGGAAGGCGCTATCAGACCCCCTCCAGCTGCGGATCCATTGATGAGAGTACTGAATACACGGGTGTTTTCGGGCGCCGCATTCAATGAAAACATGTACAACGACGTGCCAATCTACGACGACCAGCACGACGACGTGGTATGGGAGGGCCGCACCGGCGAGGCCTACGGGGCGAACGTGCGGAACAACCGCTCTTCCACATTTGGCTCGAACCGCGACGACAACTACGAATATCGTGACAACCCGCGCCGCGCCAACACATGGCAGGACGACATCTACGACCGTGGGCCGCCGGGACGACACAACAACGACAACACCTTCGACAGCTACACGAGTCCCAACGCTAGAAGCCGGTCAAGTACCTTGCAGAACGACTATACTTATTCCGACAGCAAACCGACGCGGCCGACGGCGCCAAAACCAATATTCAAGCAGCGGACAGGAGCATTGCGACCGGACCAGGCCGTGGCGTTATATACCTTCGACCCGGACCAAGAAGGGGATCTTGGGTTCAAGAAGGGCGACGTCATCACCATCCTCAAACGTACTGAAAACAAGGAAGATTGGTGGACTGGACGGACTGAGGATGGCCGAATTGGTATATTCCCATCCAACTATGTCGAAACAGCGTCGTGAAGAAGAAGAAGGAAGAAAAGAAGAACCATGCAATGGGTTTGCTTTTGTTTTTTCAATGCAGGCAAAGAGGATCTGATTCCATGCAGTGACAGCCATGGCATGGCGTTTATATACCCTCTCCTTGATTTTCATTTGTCTCCTTTGCCTGCCCATCTAGCGCTCGGAGTCTTTGTCCTGCTAAGCTTCAGCTTCGGCATTTGCTTCGCACGGGGACCAAGTTGTCTCAGGTAGATAAGGTGGGACCGATCGCTGTCAGTCAGCTTCCGGCGTTGCGAGACCCAAAATGCCAAAAATTTCAATGTTCATTTGTTTAGACAGTGTCTTGTCTTGCATCCTTCCTAACTCGATCCGCTCAAAGATGTGGGCTAGAGAAGAGGTAATCTTGTATTGATTCGAGTCACTTACCCGGAAATTCTCTCCCTGATAAAGGTAAGATATAGTCCATGCAGTTCCCCAACGCCGGTTCAGAACCAGAACAGAATCCTTATGGCAAAAACGGTATGGCTAGAGTTCTAGTGTCCAGTCTGGTAGTCAAATACCTTCAGCAGCAGGCGATCCATCTTTTTGGTCTCTAGCTAACTAGAACGAAATTGGGTATAAGACCCGCCACCAAAATATCAAATGTCGCCAGGATTCTTCCTGAAAATAGGCATATCCCGAATACGCAGATGTATGGAGGGACAAGCAGTAGAATTGAAGTACATGACGATTCAGAAGAAGGAAATAGTACAAACAACAGATACATATACATCTTATAGATACATAAATATGTTCAGGACCAAGGGCGTTTGAGGGACAATGTACAGAAGCAAAGCACAGGCGGCGCTCGATAGGGGTCTTTCACCGAATTAAAAAAAAGATTGTGGGTAAACCCATTGCAGCATCAAACAGCGATGGGCGTATCCTGTTTCAGTTGTTGCGGAAAGACTCCAGCGCGTTATATTTGTTCTTCAACTTTTTACACACCATTTTACGGTTGTCGCACAGATCCTCGGCAGATGGGAGCTTGCCCTTCTTGGGTCCCACGCTATTGTGGCTGCCGTACCAGTTTGCTGGTCCAGCAGCGTTGCGACGACCGACTTTCACTTTTGGCCGAGGGTTCGGGTTCACGACGGGACCGTGTCCGAAGCCGTACCCGTGGGCGAACTTGGACATCAAATCGCCGTGAGGTGGTTTACCGGCGGATGGGGCGCCAGGCTTCAGAGGATAGAAGGGGTCTGCCTCTGCCTCTGCTTCAGCCAAAGGGTCTCGCTTCATGGCTTTGGCATGCCCGTGGAATCGGGCTTGGGGGACGTCATGGCCTGCTGGAATCTCTGCGCCAACACGCTGCAGGGGTCTGTTGCGAGGGTTAATGATGCCATTGAATGGGGCGCCGTCATCGGCTCCTGAGTGGCCAGGGTTGAATGGCGCGGCGGAGGTCAGGGTAAGCACCGACACGAGGATGCCTGCGGAAATCTTCATGTTGACAGAAGTGAATATGTTTGGCTGTTGTTGTTGCTTCTGAAGTTGTGAGTTATTATTAGGATGAATTGAAGGTGGTGGTATGCGATCAATGTCAGGTATGGATATATTCCCGTTCCGGGAGGGATGATTTCGGTATGGCCTATAGTCAGTTCAATTCTGAGCTGGAACATTTGTATAAATGAACCAATCACCTATTCAAACCCATTTTCGGGCGAGGCTTTGTTCGAAAAGACCCGCTATAACGTGAATAAGGTGCGGTCTTTGCACTTCTGCTTTGTTGGGCGTTTGTTCAGTCAGTACGAGATTTCTTTGTGTGGACGAACAAAGAAGGTAGATTTGGCCTATGATGTCCAACTTGGCGGCAAAGCGTCCTTGGACCGTTGGAGGCTTCCTTTGAAACCAGAGGGAAAAATGGCGCGTGATATAGCTAGGGGAAAAAGGACAAGGCGGCAATGGCATGGAATGTTTCGATTTCCCCACAAGATGGAAATTGGTTCCCAGCAGGGGAGAGTCGCAGATGATAATCGAAAACAAGTGGGTAGAGGAGGTTAGACTTTCATGACGTAGCTGCTCGTCCAGCGTGTTCTTTCGCTCCCTAATGTACGGATAGGGAGGGGATGATACTCGCTTTGCGCGAGGAATGCAGCCGGCCCCTGCGCGGGAAAAGGTGGGATTCGTGGGGATGGTATGTGAGCCCCCGCCTTCTGAGATCCGAGTGCCATACAAGCCTCGTCTGCAAAGATGGTTTAAAGCCTTTCATGAGCCGTGGATTGTTCCAAATCAAGGTTGTGAGCTGCACCTCGGTGCTCGAGATATGCACCATAGTTGTTACCAAGCCTGGACCATCGCCGCGTTCTTACCTGAGCTGGAGACGGGGTATGCATATGAGTATTCCAGGGCTTCCGGCTACAGGCTTTGACGTCTTCTGCGCGAATGGCAGATGATACGTTACCGGAAGCTCTCGCACAATCACGCTTCCAGACATTTCTGACTGCGACATGTCATCTTTCTGTAGGACCGGCTTATGCCTCCAACGTGAGGACTGAAAAAATGGGGGCCGTAGAAGATGTTTCCAAGTCAACTGGAACAATATCGGGCATGGAGCTTTGCCGATTATGCTGATGTGAGATGTTGCCACAAGGACCAAAGAAGCTTCAAGCATCAAGGGTCTCAGTAGACTGCCTCCGAAGCACTCATTGAGACATCGCATCATCGACACTAGACCAACTTAGTAGCATGCAGTCGTTGCAACACGGACGTTGGATAAAACCAGGTAGACCTCGGATCTGTGGCCTCAGGATTTCAAGGAGCCCGGCCCACCTGATGTGACGAGCAGCTCGTTTGGAGCATATAGTTCATCGGATACTAAGCAGGAAGGCAATGCCCACCAACTGTCCAACAAAGCGATCGCCATAGCAGGTTGGAAGGTCTGACGCTCTGTACCTTGCGAAATCCCTGAAAAAGTGTTCAACGAGATGGACGCATTTGCATCAGTACGTCAAGATCTCGCCCAAGCTCAAGAGGTGATGGCGCGATGAGCATCCCGAGGAAGACTCTCGGCCAGGGAGCTCTTGCTGGCCCTCATGTAGAAGACCCTGGGTCGAGCCGGAACGATGTCGGTAGAACTTTTGATTCCTAACGAATTTTCCTCTGCCGAGCCCCAGCGGCAGTGTAGAGCTCAGCAAAGACCATCGTTCATACCGCCTTCTTCGAATGTGCCGACTATTGCCAAACAGCTCCAGTAAGTCGGAGAAAGCAATCACGGTACGGAGTTGCAGGATTTAGAGGGCATGAGGCCATCTGAGATGGAGATATCACGCTGCTGAAATGGAACGAGCTGACAGCTCTCGCCGACCAAGAGACCTTACAAGAGCTAGGGTCCAGTGCCGCCAATCTCACGCGGACGCACAGGGAGCCTGCAAATCATCAAGACGTCGGTACAGTAGGTTGCATCCGCTGAGACATGAAAGTGACTCGGAGCGTACAACAGCGGGTACAGAGTGGCCATCAGGACCGTTTCCGTATCGGCCATCGCCCGCTTTCAGTGCTTCGGGCATCATGGTGTTGTGCTGACCACCAGGGGGCTACACCCGTAGGAAATATCGAAAAGGGCATCGAAGAATTGAAGGCCGTCCTCGCTACTACTAACTGGAAAGAGGTGTCACCGTCGAGGACAACTTGAAGGGGCGGTGCGGAAGCGAGGGCTAAAAATACCCGGTAGGCTGATGTCCAAGCTGAACGAGCGTGGAATTGGCCCGTCGGGATATTTTGGGCGCAGGGTCGAAGTAAGCTTTGCATGGCGGCACCTTGTATTGGACAAGCCTTGTTAGCGTGGTCACGAGACTGCGCTACTCCGTTTCCGGGTATCAGGCGTCCGCCCCGGCATCTCACTTCGTCCTGCATCTGCCGACGGGGGCTGCGCACGGGATGTAGCCATTGGGTCAAGCGCAGCCAAAACCTTCCGCAGAAAACCGAAAGAGACCTCAACCCTCTGCGGCGCTGGTATGATCGCGTACTACAATCTACCATTGAGCTGATGCCATAACTGGGTATATTGCTTACGGTTAATCGTCATCTGGACTTAGTCAATTCTTGTCACCACTTAGTGGGTTGTGTCCACTGTCCAGCACAAATGGCGCCATTTGGAAATGCCTGTCACTCCTGGCAAATCCTTCATGCAGGTAGGCAGTACACGGTTATTTGTGGACGCCGCTGCGGTCACATCCACAGCCATCGGACAGACAGCGGTTGGCTCTACTGACCACGACACCTAATCCGTGCCACAATGCAGTTATTCCCCCACAGCCCGAGCATTTCCCAATCTTAGCTCAGAAGCGAGGCCTCACGAGCTGGCCTCTTGACCCTCACGAGACAGCACTAAGTATATAAGAATGATCATCTATCTCTTCACTCCAGGACCCCAACATATTAACGACAATCCCAAGACTTACATCGTTTTCTTCCGGCTTGATTTACAGTTACGCCTCTCTTTCTCATATAATATCGAATTTCCTTTCTAGTTGAAGTCACATTCTTTAAAGCATTGAAGACATCATTTCAACATGCATTTCCACAAGGCAACATCTGTTGTGGGGTACCTGACTCTTGCCTCACTCGTTTCTGCTGTTCCGTTGGAGAAGAAATCCTATCAAGGGTCACAATCTTCTTCGATCACAAGCTCAAGCCCCCAGGGTACAGCTTCAGCTAGTCCTAGCGGCTTGCATTCTTCCGCCAGTGGTGCTCCACCATCAACAGGGAGCTCGGCACCCCCAACACCAAGCCCTGGCGACAATCCATTCAAGTTCCCTCTGCCCAATGGCTTCCCCAACATTTCAGCTGGTTCTGCAGAGCTCAACGCCATTGAAGATCAAGCCCACGGCCTTCTCCCTAACGGACCGCCACCGCCAGCCCCCCCCCGCGGCTGACGACCTTACTTCTCTCCGTCTCATTGCCTTCAACGAGCTATTTGAGGTAGCATTCTTCACCGAGCTGTTGGCCAACATCACCAACAACGTTCCGGGCTACGAAGTCCAGGACCCGTCTCAAAAACAAGCCTTGATCAATGAGATTACGGCCGTTGTAGCCCAGGAGGAACTCCACGAACTCAATGCCAACAACGCCCTTGCCAAGTTCAACGCCGGCCCCATCCAGCCATGCGAATACATCGCAGGCGTGAGCACGTTGCCGGACGCCATCAAGCTGGCCGCGACTTTCACAGACGTTGTTCTCGGCACGCTGGGCGATGTGCAGACCCACTTTGGACAGAACGGCGACGCAGGTCTGATCCGTGGCGTTGCTGCCGTCATTGGCCAAGAAGGCGAGCAGGATGGATTCCACCGCAACTATCTCGGCGAGCTCCCCAGCCAAGCACCATTCCTGACCGCGTCCACTCGGGAATTCGCCTTCTCGGCTCTGAACCAGATGTTCATTGTTCCAGGTTCCTGCCCCAATCTCAACACTATTGACCTGCCCATCTTTGGCGCCTTGAACCTGTTGAGCAAAGACGTCATGCCCCAAGACCAAACTCTGAAGTTCTCTTTTTCTACTTCCGGCAAATACAGCAAATACAGCTCGACCGATGGTCTTAGCCTGGTCTTGATCAATCAGCAGAATGTGCCGGTCGTTGAACCCCTCGGCCAACCCCATGTTGGCCACGACGGCACCGTCACTTTCTCGGCCAATTTCCCATTCAGCCAGTTCAAGATGCACGGCTTGACCATTGCCGTTGTCGCTGAAGGCTCGTCGTTTGCGACCGTGGCGGATGTTGCCAAAGCCACCGTATTCGGGCCTGCCTTGATCGAGGTGGACTAAACATAATAGAGACTCGGAGCAGGTTGACGGCACACAGGTATGGCTGTTACCAAGAGGAGCTAGGACATTAAAGAGACGGAAAGACAATGTCTATGCTAATGACATTGCTAATAAACGGAATCTTTTCTGCTTTTGGACATTGGGCGGACCTGGGACAAGCAGTCCTTCGTGGGTTCGGTGAAAGACTGGCGTCTCGGAGGCATTTTCTTGCCGTTACTCTCCTTAGATGATCATTCTTGAACAGCATTATTATATCACGAGGTGCATTAACCTACCTCCCATCTACATGGCATTTGAGCCCGGTCAATATAACAATGTCTTTGTCTTTTGGATTACTGTCACTGGTCAACCTATGCTGTTACCTCGGAACATGGACATATCCAGCCTCATCAGCCCGAGGTGCCCCAAGGATATCTTACACTTTCAAGTTGAGCATTGAGCGCCCCAGGAACCCACACGAGGCTGAGACGGGTGGGGTTGCCACATCGGATACCCGACGGGTTGGAGCGCCCCAGCTTCCCAACACGCTACCCCGCATACATTGAAATACCGGAGAGAGATGGTGATATCTACAGAAACTACTGAATCAAGGCAGTTCGCTTATTTGAAAGTCCAGTTCTTCTTACTATACTACCAAGCACTGCAGCTAGCAATTCAACTCAGGTCTGTGACAGAGATATCTCCTCAGCACAACAGTGTTTCTCTCACTATTTTGCAATGTCCGAACAAAGTATACCATCGACAATGAAGGCATGGGTTCTCACCAAGTTCAACACTCCATACGAACTACAGGAGATCCCAGTTCCTGCAATCCAAGATCCGCACGACATACTCGTCCGAGTCGATGCAGCATCCTACTGCCACACCGACGCCGTGCTGGCCGCGGGCTCGATGCATCCACCATCTCTTCCACACATAGGATGCCACGAGTTCACGGGGACGGTTGTCGCTGCACATTCACCTGACAAAGAGTCAATCCATAACATCCACATCGGCGACCGTGTCGCAGTGCCCGGCCGAGGCTACCATGTATGCGGCAAGTGCATGGAATGTCTTAACCCGTCAGGCCCGGATCCAGACGAACCAGGTTTCTCAGTCTACTGTCCCTATACCGGTGGTGGTCTTGGAGTCGGCAAACCAGGAGGGTTCCAGGAATATGCATTGGTCGATGCGAGACAAGTGGCGCTGATTCCTGATACCATGACGGCCGTCGAGGCGGCTCCGCTGATGTGTGCGGGCCTTACTATCTACGCGGCACTCAGAAAGTGTAAACTTCACCCGGGGGAGAGGGTGGGTATTATTGGATGCGGGGGCGGGCTGGGACATTTGGGATTGCAGTTTGCGACTAAGATGGGGTTGAAGACCACGGGGGTGGATGTGAGTCCACGGGCGCTGAAGCTGGTTAGAGAATTGAATACTGGCGCGGCGATTGTGGATGCTTCTTCACAAAAAGCGGAAGATGTAAGACGTAATATGGGAGAGGAAGACGGAAGACAACATATTGCTGAGATGGGTCTTGATGCCGTTTTGATTCTGCCGGAGAGTCAGAAGTCGTTTGATTATGGGATGGAGCTGGTCAGGAACGGCGGTCTGGTGCAGGTCATTTCGTTCCCGCCGGAGGGGTTCCATGTCTCGGCTAATGATTTGGTTTTCGTCGCGTGAGAGTCGAGGGGAGTCTCATTGGGTCGAATCGTGCAATGATGGATATGTTTGACTTTTGCGTCAAACATGGCGTCAGGGCAAAGATCAGGACGTATCCGTTTGGGAAGCTGAATGAGCTGGTTGAGGATTATCATTCTGGAGTGGGCGGGAAGCTGGTGCTCGATATGTCGAGGAAGGATTGATTCCCATTGCTCCTTAAGTAGTATAGTGTTAGTGGCCTCGAGTGGACAGACTCTGGTGGCAGCTCGGAGGACTGATGGCAGGCTTTGGCGCAAACGTGAAACCATTCTCTGCCGACCACACCTTCTGTAATCAGTCTCGTTGTGCATGACTGGCGCATATAAATATTCTTCCCATGTTCCAGTGAAGAGACATTGGTCTGTAGATACCAAGGGACTTTTGGAACATGGCTGCGAGGTTCGCAGAAACTTGAATGGATATTCCGTTTAGGCCAGTACAGAGGTTGAGGACTGGGACCTACCATGCCAGTGGTCGAATCAAGCCACTGCAGTGCCAGCAAGTCATGTAGTCGGCAGACAGGACCAGCGACCATCCTAACTGCTTATCGTAGTATGAAACCCTACCAGGCAGTCGCAGGCCTTGCGATGCACTGCGCATGGGTACTGGGTAGGTAGTGATGTTCTGGAACAGGTTCAAGGTTACAAACAAGCATCGGCAGAAAACGCTTATCAGAACGCTTATCTCGAGTCCCTCGGTCGAAAGTTGAGTCTAAACTGCATAAGCATTAGCCATGTGCTTAGTCCTTCCTTAACCCGCTTAGACTGGACCCGTGGCGGGGCGATCAAAGGCTCGACGCTGGCAGATTCAAAGATACGGGACCTCGGGATACCACGTCGATGTGGCGCCCACTTTGCTTTTAATTCTTCTTGCTTCCCCCACAGCACACGACACCTCTAGAGTTGTAAACTTTGCCTCTTTTCTCATACCATAGTCCGCCTCATCTCTCAGATGTGCGTGGCAGAGACCCTCGCATCGCCTCCCGATTGACATACGTCCTGTGTTGTTCTTGCGCAGGACATCTAACAGAAAAATATCTCCACCCACGACATGAATTCACACGACTCCGAAAAAGCCGACGGCGGGCTCCGAAGCTCAGATACACACCCAGATCTCGAATATGCCAAAACCAAAAGCTCCCTCGCGGACGTGAGGGTCGATGACGACGAGGGTGCCTCATCGCCAACAACGGAGTTTTACAACAACACACCAGTACACCAGGACAATGGAGTCCTCTCGAAACTGCGACGGCTGGAAGCGCGCATGGACGCAAAACTGGGCATTGAATCCGAGGCGATCTCCCGCAAACGACCTGAAGATAAACGGCCGGTGCGGTGGCACGAAGAACTGACGATGGCACTGCTGTGGGCCTCCGGGACAATGAATACAAGTTGTTTTGCAACCGGTTTCCTCGGCTGGGAGTTCGGACTTAGCCTCAAGCAGTCTATCCTGATCACCATCTTCGCATCACTCCTGGGGGGCGCCGTGACCGGTTACTGCGCGACGTTTGGGGCGGCGACGGGATTACGGCAGATTTCGGTGTCCCGGTTCAGTTTTGGCTGGTGGCCCAATAAGATCATAGCGGCGTTGAACGCAGTGCAGCAGATCGGCTGGGCGGCCGTGTCATGTATAACAGGCGGACTAGCGTTGACCGCGGTGGCCGACGGCCATGTATCGCTTGTCGTTGGGATTGTCATCATTGCCGTGGTGGCACTGTGCATCAGCTTCGTTGGACTCAATGCGATTTTGGTGTATGAGCGCTACGCGTGGCTGATTTATTTTGTTATTTTCATGATCATATTCGGCGAGACGGGCAAATATGCCGATAACACCACGGGCGCCTCGGTGAAGGGCGCCACATTGTCCGGCACGGTATTGTCGCTTTTGGCGATTGTGTACGCCAGTTCGGCATCCTGGTGCACCATGGCATCAGACTACTATGTTCACTATCCGGCGACGGTGTCGCGGGTCAAAGTGTTCCTCATGACGACTGTGGGCATTGCGATTCCAACGAGTATCGGCATGATCGCGGGTTGTGTGGTTGCCAGTGCACTTAACAATCGTCCGGACTGGAATCACGCTTACACCGATGAGGGGCTGGGGTTTTTGATTCAAGACATGTTGCATCCGCGCGGGTTTGCGAAGGTGCTGTTGACCTTGTTGGTGCTCAGTGGTATTAACACGAACATCATCAGCATTTACTCTGCTGCCATCTCGTGCCAGCAGTTCAGTCGTCCTTTCGCCCGCATCCCTCGCTTCATCTGGACGTTTCTGTGCTTCGCTGCCATTCTGGGTTTGGCTGTGGGTGGTCGCGAGAAACTCAACACTTATCTGTCCAACTTTTTGTCGCTGTTGGGGTACTGGTGTTCATCGTACTTTGTCATTTTGTTGACTGAGCATGTTGTCTTCCGGCGCGGCGACTTTGCGAATTATGATCTGGAGGGTTGGAATGATCCTGCTCGTCTGCCGTTGGGTTTGGGCGCCCTGTTTGCCTTTGGCCTTGGTGTCGTCGCCTGGTGCATGGGCATGGTCGAGACTTGGTATGTCGGTCCGTTGGGGAAGTTAATTGGCGATTCTGGTGGCGATGTGGCCAATGAGTTTGCTCTTGTTGTTACTGCGGTTAGTTATTACCCTGCTCGGTACTTGGAGTTGAAGATTTTTGGGAGATGATGCGATTTCACTGAAGACGGCGTTCAATATATACGAACATATTTTACGGCGGGATTGAATCCAGTACATTGAAGGCACCTATTTGTTTACACCCTCGAATAACATGAGATTTTTTGTGACCGTTTTAGGCACTTGCGACGTTCTCTGGCGCAATATGACACAATGCCACCATTGCGGCGGGCCATCGATGTGCATACTGCACAGGAGAGTCTTCAATCTGCTTCATGCCTCATTGTGTTGACCTGGCCTAAGCGAGCCACGGGTTGCTTGGACGAACTGACCACAGGCTTCAATGATCCATACGTATACACACACCGGCATTCCACTTCATCAGGCGGCTAAAAACCCCAATCCCATTGCTGCCGGACCTTGAGGTTATACTACATCAATAGACCCATGTTCTAGGCTCTCCTCTTGCATCGCGGGCTCCCACCCTATTCATCCTACCATACCACAATCTCAAGCTGGCAGCCACGGCGGCGACAAAAAAGCTGCAAGCGGCACACACAAAATTGCCCGTTGGATAGCCATCTTTGGCCTCGTCGGCCTTCCAGATCCATTGCGCAATGATCTGACCAATCCCCGCACTCGAGTTATGCAAGGCCACGGCGAACGGGATGGTGAGGAAACTTGGCGTGTTACATGAAACCCAGTTGGTCATGGATGGAGCGCACGGGAAGGCGCCGCAAGCAGCGAGACACAAGCAGCCGTAGCGCTTCACATAGGCGTCGGCGGGGAGGAGACCGGCAGTCAACCAACCCACACCACCCACGATCGAAGCACCAGTAATGTGCCAGCCTCGGCAATTGAAGCGGTCCGCAGAATAGGACAGGGTGATGGCAACGAAGAAGCCGATCACCCAGGGCGGAACCGTCAGAAGCTGGGCATGGATCGATTTGTATCCGAGACCGGTGACGATGGTTGGCGTGAAAAAGGTAAATGAGCCTTGTGGCACAACGTCGGCAATCTTTGGTCATGGATTAGCAATGTAGTGGGAGGCGATCGGTCCAACTTACGTATGCAATATAATGCGCCAGCATGCGTGGTGAACAAAAAGTCTCCCAGACTTCTTTCCGGGTAGCGTGGTCCTGGTGGTATCCGCCTCCATGCTCTCGTAGTCGATCCACGGCAAATTGCTTGTCGTCTGCGCTAAGCCATCTCGCCCTCGCAGGGTAGTCTGGCAGGAAGAAGAAAAGCAGGAACGCACTCAGCACGGTGATGATGCCTTCGATGATGAAAAGCCATCGGAATGCCTCGAGTCCCGCCGTGCCGTTGATGTGGCCCACGCCATAAGCTATGGCACCACCAAATGCGCCGGCGAGATTACAAAATGCGACAACACAGGCGATCCGGACAGACCGTTCATTATGACGATACCAGATTGTGATGAAATATACGATTCCTGTTGCATACAGTCAGCCTGGAGTGCTTTCTAGGAACGGAGGGGTGCCGTTCGCCTACCAGGGAAGAAGCCAGCTTCGAAAGCGCCGATCAGAAACCTCAAGACAACAACAGTCGCGTAGTTCTGGACGCCTGCGAATCCGATGGTGAGAGCACCCCAGCAAAGCAGAAGTATGCCCAACCAGAGAGACGGGCGGATGTAATGTTTCATGACCCAGTTGGACGGCACTTCAAACAGAGCGTATGCGATGGAGAACAAGGTCACCGTGAGGGCATATCCGTCAGCGGTCATATGGGTCCTTTGCAGCAGATCATCGCCAGTTTCCTGGTTGAGCACTTTCGAGTTGCCGATGTTGCCTCGATCGAGGAAGTTTAGCAGATAGACCCAGCAACATAGGGGCAGGATGCGGTAATCCAAGCGCCGGTTGAGTTTCTTGCTGCGCTTTTCGAGCGCACCGTCGACATCCTGCTCGACTGGAGTGGTCACGGGTGATATCTTCAGCTCCTGACTGCCGGTTTCAATGTGCTCTGCTTCTGCATTCGTTGGTTTCTCCATTGTGAGTCACGCTGGTTAGTACACCAGCAATTAAGAGATTGTCCCGAGAGAAGAGCGAAAGGTCTGGGAGCGACTTCACTGTTATGTACAAGGTAGAAGGGTACAGCATGCGTCGGTGATACTCCGTCGGCACATCGGCCGTGTATACCGTTCCCCCGCTGTCATAGCCCAATATGGCTTCCAATGGGTCCTATGGGTCCTATAGGTTGCACAAACCTGTTTAACTCACCGTTACATTGGCTCTTGAGGAGCGTGCCGATCATCATGTATCATTTGCCCCTGTTGAAATTGCGGGGGAATGCCCCAGTCTCAGAGATCAGACCATGAAGTTCGGCAAACACTGCAGCACGTTCTCCTCACCGGCATTTGTTCTCGTCTCGTGATGCACGTGCACGCGGTAAAGCGGACTTGAAGCAGAGCAGATGGGTAAGGGGCAGCGACGATTCTGGCCGGGAAACCTAGCCGACAGAACATATCTAGGTCGCATTTTGATGGCGAGAAACAGCATCTCAGCTCGAAATCGAGTGTGCATAATGTGTAGTACATTGTAAAGCCGTTGAATTTGACTTCGCTCGGGAGCCGAGTGGCGGCCGGGAGGGAGCTACGTTTATCCGTCCTTGGTGGTTCGTTGTCATGCCAGATACTCCCCAGTAGCGATACTGCGAGGCATATGTATTAAGGTGCATTAAACCAGCGGCCGCCCTCAATCAAAAGCCACCGTGACTGGCGTTGCTTGATCAGTCGCACTAATACAAATATAGACTCGGTAAACAAATCTCATCGCGCACCAACTCACAATTCAACACCAAGACAGTGTGGCTCTTTTGCTCTCTTTCTAGTTGTACACATCTATTGTCCCAAGCAGCATTTCCGTCCAGCATTGCTCTGTTTCTACGTCCCCCCAAAATGGAAGCAGAGTTAACTTACATGAGTATTCCCGAGATTGCACAATCGATGAAGTCGGCCCAGCTCGAACTCAGCTACGAACGCGCTTTGCGCCAAGCGGAGCGCATCTACGAAGAAGAACGAGTGCGCGCTCTCTGCGTCCAGCTTCTCCTCCTTGAAGACGAGAACGGCGAACTTCAAGAACAAGCTCTGCGCAACGAAGATGAACAAAACGATCTGGCGCAGACAAACGAAGATCTGAAGGCACAGTTTTCGGATCTCGAAGTCGAGCTGCAGCAGACCCAAATGGACTTGAAAACCCGGAGTCGAGATATAGAACACTTGAAGGCAGAGGTGGACGCATTGAGTACCGCAAGCGCGGATGCGACGAAGCTGCTGTCGGAGAAATTGGCATTGACTAGAGAGCTCAACGCGCTAAAACCTGAACTAGACCACCTCAGATCCCAAGCGACGATGCAACAGAATCTGCTCGCCGAAAAATTGTCATTGCAGAGGGAATTGAGCTCACTCCAGGTTGAGCTGGAAAACGAGAAAAGAACGGTTCAGCGACTCAAAGCGCAGGAGAAGTCAGCTGCCCGCGAAGATTCGGCCTTGACTGCGGAAATTGAGCAGCTCAAGAGAGATCTCACCAAGGCACAACGTGAAGCCCAAAAGGCGGATCAAGAAAACAGAGCGGTCATCGACGACCTGAAGAAAGAGCTTGCCAAAGCACAACGCGACGCCGAGAAGCGTGATCAAATCAACAAGTCGGAAATCGAACAACTCCGGAAGGAACTGAGCAAGGCGCAACGTGACGCCCAAAAGAGTGAGCGCGAAGAAAACTCTGAGATCGACGAGCTGAAGAAAGAACTTGCCAAGCTCCAACGCGATTCACAGAAGTCTGATCGCGAGAACAGAAAGAAGACCGCGCAATGGGAAAGCGAGAAAGAAATCCTCGAGGGAAAACTCGATGCATTCCGCAACAAGCTCCGCTCTACGAAAGATCAACTAAAGGAAGCGCAGGAAGAAGTTGAACGGTTACAGGCTGTGAAGATGGCTCAGTCGGCGGAGATGACAAAGCTCAGGCTCAACGGAAATGCGACAGTGAATCCTAAGAAGAGAAACGTCGCCAGATTTGATCCTGACATGACAATTGGAACCCCAGGTCAGGGAGGTCCAGCTGCAAAGAAGCAACGAGTTTCAGTCAATGTGGGCGATAAATCCACTTTTTCTATCACGCCATTTCTGAATCGGACGTTGAGCATTCTGCCTGAAACACCAGCAGAAGAGGATGTCGAGGAACCCTTGTTGAAGCCTCGCAAACAGAATCAACGGCAACTCGATGGCGCTCTTGAGGATGTAGACCATGACTCCGAAGCTGAGGTGGTCAAGAAAAAGCCAGGCCGGCCGCTCACTGCAAAGAAGTCCGTTGCGTCAATTTCCAAGGCCAAGAAAGCGGGGCCCCTCAAAGAGACCACCAACTCTAAAGCGAACAGCACAATGAAGAAGCCTCAGCTGTCAAGGCTTATCGAGGAAGACTCGGGCATGGAGAGCGACGGAGACATTGATGCCATTGTCACTGATAAGGAAAACACCAACAAAGTCGACAACAGTGCTCAGAAGACGATCGAGAGAGAGAAGGTGTCAGAGCCAAAACGACCAACTATATTCGACGAAGAGGACAACGCGGCGGCTCCAAAGGTTAGGAGTCTTGCACGGGGCGGAGGTGTGCTTGGCAAGGTCAATCTCAAGGCAAACCCGGTGGGCAAAGGCAAAGCATTAGCCGAGTTCTCTCCCCTTAAAAGGGATCGGAGAGCGGCGAGCGTGTTATAACTGCAGTCCGCTCTGCTTGGTGGAAGTAGGACCTAACGGTGTGGTCAGTTGTGTTCAATAATGGGACGATACAAAGTGATATTGATGAGACGGGATGGCAGGAGAAGTGTAATGATAGAGTGTAGCTATCAGTGCTCCGGATGTCTGGAACAGACAATGTACAAATCTATTGACTGGATCCAAAGAGCTTCTCGTCCTACTCTAAGGGCTCTCGACGAGGCTGTCATGTCCAACTTGAAGGACTGTAAGGGGACCAAGGGCAGCATGGGCTGGCTTCCCAGGAAGCTGTTCGAACCATGCTGCTTTTACCTCGCCGTGAGGGGAGAAATTTAAGGTTGATTTTAAAGTTCTCTAACTACGAAATCCCCGGTTTGGATGGAAAGTGTACGATGTAGAACACCAAGTTCATTGCTTGTGTTCATCACATTTATACCACAGCACCCCTCGCTCTTTCAGACTTATCTTCTTTCTTCCTGTACCTACGACTAAATGCGACCATGTAAACCCGGCTTCCGCGTCTGTACGCCGAATAGCGCACCACCATTGTCACTGTATCGCCAGCCACCCCGACTTCAGTCTTCTCTGCACACTGGGCCGGTTCGCCCAACAGGACCCGTCGCACGGTCAAGGCTTCCGAGTCCATCATGTTCGCTCTGGGCAGGCTCTACTTGGTCGCCTGCTGGAGCTACATACTCAGCTTCCACCTCACGTTCACTTTGCTTACGCTGGGCGGTGCCGAGCGGGCGGCGTTGCGGCAGCTCGAGTTCCAAGAGTTCGCGACGCTGGAATGATAGGCAGCGCGGAGACCAGTTTGCGAGGGCGGCCAAGGTGCAAGGACTGAAGAGTCGGGCGGCGTTCAAGCTGTTACAGATCAATGATCGATACAGGCTGTTCAAGCCCGGGATGACGGTGGTGGACCTGGGCTTTGCCCCGGGGAGTTGGAGTCAGGTAAGATTGTGAAGAGCTCTATGCAGTTGAATACTCTCATCCAATCGTTGGAGTGGTTATGGTCGGGTTTGGGAAGTAAGAGCGGCAGATCATGTCGGGAACACAAGTGCTCTCCGGACTTGTTTGTGAAGACATTGCTGTGGATCGCACCCGGGAGGAAGCTCTGCCTAAATTTTGTCATATTTATGACATCTCGAGTCTGACTGATACAATTCCTGTCGTATAGGTAGCAGTGGACTTGACAAAGCCTCGCGGCCGAGTGCTGGGCATCGACCTTCTCCCAGTCCAACCGCCCAAAGGCGTATCGACGATCCAGGGCGATTTCCTGTCACCCGACGTCCAAGCCGAAATCAAATCATTCCTGCGCGATCCGGAACGAGGCCGACCGCGTCTTCCACTTCCTTCGGGCGATCCGACGACCGCCGTCGCGGACGGCCATATCGATCAAAGCCTGCTGCTCGACTCCGAAACAGGCTACATTGAGCGCGAGAGAAGAGACACCGCAGACGAGGAGGGGGAGGCCAGCAATGCAGCAGAAGTACATACAGACCACCTCGACAAGTCTGTCGACGTGGTGCTGAGCGATATGTCCGAACCCTGGGACCCGCTGGACGGGCTGTATAAAAGGAGCATCAGTAACCCGTATTACAGGTTGATGAACACGAGTGGGAACGCATTTCGCGATCACGCCGGAAGCATGGTAAGGAACAACATCGTCCATCTACCCTCGACAGACATTGGCTGCCCTGTTTCACCCCGATGCCCTCGACAGCTTATGGTTACCCAATATGTTCCTCAACGAGTGCTGTATCTGTTATTGAACCGAACCACACTTGGCTGACAGATCCGCGCACTGTGTTTGTAGGACCTCTGCCGAGCAGCCCTCCGATTCAGCTACGACACACTCAAAGTTGGCGGACACTTCGTCTGCAAGTTTTACCAAGGCATTGAGGACAAGGCTCTCGAGAAGAGCCTGAAAGCCATGTTTCACAAAGTGCATCGTGAGAAACCCGAGAGTTCACGGAGCGAATCGAAAGAAGCATACTTTGTCGGCATCAAGCGGCTTGCCAAGGTCGATAAAGAGGCTGTGTTTGCAGAATGATGAACCTCAGTCGGAAACTCAAGACTACAATACGAGACTAAAGAACTGGAAGAGCAGGAGACCGGCTCAATTTGAGTCTTCTTCAGTAGCATTGTTTGCTAGGAAGGCAAGGCATGCCGGAGAGGACAATACACTTCGCTGGATATTTTATACAGATGTCGCGACATATACCTCGTGTACACTCTATCCAACCTCTTCTGGCCCTTGGTATAGGGTGGCCCGAGACCAGAACACAACAGCCTATCGCGGCAGCTCTCACCATCATCCTATCCCACTTGATCAGCGCGAATCGAATCGGACGTCGAAAGGCCTGGCTGGCCGAAGATCCCGTTCAACAAATCAAATCATACCAATTCGCCCTCGTCGTCATCGTCCTCAGCCATCTCATCCTCGCTGAACTCTATATCGGCAGCCGCCGCCTCAGCCGCGCGCTGGACCTCCTTCAACCCGCTCAATTCCTCAACATAGTCCTTGTCATTCAGCGCCTTCTGGACAAACTCCCAGCCATCACTCTCGTACGCGGTCAACACTTTATCCGAACAAGCACTGCAGCAGTCATATGCTTTGCCGGCGATATTGATGTTGGTAAAGTTGGACAGGAACCCGCGGATTTGGTGTGGTACCAATCCGAGTGGATGGTCGCCCCTGTCCTCGGACGGAGATGTGGACGCCGGGGCTGCAGCGCCCAGTGGATGTTGGAGGACCGAGATGAGGAGCTCGACGAGCAAGGCGGACGCGATGGCGGCGATGCCGGGTCTCGTCACTGTGCATTGTTGGTCGAGCGTTAGGTCTTTCATGGAGTCGGCGGGTGCGACGACGTCGTTGCAGAAATAACATCCCAATTCGTCCTGTTGTTGTTGCTTCTTCTTTTTGCCCTCATTTCTCCGGCTATCGCTGTTGGCGCTGCTACTGATACTGTCGTTTTCATTGTTATTTTCATGGCGTGCCCGTGGTGGTATTTGTTGTTGCGGCTTGACCCCATGTCTCATAACAACATAGGTATCAAATCCCAGAGCGGCGTTCATGACCACTTTGCCCGCAGCCTTGCCCATGACCGTAGGCAGCCACCTAGCCTCACGAGTATCCATAAGCAAGAAAATGACGTCGTGATCGTCAACCAGCCGTTTTAGTGTCTCGTAGTCTTCCTTGGTCTTTGCCGCGTCCGTGACAGGATGACCAGCCATAGGCACGGAGATGACATGACCCTCGGCCTCGACGCCAGGATAGATCTGGCGCAGGGCATCTGCGGCCGCCAGGGCCTTCTTCTTACCGCCCTCGAGACAGTCGTTAAAAGTAAACAGAGGCTGACGCACAGGATTGGAAAAGGAAACAGATCCATTATCCACAAAAGTGATTTTGCGCACGCCCCAGCCCAGCAGGTTGCGCGAGACATAGCTGCCCAGCGTCCCGGCCCCCAAGAGCAGACATTTCGTTTCCTTGATGCGCTCGAGATCTAAATTCGGGCTGATGCGCCACTTCATCAGTTTCAGGTTCAGATCCACGCTCGAGTCGGCCAGCTTCTTCGGGTCCATGTATTCTGTCAAATCGGCCATGCGGCCCGCTAGTTTGTTGGCCGCGTTGCGTTCCCAGCCTACGACTTTGGGCATTTTGGGGACGGCATCTGGCTGTTGTTGTTGTTGCTGGTCTGTTGGTTGAGCTTGTTGTTGCTGTTCTTGTTCTTGTTTTGATAGTGGCACTTGCATGTCAAAGATGACACTGCGCGCGGCGTCTCTTCGCATTTGCGTCTCGCGGTAGCACAGGATCTGAACCCTCCGAAGGTTCCATCGCTGGCGGACCAAGACTAGCAAATTCCGCAGCATCCAGCCTGGCGCGACGGGACCCGGTTCTCCATAGTTGGATGGATCGGCGAAACAAACAAAGCGATCTTCGGGATCGATGCCGTCGAAGAAACCCGCTTCGTAGCTTGCTAGAGCAGAGACCTGCCAGTCGAATGCGAGGCCTGCCGTTGGGGTGAGAGGCGACCGTGGCGTGGTCGGACCGGATTCGTCTTCGTCGAACGGATTTTGCTGGCTGTTGGCCCGCACCTTTTTGGCCAGGAAGAAGCCATGTTGTCTGGGGTCGACGCCGTATTTCCAGGTCATGACGGCGTCGACGAGGGTGGTGCTCTCGATCGAGTTTAACTTTTTGTGTGGCACTCCTCCCGCCGTCGTGGACGTTTCTGGGTCACCGACCGGTGCCCATGGTGGGTCCATGACCAGGGCCGGGAATGCAAACCAGTAGTAGAATTTGTACTTTTTGAGGTCGGCATAGGACAGGACGAGAAATGACACTAGTAACGAAGGACATGAGTAGATGGTCCCGTCGTTGATGGCTTCCCAGATGGTCTTGCCGGCCTGTTGGATCATGGCCAGCTTGTCGCTGTTGCGGTAGTCTTCAATGGTGTTGAAGTTCTTGATCATGCCCTCGGCGCGGTAGCAGCCAGCGGGGACTTCGTCGCTGGTCAGCGCGTTGGCCCGGATTTGCATCCGACAGGAATGCTCTTTGGCGTCTCCTGGCCGGATTTCGTATAGACCCAATAGTTTGCGGGCGGAATCGTCCAGTTTGTCATGGTTGATCTTGTGCGATGCCAATGCTGCGTAAAAGGGGATTTCGATGTCCGACGCGAATGGGACGTACTGCATGGTGAGCACTCTCTAAATCATCAGAGATTACTAGAACTGGATGCCACTGGCAGTGGAATCAAACAAAGTCCCGTCTTGCCGGGGAGAAGGGATTGGATTGGCGGGGGTATAGTACAGTATGGTGGTGTTGATGCAGGGTCTATCAAGGATCATGAAAGTGCGAGTTCCTGGGAAACTGGAAACTGGGCGAGGGTTCCAAATGAAAGGTCGTTGATAGAGGCTGAGACGTGAAATCTGAAGGTTCCTAACAGGCTGCCACCCAAGAGTAATCTCTTAATTAGTCAGTTGTCCGATCTCCAGGTCATCCGATGGGCGAAATGCAGGTATGATGTTATGCTGGGGTAAGAATGTGGAAGCAAAGCAAAGCAGGGCCAGTGACAGCAGAAAGACAGACGTCCGCCTGGGGAGACGAGGCTGGAATCTTGATTCGTCAGCCTCGAACCTCACGTCACGCGTCGTGGTCAGAAGCAATTAAAAACCACTTTACGCGAGTCGCGGCCACTTTACGCGCCGGACCAGCATCACACTGACATTATTGTACACAGCAGAAAACGCAGTTCATCTAACCCCGTTCGACAGTGATATTGCAACAGGGCATCTATCCATTGGACTATACGTTTTGATGTTCAAGTTGGCTATTGCATGCACCAAGCTCATACTCCGGAAGCCAGAAGACGAAAAAGAAAAAGAAAATAATCCTGTCTCCTGACTCAAGTGGCAGCAGCACAACCACAACCACAGCCTTGCGCACGACCTCCTTTTATTGCTTCTCCATTCCTTTTCCAACCATGTTGATCGGAATCACGGGCCCCATCTGTGCCGGCAAACACAGCACGGCCGAGTATCTCGTCCAACACCACGGTTTTCTGCGACTCCATCTACCGACATCATCACAACTTCATCAACCACCACCACCGCACAACCATATCAATGGAAAGCAATCGCAGAACCAGAACCAAAACCAGAACTACATTGAATCACAACCCGGCTCCGAAGATCTCGCACGCCTCTTACCCAGCGTGACCGACCAAAAAGGCACACGCGGCCTAACATTTCCCGACGTCGAAAGCCTACTCGAATTCGTGACCAAGCGATGGCGCGAGCACTGGGTTCTAACAGACATTTGCGACGAAGCGACGCTCGAGGCCTTGCTGAGACGGCCGTTCTTTTTGCTGCTGAATGTCGATGCTCCGGTGGGTGTAAGATATGCGAGATTTAGTGAGAGGTATGCCAAAATGTCTTTACTGTCGCCCCCATATACCCAAATCCTATCCCTCCAACTAACCATATGATATCAACAGATGTCGTCGACGCAATCTGTCGCCCATGCCCCTCGCCGACTTCATCTACTACAACGATCTACAATTGTACGGGTCTCGAGTGACGTGTCATCCTGAACAACACCAGTGCCACTCCAACTCACAAACACCATCAACTTCACCATTACCATTACCATCATTTTCCACAGGAACAGCCCACGTCCTCGCCCGCTCCCACCTGCAAATCCTCAACGCCCAACCCACTTTGTCACTATACCACGCCTTCTTATCGACCCTCGACCTCAGCTCCCCCATCCGCCTCCGCCCCACCTGGGACGCCTACTTCATGACCCTAGCATCCCTCGCAAGTCAACGAAGCAACTGCATGAAACGACGCGTGGGGTGCGTCCTAGTCCACAACTGCCGCATTATATCGACCGGATACAACGGGACACCGAGGAACCTGACGAACTGCAACGAGGGGGGCTGTGCGAGATGCAACAGCGCCAGCGGTGGTGGATCTGCATTATCGACATGTCTGTGTTTACATGCCGAGGAGAACGCGTTGCTTGAGGCCGGACGCGAGAGAATTCGTGACGGAACCGTTCTGTATTGTGATACGTGTCCGTGTTTGACGTGTAGTGTCAAGATTGCACAGGTGGGCGTCAAAGAAGTCGTCTATAGTCAGGGGTATAATATGGATGATGCCACCAGGAAAGTTCTTAATGAGGCTGGGGCCGTGTTGAGGCAGTTTAGTCCTCCGAAGAGCGGGCTGGTTGGGTTTGATCCATTGCCTCATGATACGCACGAACACGGAAACACAACACCCACTAACAATAACACCAGCGTAAATGGAGTCCAAACAACAAGCAGGACGAGGGACATGGTTCTTGTCAATGGCCGGAAGTAACTGGAAAATATACATTCTTGAGCATGAGTGATTCAGCCTGGACATCAAATTCTTGAGCATGGGCGATTGACATAACTGACTCTACCTTTATCCTGTCCACGAAGTTTGGCTCCTTTCCTAGACAACTACCGTACTGAAAAGCGGGTATCCATTCCATTCTCATTATCGCTCAATCGTATAGCAACGCTGAGTGAAAGCGCGACATGATAACAAAAAGAAACAAGACATAAAAACAACTTCCTCTGCCACAAAACTTATCCTATGCTGGCTCATTCACTTCTCAACGTACTTTCGGTCCTCCAGCGGGTTCGAGGCCGGAGCACCATGGTACGGTCCAGCTGAAGCCGGGGCTGTTGCGCTTGCTGAAACCGGCGTCTGTCCCGTTGTACCAGCAGTCTCAGGCGATTTAGCGCTGTGTGGCCCACTTGTCACGCCCTGGGTCTGTTCATCCAGGTTGGTGGTAATCGGGGTAATGTTCCGACTCTCCACCGGGCTCGTGGGCAGACTATTGGAAGACTGGGAGAAGCTGGCAATAATAGACTGCCACTGCTGGGCATCGGAATTCGTGTGAGCCTTGAACTGGAACTCGGAAGTGATGGCCATCTTCTGCCCAAACTTGCCGCCCGACGAGTCTTTGCCCTTGATGGTAAATTTGGGTCCATCGACCGCCCCGACAATGCAATCCGGCAGATACAACGACACCTCAGGAACAGGGTCCTTGTGGAAATTGTCATTGTCCTTGTACTCGTGTAAATATCCCGCCGGGGTGACCACATAGTAGCCGGTGCTGTAACCCTTGAGGGCACCCATACCACGATGTTTGCGCTCGAGAGATCCTTCGATCAAGGGCTTGGTGGCGCGATGGTTTTCGTTCGGAAATGAGACACCGTCCATTGACCTCGGTGCTGCGCTGGGGTTCACCAGGAGATGTTGATTCCGTTTCACAAAGCCATTCCATTCAAAGTCCAATGGGATGTTGCTGGCGGTGGATGCGATGTCGCCGAACATGGCCTTGAGACGGTCCGCTTGGCCGCTCATGAACTGGTTGTAGGAATTCAATGCGGTCTGCACGGTGGTGACAATGTGGGCCTCGAACTGGGAAAACGAGTTCTGCACCGCGATCAGGTCTTGTCTGTTGTTGTTCTCTTCAAGCAGCTGCTTGTTGAGCCGATGCAACGCTTGCCGTTTAAGCACATATGGATCATGGTGTGCCGTCACCCTGCCACCGCTGGAATCGAAATGTGCCACTTGTTGGCCCAGCAGTTCAATGTGTTTCTGCGATGTCACTCGGGATTGCTCGACCGCCTTGGACCCCTTGCCTGCCCCATTGGCAATCTCTTTGTTCTTGTTTTTGATCTCCGTGTGCAGTCGCTCGAGGATGGGCAGGACAGACCCCGTCAAGCTCTTGGACGTTTCGGTGTACAGGGTGCTCTGGCCTTGCGTGTTGGCGCGTAGATTCTCGAAGAGGCCAGCGATGCCGCCCAGAGCCGTCTCGAAATGGTGGCCCTCACGCAGAGGGTTTGAAAGGGTCTTGAGGATCTTCTCTTGGTCCTTTGCCCGGCCTGCTTGATCTTTGGCGACCGCCGAAATGTAGTTCTCCAGGTATCCGCACATATGCTTCCAAGCCTGCAACCGCTCGATCAGCAAACCGGCAGTGTTCGAGGGGTCACCGTCCGGTACGGCCTCGTCGTCGGACTCATTGGCCGTCTTGGTCCTGGTAGGGAGGTTGTGGGTGGCCATGATGGCAGTGTATCGCGGAGGCGGCGTATCGTACTACGATGTTGCCCTCATGGTTAGTCGGGAACGGTGAAACGAGTTGCATGCCAGATGGAAGACTTAGGAACAGATGTGTGTTCGCTCGCTCGACAAGACGCGCGACAAACAACTTACAACTTCAAGTGGATACAGTAAATAGTAGTGGACGATCACCCGACACAATGATTCCTGCCCCGGACGAGGCGTGATGCGTTGCGCAGAGTAGTTGAAGCACCAGCAAACGACGACGCAAGTCTCGGGTGGCAGATGATATATGTACAGTCTACCACTGCAGGATTTGAATCAGCTAGAACCAGACTGTGTGCTGTTCTTCGCGGGGGCTTCAGTTTCCGCCCTCAATCAGGGGGTTCATCTTTGACGTGCCCCTCCATCTTCACGTAAAGTTTGACTCGTGACCATGGGACGAAATACGGAACAACCACTCATGTCGCATCCCACGCCCTTAAGCTATCAATTTCGGGATCAGAGAGAAAATGGGTTCTTTTGCAATAGGTGATTAATACTAGTAGTAATCTTGGTTATATGTACTCAAGGTTTCGGTATACAAATAAGTCCGTATGGGGTTTTTCCTTCCGTAGATGGCGACACCTACAGTACCCTGCCCTGCCCTGTTCTGTTGCTACCACGATGTGCAACAGGAAACATGTCATGACAGGGCTGCCTAGACACACCGTGACATGCCTTAGCGGATGGTCTCCTTCTCCTCTACCTCGCGCAAGGTCTGTTCGTCGCCCAGCCTCGGGTTTCTCAGACAGAATGCAAATCCAATCAACAACACGCACAGACAAATGCCCGTGATGCAGAGAAGCCTTTGGGCATGCTGGTAGGCGGCAACGATGGCGGTTCGGACTGGGGTGCCGACAGGATATTCGCCGATGATTGTAAATGGATCCCCATATGTCAATGTAGCCAGCGTCGAATTGCCAAAGGGTTCCAAGCGCTCTTCCAGCTGCTTTGGCAGGATTTGCGTCCAGATAGCGCCCGAAACCGCGCCGCCAAACGCGGAACCAATGTTGTACGTGGCAAGGTAGAGGCCGGTGATGACAGCCAGATGCTCATGCTTGGAAGCCGCCTGAATGGACGCTTGCGCTGGGTATGGAAACATACCACCTGCGAAACCCAACAACACCTGTGCCCCAATCACACCGGATTGACCGGCCGACGTAGGTGACCCTCGGTAGTGGATCAGCAGGCCAAAGGCCACCAGGAACAAACAGGTACCCGCCACGATAAACCATTTCAGCCGTCGAACCTTGAAAACGATCAATCCCAGGAGGAATCCAGTGATGACAGATGTGAAGCTGTAGAGAGAACTGATCCGGGTTGCTCCCATGACGCTGAAGTTGAAGGCCACCCGGAGCACAGTGAAAATGTAGTCGCCTTGCATGTACCACGCAAAGTTGAGCGTGCACGCAATCCCCAGCGCGCCCCAGACGGCCCTGTCTTTCAGGAGATAGAATGGCACAAGAGGACGAGGAGCCCTAAGCTCCCAGACAATGAATGCCGGGATACACAGCACGCCGACGACCAGAGGCGCAATGATATGGGCCTCGCGCCACTTGGTGGCATAACCGCCTGCAAGGGTCAAGGGAACGAGAACGAGAGCGAAGACGGCAATGAGTAAAATGATTCCGATCACATCGAGGCTCCAGAAGAGCTCCACCGCCAACTTTCTCGCGCCCAACGACTCGTATGGGGATTTGTATTTGTCCAGAATGCCGGCCTTGCGAGCGCGACGAGCCACCACCCAGAGCGAAATCATCAGCGGCAGGGAGCAGACGGGATAGATGATGCACCACATCCCGATTCCCCATTTCCAGGTGGTCGCGGCCAGGACCGCTTCGGTGATGTTGCCACTGACCCACGTATTGATAATGAACGGCAAGGCGGGAATGTAGCTGAACAACAGCCTAGCTCGCAGAGACGTGATATCGGCCACGATGACTTCCACCAGAAGGATAACACAAGTGTAGCCAATCTGGTAGAGAACGGACCCGCCGGCAAAAGTATTGACGTTGGTTGCGCAGGTTTCGATAATGGTCCCAACCACATAGAAGACAACGCTTACACAAACCAACTCCAAGCGCCCAAACACGTCGGCGACCTTGGCCGCAGTTGGTTGCGCTGCAGCCGCAATGACCGAACGCACAACATTGATGGTGGCAAGGAGGGAATGAGACGCGTATGACGCCGTCGCGTAGGTTTGGTAGGTGTAGCGCACAGTTCCATCAAGACCGTAGGCGTATGCGATGAGGAAGACACCGAAGAAGAGGAATACTCGGTCCATCCGGGTGATAACTTGATTCATCGCCTCGATACGGGCAACACCAGGCGACTTCCCGTCGATGAGGATCGAGTTGCGCCGTCCGGACGGTTGTTGCTCATTGTCATAGGGCTGATAGTACCCATTTTTGTCGTCAAAGGGAGAGTCCTGCTCCTTCGTGGGGGCTTGGTCTGGGAAAGACATGTTGTGTGTCAACCGCAGCTTGGGGCGATGGAGGACAACTGGAGTTGCCAGGAACAATTGCAACCGGGGGGTATGTCAGTCCTCTTATGCTGAAATGAGCGCCTTCTGGACCACCTTCAGGCCTGCGTCAGAGGGTCCGGTGTCCATGCATGTCGGAACGATGAGGCCCACCGAAACAGGTGGTGATCCATTGGCACGGATCCGGTAGCATGATGTTAGTCCGATGGGTCTTTCAACTGCAAGCTACAGTACCTGTATTTTCAGCCAGGAGGCCCTCCTCAAATTTGTCCTGGCCGCTGGAGGAGTGGAAGATGCCATGATGTCGAGCCCGAAAACACAGACCACGGACGCTGTGGGGGGAGCCAGCTTCAATGGTGGTCGAAACCTGGCGTTCATCCTCCATATCTATTGGCTCCTATCTTATCTGATGAAAATTTTTCCGACTACCAGAGACCGTCGCCTTGTCTCAAGGCTTGGAAGCAATAGAAAGTCAAATCAAGCCAAGATGAGGCCAAGAAGTCATAAAACTCTGTCCTGGCAGGTAGCCCAGTCGGGCCACTCATCGAAGCTGAAAAGCTGGGCGCCGGACGCGCCATCGATCCATTGCTTCCTGGCTGGCGTCGATTCTGCTGCCGTTCTCGAGAAAGCACAGCTCCAAGGCTCGGCATGCATCACTGGCCGTCCATCACCTGGTCGAGCATCTAATCAGATAGAGACCACCCGATGATTGACAAGGCTCTAGTCCCACTAGTCGAAAGAGCTGGACCGATATCCACAGGCCCCGCAACGTTGGTGTGGGTGTATCTTTGAGTCTAGCCCTAGGTCAAGAGCCTTGTCTGCCCCAAATTCGGAGGAGCCGACGTTTCGGTGACCTAATGGCTGTAACAAGAGTGCAAAAGGAGTTGATATTTTGGACATCGTCTTGGGAACTCTGGTCGCGGAAAGTCGGAGCAAAAACAGACATTCTGGTCCTCCTTCGACACAAATTACAAAGCCAGTAGTGGTCAAAGGTTGGTGAGAGGCTTGGTGGTAAACAATTAATGGAACTCCCGTCTTCGCCATAGCCGAGATCCGACACTACCAGGTAGGTACAACTGAAGTCGACAAGAGTTGTTTTCAAGCTACTTGCCTGGTGTTGGGTAAATACGTTGCTAGATGAGTGACTGTTTTCGGAGCTTCCTCAGTTTACAGAACTTTGTCGAGTGCGTGTGAACCCTTCGCTGCCGTTATGATATGCCAGGGGACGCATTCGTGCAGTGGATCGACACAGCCTCGCGTCATGGCGAGAGTGACAAGTCTGCGATACTGCGTCATGAGATCTTCGAGCAATCCATCTGTTGATGTTTCGGCACTTTCGATCGCTGCTGACAGGGTGCTGATCAGATTCACTTCGATTGCGAGACATCCATCCTCGACCTTGGTCCCTTTCCGTTTGATCAGCATACAACTGACTAGAGCAGGACGTAAGTCAACCATGTTTGCCGTCTGGTTTACCCCGTACGGCAGGATGATGCCCCAGCTCTCCTCTGTGGGGTCTACGAGTGTAAGATCGGAATCCGTATTCGGATCGAAGCCAGGTTCATTCGGCGTCGGCACGCTCATGATTGAGCTTCCACCGGGTGTAGGAGTGGCAGGCACAAGTTGATCGGGTGATGTTATACTGGCTTGGGGCGTTGATGCGGGTGTGCCATATGTATTTTGCATGCCCTGTGGACCCGTCTTTGTCTGCATAGAGGGCGGAAAGACTCTCAGCGCCGGTTGGAGTTGGATAGAAATAAGCAGTGCCAGACATTGTTTATGCGGTGGGCTTGGACCTTTGATAACCTGCTCCCAATCCTGCAACTCGGCCGGCTCATAGTATCCTTCCCTGGCGATAGCCAAACGCCATGTGCTGTGCATCTTGCCCATAATGTCGTGGGATATCTCCCACATTTCCTGGAAGATTTCACGTCTTGGTCTCTCGCGCGGAGAATTCTGCTTGCGTAAGCAATAAGTCATGCTCAGTGCGACCCGGCCAAGCTCGTCTGTCCAAGCTGCAGTAATCCATCGGTGATCTGCCGTAACAGAATAGGCAAGGTGAAGACAGGGCCCGTATTTGGACAGGGGGGAGCTGAAGGTTGGGGAGAGGCGGAAATGGACAGAATTCTCTGGTTGCGCCAGCACGACCGCGGAGCCGCCAGCAGCCGGTGACCCAGAAAGCTCCCCAGGCGGTATGCGATTGTATACCTCTATCGCCAATTTGACATAGGCACTCTGGGGAGGCACAACTAATGTCTCGGGATCGGCAATGAAGCTCAGCGGTACGATTTGCAACGCAACATCAAACGAATTCTGCCGATCGCCTAGTGACTGTCGGAACGATTCGAACAGGCTGAGGAATGCTTCGCAGGTTTGCAGGTAGGACTCGACGCTTTTGTCCCGGGCAACCATATAAACGATGATGGTATCGTGTAAGTCTGAAGCTTGAGCTAGCGCACGGCCAAACCTCCGGCAGGTCTTGTGGAAGTCTCCTTGGCTGTGAACGTTCCAACCCCAAGCACACAGTCCATCCTCCGTGACGCCAGGAATTCGTCCTGTCGAATGCTTCCCGAGTGCGCAGCTGTTGTAAGTGTCCGTCATTCTCTGCAAGAAATTTGAGCACCCCTCGGCCACACTTCCACCGCTCGGATGTAAGCAAAATGCGGTGACAACCTTTGCGCCACTTTCGGGTTGCAGGTTCAATGTGTCCCAGAATTCCATGATTGAGGCTGAAGCGAACAAGGGCTGATCGGCACGTCGCACACATATTTGGCTGGTAGGAAGCTTCAAGACTCTTCCTTTACAATTTGTGCTGGTGCTGTCAGGCTTGATATTGATTAGCTGCTGCACAGTTGATGCCTGTGTGAACGTGTTGATACCGCTCAGATCAATGTTAACCTCCATATAGTCATTGGACGTTTCAGGCAGTCTATCAATATAGTGACCTGCTTTCATCAATGACGTTTGCGATACTTGCTCGACCAGTATCTGAGCAACTTGCAGGAGTTTGCTAGGTGTTACGCCTTGGATATTGCGTAGCGCTTTGTGTAGTTGGAAATCTGACGGCGAAGGTGGCTCCACGAGTGACACTTTCAACAGATCGAGAAGCTGCTGCGCCTCGAGATTGATCGACTCCCTCCTGACCTCATCGGCTTGACCAGTGGTCGGAGGTGACCCTGGCTGATATTCTGTCCATTTTCTCGGAATAGGCGGGGACTTCTGTTCGGCGTTGTCCAAAGCTACAGAAGCATCGTGGCCGTCCACTGAACTACCACTCTCAGATGAAGTTGAGGAAGACATGTGAAACACAGCCGTGTGTGCAGAGATGTTCTTAGGCGTGGGAATGGCAGGGTTGGGGTCAAACCAGTAATCTCCATCCGCCGTATATTTGCGATCATGATTAGACAGGGTCGTTGCGCCTTGAACTCCGTCGTAAATACTCGATCCCCTACGGCGTCCGGAAGGGTTTGGCTGGGTTCCGCGGACTGGACGCGGGGATCCAGTCCTTTTGGAAGACGTCGGCCTGCCACCTGCTTCATCTTTGTGAGAAATGCTCCCACCCTTGACAGGTGATGCACTGCGGGCTTCCATGATTTCTTGCAGTGTAGAAGGCCTTTCGGCGTCTGATGGGTCATCCAGACCGCTGGTTCGTCCACTCACCTCCATTTCGGCATCGCCACGAGTGAAGGAATCCTCAAGCTCGTTCCTCTCTTCATGGTTCTCGCTGGTAATGGAGATAAAGTCGTCACGATGTGATGTCACCATGGGATTTGATTTGTTACCAATGCCCGGTTGATCGAAAAAGTCCCAGTTAGGCTCATCGCCATTGCCCTCCTGGTCAAAGTTAGCATCCGGTATCTCTTCGAAAAGGTCCTCGTCGTCAAAGTTGGCCAGTTGACTAGATGCAGACACAACCCCAAAGTCCTGCATTTCGGTGTCATGCTGCTTCGCGGTCTCTGAGGGCCCAAGGGCGAAATTGGCAGGGGTAACGCCTATTCCATCCACTGACGACAATCCCGGTGTATGGTGTGTCATTGTAACATCGGGTGGTGTAGGATAGATGCTGTGGCTATTTGGAAATGCTGGAGGTCCAAACGACTGGAGATGCTCCGGCACATCAAATGGCCCGTCATCGGCAAAGAGTGGCTCGTCATCGTCTTCTAGAGTTTCATGCTGAAGTTTTCCACTTTTAAGGCCAACCCCAGATTGCTGTCCAGTCCCAGTAAGCCAGTCCTGCACGAACTGCATGGGATCAGCATCGCTCTTGGGAGTCTCCAATGGTGTGTCATTCTGATCGTCGACAACGAAGCAAAGGCTTGCGGGCCAGTATACTGGCCTCCACATAATCTGGCCATCCCCAGCTTCTCTCAATCTAGGAGACGTTTGATCCGTTGGCGTGCTTGCATCAACCTCCTGTAGAGGCACCTCCGCCTCAATCCAAACAACATCTTCGTCGATTGTCATATTCATGTTTTCCTTGAGCCACTGTGGAAGTAACTCCTTCCACACCCCCTTCCAAATATCTAGAGCCTGACCCTGCTCGAGCCGTTGTCCAGGCTTGCCTGTCTTGTTGGACTTGTCACCAGCTTCGCGACGAATCAGCCTTGCAACCTGTCCCCCTGGAACAAGATACACGGCCGCAGATTGTTCCGAAAGCCGCCGAGCTCTAGCAGAATCTCCGTAAACTTCCAGCAACCGCAAGAACGACATGCTCGCGTGTTTCCCGAGAGTCAGAATGACATGTCCGCTGGTGATGATTTGAAGGTCGACGCTATATAGGCTCCACCTCCGGCTGGACTGGGGCCAGTCCAATCCATCTGATGGCGTTCCCTCGACCAGATATACATTTGGTCCAACCGGCTGCAGCGCAGAATCGCCGTTGGGAAGGAGCTTGATACTGGATACCACCGCTGTAGTAAAGAGTCGATACAAGCGAGCCTGCTCGGGCTTGATTAAATCTGGCAAGCGTGCGGCGGTCTTATAGGCAATTGTGCAAGTGTTACTCCGGAGCACATAGCCGAATTTGCTTAAAAGTGTCTTTTGGTCTCGAGCATTGGCAATATCTACCTTCTTGTAGAAGGTGAATAGTTGACAAGTGTCGACATCCAAAGCAGCAAGGATGGAGGCCTCACGGAACTGTCGCTCTGTTTTGCGGAGGCGAGCGAGAGTACTCCCCGGCGTCGGGATGGCTGCAGAATCATGGTTTGGCGGTGTCGCTACCGTACATACGATATAAGCAATCTCGCCGAAATCGTTCTATATTCATACGTTAGTACTGTAGAGAGCTGAGGCGGTAACACCCACAAGTGTGTAAACGTTAGTAGAGCAATTGTTCGGGAATTCAAGAGCCGTGGTCATCGTGTCAGCCGTTAGCCAAAAGCTGGATCAAGTGCCACAGAAAGCACAACGAATAGAGTCGACCGGCTTTAGGGCGCATTGCACAGTGCGTTATAAGATCAGGAGGGTCAGATTAAGCCCTCTATGCCTGAGGTGAGCAAGGTGAACAGGGCGATGTAGGCTGGTCTCTTCGACCAATGTGTGATATAGCGTATATTGACTGTGAGGGCTCACGGAAGGCTGCAAATCTTGTGTTGAAGATGCGCAATCTGAGTATAATCGGTGCCAAAACCGACTCCTTTTACCATTTGGAGCTCTGAAAAAGGAGGCTGAAAAAGAAGCATGTTGAATGAATTGATCGTGTACTGTGGTGGTGGTTGGACTGATCGTGGACACGCTTCAAGTTTCCACACGCCGGACGGGGGATTATGCCAGCACGTGACCAGAGTCTCTATCACGTGACTGCTCCTCAATCGGGCCGAGCCGCGTCTTCCTGCGCTGCCCAAAAATTTCTCCCGCCGCAAACTTGAAGGCGGCTTTGGCTTGCCTCTCTCCCACCAGGTATGTGATGATTACAACTGTGCGCCTGTTCTGGTTCTACAGAAAAAGCTAACGGAAACCAGGTTGCGAGCCGTGCTCCTCCTTGCACCGGGACACTGTTCCTTTTCGCTATGCTTCTACATCTGCGTCATTAAACCTCACCAGCCATGAGAATCACAAACAGCACCGTGCCCGTCTACACGGTCTCCGGCTCTGCCACTTCGCGCAATCTGCCAGACTGGCTGCCAGAAAAACAGAAGCGCAAGAAGGACCCCGAGTATGCCAACCGGGTGGAACTGTTGCAGGATTTCGAGTTCGAAGAAGCCAGTCAGTGCATTCGCATCAGTGAAGATGGCGAATGGGTCATGAGCACTGGCACATATAAGCCGCAGATTCATACACACTATTTGCCCAACCTGGCGCTTTCATGGGCCAGGCATACCAACACGCTGAACAAGACCTTTCTCCTTCTTTCTTCCGACTATTCAAAATCGGTCCATCTCCAAGAGGATCGGTCGATAGAATTCCATACTCCTGGCGGCTGTCATGACTCGTTACGAATCCCACGGTACGGACGTGATTTGGCATACGATAGGAGCAACACCGAACTATTGGTGCCTACGGTCGGAGTTAATTCGAATGGATTGGGAGAAGTCTTCCGAATAAACCTTGAGCTGGGCCGTTTCATGACTGCATTTGAGGTGGACGTGGGAGGAAACGACCTGAACACTGTGGGAGGCGGGGCTTTGCAAGGAGGCATCAATGCTGGCAGTGTAAATGTTGCCTCAGTGGCTGAAGGAAGCCATAACCTCTACGCTTTCGGCACATCTTTGGGGACAGTGGAATATTGGGATGCCAGGTCAAGAGCACGAGTGGCCACTCTAGCGCTCCCTACAGATTTTGATGGGCGACCTCAGGTTACAGCACTTGACTTTCATCGGTCAGGCATCAACCAAGCTGTTGGGACCTCATCTGGGCTCGTTTATCTATATGATCTTCGTTCTCCGGTTCCGACACTGAAAAAGGATCAAGGCTACGGATACCCTATCCACTATGTGCAGTATCTGACGCCATCAAGTTCAACCCGAGCCTCGACTTCGGAGCCAAAGGTGGCTTCTGCCGATCGGCGAATACTGAAGCTTTGGGATCAACATGATGGCAAGCCGTGGACCTCTGTGGAGCCGGCTGTTGACATCAACTGCGTGGCATGGTGCAAGGACAGTGGCATGTTTTTGACCGCCAACGAAGGCCGCCAACAACACGCTTTCTTCATTCCTCAGCTCGGTCCTGCCCCGAGGTGGTGTTCGTTCTTGGACAACGTTGTGGAAGAAATGGCGGATGATCCAAATGATCCGTATGCGTTCTCCAAAACCAAGGTCGGCGAAGTCTACGACAACTACAAATTCCTTACCCCGGCTCAGCTTCGCATGCTCAACCTGGATCATCTCGTCGGAAAGACCAACCTGCTCAGACCTTACATGCACGGTTTCTTCGTCGCCCAAGGTCTTTACGAGGAGGCTAGACTTATCGCCAACCCCACCAGCTGGGAGGAAGAACGAGCCAAGCGCGTTCAAGAGAGAATCGATAAAGAACGCGAAAGCCGTATCAGAGGGAAGAAGAAGATCACAGCCAAGGTCAACCGTAAGATGGTGGAGAAGATTCTTGAACGGGAAGAGAAGAACGAGAGACGGCGTGCTCAACGAGTGTTGGCCCAAGGTGGCGACGAGAGTGCTGCTATGGAGGCTGCTGCAACGGCTCAAAATGGCGAGGAGAAGGGTCTGCTTGCGGATTCTCGGTTCTCCAAATTGTTCCAGGATGAAGACTTTGCTGTGGATGAGACCTCGAGAGAATTCCAGCAGCTCAACGCCAGCACCAAAGTTGCTCCGCCCTCCAATTTGGACCGTGAAAAGGGGCTTACTGCCGTCGAGGAAGAAGCAATTGATGAGGTACCTGGGTCAAGTGATGAGGATACTACAGATGAGGATGAGTCTGGACATAACCGCTACAAGACCACGGATCGAATATCCACCGCCGACTACAAACGCCGTCCTAACAAGAAAGAAAGAAAACGTGATCAGATGCAGATGCGGGTCACTTCGTCAGGATCGAAGGCAGCACCCAGAGCCACACATGACAGTTCATTCGCGTCTCGTGCTCAGAATATGCAACCCGTCCAGCGGACAAAACGGGCTACTGGGTTCGGCGGTGCTGTGGGCGACAAGGTAATCACATTTGAACCGAGCAGCAAGAATTCGAAACCTGCAGAAAAGAGAGACGGTGGCACGAAAAATGCGGGACGATATCAAGATCGAAGAAGTGCTTCCGGCAATACCTTCAGACGAATGTGATCGCAAGAGAGGTGGGAATGATTACATCCATATCATTCATCAAATCCGGATATTTTGCTTCGGGATGCTGCCAACGCCGGGCGTGGTGTGCTGCATCAGGCCAGGACAAGACCACATCCGCATGGAAGCTATATTCTGGAGCCTTTCCCTATCTCTGGATCCGTTGAAGCGCATCAATCACCTTTGTCGAATGCGCAACAGCGCCAAAGATCCCGCCCTCCATCTTAACAGACTCCAAAGCAAACCGATGCAGCTCCGCTGTCGCTGCAGCAGTTGCATCCTCCAGAAGGACGCAGTCGAAGCCCCGATCATTGGCCTCCCTCATGGTGGTGGACACACAGACATCCGTGGTGACACCAGCCAGAATCAAGTTTTTGATTCCACGCAGCCGGAGGAGATGTTCAAAATCAGTATGAGCGAACGCTCCTCGTCCCGGTTTATCTATGACAAGCTCGTCAATACGTGGATACAATTCAGCTATCACGTCATGGCCGGCTTCTCCCCGGACAAGGAATCTTCCTAAGGGGCCTTTGTCCCCAATGCCCAGATGGTGGGGATTGTTCCTTGAGCGAAAGCGTTCTCGACTTGACAATGTTGAAAGATCAGGTCTGTGGCCTACGACTTCTGTCAGTGTCTTGGCCAGGCTTTACATGTGCGGCTGCTCAACATTTCGACAAACCTACCTTCTCGAGTGAAGAAGATGGGCAAATGGGCGCGACGGGCCGCAGTAAGGATGCTCTGAAGTTTCGGGATAATAGCTCGAGCGCTGTCTACCTCGTACCCTTGACAGTCGAAGTAGCCTCCGACTTCGCAGACTGCTCTCTACTCAGCTCAGTCACTTGTGCACTCGAGGCCTTGTTTGGGGGCCAATATTGCATGCTTACAGTCACGCTGCATGTCGATAATCACAAGGGCCGTGGTCTCTCTGCTGAATGATGCATCGTGAGGCCAGTTGTATGGCGAGGCAGCGACCTGGCCGTTATCCAGCTCTCGCCGCATCATTGCTTTGAATAAACACCTCCTTCAGGTAGATGCCCAATAATGTGAGAGCAGGAATATATTTAAGCTGCCCTCGAGCATTTCATATACCTAGGTACTTAGGCAGAAAATTTGACAAGAGAGTTCCCTGTAACACGGAGATTCGCGCTTGAAATGATTTTGATAAGTCTTATACCTGTATCTCGTTCCAATTCCAGTGACTGATAAGAATTCCTCGGTCGTGATTATCGATAGCGTATTCGTGCCGCTTTAATGTCAGATCATGCGCCGCCCTGTCCTCCTCTCCCCCTTTTGGCTGCTCAGTCCGTTTTCCGCTCAGCAGGTCAGCTGTCGAGCGGTCTTCCACAGGAGAGCAGCCCAATCCGCTTCCAAATGAAGCCCGCCTGAAATGCTCTTGTGGACCGACTTTTATTCATCTTCACTGAACATGTATCAATCTCCCGGATCAAGGCACAAGACATCGTCCCAAAGCAAAGCCAGCCCTGACCTGCTGGTACGCAAGGCAAGGCTCTCAGGCAGTATACAGTACCTGAAGCAATGCGCCTTTCATTTCGCAGAGAATGACAAACAGTAGGATGCCGACTGCTTGGAAGGCTCGCGAAGCCCAGTATGTTCTTGATGGTTCTGCCAGGATTTTGCTGTATGGCAACAGTGTACTCACGGGCCAAATAAGTTTCGTCCTCACAGCTGAGATACATGGTAGTCAGTAGCTTAGGAAATTTCGGAGGAATCGCCTCTCAAACATTGTTCTGGCTTTGTACCAGGTGTCAAGGGGCCGTGTGCATGCTCGAATGGTTCTTTCAAGACCGCCACAATGATGATATTGACGGTGCCAGCTTTGTGTCGGTGACCGCCATCCAGAGGCTCCCATAGTCGTCACTCTTGTTGTAACAACTTGAAGCAGATAACTGCAGCAAGAGAGCACAATGCGCTCGAGAGCTGAGGTTGAAGCGGTAGTCGCTTGTGCAGCTCTTGATCAACTTCAGGTCGAGCGAGTCCTGCTGCTTCAATGTAGCCCACAACAGGTTCTGCGGTTCACCAAGCCGTGTTTGAATCAGAGATATCGGTCGGCGTCTATTTGGATACCGGCGGGAAACTCATCATGTTTAACCAACGAGTTTGCATGGTGCAAACATTGGGGGTTGGTTCCCACCAGCCAAACTCGACGCTTCTATCGAAGGATCTAATTGTGTATGAGTGAGACTTTTCTGGGCCTCCTGCTAGGCCAGACCTTTTTATACTTGTTGCCCAGTGTGTGAGTCATGTCAAAAGAAAAGGTTCCAAACGGAATGACCAACTCAGTTGTCCGCTAGAGCTGTGAAACACGGCCGAATTGGATGTACCATAGTTAGGGTAAAAGCTTGCTTTGCTCTTTCTGCAGGAAAGAGTCCGAGAAGAGTAGTGATGGCCGAAGAGCGGACTTCAAGCAGCGCCGCGGGCAGGATATGCATTCAGATTCTGGATACCCCTGCTTCTGATGGACATGCGATTGGACAAATACTAGTACCTCCTGAAGATTGATGGCGCATCATCCCTGATGTTGCTTGGTCAAAGTTCAAGGTCGAATCGCCGTGGTTTCCGACAAGGCCACGAGCAGCATATCATAGCATCTTACAGCACCTGAACGGTAAATAGTCGACGATCAAACATGACACTAAGCACGAGAGTTTCTCTAGTACCTCGCGGAGTCCGAAAAGGAGAACAGAGACAGAGTAGGCGTGCCGATCAAAGTACCAGCGAGATGGAAGAGGACGAGTCCATGCTCAGGAGGTGAACTTTGAACTTCAATCAACTCTCTTACCTAAGCGTGATTATGTAATACTTGCGTGTGGCTGTTGCTGCGCCGCCCGTGACGCTTTTGTTTAGTGGCTGCAGTGTTGATACAATCCGAGCGTGTCACCACCGACACCGACACCATCGCCCAACATGATGCCTGCCAACATATCATAAACTACACCCAGCCTCGAACGGCCGCGCTCGGTCGCAATACGACAGCCATACTAACCATAGCAGCATAATTCTTCCTCTTCGCCAACAACAGCGCCCGGGACCTCGTCACAACAAACCCCAGCCGCTTCGCTCCTAGGCCACCACGATCTTAAACACCAACCACCGACGGACCATACTAGGAGTACAACCTAGTCATGGCACCGTGATCGACCGACACCGACACCGACAACACCATTGCAATCGAACGAAACATCACCGACGGGCACTGTGCGACAACCAACACAACCACTTTCGGCCAAAATGCCCCTATCCGACGGGGTACCGTCTTCGCCTCCAGGGCCAGGCACTTCCCTCGAAGAGTCCTTGAGATACTACAAAGCACAGTACGAGCAACTTGAGGCTGAACTCGCCGACTTTCAAGCCTCCAGTAAAGATCTTGAAGCCGAGTTGGAAAAGGACATTGAAGCCTCGGAGAAGCGAGAACGCCAATTGAAGGAGAAAGCAGCCAATCTCCAGTATGAGGTGGACGAATGGAAGGCCAAATACAAACAATCCAAACTCGAGGCATCGAACGCTCAAAATACGCTGCAAAAAGAGATTACAGAGCTTCGAGATGCAAATCGAACGCTACAGATGCGACTGCGCGACGTCGAAGTCGCCAACGATGACTACGAAAGGAAGCAGCGCAACACGGAATCGTCCTTGGAGGACATGGAATCCAAATACAACCAGGCCCTGGAAAGAAGCGTCCTGCTGGAGGAGGAGATGCGCACAGGGGAACAAGAGCGGGAAAGCCTACGTATTGAAGCGCAAAGGCTGCGAGACGAGCTGTCCGACCTCAAAATCGAGACAGATATTATCAAGGAAAAACTGCGCAAGGCCACGGAAGCTTTGGCTCGAAGGGAGAAGGCAATGACGCTACAACCCATCGGAATCTCAGCATCACCGCGATCAGAGCTGTCACCCACAACCACGACCGCATCATCCCCAACCTTCGACACTCCTCCCACGAAAGCACCTTCGTCATCTGGTCTTTCGGATACTCCAACACCCCCCTCGCCTCCAATATCCGACGGCTCTGCCAATGTGCCGAAGCCCGTAACAACACCAGGATTAAGCAAGATACGACCGTCCATAAGTGGCACCTCTTCAACACAACAACGACCCCCGACGGCAACATCCGGTACCAACGCTCTAAATACCAGATCACATGGACATGCCCGTGGCACGTCAATCGCCACACTGTCACGATCCGGACCTTCATCAACGTTCCGACAAAGCTTGTCCAAAACCGGCCCGCCTCCTAGTCGACTCCCAGGGCTACCTCAATCAACTTCCATCATCCATCTTAGGGACTTGCGAGGGAAAATGCAGAAGCTAGAGCAACGGGTACAGACCGCCAGATCGAAGCTTCCGGCGCCCGTGCATACGCCGCCCAGGGCATCACCTAGAAGCGGATCAGCGCTCGGCAACCACATTCCCGCATCTGTGACCGTCCGCACTCGCAAGCGAACCGGCGGCAGTACCATCAGCGGAGTCGATTCTCTCCCGGATAAAGGAAGGGAGACGCCGTCCGTGCGATCAAAAGCGAGTAGGCCCTCCTTAACACGACAACCTCCCTCTCCTACCCGAGGCGAAATGGCTGCGCCTCCGTCTCTCAGGCCATCATCTAGAGCCAGTGGGATCTCGGGACGGTCCTCATTCGCACCGAGTCACAGTCGTCCGGGAAGTCGGGCTAGCGTGTCTGGATTTGGGCGACCAGCGCCCCTGGGCAGTGGTGTTGGGTCAAGTTATGCGCCGAATGCCTCCACAGACCGAGTCCGCCCTAAGAGCAGTCTGAGTAGTTATGGATACGATGGGGCGATGGACGACGACAGTGTCATTGCCTCCGGGACTTCATCTGATTTCAGAGATGCAGTCACGCCTACGCCGCGCCGAACCACGTTCGCAAAGCGCACCAGTGATGTTGGTTCCGCCATACCCAGTCCCACGAAGCGCACCAGTTTGGGCGGCGTCGGCGTCAACGCTGGTGCTTCGACGAAATTGCCCGGCCTCGCTCGACGGCAAAGTACTGGGTTTGGCCGAGCCGACAGCGCAGCTGACATGAGGCCGCCGTCGCGACAGCTGAATAATGTCCAGGAGAATTACGATGTGAACGAGACATTTTGATGTTGGATGACAATGACAATTACTCTTGATTTCCTGATGTTTGTCCATGACAGGGATAGGAGGCCTTGGAACAGACGCAGATGTGCTTCCTCCAGTTGTCTTTTTCGTTTACGTGCCATGGATTGCATGCTGGACTCAACTTTGGTACAGAGATTGAGAGACTGAGATATGAATCGTTGGGTACGTTTGATGGGCCGGTTCATTGCTGGTCATGATCGGAGTCTCGAGTCAAGAGCTATCCTGGTTGGACTAGGGTGGTCTTGGATCTGGTTACAGGAAGAAAGCCCCCAACCCGATTATCAGATTCTATGCAGTGAATTGGCTTTCCTGGAAGCCTGCAGCGCGAACCTGGTTCGAGGAATGTGGCACGAGGCATGATGATTGATACCCCAAACATGAACAATATTATAAGCAAGGCTGTGGGCGGTACCTTGGCAGCTTGATTCTTCCTGGACGATTTGAAATCGGTTATAGCTAGCCACGAACGTGTGACGACAATTTGGCTCAAAGACAAACTACTCGAGCTGTGATACAGGAACCAATGCTCATTGTCAAGATGCCCAATTACTAACATCTTCAACCTCCGTGACCTTGTAGAGAAGACTTGCTGTAGCATACTGTAAGATATTTATTAGGAGTACCCGACTCGACTCAGGCTAACATTGAAAAGCGACACCCTCCCGCTTCGCCACGTTTGTCCCTCCGCCAGCAAACCCTGTGCCTTCGCAGCTGATCTCGACCAGTCTGCCAGGCCTCTTCTGTCGTCGCTCGCCTTCTTTTTGGTTTTTATCGTTTTTGGATGCCCCGTTGTTCTCCGTCGCCTCGCTGCTGTCTGCTTTGTTGGTGGTGGTAGTGCCACTTAGATCCGCCTCGCAGACAAAACAGGTTATTCGTGGCCGCAGCTGTTCCTGTTCCTGTTCCCCTTTCTCCTTGTTCCCGCTGGAGATGCTCTCCGCTTTAGCAGACCCCTGGTCTTGGTTCCTCGCGCTGAGATTCGGTTTCGAGCTCGAGCTTTTCCTTTCCGATGATGCCAATATTGGGCCCGAATAGACCAATAACTCGGCACAGCCTCCACAGACGACATGTCCACAACCCTCAGCCGTGCCCAGCATGGGCCTTGACGAATTCGTCAGGGCTTTCTTGCAACTCGGACAAATCCGGACCCGTTCATCAGCCGACTTGTTACCTGGTGTCGACTGTGAGTCCCTCTCCGCCTCGCTCTCTTCTGTAAAGTTGACAGTGACCAGCGACTTGAGCGAGTAAGAATGCTTGGTTGCAGGAGTCGAGGCCGGGCATAAGGGATGCAGTTTTGACATTTGGTTCGATTTGGAGTTTTTGTTGTTGTTGGCTGCCGCAAGAGTATCCGATCCAGGCACCCAGAAACTGGCTTCGGATGCTGCTGACGACTTGACCTTTTTTTCTGGGAGGTCGGCGTCGTTGGTGCTGCGGGAATGCATCTCCTCAGCAACCCGTTTTCTCTTGGTCCCGGGGAGCACGGAATCATCAAAGCCCATCTCGGCCCTCTCGAAACCCTCGAGATCACGGCGTCGTCGTTCCTCTTCCTCCCGTTCAGCGGCTTCGCGCTCCTCTCTTTCGCGGAGCTCGCTTTCCCGTTCCAAACGCTTGATTTCCTTTCGTTGCGCCATGAGATCATTCAATGCGCATTCGCGGCAGAATAAGTGCACTTTGATCGGTTGGGATTGTCCCAGTCCGTCCACGTAGCCATCTGTGCAGGTGACAGGGGAATTGGCGAAGCCTAGACATAGTCGGCAATATCCAAATGGGAGGAAAGACTCTCGGGACAAGCGGGTCGATTGGCTGCCCCAGCTGGATTTGAGCAGTGAGCGCTCGTACGATGTGAAAAATGCGAGTGATGTGTTGCGTTTGGAGTGTGACATGATTGAGACCCTGGATGTTGCTGGTGGCGTCGTTCGAGTATCTATCGAACTTGATATTGGGATGCGATTTGGGAGCAAGCTGGAATCAAAAACAGCTTTGTTGAAATCCGGTTGTTGTATATGGAAGGCTTATTCAAGCTGAAAGTAGAGGATATAGATTGTTGGAATTAATATTTGGGAAAATATTCGCTATCAAGTGCCGAATAACTATAAAGGCCGCCCTAAGGGCAAGAGAACTTGAAGCCTAAATTGATTTCGATTTCGTCGCAAGTGGGATCTATATACAACAAAGAGACCCCAATCCCTAATAAGACTGAGGAGTATTCTCTATTCAAGCAGGACGATAGTGGTTTGGAACCGCACAACAAGTTGATGGCAACGCCATGTCGCCCGCCGCGTAGTATCGCTGACTAAGTGATTATGTGATATGGACGCTATCGGTGGAGTTGCCTGATTGGAACGACGGGTCTAATCTACAACTCGGACGACAACAGCCTCTCTTCTTAAGGCAGCCTTGTCAAAGCAAGATTCAAAAGCAAAACCGTATTACTGTCTCATACAATGCCTCTTCTGGGCTTTTGGCCTCTAGCCTCCAATCTCTCTATCTATTAATACCCAGAAAGGCCCGAGAAGCCCTCGCCCAGTCCACCAGCCGGGCCAGAAACCCAAACCAACGATTGGCGGCACAGTCCCTCCCCCCGGCCGGCCCCCCTCCGCCTTTACCAGCACTTGCTCTCTCGTACCTCTGCCTCTTTCAGCAGATCCCTCCTCGAACCATCATTCCCGAAGGAATGGGTTCTGGCCTTGCGGCCCAACCGCCCGCCCAGCTGCAGGAACTCCTTCTCGCCCTGGATCCGGCCAGCGACCGAATCCCGACGAGCATTGAGCACGAACCCTTCCTGGTTCGTGCCCATGCCGTCCTTGGCGGCGAGAAGGTGTCCTACGTCTCGAGCCTCGAGACGTAGCGCCGCCTTGGTGGCAGCGCTCTGCAGCCAGGCCTGCTTCGACGTGCCGTCTTTGGCACCGAAGGGACAGACGAACCGCCGCTGGGCTGGCATCTTAAAGGGCAGAGGAACGGGCAGTGAAGCGGACGGCGTGACAGGCGGCGTCATGGGCAAAGTGACTGGCATTGAGGCGGGAGGTGAGACGACTTCCTCGTCATCTTCTTCACCCTCGTCCTCGTCCTCGTCGTTTTCTTCTTCTTCCTCATCATCTTCGTCCTCTTGCTCGTATTCTTCGTCCTCATCATCTTCGTCCTCTTGCTCGTATTCTTCGTCCTCGTCATCTTCCTCGTCTTCTTCATCCTCTTGCACAATGCTCTTGACTTCGTTCTTGGGCTTTTTGGACACTCTTTTGCTGTTCAATTCGTCCTTTGCCTCCATTTCCTTGATCTTGTCGTTGATAGCACGCAGGCGGTCTGCTCTTTTCTGCTCCTTCTGCTTCCACGGTTGCCGCAATCCGTTGAGATACTTTCTGTGTTCCCGCATGGACATCTCCTCGACCTTGCCATTGACCACGTGCAAGGGACGGTATACGGTATCATTTTGAGGGTGATTCATCATGAACATGAGCTCTTCCAAATTGTCTTGGTTCATGTCGTACTCTTGATAAGCGGAACAACCGAATCTGGGCGCATCTTCACCATCATACCAGTCTTCACGCATGAATGCCTTGATCTGTGTTTTGGTGTCCACGATATGCGGGTGAGCTTCATCGGTGTAAGTTGCTTTTGCCCATTCGAGTGCTCTGCTCAAGAAGTAATGAACACGCAATGAGTCTGTCGCAAGCATTGCATGGATTCCACATTTGTCTAGGACGTCCCTCTTTGGTTTATGGTTGATTTCTAGAGCATCGAAGCCGTCTAGAACAAGAACAGCTTTCCGGTATACCGGTGGCGCTGTGGTGGCCTCGCCGTCGAGTTCAGACTCCAAGACATCGTTGTACAGACCGTAAACGACATCCTTCAAGTCTCTCTCCGTTGCATTATGCTGCTCAAAGTTGCAGGCGTCGCATCGGCAGTCAAATCCAAAATTTTCGGCCAAAACCGAGCGTTGTCTCTCGCGGGTTTCTCGCAAGGTGGCGACGTAGGAGAATCTGATTTCCTCGCCTTGTTTGATGGGGCGGATTGCTCGAATTCCCACAGTGCCTTCGTGTAACTGACTATCGTGGTCCTTTTCCCCAAGAATAGGCGTCAATGCCACATTCGGTCGGCAAGAATGGTTGATGGAGCAGAGAAGCCGCCCGAAAACAAAGATGGGATGACCGGGCGGTTCAAACAGAGGGTGGTCAAATTCTAGGACGTCGGTGAACCAGCGACCAACGAGCGCCAAATCTTGCTTTTGTCCCTCGCTTGGTTCGACACCTGGACGTGGTCTCTTTCCATACAACGCTTCGAGGACGTCGGCATTTGAGAATCTTCCTGTGTGTGCATATTCGCGGCGGCGGTAGTCTATCAACCTGCTAAAAGGGTCTTCTGGGCGAAGCGACCTTGCCCGTACAGGCAAGTTCTCCATTACAACATTGATAGCCCTCTTGACTTTTCGGATGATGTTGGCAAATTCCCCCTTGCCGATCTCGTCTGGGCCAGGCCATGGTCGTGCATAGTCGTCAGGTAAATCCATGAAGACAGCGCCGAGGTTCAGAAGCGTGGAGCCGGTCTCTACGTCGCCTGCAGAAACGATCCGCCAGCCTTCGGCATCTGGTTCCGGTGGTCGCAGGTGGAGGCCACGCTTTTCTCCTTCCAGAGAGGGACTGCGAGTCATGTTGCGATTGGTAGTCTCAGGCACAAGGTGGTGATACTGGCAAGAAGCAACGAGACTCAGGATCTTCTAGGGGTACTTGGAGATCGGAGGAGGTAGATGGTTTGAAGGATGTTTCCACGGTCTGTCAGGACGGAAGACTCAAAAAAGACAGGCGGGTTGGCAGAGGATGTTTGTTATTGTCTGAGCCAGTTTGCGTTTGTGACAATCAGTCTTTGAAAGGTGAGTCTGCAGCTACAATGCCGATGTTGGCGCCAGAATAGGAGACATGGTCATCAACGCAAACAAACCGCGCCCATGGGGCGCGGGCAATGGGTATTTGAAGCGTGTTGAGACTGTCAAAGCCTACCAGCTACGGATCGACTCTGAGCACGAACAAACCATCACAAGCACACCCGTCCTGCCTCTATATACTATCGGAAGACAAAGTCATCGTGGTTGCCACTCAAAAAACCATCGCGTTTCTTCCAATTGAGGTTCTCATCTCTTTTGTGGGTTCTTGCACAGCCATGGGAACGGGTATTGCCATACTCATCGCAATCCTGGCGGTTCTCGTTGCTCTTACGATCGCCTGGGCAGCATACTCCATGAAGATTCGACCAACGCGGTTTATGCCTTCCGTGGAAGGAGGGCAAGTTTGAAGTTGATCAGATACAAAGCGTGTTTACTCGAATATGGTACGATGGCTCATTGACTACGAGGAAAAGCTAACCAGTGCATTCCAGACAATGCTTTCAGTGCATTTTATGCCTGGAATCCTACCCACCGAAGGCCGCGCAGCATGGAGGACTAGAGAAAGCATGGTGTCCTGGTTGAGGGCATCAACGTTGAACTAAGGGGAAGCAGGGTGGTATCCATCAACAGTGGCAATGTCTTGTGCGGAGGAACACGACGAAGTTCGAGGAACTGGGATCTTGATAATGCTTCTTTCCTGGCTCGCAGTAGCATCGGAAAGATAGCTACAACATACACGCCATTGATAGGTCGTGGTGGACATGGGATGAAGGGGCTCTCTAGCTCAGCAGTCTTGTCGAGCTCAACCAGCACAAGCCTTGTTCAGGAATCGGGATCGCCTCAAATAACATAGCTTGGAGAGGTCCAATGGTACCACGTCTCTAGACTGTTACGGCACTTCAACTCTGAGGAGCCAGAAGAATTGGCTAGAGCTATGGAAACATTTTCGGAGCACTATCCCTAACCCTGCACAGGAGCATTCAGCATCCTCCTGTACGATTCCAGCCATGGCAGCTGACCGGCCGTCTCTCCCTCAAGCCATACGAAGCATCTAAATAACCATTCTAACAATACCAGAAAGTTGATTGCCTGGTACCATACAATGTAGTCAAGCCTGAGGCGAGACAAGGCTGTGGTCCGTTAAGGCGGCGTCATGTACCTCCAGAATCGGTTAACCACTTTTCGCAGCTCGAGCTTGCGATTCAACTGTAGAACCTCTCGTTGTTCGTCCAATCCACTGCAACCTATTAAAGAACCAAGGGAACTGTTTCTTCCACGACCTCTCACCACCCACCACCCACCGTGCCTCTCAGACAACAGTGTATCGCTCAAAATGGCGATCCTCGTAAGTTCATGCGGATGCGCGACACATTGCCAGCTGTACTGACCTTTCTAGGCGCGGATTTCAGAGACATTCTACAAGTAACGCTCCCGTTCCCGGCCGAATCGCAGGTCCTTCTTGTTTGCTAACAGCAGCAGCACGGTCTTTCGCAAAAACGCCGTTTTCTTGACCAGCGTGTTTGCCGGTGCTTTCTTGTTCGAAATGTGCGCTTCCCCGCGACCTATTCAAGTTTGAAGATGCAGGGCGACTAATTGTCTTTTCGCAGCGGATTTGATACTGCCACGAACAAGTTATGGGACAGCTGGAACCGAGGAGTACGTCTTTCTTATGCGCCGATGTACGAATTTCGACGAGTCTAACTTGGAATACAGCGGCAATGGAAGGATATTAAGCACAGATACATGACTGCGGGCGAGGACGAGGAAGAGGAGTGATTTTTTACCAACCAAATATACACCGGCCATGGGGAGGGAAGGATGGGAGGAAGACGTCCGCCGAAGAACCTCCAATTCCAATACCAAAACGTCGGAACTTCCTCTGTACATAAGCGAGAAGTGGGACAGTGGTCAATAAACATGTGAAAGCCTTCTCTTGTCGGATCTTTGGTTGTTTCAGCTGTTGTGATTCCGAAGAGCATGGTTATACTTTATGCGGCTACTTGACGCGATTTCCTACGTTCTCGGTTTTCCGCGAGCCCGGTACCTACTACGGAGAGCCCACCGATTGAGACGTGCCGTATCCTCCTCTTTCCAGTTTGTCAACAACTGAGGCAGCACCCGCGCGAATGGGGCATTCCACCTGAGCCATGGATACAGATACGGAGTGTTGGCTTGCCATTCATACAAAATATGAGAATCGCGGCTGCCTCATTCTCGCCGGCGTACTGATGGTTGGGCGTGGCTGTTTTGCGAAAGGAAGTCTGCCGATATGGAGGTCAGATTCCTCTCCAGCCTGCTCGGCTCCTGACAGGCCCTGCCCTTTTCTACTACAAACATAGTGCATAGCTTGTTGGTATCGTTTCTCCATGTGTGAATGCTGCGCACCCATGGGGACTTGCTCGGGGGTTATTTTGCTAGGACGTAGCCTGAGCCAAGTCATCTGGGAAGAATCGCAGCTCTAGACCATGGCAGCGGGCATCGACACATACCAGTCACGATATCTTGTAGACAGGAACGTAGATGTACATCGTGGTGCGAAGCTCATGCGGTAGAGTGCGAACACTAATACTTGTGGTATCGCCGGAAAATGTCAGGGCGGAGAGAAAAGGACCGAACCTTAAGGCCCCGTCAAACATCGACATCATCGCAGCCTTCCGGATTCAATATGGGCAGTGTACAGTTGTACATAAATCTCACATTTGCTTGACTACCAGGGGAACGATGGGATCGAGGAAATAACAATTCTACAAACTTGTAAATGCCACAGAACAGAAGGGACATTATTGGCATTCAGTTCCACCGCATCGCCACTTCTTCTGCGCATCTGTGAAGGAGTTTCTGGATCCTGATAAATAGTGACTGCGGAAACCACCTCACTCACTTCATACGAACGAATATCACATATACATTGCCTTCCTTGCGACTCCGATCCCTAGCTCCTCAGGCCTGATCTCATCGCCGTACCCTCGTCCTCCAACTCTGAATCACCTGAAGACTGGCCACGAGGTGGTGGACTGCCCAAATGCTGGAGGCAACCACCACTGTTCCTCAATCATGACCTCGTCAACTTCCGGACTAGAACGCCAACTCAGACAGGCTCTCTGTGACCATCCACGTCAACATGCGTACCGCTATACCGACAAGGCTAGGTGTAGCCTGTTGGAGGGCCTCTTCCGATCTCTGACGAACGATCGACCCGACTACTTCCAAGACCTTTTCCCCAATGGCTTCCCAGAGTCTTGCAAGTTACAAGATGCGCAAGGAGTACAAGAGAATGCTGAATACTCTGCTGCTGCAAAAGGGCATCCTTGTGGACACATTTTCAAGGCTGGAGAGGCTAGCTATCATTGCAGTACATGTACCGATGACACCACTGCGGTGCTCTGCTCCCGCTGCTTCTTCTCCAGCGATCATGAGGGACACCAGTACACCATCGGTCTGAGTGCGGGCAACAGTGGGTGCTGCGATTGTGGCGATGATGAAGCGTGGAAGCGGCCGGTGAAATGTGCCATCCACACCGCAAGCGACGAGTGTACCACGACAGCCGAACATAGTTCCCCGTTACCGGTCGATTTGCAAGAGTCTATCCGTACCACAATTGGGACTGTGCTGGACTATTTTTGCGATGTTATCTCGTGCTCGCCAGAAAATCTCCGGTTGCCCAAGACCGTGGAATCAGTGACGCAGGACGAAATCAGAAGCCGGCTCACCGCTGAACATTACGTTACAGGAGACGAGATCGAAACCAATCCGGAATTCTGCTTGATCATATGGAACGACGAGAAACACACAATCCGTGAGGTGCAGTCGCAAGTTGCCCGAGCCTGCCGTGCTCGCGAATCATTTGGTCTAACCAAGGCTGAGGAAGCAAACGATGTCGGCAGAAGCGTGGTCAGACATTCCCGCGATTTGAAGGAGTTGACAAAGATGGCCAAGATCATCGAAGAGATCAAAGTCACTGTTACCATCAGATCTTCTAGAGATACGTTCCGGGAACAAATGTGCGGCACCATTATCGAGTGGCTCGCCGACATCGCTGGATGCAGTATCGGGGGAGATAGTCATATTCTACGACGCATAATCTGTGAGGAGATGCTGCAGATCTGGCGTGTTGGCAGCGAGGCTTGGAATGCCAAAGTGGGTAGAGATGATTTGGACGACCACGGCCAGGAGGACGATCGATACTTCCGCCGGAGAGCTAGGTTAAGGTACTTCGACCCTATTCAGTGGGCATTACAAAGGGCAATGGCACCCGAAACCTTGGAGGATGATGTCATCAGCGACGATGACAATGATGCCGAAGATGCCGGTGATTTCGAAGACGACGACGACGATGATGATGACGATCTTGAGGTGGAACGAGAGATGAACGACATCATTCTCAGAGCCACAGCAATCGAGGAGGCGGACGATGACCTCCATGACCATTCAGCTGATCCAGATGTGACGGATGATGCAGAAGAAATGGACACTGATGGTGATGGTGATGGCGATGGTGACGGCGAAGGAGATGGAGGCTCAGAGAATGACGGGGACGACCATTTCCTAGATGTCCCGGAGAGAATGGACACTGATGCCACGCCGCCTCCCCCTCCGCCGGCTCCTACGACAGATACGGCAGAAGCGAGCACTACTGCCAGAGGTAGGAGAGAAGACTCTCCGATCGGTCCAGATAGAAATGCGAACTACCTCAATATTCCCAGGACGCCGGCGGCCTCAGCTCGTACCGAACGGTCAGACTCAAGTCTTCCCAATTATTGGAAGTTCTTGCCACCAGGTCCGCAAGCACACGAGCATAATATCCCTGTCTATGAGGATCTGAGCAAGAATATACGAGTTGACTCAATGATCTTATTCGATCTTCGACTGTGGAAGGTGGCAAGGACCAACATCCGGGACTTGTTCATCAGCACACTGGTCAATATCCCTCAATTCAAACGTATTCTCGGTTTGCGCTTCTCAGGCTTGTACACGACGCTTGCCCAGCTATATCTGGTAGCAGACAGAGAGCCAGACCACTCCATCATCAATCTGTCCCTGCAGCTGCTGACCACGCCCTCCATTACAGAGGAAGTCATCGAGCGAGGGAACTTTCTGACGAATCTCATGGCTATTCTGTACACTTTCCTCACGACTCGTCAAGTCGGCTTTCCAAAGGACCTTGATCCTGGAGCCACTCTTGGTTTTGATGCTGGGTCGGTCGCCAACCGTCGATTGTACCACTTCTTTTCCGATCTGAGATATTTCCTAGCCTCACCATTTGTGCAGGCCAAGGCTCGCAGTGAACCCCAGTACCTTTTCCAATTTCTGGATCTGGCCAAGCTCTCTCAGGGTATCTGTCCTAACGTTAGGGCCGTCGGCGAACATGTCGAATATGAAACGGATGCTTGGATAAGTGCCTCTTTGTTAACTAGGGATATCAACAAATTGTGCCGTCAGTTTGCCGAAGCCTATTATCTGTCCAAGGACAGCAGCCTCTCTACAGTCCGTGCTACTTGTGAGGCAATCTCATACGCGGCTGGCATGGCCATCATCAACTCTGTTGGACTTGAGCGGCGTCGATTCGATCAAGCCGAGATCAAAGATCTGGTTCGATTTCACGAAGTTGGGCCTTTCGGGGACTCAACAGGCACCACTTACAAAGTGGTCGAGTTCGCGGTGGAGAATGGTGCGCTGAGTTTCCATCATCCTCTACACTATACTTTATCTTGGCTGCTGGAAGGCGGAAAAGAGACGAGACAATCGATAGAAGCTCTTCGAGAGGCCGCGCACGCATTCCTTCGGCATCTCCATGAGCTAAATCTGCCTCCTCGTGAGAGCATAATCAAGTCAACAGTCGCGACGGTCGACGACGCTCTCCTGGCCATGTTTGACTTCCCACTGCGGGTTTGCGCATGGCTGGCGCAGATGAAAGCGAATCTGTGGGTGCGTAATGGCATGAGTCTGCGGCATCAGATGCTGCAATACAAAGGTGTGGCTCATCGTGATGTTGGCTACCACCGCGATCTGTTCCTCTTGCAGACGGCTCTTGTGGCGTGCGACCCGAGTCGAGTTCTCGCTTCGATGATCGACCGATTCGGTCTGACCAGGTGGTTGCCAGATGGCTTTCGCTCTCTGGACATCTGCGATGACAGTCAGATGTTGGACCTCGCGGAGGAATTCCTGTATCTGCTGATCAATCTGCTCTCCGACCGTGACGCACTAGTGGCAGATCGGGATAACCCTGAATCACAGTTATCGGCAGTGCGAAAAGACATCGCGCATACACTGTGCTTCAAGCCTCTGTCATACTCAGATCTATGTGCTCGCCTGACGGAGCGAACGCAGGACCATGAACAGTTGCAGGAGGTACTCGAGCAGATGACAAAATATCGCCCTCCAGAAGGCCTGCATGACTCTGGCTTGTTTGAGCTGAAGGAAGAATACCTACAAGAGTTGGACCCCTACAATTCTCATTTTACCAAGAATCAAAGAGACGAAGCCGAGAACATATACAAACAATGGGTGGCTAAAAAGATGAACAAGTCGCCCGAGGATATTGTTCTTGAACCCAAGCTGCATCCGATCCGCTGCGAAGCCTATAGCAACCTCTGTGAAGTGGTGCACACACCTATCTTCTCCGAAGTACTGTTCAATGCCCTTTCATACGTGGCGCACGGTTACAAGTCGAAGTCGGGCGTGTCCGTGACGCGTGTGGAGGCATTCCTGCACATCGTTCTACAGCTCATTCTGATTGCCACACTAGAAGACCACTCAGGTGAGGACGGGTCTGATGTGCCTTCATTTGTACAGAACACCTTCATCCGACATTCGCATTCACCTCACGCTTCAAACTGGACGATTGTTACTCTTCTTCACACGATATACCAAGTCGATGAATTCAGCGCTTGCAGAAGCAAGATAAAGCATATTCTGAGATTATTCCTTGAAAAGCGGCCACAGCAGTTCGTCAGCGTCGTTGAGCACCTTGATTTCCCTACTGACAGGTTCAACACCGCATCTCCTGCCAATTCGGAGGCGGAGATGGAAGCCAAGAAGAAGCAGGCAATGGAGCGGAAAGCACGAGTCATGGCTCAGTTCCAGCAACAGCAACAAAACTTCATGGACAAACAGGGAGTGATTGATTGGGGAGACGAGGACTTGGACTCTCCTGAGGAAGAGCTGCCCAAGAGCACAGAGACCCGGCACTGGAAGTATCCTTCAGGATTATGTATCCAGTGCCGAGAAGATACGTCGGACTCACGTCTGTACGGTACGTTTGCCATGGTCAGCGATGCCCACATTTTACGAGAGACGCCTGTCACAGATGAGGACTTTGTGGGCGAGCTCTTTGCAGTACCCGAGCATTTGGATCGCTCCGCCGAGTCGATCCGTCCGTTTGGAGTATCCGGCTCCAATCATGCACAGGTGAAGCGACTGACGGCTGAGGGCCAAGAAGTCACGGTTGATTATCAGGGTCTAGGAAAGGGTTGGCCAAAAGACTGCACGATGAAAGGGCCGGTTTCGACAAGCTGTGGCCATATCATGCACTTCACCTGCTTCGAGAACTATTACCAGTCGGTCACTCGACGCCATGGACAGCAAGTTGCCAGGAACCACCCGGAACGGATTGTTCTTAAGGAGTTTGTCTGTCCCCTATGCAAGGCTCTGGCGAACACTTTTTTGCCAATCGTTTGGAAGCATTCCAAGCAGTCATATCCTGGATCCTTGCACGTTTCTCAACAATTTGATTTCTTCCTGGACAACGATCTTTCTGCCATCACCGGTTCCGCGGCCTCGGCGGAGGGGGACAAATTCGATGCCATGGCTTCACAAGTGTATAGCGAGACGTTGTCCACCTTCTCTAATCCTTCTCTTACGCCAGCCATTGCTCGGTGGCAGGAAGGAGACCTCACCATCAGCCCGACAAGCCAAGCATGGGCGGAGCGACCTGAGCTAGCAGCGTTTGCTGAATTGGCCAGCATCTATGGGCGGTTGCGAGAGTCTCTGTCGATCGTGTCGTGGGTGAATCAATCATCCCAGCCTGCTCGTCGCGAAAATCCTGTTAATCATGTCGAGCTTCTGGTTAACACTCTCGCCAACACGGTGGCTGCCGTGGAAATTGGACATCGTGGCCGTGAGGCTGAATTTGGGACGTCCGTTTTGACGAGCGTACCTCAGCAGACCCTCAGTCACCTGCAGACTCTTTCATCAACGTTGCGAGCGTATATTGCAACTGGAGCATTGACTGTGCGAGGTTCGGCAGAGTTTCAATACAAAGAACTCTCTCAACGGATTGAACGGCAACTCGCCGGTACTTCGGTTCGCTACACAGCTCAGAACAACAATGCTGACCCACCAAGTTCGCTTTTACGGACCGACTCGTTCCAACTTCTCGTCCAGGCCACAATGCTGTTGTGCCCCATTCGCAAGCTGGAACTCCGGCACGTGCTGCAGTTAACGTTGACAGCCGAGCTCTTGCGAGTTGTGTTGACGTTCGTGCTTGGGCACAAGGCCTTTTTCAAGTCGACCGAGAACCTGTCCAAAAATCAGATTCGTCATGCGGTTCCTCTGAATGCGGATCCTGAAGAATTGCGCAGTGTTAAGACTGTTATCGGCTGGATTAGTCAATGTATCCAGCAAGCTGGCGTAGAGGCTAGTCCGTTATTTGATCAGCTCCAAGAAACCATGGCACGCATGTCAGTGACAGAAGCGGGAGCGTTATTCAGGCTCTGCAAAGTGTACGCTCTCGCATTTCTGCGAAAGACTGCCATCCTCGCCCATGTCGCGCATGGCATCGACTTCCCCACCACGGTCGGCTCGGAAGCCAGCCTGCCGGAACTCGACCGTCTGTTGCATCTCTTCCAACTGCCCAAGATCAGTGACATTTTGTTGGCATTTGATGAGTATTCGACTTCTCGCGCCTTGAAGAATCAAGCCGGTGCCTGGATCTCAGATAGCATCAGGCAAGAAGCAAGCAGGGTTGATGCCAACAGCGTCCGTCAAACCCCATTGGGCATCCGATTGCTTCATCCGGCCCCACTAGAGCTGATCGGGCTCCCGAGGTACTTTGACGTTCTCATGGAAGAATCTCACCGCCGCAAGTGTCCCACTACTGGCAAGGAAGTGTCGGAGCCGGCACTGTGTCTGTTTTGCGGGGAAATCTTCTGCTCTCAAACCGTGTGCTGCCTCACGCCTGACAAGCGCGGCGGTTGCAATGCCCATGTGGACAAGTGTTCGAGCCCGATCGGCATGTTTCTGTTCATCCGCAAGTGTCACGTGGCCCTCCTGCATGTTGTGAAAGATCCCAGAAAGCTGGGCGACAGCGAGGGTACAGGTAGCCGGGGTGCTCAGATGTTGTCGCTGGGTCCTCTTACCCTAAGTCATGGCTCGTTCTTCCCGGCGCCGTACTTGACTAAGCATGGAGAAACCGACTCGGGTCTCCGGTCGAAGCATCAGTTGATCCTCAATCAGAAACGATATGATAAGCTTTTGAGGGATACTTGGTTGATGACCAACGGGAGCGTCTGGAGTACTATTGCTAGGAAGCTGGAAAGTGAGGTCAATGCTGGCGGATGGGAGACATTGTGATTACTAGTACTAGGACTTTATGTGTCACCGTTTCAGATGGAGCGGCTGGTCAGAACTAAGTCCTGGTCGGGAGGTGGGTGGTTGACCTAAGGTACCTGGGAGGTCAGCAATGTATGGACTGTACATGTACCTGGCTGCAAGGATCATGGTAGTGATTAACAAACTTGCATGAGATACTACTGTCAAGTAGTATGGCACTGCATGATCGATAAAGTCAAGCAATCATAGGCTCGGTAATTGGCATGATATTGATGAGCTACCTATGTAGTCCAACAAAATCACAAATCAAATAGAACAAACACACTAGCGCTGGACAGATGAATGTTCGTACACTGGCAGTACTGTATCTTCATATCAGTCTACTGCTGAATACCTGGAGATTTCTGATACATTCTGGCTTGGCTCAGCCCAGCTCAACATGCGCTGTTAACCCCTGCGAGTGTTTGCCATCCCTTGCCGATGATGTGAAGTGAAATGAAATGCGCACATTGATCTTCTCACATTACAAGCGAACCTAATCCCAGTACTAGGCACCTAGGTGCTAGGTACTTTCATTCGGTCGTTTCCGGATACTCTCGCACATGGCACCCCCTTGACACTGGCACCGCCCTCTTCATCCCGAATCCAGGGTCCAGCCTTGCTCATCAACTCATCTCCCAAACACTTTCTTCCACATGGGCGTCTGGGGAATGCCACTGCCCGATGTGTCCAACTCAAACGATGACGACGGGATACTAACCGCCGGCGGCTTTGGCTTTGGCTTCTGTTTTTCCGCACCTTCGCCACTGTTGGCATTGTCGTCATTGCCAACCTTCTTCTTCGCATTTTGTTTTCCAGGTTCTGCTACTTCCCTCTCACTCCCACTTTCATGCTCGCTCTCCACATTCAAGTCTCTGACAATCGGGGCTGGGGTACCTTTCTCCAAGTCATCGTCGCCCGGTCGAGTATGTCGGGCGCCTGCGGGTCGCCCGGAGAGAGGATATCTTGCAAAGCCCTGTCCCTGTCCTCGTCTTTGAGACGGGAAATGCATCCTCTTAGGCGTGATCGGTGTAGTGACGGACTTGACGGCGCTGCCGACCCTGCGGGCCGATCGACGTAAGCCTTCTTTGACTTTCCAGTGTCTCTTTTTGGCCAGGAAATAAAGGACTGTAAGGGTGACTGTGGGTGCAAAAACCGGCCCAGGGAGGGCCGCAAGTGGTTAGCAATCAAGTATGTCAATGGTTTGACATCTTCCAGAGGAAATACAATCCGAATCCATATCCACGTCCATGTCCACTGCGAACACTCTCCAGTACAGACGTAGACGAAAACAGAAATATAAGAGAAATCAAAACTTACTGCCCAAAACCACCACAATACTAACAACCACCGCAATGGCGACCGTCGCGCCGCGACTGAGATTCACCGCGCCTGTATCTGGGCCCGCGGCCCCGGCGTTCGTCGAGCTCTGTGAGTCTGAGCCAGAACCCGATCCAATGTCCCCGGGTCCGACGCCGCTCGCTGCGCCGCCGTCATCCGTGCCGGTGCCAGTGCTGTTGCTGGATTGGGCCGACGCCAATGGCGTATAAAGGTCCAGAATCAAAAACAGGGCAAATAGGTTGAGAGATGTCACTGGCAGGGCCGATATTGATGATGAGCGAGACATCGCCACGGTGCGTCTTCAGCATACACCCACGCACAGAGAGAGAGAAGGTATGCCTGTTCAGGTAGAAAGGCAGTGTAATCAAAGCAACGGAAACAAACCTTTTGGACTCGCATTGACCACTGGCACTGTGGCAGGGAGGGGCAGCACCTTAGATATGTTTCTTCCTCAACTCACGGTCAACTTCGAGTGGACCATCTGGATGGCCTGGAGGAAGGACTTTGGCGGAGGACGGGCGCTTCTGGAGCTCTAGCCACTGCCCTGCCAAGCGGCGCAAGATGTGCCTTCTCACCCATCAGGCCGGGAAAGAAAGAGGACGGATGTGATAGTTCCTTTGTTTCTTCAAGTTTATCGAGGCAAATCATAGGACGTGAAACGAGTCAAGACTGTGCGTGAAACGTGAAACGCTTGGTGACGCCCGCTGTAGCCGCCGGGTTTGGTCCAATCGCCTTGCTCGAACGGAACCTCATCAACCTCATCAACAATTACTGCATGGAATAACAACGTCGACACTTTAGCCCTCTCCGCCTCTGCAAGGGATCGCTGTCAGTAAGATGCATATATCGTGTGTGGTGAGATTGTTTGCTTGCATTGGCCTGCAGTGATCGACCGACACCTACCTGTAGGTGACCGATATGGCCCATTTCTGATGAGTAAGCCATGATGCACTATTTCGAACAGACATGGACGGTGCTCCAGGACCTACAGTGCCAGTGCCTAATGATCTCGAGCTTGTGTGTCTTTCTGTTACCGCTCTACACGCTTTTACCTCGCCTGTCCGTTATAAGTTGTGCCTTTCTTTGCTTTCTGCTTGTGAATGACTGCGGTTATTACACCTTCTTTTCTATTCCTCGCTATATGTGTTCTATCTTCGCGAGTGGCGGTAAAGGGCACTCTTGCCGCCCCACCAACTGCAGCGGAGCAACAACTCGATGTTGAGAATTATGCTCCTTAATCTTCGAGAGGAAGGATTCGTTGGAGATGCCCGTCGTTAGGTTGGGAAAATGGCGTTGTGGCAGCTCATGATGCTACCCGCGGCTAAAGAGGTCGGCGGCTGTCGGTTGGGGCAGAGGTTTGCCGTGTGGGAGATGTGAGCACCGTGGAGCTGAGCCATGGGATGTCGATGTATTGGATGCGCGACGAGGTAGTTAACTATCTTCTTGTTCTTGCATCCCATTCAAGTGAAGGCAACGCAGCTGCATGATTTGGTCGTGAGATCCAGGTGCCAGCGTCTGTTAAGCTGTTGAAGTTGGAGGATCATTGCTTGAGGAGACAGATAGAGAGGCAGGCACTGTCTGCGCCACTGACCTGCGTCTTGCTGCACATCTCTCTGCCTCAGGGTTTCTTCCAGTCCATCCAGTCTCGCTGCCTCCAAGCCAACTGTCTATTCTGCCCTCTCACTTCTTCGCAGGCCAACTCGGAGTTTTTGCTGGGTTCTGGCTGGATTCCGTCAGAGCCACAACCCCTCGTCAAAGCGTTGAGATTTTACCCTTGTTTCTGTATTCTGTGCCGCTTTGTCCCCTTTCCCCTCTGTGTCTATCTATCCTTCAAACCTCAGTACCATGTCCGATCGCCCCTTGACCCGAACCCAAGTTCATCCTCAAGAAGATGTGCCGCAAGGCCATCCGAAGGGGCCGGCTGTTCAACCTAAGGATGACTTCAACTGTGAAATCGTCCCTGATGATGACATTGAAGTTTATGATCATGCACTGAACGGGCCCCAAAGTCCTTCAGCCACTTCGGTTTCGATATCAGTTGACGAGACCCCCATCTCTAAGAGCCTGGCCCAAGCCCGGGCTAAATCCTACACATCGAACCAACTTCCAACGGCTGCGTCAAAATGTTTTCAGAGACCAAAGATCTCAGCGCACAAGGCAGAGCTAACTGGGTTTTCGTTCATGCCTGCAAACTTCAAACCGATCGCCATCAAGCCCTCACGGGAAGAGAAACCTGCAATTCTACCGTTGCCACAACAATGTGAAGCCACCGAATTCCAATATGCGGCTCCGAGATCAGTTTCGTCTGCTAGGTATCCAACCCAGAACACATATGATGTTTTTCTTCAGCTAACGTGTTATTCCAAATAGAACCGAGCGGCCTTTTGCTGTGCACGCCAATGAGCCTGGCGAGACCTCTAAGGCTTGTGGCAATGGCGAAGATCAAGAGCGGCATCCTTCAAGAATCCATCCAGGGGCTGATCTTACCGAACGTATCCCCACAAAAATGACCCACCTCCCAGAGGCCTCTGATCAGGGACATCAAGAAGCAGAGGTAGAGTCTCATCGACTCGCAGATCAATGCTCATTGGAGGATGCGGTGCCGCAATCAGTGTCAAAAATGGAGATTGACGGAGACGAATCGGAGACCGAGCATATGGAGAGCGATTCTAAGCAAGTCAAGGCTGCTCCATGTCAGCAAGAAACTGCAGCCGCGGACAGTCCTGGTCAGAATGTCGTCGACGAGACAACAGAAGGCTCCAATATTGACACTCGGACTCCGTCAACGCCGTACACCCTTCGGCAACGGCAAGGCCAAGCCGGAAAATCATCCATACATGCATCAAGGGTGCACAAGACGCCAGCACGGCACCCCGGACGGCACCAAGCACGCCAACTGCAGCTTCCAGTTAGACCGCGGCACACCAACGTCAGCCGTTCGCAACCGTCTGAAGAGGACCTGTTGTACATTCTCATGGCACGTGCCCGAGAATCATCCCGAGCCATGAATAGGCTAGCTTTCCTTGAAGAACAAAACCAACAACTTGCACGCGAGCAGGAGATCAAGGATCAAGCACTCGAGCAAGCGATGGCCGCGCAGAGCGAGAGTGCACAACAGCAGGACACTCTCGCCCGGGCACTAGAAAAATTCAAGGAGAAATATTACAAGCTGAAAAAGTGGGCTCTTGAGGCCAACAAGGATTGTGAGGTCCTCCAGACCAAAGCACTGCAGTTCAAGGAATTGCTAGGTAATGTGATCAAGGACAGGGATGAAATTCTTGCGCAGCTGCGAGATGCCCGGTCTACGTCCGAAGCAGTCAGCAGCCGGATAGAACACATATGGTCTGACGTCCAGGATGTTACTGCTGTAACGCAGACAAACTTTTCCACGATCGAACGGATGGATGGTATCCTTGTGGCCCAAGAAGAGCATCTACGCAGTGAAAAGCAAAGGTGCCGCAAGCTGGAGACACATATAGTGTTTCTGGAGCATGAAAGAAACAAACGTGACGCTCGACTGCAGATTCAAGCCAAGTCCCTGGAAGAAACAGTACAAGGTTTCTCAGACCGGGTTGGCGCTCTGGCAAACAGGAAAGCCAACGACGACATGGAGAAATCCTGGCTTATGGAATGCCAGACGATGTTCCAAGGACTACTTGACAGAAGTATGTGCACCAACTCCGCTATGGATGGTCTCAAAGACACTTTAAACTCTATGAAGGATCTTTTCAATGCTCACACGACCACAAACTCCGAATCCTTGCAATCGGCGGTGGAAGCTCTCAAACACCAGCTGCAGCAAGACATATCAAAGCAAGCCGCTAAGCTCTCATTGGAAGTTCAATCCGGCAACAAAGAAGTTGTCCAAGCACGAGCAGAGATTGCTCGGTTGCAACAGAAGTCAGAACAGGTCGATGGCATCCTCGAGCATCTGCGGCATGATAAAACGGCTGCAGAAGACCGAGAGCATTTCTTGCAAAACACCACTTCAAGATTGATGGAACATTTGGGCGGAACCAGAGAAGCCATGCAGAAGCAGTCTGTCGAATTGCGTGGCGAGCTAAGTGCGCTTGTTACAAAGTGGGAGTCCGCCTGTTCTCAGTTGGCGGAAGGCAAGCGGCACATAGCTGAGATGGAGAAAGAGCTTGAGCGTGCGAAGCTGGAGCTGGCTGAGAGTGGCAAGAGTCGAAAACTGCTCGAGGAAGAACTCGACAAGCTCCGCGACGAAATGGCTGACGCTCAACAACGTGCGGAACACGGTCATAAAGACGAGGTATGTTTGAGACAAACTGAATGAATTCTCCTGACAAGGCTAGGTGAAATTGCTCGAGCTTCAGTTGGAAACTTTCAAAGAAGAATTGGACTACCAGCGTCGCAAAAGGGAAACTGCGGAAGAAGACGTCCAAGCAATGAGGCTATTGCAGTCTGACATGCAGCAGAGCCTTGAGAAAGCCGAAGCCGAAAAAAGCACTGCTCTCAAGGAAGGTCTCAGCTTGCAGAAGAAGGTGGAAGGACTAGAAGCAAGCCTAACACTGGCTCGTGTGAGTGAGGGTCTGCTGGAAGAAGCAAAGACTCGTCTGGAAGCGAAAACCACCGAAGTGGCCGAGCTGAAACATGTTGTCAAGGACCACGAGAACCTGAAGAGAGACCTTTTGAATCGTCAACGTGAGCTCAATGCTAAAGACTCGGAATTGAAGGCCTGTCAGGACCAACTTTGTGAGTTGCAAAACAAATCCGGACGGCTGGAAGAACAGATCAGGGAGCAGCAGAAGCTCCTGAAGGAGAAGGACCAGCTACAAGTCGAACTAACAGCAAGCCGGCTAGAGCTGGTTGGCATGGCGAACCTGAAGCAAGAACTTGAACACCACGTCGCGAGTATTGCCAGATTACAGTCGGCTCTTGCTATCGCGGAGAAGGACGCCGCTGAAGCGAGCCACCTCAAGGCACACAACTCCTCGCTGAATGACCAGATTGACACCCTTACATTAGATCTCAAGGCCGCCCAAGAACAAAACGAGCAAATCACTACTCTTAAGGCGACCGCTGAGCGGATGGAAGACGAGATCGCAGCTCTCAAGGCGACATCGGAGCAAAAAGAAGATGAGATCATAGCTCTCAAGGCGACAGCTGAGCAGAAGGAAGCCGAGATTGACACTCTCAAGGCAACGTCTGAGCAAAAGGAAGACGAGATCACAACGCTCAAAGGAACAGCTGAGCAGAGGGAAGCCGAGATCAACAATCTGAAAGAGAGGCTCGAGTTGTTCGATACACAAGCGGATGCACTCCAGAGCGCCAAGGAAGAACTGCAGCGCAAGGAGGAGAATATTGCAACCATTCAGCAGCAAGTATTGACACTCGAGGGTGCTCTGTCCAAAGCCATGCTACACAAGGAAACGAATCCCCCGGAAAGTACGAGAAGAGTTGCGGATCGCTCAGGTAGCCGGGTCGGGCTGTCTAACAATGGCCCCGTTGTGGCACATGGCCTCGTCATGGCATCATCTCCCGGTGTTGGAGAGGACACAGCCTGTGCGTTTCCACAACAATTGACTGGGCCCTCGGTCATACCTGAGACTCAGTCCGCAACTCTTCAGGAAAATGAACAGTACCAAGTTGAGTCTGCGACACAAAGGCCCCAGCAACACGATGATGCCACCTCCGAACTGAGCGAGTATACCAGTAATGCCTCAGACCATGAACCTGGAGTTAATAACATTATCCGCAAGAAAAATACCAATATGCGTGCTGGAAGGCAAAAGCAGAAAAACACCCAACCTGGGAACAGTCAAACCAAAGGTCATTGTCAACTTACCGGACGCACTCCGTCCAGCTCTTATGGCTCACAGAATGACCAAATGTTGCTGGACCAAATGGCCCAAGAGGAGGATTCGCTTGAGGAGATCTCACGTCTTTTGTCCGAAGCTGGTGACGATGAAGATAGTCTATCTTGGGATAGGAGTGCGTCAAAATCGGGCCGAAGCCCGAGGCCAGTGACAAGAAGTTCTCAGACACGTCGACCTGCCATGACACCTACTCCGGACACAAGTCCAGGAACAAATACACCAAGGGAGTCCACGCCTGCCGTCATGAGAGAACGCTACCCGCCGAATTCGGCGGCGAAAAGAAAAGTGGACAATGACGACAAAGATACCCAGCAAGAGCGAACGCGCCGACTGAAGCGCAGACCTGCGAACCTCGAAATCAGACCGCCGCGCAGTTCGGCTCCGAAACCCCCATCAGGAGAACAAAATGGCTCGGGAGTTACTCTGAACTACAGAAAGAGCAGTAGCGTGGTGGGAACCAATGCTCCAGCTCCAGGGAAAGGTCAACGGTCGTCCAAACCAGCCAGGAGAGGGTCTCGACAGGACAAATATAACAATCGGTTTGCTGCATAACTGGGGAGAAGCAAAGATTGAGAAGCGTCATGAAGTGCAATTTGGTAGTCATTGAGTATCTGATACGGATCAAAAGGAGAATGAGTTGCATGCGATTTTGGGGAACAAAAGGCTCAACGTCGGGTTCTTGATGGGTTTGCTGGTTGAGCAGGTACACGGAGTGGCCATAGACATACTAGCTAACGGCAGATTTGAGTTTCCGCTATGCAATTAAGATGGTCATTTGTGAAATCAAACTGTGGTCGTTTGTCTCCTTTCGTTTCAAAGTATGACTGCGAGTAATTTGCTTTGCCTGGCGATGCGAGGATAGAATACAAGGTCAGGGCTGAAACCAGAAGAAAGTCCAAGTTCGTAACTTCAAGTTTTCGTTAGGCCGGTAGGTTATAGGAGGTACAGCAACATCAGTGACAGTCACGAGAATCATCATGTTGACTGATACAGTCACATCATGCAGGCCCTGGCCGCCTCGTGCGTTTCGTCTGAGCTCAATAATCATATACCTAGGTAATGAGACACATCCGTCCGGCAAATGACCCAAAGCCCACGCTTCACATGACGAAGACGCCGGAGAATAATCAAACACAAACACACCTGCGTTCTGATCTGGTCGGAACGATCCACAAGCGAGTGCCGATACATCGATTCTTCCATCCCGGGGTTAGGCCAGTAAGTGTAGCGGACGAGGGGGCACCTTCTCTTGTCTGACAACCGATTTTGTCTTTTGTAACCTCACACAGTGCATGGAGTGGTGATGCGATTGATGCGCATAACATAAACAAACATTGACCAAGTGATGTGTTCGTTTCTTCTTTCCGCCGAAGTGATGCCAATGCCTGGTCCGATGGCCCAACCACTGCATTGTTCACTCGTCGAATTTTGAACACTCTGCCTCTCTTCCAATCACTCCCTCGCTCGAGTCAATTGTGCCGATTTCATCCTCTTCCAGGGTTTCCCTGAGCAAACCCCCGTTTCAACTTTCCCCTTTCCTCTTCACCGTTTCGTTTTTCTACATCCAATCCCGGTGGTCATTTTGACCGTCCAGTTGTGTCAGGTATTTCCCCGCCTGTTTAAAACTCAAGAAGTGGAATAAATCCAGTTAATGCAGTATAATAATGTTGGTTGATGGAATTCATTTCCCCCTCTTCTGCTCCAGAAACAAGACCTGCCTCTTGACCACAGGGTCGTATTTCAACATACTCAGCGGTCGGGAGGCGCGAGGCCGCACCAGCGTTCGGTAGTAGCCTGTCATGGCCATGCTGATGAGGCGGACGGCGATGGTTCGTGATTTCGCTACAAAAAAACAAAGTCAGCATATTGATCAAGGCGTATGACTGGGTTTAATTTGATTTGCTCGCGTCTTTGTTGGAGGGAGGAAGAGTTGAGGTTCGTCCATACCTTTTTTAGCCATTGTGCCCAAAAAATAAAAGGGTAGAAAGGTCGGAGAGGAGACCGATGTAGAAAGCAGACTCGCCCGGCAGTTCGATTCCGCGATCGCAGTGAGTGGTATCAGTGAGGTCGAGGATGAAAGTTTAATTGTTTGCTTGTCCGTGGAGAAGAGATGTGCTCCGGGATGAATCAATGGGGGTTATATAACGACGCGGAAGAGGAGACAGGTGGATGTCCTCCTTGGTACGGTAGATAGGCGGACGGCAGATGGATGTCGAAGTAGTTGTTTCAATTGAGGTGAAGTGTTTCCCGTCTGGTTCCACGATCAACTAGGTTGGCCGCGTGGTGACAGGCTACCGGACACAGCAGGGGGCCTGTGCCGTCCGATTGAGAGTTCCGAGTTGGAATGGTGCCGAAAGTCGAAAGCGGAAGCTCGAGGTCAAGTTTGCGGACCGGTACAGTACAAAGTCCAAGTTCAATGCTCCGCGATGCCGGGAGGACCTACAGTAGACTTGGCGCCAAGGCCGCGACTTCAGTGCAAGGCTGCAAGACGAGGCTACGAGGCTACGAGGCTCTGCACCAAATGAGCCTGACGGCTTGACTTCCCTTTTCCGGCGCGCCTCGCCCATCCACATGCCTCGTCCTTCTTATTAGTACTCAATTTTATGGCATGTGACTAGGTAGGTGTAGAGTGCGTCAATAAGTCGCATCCAGATGACTTTAACCGGGATAAAATGCCACAACCAGAGCCTGGCTTGCGGTATGGTGATGATAACTTGATTGCCAGCAGCGACAGAGACAATGGGTGGAAGGAACCAAGAAACGACAGACACAATGGCAACAGTGCAGATACTAGGTATTGATGGGGGCTAGACGCTTCCCCCTTTCTCGGACTGACCCTGATGGCCATAAAGCGCGTTAAAGAATCATACAACATATCAGCGACTAGAACATTCGCCGCCCTCAGGCTCTGCTTGGCCTAGAAACCTTGACTTTCTTGCCATTAGACCTTCCTGCACGGCGGTGTTCATCCCATCCATAGAGTCTGCCTTTCGCCCGTGAATCAGCGCTGCGGGTCCCGGCCGACGCTTCATCCTTGTGGTTCTTTTGTTTTTTTTTTGTCTAACCTTCTAGATGCACCTCCCTAGCAAGTTGAATGCCACTCGAGAAAACTCCCCGCGGAAAGTCCGGTCCGTGCAATGCAATCCTGTGCCCGCTGAAAGAAAGACGCCCTCCATCCCGTGCAGACGAAAAGAAACTCTCGACATGCAGAAATCACTGGAGCAATGGATCCTGAAAAATGTGGTCAGTACGCGACAAAACGTGAAGAGATAAATAACAAAGCTTACTCTGAAATGTTTCTGGAAATTGTTCTGTTTCTCCAGTTTGGCCTGATAGCGGTTCTGTTGACGTTGTGCTTTTGTTCGACTTCGGATTTCCTGAGACCGCACATCTCTCCGTTGCTGATTAGATGCACCTAGCATACCAGCCTCGCCGCGTCTCATAAGGCTGTTCCGAGGCGGAGTGGCAGGGGGCATCTGGATGTCATTATCATCGATGTCCTCCATCTCTGCATCCGAACTTCCTTCTTCAATTAGTCTCTGGGCTCGCTCCATTCTTTCTGCCGCGGTAGGGTACGAATGCAGGTTTTGTCGGTAATATTTCCGCAAGTTTCGGTGACCCGCCACGCGACCACTGGGAAGATACATTTCGTGTTCGTCGTAGAAGACTGCATTGTTATGGTGATGTGCATGAGAATGAAACCCATCGGCTGTTCGATGCGGTCTCGGATCAGTGTTGGAATGGTGACGATGCATGGGTAGACGTTGATATGATGATGTGCGGTCATCATTGGGGACCGAGGCAAGATCATTGGTGTCGAGCGATGAAAAGGACGAATCTGTCTCCCATCCATCATCTGCTTCGGCCTCTCCCCAACCGTTCAATTTGACACCGCCGTTTTGTTTCGACTTGGCCTCAGTTTCTGACTCGTCCCCACCGTCGTCTGAATATGTGCTGGAGAAGTCGTAGAATTGCCCGACCTCAATCATTTCTTCTTCCGTCTCAAAGGCAATTTTGCAGTGTCCCTTGTCCCGCATGTGAGTCTGCACGCCCTCGGCGTTCCCGCGCAGTTTGTGGCAGTACAGACATTCAAAGTTCTCGTGAATCTTGGCTTGCATATATCGCAGAAGTCCCTCGGGGTCGACCAGATAGTTCTGCTCAGGGATAAAGAGGCCGTGAATCTTGGTCATATGCGCGACGCTGAGTTTGACATTGGGTGAGTCGTAGTTGCAGAAGAGACATCTGGACAAAGGAATGGCGGACACCACAGGCTTTTCCGGGGACATGGGATGATCCTCCTTCGGCTCGACGTCTGGCGGGGGTGCCGAAGGTCTGCGTAGTATTGAAGCAGGAGGTTCTTGTATCGACGTCTCTTTCATTCCGGCAACCACCTTTTCAAACTCGGCTTCGGCTTCCGGATCCCGTGGTTCTGAGGGGCTCACTGCTGACTGAGAGACCGAGTCTGCTCTCGAACTCTTGTTGCCCGCCAACTCTTTTGCTCGATGTGCTTTGCTGGCTAGATGGTTCTGGTATGCATTCTCGCTGTAGTACGTCTTCTGGCAAGTCGGGCACGATTTGGCAAACGAGGCTTGAGCAGCGGCGGCTTTGTTCGTGGCTTGTGCGGCAAGGACTTTCTCATTGTAGTCTTCCGAGGACACCGCAGGCAGTTCGGCTAGTCTTCTCTTAAGATTGTATCGGTGCCAGTCACTTCGCATATGAGTCCGCTGGGCATCGCTGTTGCGAAAGGCGACGGCGCAGGAATTGCAGGTGTACGGGTGAGTCTGCGCGATGTCGACAGGTGCGGGTGCGGCGGTCGCCATGATGGCTGTCGATATCGGGGCAGAAAGATATCTAGGTTGAGCAGAGGAGATAGGAAGAGAGGAGGAACGAGGAGGAAGAGAACCACTGGCAACTGTGTGAGAGTTGGTGGCTACAGTGGCCGATGTTTGAAATAGTATTGACGATGAAGTGAATAATGTTGGAGGGTCGCGGATGTGGCGCTTTTCACGGGGCACAGCGAAAAGATGAGACGGCGACACAGACGAAACAGTGACAAAGTGACGTGAATCGCTGTCGACTTTTTCCATGCTCCACCAACCCCGAAAATAGTATGGGTCCGAGTTTATGCTGGAGATCTTCAGGGTCTCGTATCGAACTCATAAGGGTAAATAGGTACTAGTAGTGCTTGTTACAATCACCGTGTCCATCATACAATACTCTCCTTTTAACAAAGCACCCTACTTGATTACGAAAACTGCATGATCACCGCCTCTACTCTTGTTATAGGAACGCCTCGGATAGCCACATAATAAAAAAAGAATTAGTCTTCCAAATCTCCTCTTTGATAGGATCGATTGCTTGGTTCAGAAGTTGTAATTCGAGCCTGATCAAGAGTCTCGTTCTATGGGGTATCACAGTCATTAATCATCACACAGCCTTGTCCCGACGCCCCCAGCCGCGAGTCTATGTATTATTAAGGCCACCCTGAATCCTTCAAACACCACCATTATTAACCCTATTTTTGAATCATTGCCGTATGCTGACAAATGCGATATCATGGCTCCTGAGCTTCATCAGGCCAAAAGCAACCAAATGGCCAGCCCAAGCAGCACTTTGATGCTCCAGGAACAACGCTCTCCGGCTGCGGCGCTGACTGCAAGTGGTGTTTGTGTTGCAGTAGTGGATGAAGATACGGTTTCTGATGTAGTGGTAGAGGTTTTCAGCGTTGTATCCGGTCTGGAGGTCGACGGAGATCTTGTGTTCGTGCGAAATGCTCCGCTTGCCATGGTTGAATGCGAGGCGTCTGATGTTGCTAAAGAGGTGCTGGGGGATGGGGAGAGAGTGGAGGCTTCCATGCCGGAAATTGTCGCCGAACTAGCCAGTGCAGGAGTTGCCGTAATGGCACTCGTGCTGACATCGGGCGCTCCCGGAGTGGTGGAAACTGGTTGGGTTGTGGTCGGTAAAATCGGTGTTGTGCTGGGTAGAGACACCCTTGTAGCTCCGAGATCAGTGCTTGAGCTGGCCGTGTTTGTAACAGTCACATCCAGTGAAAGTGATTCCGTGTTGCTTGCAGCGGTAGCAGTTGGAGCAGTCGCCGGGTTTGGAGACTCAGGATGCCCTTGTGTTGAGCTGGTAGACAACTCGGAGGCTATGCCCACAGAACCATCACCGGTGACACTGGTTGATGTTGGTTCTGAGAGCTGCGTGTTCGTCGATATATCAGAAGAACCTAAACCTAACGTGCTGGTGATGAGAAAGCCTTGACTATCGTAACTCTTGGGTATCGTTGATGCTGCAGGGTTGACTATCACAACAGTTGGAAAGCCACGATCATCGTACGAGGTGGTCACTTCAGAGTAAAGCGACCCCGAGACCAAAGACGACACTTGCGCAGATGGCGACGGAGGGGATGGAGTCTGTAGCCGCGTTAGTCCTGAGAAACAATAACTGAGCTGGACTAAGGGAGTACTGACTTGTCAGCCCAGCGATCGAGGCGCTTACCACAGTCACGGCCGTCGCGGTTGCCGTTCCCGACCATGGCCAGCCAGTCCGGGTTGCGGAGACGGAATTCGTGTTATCTCCATTACCAAAGGCCAATGGAGCGCTGTTCGAGACATGCGAAGTGACCGCGGGCGCATCGGCCGTCGAGACGGGTGTTCCGTTGCCTTTGGAGTTGATCTGACCTCCAGTGGACACGATGGACTGCCATGTGCCACTTGTGCCCGAGTACGAATACTGGGACCCTGTCGAGTAGTCCGTGACATGAACCGACTTGACATACATAGTGAAGGGACCAGCAGAATAGTCTGTCACGCCGCCAGCCCATTGTATTGTCCCTTCCGGGTTGGACGGGTCTCCTCCAGCCCAGGCACCCAATTTGACGTACATTGGCGTCTGGGGATACTGCCCGGATTCGGCTTGTTCCTGGGTCATGGCTCGCACAGTGGTCCCGTCGATAGACCAAACAATCTGGTCAGCAGTCCAGTCGATACTGTATGTGTGAAAGGTGTCATGATTGTTGTCCGCGCCGTGGAAAGCTCCGCGGTTGTACCCGGTAGTTGTGATTCCTTTCCCGAAGTAATTGCTCTGCGCTTGAGTATTGTCACCACCTAACCATTCCCAGTCAATCTCGTCCAGGCAGTCTGATTGAAGGATGGCAGCGCTGACAATGCCGGTTCCGGGCGCAGCTTTTACCACGAAGTCGACGTGACCAAACATTATGTACCACTTTGAAGAGATGGAGGGAGCGTCGCCCGATTTCGAGATCGTGAATGCCGCGCCATTCGAGTCGTAGGTTGGATTTCCCGAGGACGTGAATTCGTTCGAGGCACCAGATGTGAAATCAATATCAACACTCTTTCCCAGAGCGGGGTCTGGCGAACATCCACCTGTCGGAGGTTAGTGGACGATCAATTCATATGCTGGAAGGTAAAGCTTACTCTGGGTCAGAGGATTGCATGACGAGTAGGTCTGTGCTGTGGTCGGTGCGAGCAGTGTGGACAAGATCAGTGCTTGAACTAATGGGCTTGCGATTCTGGAATACATGATATGCAGCATAGGATGTGGTCCCAACTCCGGAAAATGCAGATTGAGACAGCAACAACAGATGGGGTATTAATTGCAGCAAAACGATAACACGCAAACAAGAAAGCAAGCGGGATATTTACGGAATCGAACTGAGAGACGTGGTAGAGAATTTGAGGGTGACGGCGTTGAATGTAGTGATCCGGAAGATGGTATGGAGGAGGCTGGTAAACAGCGCAACGTCACGGCACGGAAACCAAGCCATCAATCGCATGGTGAAGAATTTAGTGAGCAGGGAGTGATTCAGGTGATGAGACAAAGATCCATTGGTGATGGAGCCCGGGAGGCCATTCTATTCACATTGATCCTGGCTTCTAGAATTAATACTGGATAGAATGCTGGGAGGCTGGATGATGATGGAGAGTCCAACGCATCACCAAAGAGAGGCCAAGTCGGTGAATAGCTGGAGGGAGTCCGTCATTGGCTGTAGGAACTCTGTGGTTGGTGGCTGGAACGGCGCTAAGCCACAGGCAGCTAACCTATCTGGGCGATCCGGTGCCAGGGATTCGGGCCGGTGACTTGGCAGTAGCCACGGCACTGATTGGCCACTGACTGTGGCTAAAGTACAAGTGGCTCAGCTAGTGCCATGCCACTGGCCCAAGTTCTGGGTCACTCATCCCTTCAAGTTCCTTATCAGCAACGCACTCCCATGAGTTCAATAACCGCTCTTCTCGGTATCACAGTGCCGTATGTCATTGTAGGACCCCAAGTTATTTGGATTGCTTGTAACGGTATAGGTCTGTTTCCATTCATTTTCACTGACTGCTCAGAGCACACGGTGAGTGCCGAGCGGTATCCAAGCGGGTCTTTCTCAGACTGTGCTGTCCTTTTCGAGGAGCATACCTCAGCTCAGAGTCTTCATACCACCCTCGAATTGAGATACGTCATATTCGTTGGGGTACTTTTCAATCAGCTCTTTCAACTGCTGCATCTGAGCCCGCGCTTCTGGGGTGATTTCTTCATAGACATCTTCAAAGAGAGCTCTCAGAGGTGGCTTTTTGACCTTTTCCGCGGCAGCAAACTCTCGGAGCACCTCTTTCCGGATAGACGTCCTGGCCTCTTTCTCTTTATCTTCGTCCCAGATTCCTTTCTTTTCCATCCACTTTCGTAGACGAGTAATAGGGTTGTCCCGTCGCTTCCACTCTTCCACCTCGCGTTTCGCTCGGTACGCAAAGCTGTCATCGCTGGTGCTGTGGTGACTAACACGGTAACTCATGGCTTCCACAAGGATAGGCTTGCAATCACCCTCCAAGGCCCGTCGCTTAGCCTCGAGCATAACTTCCCGCACGGCGAAAATGTCATTTCCATCCACTCGGACCGTATCAATTCCGTAACCCAGACCTCGACTAGCAATACCGTCACCCTTGTACTGTTCGATGCTTGCCGTGGAGATAGCAAACCCGTTGTTGCGGCATACAAACACAATCGGACATGATTTTGTGGCGGCAATGTTCAAGGCGGCATGAAAATCACCTTCGCTGGCAGCGCCTTCTCCAAAATAACAGGCCACGATCCGGGGCGGAATATTCGGATTCATCAGCCGCTGCATCTTCAAGGCGTATGCCGCTCCCGAAGCTTGAGGGATCTGGGTGGCCAGAGGGCTGGAAATGGTGTGCACCTTGAGTTTTCCGCTGCCGTAATGGACTGGCATGTTACGGCCCTTGCCATTGTCGTCCTTGTTGGCGAAAAGTTGGCTCATCATCTCCTTCAGAGTAAATCCTCGTTGTATCAGTACTCCCTGTTCCCGGTATTGTAAAAAGCACACGTCGTCTAGCGATAATGCAGAGGCAGACCCGACCGCAATTCCTTCCTCGCCTGCAGAGACCATGTAGAAGCTGGTCCTTCCCTGCCGCTGGGCGTCGAACATGATTAAATCCATAATGCTGACCGTCAGCATGTTGCGGTACCACTGGATAATGTCTTCATCCGAAATCCGGGATTGAGGATCTCGTGATGGATCTACAACATTCCCATCGGCATCCATTATTCGATAAGTCGGCATAGCCGCCTCTTCGGTTGGATTCCGGAATTTCATAGTAGACGTGAATTTGCTCTTTAACGCGCCGGGAAAGTGGACGCTGCGGGATAGCGGATCAGTATGAGGTCGTTCATTCTTAAAAGCCTGGATAATACATACGAGTCTGACCCGGCCTTTTGCGCCGGTCCTGATGCCCACGTATCACTCGCCCATCGTATTCCTGTTCTCCGTAACAACACTCCGGATCTGTTTCTCGACGAGGCCGCCAAGGGCCGTAGGACTGTCCGACACTTCATTGCGCCCGTTCCAGCAGAACAGCAATTCTAACAGAGAAGCCAACAACAACGACAGAGGTGTATTACCAGAGAGGAGTGATGAAGGAAGAAAGGGAATGAGAAAGACGTCTCTCTGAAGGGGGAGCGGTTATCCTCGGTTACGGTAGTCAACCAAGTGGCCTTGGAATCCCGGGGCTGATCCCATTAGTACATGACTAGTCCTGAATAGTACTAACCCGCTGGTTAGTGCGATGCTACTATTGGCTATTACAGGATCTCCAGGCTAACCAACTTTGGGCGGGAAGATCGCGGAGTGAATGCTGCGAAAAGTCCACCGAGCGCAACATTCAATGCCATGCACGACGAGGGTCTATCCGACTTTGTGTACCACAGTCATGTTTCACCCTACATTTCGGAGCCAGCTCGCTCTGCGGGCATTCAATGTTGGCACCAAATCTGCACTCAGAGCCTTCGGAACAAGTCCGTCGAGGCTGCAGCGACTGCCTGGTGAAAATGAGCGGACCGTCGACTTCGGCTTCCAGACCGTCCCAGAGGCACAAAAGGCGGCCAAAGGTACAGTCCACGGGTCTCTTTCTCTCTCTGACTGCAAGGCTGACGGACAGCAGTTGGCGAGGTCTTCTCCTCTGTCGCCTCATCCTATGACACAATGAACGACCTCATGTCCCTCGGGATCCATCGTCTCTGGAAAGACTATTTCGTCCGCAGTCTCAACCCCGGGAGCAGAAATGGAGAAAACCCATGGAACATCCTCGACGTGGCCGGAGGAACTGGGGACATTGCCTTCCGCATACTCGACCACGCCACGAACGTCAACCTCGACCTCAAGTCCAAGGTCACGATCGCCGACATCAACCCAGACATGCTTGCCGAAGGCCGTAAAAGAGCGCTGGAAACACCCTACGGACACTCAGGAAGATTATCTTTCATGCAAGCAAACGCAGAATCGATGCCTCAAATCGAATCCAATTCCTTGGACCTTTATACCGTGGTGTTCGGCATCCGGAACTTTACAAACAAAGACGCTGCACTCCGCGAGGCGTTCCGGATCCTCAAGCCCGGCGGCGTGTTTGCTTGTATGGAGTTCAGTCATGTTGACAATGCACTATTCAACGCAGTATATAAGAGGTGGAGCTTTTCAGCCATCCCAATGATAGGTCAACTGGTCGCCGGCGACCGCGACAGCTATCAGTATCTTGTGGAGAGTATTGAAAAATTTCCTACCCAGGAGGAGTTCAAGGCCATGATCAAGGATGCGGGTTTTGAGACCCCTGGGCAGGGATATGAGAATCTCACTGGCGGCATTGCCAGCATTCACCGAGGCGTCAAGCCGTTGCAGTCCTGATGAAATCCGATGACATCCTAAGCTTGTCTGACATCTCTGGATATATGCACCGGTGGAACCAGTCATTTCATGCTTCTATTCGACCAGCATGGAGGCCGCCGGTAATGGCAATGTCGGCGCCGGTAGTGTATGCAGCGGCATCACTCAGCAAGTATATGGCTGCCCCAGTCAAATCGTTGCGATTCCCGATCCTCTTCAAGGGAGGCGCAGTGTGCATCAACCGGACCAAATGAGGATGTTGTTCTCGCAGCGACTTGGTCATTTCAGATTCAATATAACCAGGCGAAATGGTGTTACACCGAATTCCTTGCGGGGCCAATTCGACGCTGAGCGCCGTGCTCAACATCTTGACTGCGCCTTTGGAGGCGTGGTATCCAGAGAGGCGGTGCCCGGGGATAGCGCAGTGCGCGCAGACAGATGCAATGAGGACAAGGCTTCCACCGGTGCCTTGTTTCTCCATCTGCTTTGTGGCCAGTTGGGCTGCAAAAAATGTACCAGTAACCTGTACAACATCAACCGAGTGCTATTGCAGAGAATAGTCTAGTTTTCCGCTCACATTGACATCTTGGACTCTGGAAACCTCCTTCCACGTTTGCTCCACAAATGGTTTGTCCAGTGCAATGCCGGCCGCCGTCACGCTTGATGTGCCGGTCAGCAAGGCAGAGAAAGACAGAGATAGTATCACGAGGTTCGTCCTACCAGCCGTCCAGAGAGCCAAACTCGGCAATAGATTGTTCAAAGCCCTGCGTCAAGGAATGTTCATTGGTCACGTCGGCGTGGAAATACCTCGCTTTGACCCCGAGGTCGCCTTCCAGGGTTCCGAAATCCTTGACCGGTGTGTCGAGGATGTCGAGCACAGCCACGTTCCCTCCCATTTCTGCAATGGCTCGAGTGATAGCATACCCGATGCCTCTTCCCCCTCCTGTGATGATGTAGTTGCGGTCTTTCAGGTCAAACATGGGTCGGACGCTGCGCAGATCCCCATCGTGGAGTTGGCTTCCAGCGCGTCTGAGACTGCTGCTCGATATCGTGGCTGTCGGTGTCCAGCAGCGTGTCCTACGGATGGTTCGCGGAAAGGGCAGTTTCGTCCGTAATTTGAACATGTTGCCGTCCTCCTCTAGCCGAGAGCGCGTTTCTGCCGTAGGAATATCATGCACCTGTTCGAGAGTGCAAGAATGCCGCGATTGCAAAAAGGTATGCCAGGTACATGCCGGATCGTTCTCACGACTCGGAGTCGGGGCGCAATGCGGCGGCTGTGATCTATGCCGCCGGGGCTGGTACCCAGGTACCTCTCTACAGTCTTTACTACCCAACGGTACCGACTCTAACAAACCCCGCAGCCTGAACTGGTCCATGTGCTGCCAATTGGCATGTAAGAAGCCGTGCTTCACGGCGCAGGCCTCATCCTTCTCCAACTCCCGATGAGATGATACTAGTAGAGGGCGAATGGTACTACGTGAGGTGGGGAGTGCGCAAGTTGTGCAGACGTTGTCTGTCCAGGCCCAGGGTCCTTCGACTAAGAATTACGGGTAACGCATCGAAGCCGAACCCCAGACTAATTGTGCAGTGTTGCTGCTGTAAATAACAGCTTGGAGTCTGCCTCGGGGTTGCATGAGCGCTGTAGTCAGTGGCAGGACGGCACGCCCGGGGCGCTTTTCCAACTCCACGTCGCAATCATGGCGCTGACCTTTCGCTAGATGCTGTCTTACTAGTAGGTACCTACAAGTACAACTGTAGGAGGAATGGACACCCCGCCTGTCCTCGAACCCCATGGGCACAGTACTCACGTGCCACTCACACACCACAACCGCGGTACGAGGACCACATCCATCAGGATACCGCAAGCGGTCTGCCAGTGCAGTGGTGATCAAGCTATTCTTGGAAGCTTTAGCAAGCCTGGCCACTGCAGTGGGCTGAGAGATTTACCTGGGGATGTGGAGGACGTAATCCATACATCAATACATAGATACAGCACTATTATCACTTTTCTATCTCTCAATCCCACCTGTGCTTTTTCTCCATATCACGCATATCTGGTCCACGGAGGACAGACCCTCACTACTACCATTGGACCCGGTCATCGCGACACTGGGACCGTTGTTAGTGATCCATCGCTGAGAGCAAGTCAACCCCTCTTCATCCGGACGCTCGGAAGCCGATGAACAAGTGAACAGTCAACGTGGTTACTATTCCGCACCTCAACAGCCTCGATAACCCACTACTATTACTACTGCTGGAAGTTTTATTTGGCTTTTCAAAATCATGGGCTGCGGATGTTCCAGCCTCAAGGGCGACGACGTCCCCAATGTAAACAGCGTCCCAACCACAGTCACCGACCCGGCCATGGAGCCCGCGAAGCGAATCAACACCAATTTTTCCGCCATCGACTACGACCAACAAGGAGACACCCGCGGGAGACGTATGACCGAGTACGCTCCTGAAGAGATCACCCAGGAAAAGCACCACGATCACCAGCACTCTTCGGATAATGAAAACAAAAACAAGCGCCCAGCACCAGACTCGCAAGGCGCGACCGACAGGACCACCACGGCAGCCAACTTGAACGGCAACTTGAATACTTCAATTTCAGATACCAACAACACATCAGTAGGCGGGTATCCGCACGAAGCAGCGGACCCGCTGAACAAACATACTGAACACAACTACATCCACCATCATCATGACGAAGAACTAAAGCCATATCGGACCCTCTCCGGCGGCGACTGGGATACCGACGAACGGCAACAACAACATCATCACCAGGTCAACGGCACGCGACCGGACCCAAACCAAGGTCCAGATCCCACGTCATCATTGTCGAAAGACGAATTCGCAACTCACAACGACCCCGCGAACCCGGAGAACCAGACTTCCCACGATTCTCCTTCTTCCCGCTCCAGTTCTAGGAAGAAACACAGCCGCTCAAACGGCGGGGGGGCCAATGGTGCCGATGATATCGTCGTCGGCGAGCAGCGCAACAAGTCGTCAACCTGGCTAGGCCAGAAATACGCCGCGTTCCAACAAGCCAAGCGCGGCGAAGGGGTGCAGGTCTCGGACGAGGAATTGAAGAAATACACGGGCAAAGACCGTGCCGAGCTCAAGAGGTGGGCGGATTCGCAGCCTGGTGTGGCGGGGAACCAGGGCGCCGGGACGCCTGGGTCGTATACGGGGTTGGCGAGCGGTGCGCCGTGGGTTGCTGGGACTGGTTGATTGCTCTGCATAGATCTGAACAGCATCACAACGACCGATTATAATCAAATGTCCGCTCTGCTGCAATGGGGATCGGATCGGGAACTGGGGACTTGGACATCGATCAGTCTGTATCCCGTTTCGCGCTGCTCCGGGCACGGGAACTGCCCAAGAGAGGTAGGGAGAGGTAGGGACATGGAGAGAGAGAATTTGCGTGTGTGTATGTGTGTGGACTATATACTGACTGACTGGCTAACGACTGGTTGACTAAATAATCAACTGTGGGAATATGCCTTGGTCGGGCAATGAGAGACTGACCAGGCTGTCTCTTGACATCCTTCTTTGTACATTTAGTGTTGCATCATCCGAGTCTCTTTCAGTTCTCTGTGGGAATCAATTGATATAACGATATAATGATACAATGCCACAGTTTCCAACGATTGTAATGCGGCTTTAGGTGTACTAGTATCCTTCGACTTTGCTCCACCATTCCGCCGTGGCTGTTGAGGCCGCTGGTGTCTACCTAATCCTTGTGTATAACAACGCAGGCCGCCCAATTTTCCTCTCCATAATCTCTGGCTTCGGCTCTCATGTATGTACAGCCCATCTCCTTTTTGTAAGATCCGTCCGTCCCTTGGGCGTGTTGCCCGTCTATTCGCCGAAAGATGGCCAAGCATCTTCAGCCACCTCCTATGGCAGTGAAACACTACCTCGACGCAGTTTTTGCAGTCACCAAACCAGCAGTGAATTTGGTATACACCCGCGTTCAACCCAAGACACGTTCATGTTGCTCGCCTCAAGGCACGCCGATTCTCAAACAGGCTCGTGACTGCGCACATCGGTACAATGCGATACGGGCCACGGCATACTCGACGTCCTCTTGCACTTGGCGCGTGGAGATGCGGGCGTCGTCCTTGGCTCTGATGGCTCTTCAATTCTGGAAGAGGTGCTGGCGCCTCTGAAGAGCCAAGGGAAATCGGCCTACATGGGCTTCCTGGCCCCGACGTGGTGCCTGAGGAGTGGGGACGGGAGAGCAGAAAAAATAGCACAATATGACTCTTCCTCCAGTCGCTCGATGCCATTTAGGCTGATGCACCGACTTCTTTGGCTTTACCCTTGTCACTCTGATCGGATTTACCCTCGCCCCCGTTACGGTCTGCCTCGTTGTTGTTATTGTTGGTGTGATGGTGGTGATGGCTGTGCTGATGATGGTGGTTGTGGTTGTGCTGGTCATGGCCGATGGTAGAGTTGCTCGACGAACGGTGGTCGTCGCGATATAGATGGTTCTGCTCAATATACTCCACAACAGGGGCGGGAATAAGATATTGAACACTCATTCCTCTTCGCAAGAACAGCCTTATCTTCGTGCTGCTGACGTCGTTTTGAATCAGTTGCTGGATTACGTAGATGTTGTCGCGATAGTTCTGTAAGCTAGCCAGAGCTTCGTCGATGTCGGTGCCGGACCTTTCGATGATGAACACTCCGTACTTCCCCAAGATATGATCCAAATCCTTCTCGCTCCACACACCAGGAGTCGACATGGTCTGGATCAGGTCGGCTCCAGCTAATAGAGAGATCTTGACGGGCTTGCGGGTTCCGTTTCCGGCATCAACTCCCTTCCGCACCGTGTTTATCTCATGGTCAAAGTGGTCCAGCACTTTGGCCGTGGGTTGATATTCTTTCTGGTCGGCTTCCCAACTGTCAACCATGAGCCAGTTAGACGCTTTGTCGATTGCAAGTTGGCACATTGCAACCCTAGATGAACACTATTAGCGCCGGTTGAACCCGAAAAGACATGAGCTGATAACCCTACCTGTGTTCCGCTGGAGCCAAGCCTTGCTTCTTGTAAGCGTCCGACACGGGCGACAAATATCCACCGATTATCTCGAAATTCGTATTGTGTTTAACATAATCTGCCGCCATGACAAACATCCTCAGATGCAGGAAAGTGATGGGAGAGAAGGAACCGCAAGCAACAAGAAGAAGCGGTGTTTTGCTCGGATCATCCATCTTCTTCTTGAGCCGGTTGTCCGGAAAGCGGTATTCGTCCATGGCGTCACCGTGACCTGTTATTGCTTGTAGAACGGTCGATCGTGTCTGGAGGACAGGGAGACTTCGGCGCTGAGAGCGGCGCAGCGACTGTAAGAGGGACAGAAAAGCGGCCGGGGCAGCTGTTGATTTGTTACGGGCAGAGCTGCTGCTGCTGCTGCTGCTGCTGCTGCTGCTGGTGTTGGTCGAGAAGGTCGATGACTCGGATGGCGGGGCGACGGCTGTTGCGCCTCTCGGCAGGTAATGCTTACCTGCGACGGAGAGCACTGAAGCCGGAGGTTTGCGTAGATGGTGGGCAGGAAACGGTGAGGACGGAACAAGAAGAGGAAGTAGAGAAGAGCGACTCAGCATCTCAGGGCTCTCATTATTAGCCCAGAGTTAGTGGTAGCAGAGTTGGGGTTGACAGGATAGCCGGGTCGGCCGTGTGGAGGATGGTGAGAGGGCGCAATTCGCAAAGCTGGAGTTTTCTCGAGTTAAACCACTTTGAAGCTGACAACCCCGTTCAGAGGGCGAGAGGATGGATCTCCGACCGTCGGAAGATGGGACGACACTGGCTTTGGCAAAGAATTAGTCCCGAATAGTGACACTTGGACTCGCATAACGCCCTCGGTAGCCCTCTCGGCCTGTGTCCGCCTATCAGCGAGTTGGGTCTGACGGAGGGCGAGATGGCGAGCAGAGTGGGGGATGTCCGTGTGCGGCGCCAGTTCCAGTGTGGGATTGTGGAAGAGGAGCAAGATCGATAAACAAGATGCTGTCGGCGATATTATTAATACTCCAGCAGTGGTAGTAATAGTAGTAGTTCCCAGGTAGGTACCTAGGTAGGTAGATATATGACTGGGGATTTCGATGAGTGATCTGGCTGCAGTGTTTGTTGTACACTGCCAGTGATGCTGGCAAAGTTGAGCCGGGTCATGTTGTAGGGCAGTAGTGCAACAGCTCTACATTACCTTGAGTAGTACCGAAGCATTCACATCGATGACCTCCCTACCTTTTTGTGAACCTTCAATGTCGTCAGTAGGGTACTAGGTGGTGGAATTGTCGTTCTACTTCTGTACAGCTACTTGGCCCTACATTCGTCGATGGTGTTGCGCGAGAGCGCGACCTTACTAGCCACCAATCCGGACCGGCGTGAACAATATTGTACGGCCAGTATAGTCCATGTGGAAGTATCTCTTCCGCACGCGTTCTCCTTTCCACCCTCTTGACTGGAAACACATGAAGCTGAATCTCTCAGCAATCCCGGCAGCACTGACGAAATCTAGCGAAGGCGAGTTGCAACAGGACATATCGGATGAGAGACTTGTGTGGCCGACTTCAGACAATGTTTCTGGTCACAGAATGCGTGACGTTTCTCCTGCTTCCCAACTCCTTTCTCTTGGGCTTCGTGGTGCAGCTGTGTATTGCTTGGGAACAACATTTGTCTTCGGCATGTCTTCGGCATGCTAAGGAGGGATGAACGTGAGGGAAGAAGTGCGCAGGCACGCAGTGAGACTTCAGAGACCTACAGTAGCAAGAAGGCAGTCACAACAAGGAACGTGTCTCGCAGCCCCGGGCTGCTTGCGCTGCTTGAGGAGTTCGACAGCAGTACTGGTAGGCTTCGAAAGCACAGTAGAGGAGTGTTCAAGTAATGTCATCAGTCTCATTGTGCTAGTACTGCGGTGGTAGAGGTTCCAGTGGTGGCTCGATACAGTGGCTGAATTAATAAGAGGTCGGCAGGGGATGGTGTTCAAGTTACGGTCCTCACTGCGGTCCAGTCAAAAGCCCGCGGCGGCTGTGGAGGCTCAGGCTCAACTTGAAGGCGGCGGGCGCCATGTCAAGCGACGATTATGTGCTAAACTTGAACTGAACTGCGCTGCCGAACGTCCATCGTCTTGTCCTTCACCCATACAACCAAACTAGTACCGGCCAACAGACTTCACTCCCATCTGCAATACGCTCTATCTTTGTTTTCGCACCGATACTATATCACTTCCATCTTCATTTTCTGCCTCCAGTCTTGCTGTACCACGACAGCACTTGTAATTCCGCCACCCGTTCGTTCCTACAGCCGCCCTTCGATGGCGGGCTAACATGGCAAATCTGCCCGCACGCTCGCCTTCAGACTTCCAACACTCGAATCGACGTGCTCCAGACACTCTTGCCTCTGCTCATTCACCTTCATCTCAGTCACCTTTTTCCCGCAGACCAAGGTACTTCTCACTCCACTGCCTTTGCAGCGTTGAGTTGGTGCACCCTACAACCTGAACTCAGCCCTGCCTGCGCTTGGCTTCCACCTACCCTGCCTGTCCTTTCATTTCAACACCCACCCCGCAAATCGATCTTGATATTGATTCTTTTGCTCAACCACCTTTTTTGCCCTCCTTGTGTGGGAAACTACCTTTCTCCTTTCACTTAGCGGACATCTCACCGTACGCTTCTGTTTGCAAGAGCCATTGCTCATGTCTCGCAGAGTCACTCGTTCATCCGCAAGGCTCGCTACGGAGTCTGGCGTCTCCCCAACTTCCCCTACCGAGCCGAGTACCTTACCGAATCAGCCACCGCCGGCATCGTCGAAAAAACGAAAGGCATCAAAACGTCGAGCCTCTAGCCCTACCCAGGCCGAAGAGACAAGTCCACCTTCGGCGCGGCGGGGAAAGAGACAGAAGTTGGCCGAGCCGCAGCAAACCCAATCTACTACCACCCCAACAGTTCCTCCATCTACTCGCCGAAGAAACGCAGCGAACGAGGCGGCAATGTCTAATAATGGGTGGGTGCAGGAAGAGCCTGATGGCGGTGGGAATCCGGCTAAAGACATTAGTTCCTCATCCAAATTCACAGACGAGCCAACAAAGCAGATATCTTCCAAGTCGACTTCAAAACGTCCACCCAGCCGAAACAGCAAGAAGTCGCCCTCAACAGGTACATTCCTCTCAGCGGTCAGTGACTTGATCATGCTAACTTCGGGGCTAGATGCTGCTACACCAACCTATCCTGCCTCCTCGCGCCGTTCAAAGAAACGTTTAAGTAAGAAGGATCGAGATGCCTTCATGAAGGACGACGGCGAGGAAGACCACCAGAACGAGAAGGCCGTCAGTGAAGACCGGGGCAGTGTGCCACCATCTCAGCGGTCAAGCCGGAGCGATAGCAACGACGGAGACGATCAGAGTGAGATGGACGATGAAGACGGTCCCGATCCCTTTGCGGCCGCATTGTTCGGCTCCGGCCGAGGGGCGCCTTCAGGACTGTCAAGCACTCTTAGGGCTCTGAGTGGCATCATGAGCGGCATGTCTTCGCGACTGAGAGATATCTTGAACAACCTTCGGCAAGTGGACAACCCTACATTGCAAATGATAGCCCTGGAGGAGTTGTCAAATTTGCTGTTGGTTTCCAACGAGGATAACCTCTCTGGCCAATTCTCGCCGGATCCCTACGTCAAGGAGCTCGTCGCCCTGATGCAACCGAATCCCATCACAGGCGAGGAAAATCCGGAGATCATGCTCCTGGCTTGCCGCTGCATCGCCAACTTAATGGAGGCTCTGCGAGGTTCTGTTGCAAACGTTGTCTATGGCGGTGCTGTGCCTGTCCTGTGCCAGAAGCTACTTGATATCCAGTACATCGACGTCGCCGAGCAGGCTCTGAGCACGTTGTCCAAAATCTCCGTCGACTTTCCAGCATCGATTGTTCGGGAGGGTGGCTTAACTGCCTGCCTACAGTTCCTCGACTTCTTTGCCACGAGTACACAGCGAACCGCCGTTACCACTGCCGCAAACTGTTGCCGGAACATTCCGCACGATACTTTCCCTGTTATCCGAGATGTCATGCCGATCCTCCTGAACGTCTTGTCTAGCCACGACCAAAAGGTAGTTGAACAAGGCTGCCTTTGCGTCACGCGGGTCATCAACAGTTTCAAACACAGTCCTAAGAAGCTGGAAGAACTGGTTGACGTGCCACTCCTGAAGGCTATCCTAGGCCTTCTCCTTCCTGGTACCACAAACTTGATCGGAGCGAATATTCACACCGAGTTTTTGCGTGTGCTGGCAATTGTGGCCCGGGCCAGTCCCAGACTCTCTGCAGAACTACTGAAGATGAGCGTTGTCGACACTTTGTACCAGATATTGACCGGGGTGTCTCCGCCCTCAGAAACTGCTGATGCGGCTTCGAAAATTGACAGCGTGGTCATCATGCAGGCCCTGATCCATAGACCGCGGGAGCAAGTCTACGAGACTTTGAATGTCATCTGCGAACTCCTCCCTCGTCCAAAGTTGGCCAACGACCTGGATTCTGAAGTCCACGCTGCTCTAGGCGGCCATGATCACTCCGACGACGAGGTTGCTTCCGGACGCCAGTCGAGAACTGAGAAGCGAAGACAGCTGCTGGAAGAGTGCAAGCCAGAGACGCGCCGATTCGCAATGATACTCCTCCCAACTCTGACGGACGCCTATTCAAGCACCGTTAATCTAAGTGTGCGGCAGAAGGTCCTCATTGCTCAACTCAAAATCCTTTCCAACCTCGAAATATCCGTCATCGAGGAAGCTCTTCGGCCGGTGCCATATGCGTCCTTCCTTGCCTCGATCCTTTCGCAGGAAGATCACCCCAGCTTGGTAATGTTTGCCCTTCAAGCTTCCGAGTTGCTTTTTGAGAGACTGGAAGACATTTATCAGTACCAGTTCCATCGTGAAGGTGTTATTGGCGAGATTAAGAAGCTTGCCGATCGACCTCTTTCCCAGGAAAACAAGCCTTCTAGTACCTCCCATGGTGAGGAGCACAACAATGGAGCTGGCAGCAGTGTTGAAGGTCATGGTGACGCCAACAAGGCGGACAGCACCACAAGTACTCCGTCCAAGCATCGACACGACTCCCATGGTGAGGATGACGAAGACCAGGACGAGGATGTGGATGAGGATGATGACGAAGCAGAGCCTGAAGATGAGGACAATGAGGATGACCATGACGAAGACGACATTGGTGTCAGACATGATCATGACCTAGACGACTCACAAAGCTCTGACTCCTCTGACGAGGACGAAGTGCCTTCTCCTCTCGCCATCGCGGGGATCTCTGACTTGGTGGTGGTGCGCGCCAAAAAGTTCTTGGAGAAGTATGATACCACAAAAGGCAGACAACTCAAGGATAAAGCCTCCAAGATTCGGGCCAATCTTCACGAACTGGCCAACGACATCGAAGCCTTTTACAGCCAGCCACGACAGCTGGAGAGCAGCAATCAGCTTTTCACTCGTCTGGCTGGTTTCTTCGATGGAGACGCTCTTGAAAGCATAACCAGTTCCGAATTGCTAGATTCTGGGATCATCCGTGTTTTGGTCCAGGTGCTGTCCGACGGGTCGCCTACCGCTCAAAATACTGCCAGAGCACATTTTGTCTCAGCCTTCATGGAATCAACGAATCAGAGCAGGATAACGACGACATCGACAGCGTCTACAGCTACGCCATTTAGCGTCCTAATACAAAAGCTCCAGGACCTGTTGAGTCGCGCGGAGCACTTTGAGGTTCTCACCGTCAACAACAATGCATCCGAGCACAGTCGAAGTAGTTCCACTTCAATGCTTTCACGCCAGATCCGACTGAGGCTCTCGGCTGACGCTGACAGTGATATCCCCCTAATATACCGTGAGATGATTGTGTCCATCCATGCTATAGCGACATTCAAAGCCCTGGATGATTATCTGAGGCCTCGCTTTCTCATGTCCGAGCGCCCGGCATCAGCTCAGCGCCGTCGGGATATGCTGCAGCAGATAGCGAACGCTCGGCTTGCTCATCTTTCAGGTGCTGCAGAATCCGGCTTGTTCTCACCGTTCGGTCAGGGGATCAATTCTCCAACCACCCCGGGCAGCGGGGATTCTCGATCAGCATTGCGGCTCTCATCGCGTGCCAAACAGCAACTAGAGGGAGCTGAGACCGCGACAGACAAGAAGCCCACAGAGAAGTCCGAACGGAGACGGTCTACACGGCGAGGTCAAGCATCATCTTCTAGCCTACCGCCTGCATTAGCCCCGGAACCAAGCACAGAGGATTCAGGCGACAAGCTCGAATGCGCCGATGAAAAGGTCCTGGAAGACGACGATGGTCCTGAAGGTGATGGTGGCGGTCTAGAAGCTTTCGTTGACGGTCTTGAGGATGACGCCTCCGACAGTGACGCGCCTGAACCAGGAGCCGTCAACATGGAGGTTGGATCTTCGGGAAAGGTGACCGCTCGCCAGGAGGACGGAACGAGGGTATTTACACCTCAACCCGGCACACCAGCCCCTGCCAGCACACGACCCGCCTCATCTGGCCAATCTCCCGGTCAAACTCCTGCCAGTGGGGGTGGTCGTCCATCATATGCTGCGGCTCTCGCAAGCACGCCACAGGATTGGCACATCGAGTTCAGCATCGATGGTAAAGTGATCCCCAACCAGACTACCATCTACCGAGCCGTTCATCACAACCGCGAGCACGCCCTGGAACAGATCTCCCACACTGTCTGGTCAGCCGTCCATACAGTCAAGTTTCGAAAAGTTCAAGGGCCCCCACCTACTGAGTCTGCTCTCTCTGCATTGAGTCAGCCACAGAAACAAGGCTCAGAAGGGTTGCCGACATCGCTCGATGGCCACCCAGTCACATCCTCGATTCTCTCCTTGCTCGGCATCTTGCATGAGCTCAATGCCAACTTGGACGAAATTCGGGATTTTATCGGCGAGTCTGGTTTGAAGCTTCGTCCAGAGTCTCTTGCATCCTTCATCAACACCAAGTTGACCGCCAAGATGAATCGTCAACTTGAGGAGCCACTGATTGTTGCCAGCAACTGCTTGCCAGAGTGGAGCGAAGATCTTGCCAGAGCCTTCCCGTTCCTGTTCCCATTCGAAACCCGCCATTTATTCCTTCAGTCCACATCGTTTGGCTACTCGCGATCTATGAACCGTTGGCAACATAGTCAATCGGAGAATGATGACCGCCGTGATCGACGACGAGATGACAGACCTTTGCTAGGCCGGCCCCAACGCCAGAAGGTCCGCATTTCTCGTCATCGCATCCTTGAATCGGCCATGAAGGTCATGGATATGTACGGTGCCTCGCCTAGTGTGCTAGAAGTCGAATATTTTGAGGAAGTGGGTACCGGCCTGGGCCCTACACTCGAATTCTATTCGACGGTGTCAAGGGAGTTTTCGAAAAAGAAGCTGAAGATGTGGCGTGAGAATGACTCGTCCGACCACGACCAATTCGCGTTTGGGAAGAATGGGCTATTTCCGGCCCCGATGAGCGAGGTGGACAGTCGTGGAGATGCCGGAAAGAAGCTATTGTTGTTATTCAAGGTCCTCGGAAAGTTTGTGGCCCGATCGATGCTTGACTCCCGTATCATCGACATATCCTTCAGCCCGACATTCTTCAAGGTGGGAGGCGGAATATCGACCGTGGTGCCCTCTATTGGTTTATTACGAACAATCGACCGGGACCTGGCGAACTCCCTTTCTCAATTGCAGCAATTCGTCAAGGCCAAGACCAAGATCGAACTTGATTCTTCCTTGACCCAGGCCGAGAAGGCAGAAGCGATTGTTAACATCATGATCCATGATGCGAAAGTGGAGGATCTTATGCTCGACTTTACTCTTCCCGGTTACCCTGGAATCGAGCTTATTGAAAATGGCTCTAATGTTACAGTGACCATCGACAACGTCCAGAAATACATTGACCGGGTGCTTGATCTCAGTCTGGGAAGCGGAGTGCGGCCGCAGATTGAGGCTTTCCAGGCTGGATTCTCGGAAGTGTTCTCCTACTCCAGTCTCAAAGCATTCACACCTGACGAGCTTGTCATGTTGTTCGGCCGTGTGGACGAAGACTGGTCGATGGAAACGCTCATGGATTCTGTCAAAGCCGATCATGGTTACAATATGGACAGCAAGAGCGTCAAGAATCTGTTGCAGACCATGTCGGAGCTCACGCCTGCTCAACGTCGGGACTTCCTGCAGTTTGTCACCGGCAGCCCCAAGCTCCCGATAGGAGGGTTCAAGAGCCTGACACCGATGTTTACCGTCGTTTGCAAACCTAGTGAACCGCCTTATACGTCGGACGACTACCTACCTAGCGTCATGACGTGTGTCAACTATCTCAAGCTGCCAGATTACTCTTCGCAGGAAGTGTTGAAGGAACGGTTGTTTGTGGCCATTCGGGAAGGCCAGGGGGCATTCCATTTGTCCTAAACCTCATCACCAAATCGAAGGGCATGGCCAGCTGAATTCGGAGTGAGCGCGCTGTTTTCGTCGTTGCGATAGAGGGGCGATTGGCTTGAGCAATAGAGAGCGGCAGTCATGAGGAAAAGAAAATTGCTATGCGGGCATTCGGAGGCATGCCATAAGCTGTTCAAAAAGAAATTCACGGCCTCAACGAGTTGTATGAAATTGATAGAAGGGGTTTCGGCGTACTAAATGCGCTTGCATGGTGGACAACCGGGCAAGGAGACCGACGGGGACAGGCAATCTCATCGGTGTAAGCTGCATCGAGATCACGCAAGCGACCAGACTGACCCAAAGCTGGTGATGTTGTATCGAGGTATCGAGTTGAAAAGGAGACTGGAAAGCGAAGCATATTTTCGAGCAAGCAAACAAGCATAGACGATGATGTATGTATGAGTTGACTGATCAAGGCCCAGATTAGCATCCCATTCTCCTCCTGGTATGTGAAATAAAAAGGAATCTATCACGACGCTGCCGTTGCCTCCATGCAGAACAGCAGCAGCCGGAGTTGGACTGTGCCGGCGACATCGTCCACGCGCTCTTCTCTCAGTGCATCCAAACACCATCGCCCTTGCATGCACTTGGTGTTGTCCACCCATGTTCTTTCAGACTTCTCGCAGTCGGTGGAGAATCTCGTTCTCATTCTCGTCCTTGTCCTTGTCATTCGATCGTGTACAGATCACCACAGTTGGGGCCCGGGGATTGCAGGGACCTTGCAAGGGTGTTCTTGTAGGAGCAGGGGGGCCACCGAAAACGTGGAGAGTTCGACGACAGCTGGCACCATCACGTCTTTCCCCGGCTTTGGTTTCACCATCTGAGCCCCTTAGATCGTGGCCGAGACGGGGGACTGCCCAAGTATTCGTCGAACAAGAGTCGAGAGACCACCTGGTTGGTGTCGGGTCCCCCTGCAAGCCACTTCATCATGGCACATTCAACGCCCCGGTCAGGCTGGAAATCCTCTGCCGTGCCGCAGTCTGCATCACTGACGGTTCACTGCGCCACAGGCCGCGTCCTTGTCCTCGATGTCTGCTGCCAGGTTCGTCGCACCTGATGCAGTCTTTGCTCGATGCCGGCCTCGATTACGGATCGCTGAGTGGTGGGCGGGAAAAGGTTGGATTCGACGCAGAGGTTATACACCAGTCGGATGACCTGGAGCTTCTCAGTCTCCGGGATGGCGGTCCAGACAACCCTCACATCAGCCCAGCTCGAGCTGGGATGTGAAGCACAGAACTCGAGGTGTGCCCGCCTTGCCGCGTCCTTGAAGGTGTCCCACTGCCGGTCATTGAGGCGAAGCTTTTGCTGGACCTGGGCAGGCGAGTCTCGTAGCCTAATGGGCGCAGTGCTCATATCGAATCATTCCAGGTGCGGGTATAGGACAATGCGGCAGGAATGCAACCTGCGTACGAGAGAATACAGGCCGTTCATGTCGAGGAATGATAGCAACTCACTCGCCCATCGCAGCCGTGCGCTCTCGCGCGCTCGTTCGCTCGCTCAACAAGGGTTCCATATCTGGTGCCCATTCCTCCCTCGGGTACCGACGGATTAGTCTCTTCATCAGGCCATGGACTCATCGATCGTTCCCCTACGGCATTTGGTCCTCCATTACGGGCCATCCTGCCAGGTTCCGCCGCCTACTGAACTGGGCATCTCCACCTGCTTATTAGGTCTCACACAAAGCAGCAAGGCAGAGGCAGAACACGTCTGGAAGCGGGACTGCCGGCTGTTACTAGCTTGCCATGTTGGGAGTGAAGACTCGCGTAAGGCGACGCCCTCGCAGGGGTTGGTCAAGCCAAAAGAGCCCAAAAGGGGATGTGTCAATGCCCAAACCAGGCTGCGGGTGGCTAACAACTGGCCGAACCAGCGCCGTTGATCGACCACCGTCGACCGTTGACCCATGACTGTCAATGTCATACTATACTCCAACCGGCTCAAACAAAGATGGCGATGCAGCAATTTTTGGCCCCCCTGGCAGCCAATGATGGGATTCTGTCCAGCCTCATCCTGGACGCTGTCTCCGAAACTTCAGACTGTTTCAGCTTCGCCTGCCTCACCAAGTCATCCCTTAACTTGATTTGACACTCGCGTCGCAACCGACCATCACTTCATTTTCCAAGCGTCGCAGGTCGGTATTTGAGTCTGCTACGCGTCGACATGGTGGTCCGATCACGAGCAGGTTTGTTTCGTGATGTTTTCCCGTCCCTCGCTCTTATTCAGTGCAGTCCTACCCTCTTCTCACTCTCATTCCCTCTTTCTCACCCATCCTCTTCAGCCACGCCATTGACGACTTACCTGACTTTCTTTCTTCTTTGCATTCATTTCACCGATCTTGCTGGCCAAGGTCACATTCTATCGTTTAAGGGGACTGAACCCAACATATTTGCATGACGTGGCATAACGATTCCTACGACAACAAACAACACACACGCACACGATAACGAACCGGAACCGGCTGGACTGTAGACTTGCAGCCAGAGCAGAGAAGTGCTAGCAGCCACATGATGATGTCGAATACAAAGACCCTCATCTTAACATCGACCTACCCCACCGACATCTCACCGCCCAAATCCGGCCATCACCACCGGGTCCGGCATCGAATGATTTGCATTCTGCATGTTGGGGGCCTGTTGACTAGCCTGGTCGCCATTTCACTTTTCGCTGCCGCCATTCCCAAATGGAACGCCAACTTCTTCCACAACACGGGCCCTAACACCGGCGACTGGACGGATGGCATGCCTCTGGCACCGTTGGCCCTCGCCCTTTTGTATCATGCTGCCACACTCGTCCACTCCCGAATAGCAAGACTACGGAGTTCCTCGCGGCGTACGAATGACAACCCTAGGCAGCAGCGGCCGTCGCCATCTCTATCTCGCCGCTCTATCATATTGCACATCACCCTGCCGACCCTGGTGCTGGCCAGCTTACTGCCGTCTTTACTGCTAGCAGGCTACGGGTCCTTGTTTCGTGTATGGCGGCCCGCCGTGCGCACTCAGTCGGGCATCTTGGTCTGCAACATGCTCAACGTGTTTGCCCCGGAATGCGAACCTGTACTGTACTCCATTGGCAACCTGCAGATCGGCGGAATCGTCATGGGAGTGTTGGTCTGGACCGTCCACTTTGCCTTGTTGCTCGACGCGGCAAGGAATATGCGTCGGTTCAGACTTGTCAGGCAGCTCCAGCGGGAGAAACTGGCGCATTATGGTGACGCTGACCATGGCCGTGAGAGGAGCCACAGACACAGACGCAAACATTCCAAGCGTGGCAGTAACGGTAGCGGCAGTCAGGATGGGACAAGTCCCGCTTCACGCCCAGACCATCATCGACAAGATATTCCCAGGTCATCAGGACAGAACTCTACAGATCCAAGGCTGGGCTCGGGGCCGTCGAGACCAGGCTTCCCGAGCGGAGGCACCGCAGGAGTGGTACCGGAAGCCGGTCGAGGAGTACCACGCGGCTGGACCGATACGGAGGGACTCGCGCACCCTGGTGTGCCTGTTTATTTTGTTCGGCCGCCCGAGCAGAGCCATGTTAGGTACACTTCTGCCAAATAGGTCAAATGAATATATATCTACATATATATGAATACAATAAACAGTTGTCTCTGATCATTATTGATCATCTCCTATAACGCTAGATACACCCTTGCATCCTCTGACTTTGAATCGATCGAGAGTCCGAGCGGGTTGTATTATTATTATTTGACAATTACAGGATACTAGTGTTACATTCACACCGCAGCCGACTGTAACGGCGTCGGAGTCAAATGGTCAGCTCCAAAAGCGCAGATGACGCGACACAATGGCCTCCACGCCCCGCAGAATACCCGCGCTTGAACACAGAACGAGGTAGTCCGGGTAGCCTTTTGGGCAGTGTCTACCGAAGTCCAGACTTTTTCGCACGATCACGCCAGGACCGCTGACCCTTCAATAACAAGAGTCGACGATGAAAGTCGTTTTTCTCCTTTTTCTCCTCGGCGGCAAGTTGTTTCTCATACATGGCCCAGGCGCGAAGAACGCGGTCGCGCACGTCTTCAAACGCCCGAGGGTTTGGGCGCAAGTACATCGGGCGTTTTTGTTGTTTTTGCGATCTCACGGTTGATCGGGAAGTAGATGTAGTGGAGGAGACGCCATCAGTGTTTCTCCTGGCTGCCGGCGAAGGGTCAGTTGGTGACGAAGGTAATAATGGTGATGGCAATTGTGGTGTTGGTTCCTTGATCTCCTCGGCCTCACGTTGACCCTGGGCGATTCGAGCACGACGGATCCAACGGTCCGTCTTCTCGGTATCTCGGACGCGTCGACGGATGCTATTGTGAAACCCTCTGGCTGGATAGGCACCTAGCCCGAGCACACCCGAGATAGGTTTCAAGACCAGCCCGCCGAGACCTTTCGCAACGCCCTTGGGAAGCCCGATGATGCCTTCATCATGAACCTCGAGATAGGGGATGCGGACGACGCCCGTGAATCCGTCGTACAACCCCAACCAGAACTCTTTGCCTGCGACTTTGACGCCTGCGCGGAACCCCGGTATCCGGCCGGGAGAAGGGCGCACCGTCTTGTCTCCGTAAAGTCGTGGGGCATTGTGGAAGCCGAGCGCGAGCGCGTTCCACAGCTGCAATGGCAGCACGGCAATCGCGCGAGTCGAGTGTCCTATGCCACGGCCAATGTCCCTTAAAATCACCACGACTGCAGGAGGATGCTGAGACAAGTCAGTCGCCGTTCGAGTCAGTTGTTGGGGGTTGTTGCCTCCCAGCCGATCGTTTTGGCCGTTGGACGGAGAAAAGGGTAGCCTGACTGGTTCCGCCTCTCCTTGAAGGTTCATTTCCCTCTGCAGCCGAGCCTGCTCCTGTTGTTGCATTTTCACACTGGTGCCTCGAGCGGCCAGGGCGATGTTACCCGGCAGAACCAAAGTGTGTTTGATCGATTTCCGCTGTTTCCGCCGATGCTTTTCATAGTGTTCAATGTCTTTTTTGGTGGATTCGTGAATCGTGGCTAATCCGTGGAATGCCTCTTGGAATGCTTGCACCAATACTCCGCCAGCTCCAGTGATGGGCTCGCCGGGCCCATGGAAATCGTTCCACTCCCGAGTTCTGTACAGCTCCAAGTCTGACCAATGGAGCTCTTTATTCTCTACAAGGAGGTCGGCGGCCAGCGCGGACAGCTGGATATTGTGCTCTTTAATCTTCCACGCCGCCGCTCGATCATGCAAAATCCGACAACGCATCTTGTTGAGGTCCAAAGAACGGTGGAAAGAGTCCACTGCATTCTCCGCCCCGTCTCCTTCTTTTTCAATGCTCTTTGCAATCTCCATTGCTTTGGCTTTGGCGTCCGGTTCCAAACATTGACGGATCCCTTCGGCAAAGAGGTCACTGTTGAGCTTCTTCCAAGGGAGCGCTTGTTTGGCCCCGGCGCCAGCCTTGGCGACCATGGCACTCCAGAACGGCTGGTCTCCAAAGAACGGAACAATCATGGTCGGTTTCCCAAAGCGAAGCCCGGCCGCCGTCGTGCCGGCTCCACCGTGATGTACGACGGCGTCCACTTTGGGAAACAACCAGTCATGCGGGACGTTGTCGATCATGAAGACACCGTCAGGTTTTTCCATGCCATCTCCCATGCCTCCCCAGCCTCGACTGATTACTGCGCGAACATTGGCCTTGGCAACGCCTTCGAAAATCATCTTCGTAAAGGCCAGCGGATCATCTATACCGGATATGGAGCCAAACCCAATATAGACAATGGGACGATCGTCCTTGCTCCGGTCCAAAAACTGTACCAGATCTTGGGGTGGTTTGTACGAAGTGGCCAGATCGAGGAAAACGTAGCCTGCAATGTCGATTTCAGGACCCCAATCACGCGGTTTAGGCACCAAGCCCGGTGACCAAAGATATGTCATGGGCACTTTGAGCCGAGAAAGTTGACCGGGGGCCCACAAGGTCGACACGGGCTCCAAGCCCAGAGTATAGACGCGAAAGCGGTTGACGAGGTCACCCAATCCTTGCCACGTCATGAGATCAACCAAGGGATAACTGATAAAATTGCTGTAGCTTTGATCGACATTGGTCGCTTTGATATTTGCCAAAGGATGAGGAAACGCTTGAGTGGGGGAATACGGAAAGGTAAAGACAAGGTGTAAAGGAATGCTGAGTCTCTCAGCGCAGTGATAGTGGGCGAATGAAGGTGGATTAGCGATGATGGCATCGGCAACGAATGGCGGTTTGCTTCCCATCATCTTCAGGTTGGCGGCATCCGTTTCGTCGTCGGTGGCATTGATGCAAGCCCTCCAAAACCCCTGAAACATTTGGTACATTGACTCCCGCCTTCGGCCCACCTCGCCAGCTTTCAGCGTCTCCAGTGTAGGGACCAAACCAGGATTCTTCACCATAAAAGCCATGAGTTCGGAAGGATCACCGCCGACGGAAAAGAATTCGAGACCGATTTCTTCTTGTACGAACTTTTTGAAGGTAGGGTGAGTGGCAATCCTCACGCGGTGGTGGTATTTGTCCTGTAAGATCTTTCCTATTTTCAGGAAGGGCTGGATATCTCCGCGGCTGCCAATGACCATAATCACAATATTCATCCGCGGGATCTGCAAATGTGGTTTGGCTTGGAGGAAGTCGGCTTTGGCCTTTGCCGCATCGCGTTCCTCCTGGACGTGGTGCGCCTCGGTGCCGAGATGCCGCTCTATCGTGGCACCCAGAGCCTTAGCCAAGTATCCGGTGTTGGCTGTTTCATTGACGGAGATATTTAGTCTACCATCTCTTGCGAGTCCGCCGCGCGCCTGGAAGTAGTCATTCCCCACCCGCAGATGCTGTTGTTTGGGACGGACACGGGCTCGATTGAGGTCTGATTTGGACAAGGGGATCTCTTCGGGCTGTGTGTATGACTTCCGCAAATTCGCGTATTCTTCGTCGTCAGAGGAATCCCAGCCTTCCGAGTCATTGTGAGATGTGAAACCCTCGCGGTACGCAGGAGTGTCCAGCGTCGATTGATGCCGTCTCGCTGCAGGTAACCTCTGCGCAACCGGCCGGGCAATTTCGGTGTCGAACTTGTGCGCAGCCAGGGTCGGCCTTTCAACGATTCCATTCTGAATGGGAATCACTTCTGGTGTGCTTGACTGTGTGCTGGAGGCATTCTTTGTGTCATCACATGATGTACTGTCCGATTCAACTCTTTCTTGATCCACCGCGGCCGCTTGGGGTATTGAAATAGATATACTGAGAGGTTCGACGGCAACATCGGGGCGGCGATCGAGAGGATCTGTGGCAACTCGACTAAGGGCGGTCGCCATCTGAGGACGAGATCACCGCGTTCGATATACAACGCACCAGCTTTCAAGGTTGATAGATCCGAGTCATAACGTCTGGTAGATAACGGAATAGCGAGATTTGGGCGATGTCGATTCAGCGAACTTGAAGGTACCGGTCGTCGCAGCGCAAGGGCAAAAAAGACTGGACGGTTTCAGAGTGTTGTTTGAGGGAACAGTGTTCTATAATGTTGAATAAACGGTCAGTTCTCACAACGCACGGCAAGGCATAGAAGATTCTGTCTATCGTAGGCCAGCTTGAACTTGAAGATTGCCAACAAACATGGACATGCATGTGCAGTCACAAGCGCAGCCTGCAGTGTAATAGGGCATGTACCTTCAAGTGCCAGTTGCAGCAAACACGGTCACGGCGCCTATTATTGCGGCCGGGATGCGAAGGCTCCGAGTTTGGCATGATTACAGGCATTTCAGTCACCCACTTGCGTCATATTTCCCAGCCATTAACCCGCTCAAGTTAGTCTCGCTCTCCCCGGTGCTCCCAGTCTTCCGAGTCTAGACCATGTACGGTATCTAGACATGTACTTTAGCCATCTGTTTTCAAAGTCGTTGAATTTTATTATTGTTATACTAGTACGGGTATATCTCTACTCGTCTTACTGCAGACACCTGCTAGTTCCATCAGTCCACAGCCTAATAGTTGGTGCTCATTTCGCTACCTGACCCCATATGGCATTCCGAGTGATTGTTGAGCAGCAGTACCGTATAAGGGCGCCGGCAGTACACGTGCTAGGGCTAGGACGACTTACCTCGGCAGATACCTAGGTACAGTATTATGGTCATCATGCCTTAAGCACAATGATGTGTACCTCGCGTTCAGGTAGGCTTCTTCGGAGAATCGACGGGCCATCAACTCAGTATGTCCAGGCTACTAGTGATCGAGCTGAAAGGCACAATAACCGGGGAGAAGGGGTCGATGCATGCGAGCCAAGGCATGCTACTTCAACCGCCTACTGTGAACAGGCACAGACACGATGACCAGATATAAGCTGTCTTTTGCACAATCAATTTTGTTGGTGAGAACACCAGGTCTTTTTATTGTTGCTACCGTTTTTGCCTCGTTGAACTCCAGGGTCGTGATAAGAAGCTGCAGTCCCATTCCCCATCCCTTTGTTGTGTAACACCCGCTCCTGCGCCATTCTGGCGACGTATAAACCCAGGCAAAAAAATTCAATCAATCAGACAGGCATGCCCGTACTAGCATCGTGTCAAACGCTCGACAAAGAAGCTCTCGTCATCGCCACATGTAAATTAGCCCCCATAATTTTCTAGCAGCAGGAATCGATGTTGCGCACCAGTCCTGTTCGGCCCGCCAGTTGTCGTCAAAAACAAATCATTATGTTAGAGCAAGGATATAACGTCCGAGAATCGAGATGTTTAGGACTGCGGAGCAGCAGCAGCGGCATCATCGTGTTCTTCCAACCGCTTCTCCTTCTCGTGTTCTTCTGCCGCCACACCGTGGCGATCCCCTTGGGCAGGCAGAGATTGTTGATGTGAACCTGAACCAGATTGAGAACTGGAAACTTCGCTCTTCTGCAACATTTTGACATGTCCCTCGATACCGTGCCGCTGGTCCTGTGGCACTTCCGGATCGATTGCATTCTGCTCGGGCCGGTTCGGCGTCCAGGCCAAGTAATCCCGTCGAACTTCGACATAGTCGTAGGCGAACTCGCCAAGTTGGTCGTCGTCCATACCAAGCAATTCAGCCTCGTCAGTGGCACGGAGATGAAGCCCCGGAATGAAATTCACAAAATAGGCAAGAATGGCGCTCATGACGAATGCATACCCCGTGCATGCCACCACGTAGGCCAGTTGAATATAGAATTGTCGATAATTGCCAATCGGCCATCCTCCGATTCCAGTCCCAGTCTCGGGATTGCTGGCTCCTGTGTTGACCCCATCTAGACCGACAACATAGTCGACCCCTAATAGAGCATTGAACAAAAGCCCAATTATACCCGCAACTCCGTGCTCGGCGAACACATCCATGGAGTCATCGATCCGGACCCAGTATTTGACTGAAGAGATTAATTAGTACATCCATCCCAACGCAGAAAGGTAAAAGAGAGAAGAAACTTACTCTTGGTTGCAAAATTGCAAATGAATCCCGTGGTCACTCCCAAGGCCACGCTGCCCCATGTATCGAGGTATCCAGACGCCGGCGTGGCTGCCACCAGTCCAGAAATGGTGCCTGAACACCAACCGACCATGGATAGTTTCCGGGCAAGACGATAGTCCAGGACCACCCAGGTCACGGCTGCCATACTGGCCGTCAAATTCGAATTCCAGCAGGCCATTACTGCACGTAGATTCGCGCCAAAGGATGAACCGCCGTTGAAGCCAAGCCAGCCAAACCAGAGCAAAACCGTTCCCAGGAGAATGAAGGAAACGTTGTGGGGTCGGAAGTTGAGCATCATCTTTTCCTGGCGTTTCCCAAGAACCATTGAATAGGCCAGGGCAGACATGCCAGATCCAATTTCGACCGGTCCGCCACCGGCGTAGTCCATCACTCCGTACTTGTAGCCCCACCCATTCACGTTCCAAGCCCAACAAGCGAGCGGATTGTAGACAAGAGTGGCCCAGAGGAAGATCCAGACAAGGAATGGTGCGAGTCGACCGCGTTCGGCAACGGCGCCGGCGACAATGGCGGCGGTGACAGCACAGAATTGCATCTTTGTTCGCACAAGATCAGTATACAACCATAACACAACAAATCTCTGAACTTGAACCTACCTGGTAAAATGAATATAATAGAGTCGAGACCAGTGGAGAACCAGGACTCGGATTGCCCAGGACATGTTTCAGGCCAAAGTTCTCGAGATCACCAATGAACCCGTTCGTCGCGGTAGGGGAGAACGTGAGCGAATAACCCCAGAAATACCACTGAAAGTTGATGACAGTTCCAGCAGCCATGCAAGCCCACATCATCGACAACGCTGATTTTCTCCTCGCAAGCCCGGAATAAAGAAATCCAAGGCCTGGTACCATGATCAATACCAGACATGATGACAGAATAATGTATGCCGTATCGCCTGACTGATACCATTTATTCAGGTTCTCGTGCCCTGTGCCACAGTCAGCCAGAGCCCTTTCACGCGAAGAGACGGTCACTCACTTGAATCACCACCTGTTTTCGGATTCGTAGCCAACGTATAATCGGAGGGAGCGCCGGTCCAGTTATACGAGGCATATTCAGGCAGGAAATTGGCCGTTCCTGACATGTTTCCGGGTCAGGGTTTTATCAGTTCAAAAGACGGAAGTACCGCCCCCAGGGGCATTGGGAGCCTGCTCGAGCAAGGCCGATATCCTGTAATCAGAGCAGAGCAAGTGCACGGTCGGTGGAGGTCAAAGAATGATTATATAGAGACTTTGAATTGAACTTTCAACGGTGAGACCAGCAGGTACTTCAGGGATTTGTATAATGCAAGTTGACACGGTAGGACGACACTATAATAGCGACAGGGCGTTAAGTTGAGGCATATAATCGGTGAAAGCAGTTCGTTTAGTCCCTGAAGTCGACAACAATCTAATCGAGGGACCAGAAGCAAATGTGAATAAGGAATCTTGGGTATATGATTATCGAGTCCCTTTGGAGAGATTTCCCGCGCTGGGCGAAGTCGGAAGGCCTCATGGCTAACGAAGACAAGGGAGACCTAGAAATTCAAATCGCCCGTAAGAGCAGCGGTGGCGTGCATCAGTGGAACCAACGTCACCTCAGGTCTATGGCCGGAGCTGATTCTCTTGTTGTGGGGTTTGTTGGGCGATGCGTTAGGCCGGGCCTTCAGCACGCCTCAAACAAGAGTAGCATGAAAGCCCGTGGTTTTGTGACCGATGGTGATGAGTCCATGTACATCCCGTCCGTGACTGGCTGGAAACCGACGTTATCAAGAATTCCTTCTTCCCATGTTCGCATTCACTTCGGCCCAGGCTCGTACCCATGATGCCCAGCACGTCCAGAGCCTTGGCTTTGGTGATGTGCCATCAGACAACCAACGGAACGAGATCCTGAAGACACTCGTCCCCACCCCTCGAGCGGAAGCACTGCTTGTGAAACATAAGCTCTTTTGGCCTCGATACCAGCATAGTACTATTCTGGTCCTCCCCTTCTACCGTAAAGTGCATGTCGTACTTGTTTGTAGGCTGCTTTGACAACAGCATCTGCGAAACAATGGGACATGTCAGATTGCACAAGTTCGCCCTGCGTTCCGATGCTTCGGGCAGGACCGTGTAGGCGCATTTGTCTCTCGTAATGGAAAGGGGCTTCATCGAGAGCACTGGGATTGCTTTATCTCTGTGCTCGATGCCTATCTCTTCGGATTTGGTCATTTACTCATTTCATCGACGAGCAAAGAAGAATCTGGTGAAGCCGGGCCAATCATAAGACGGAGCCTTATCTCTGGACCCTGGCGTAAGGTTGGACAGGGGGCTCGGACCCGGTCTGCAGGGGCATCGTCGTTGCCGGGGTCTAAGATGCCGCCGTCGACACGCCATCTGCAAGACCGCCGCTAGCGCCATGCGAGTTTAAACCCTCGTCCACCAAGTCAACGTCTGCTTATCTTTCCTCCGGCCCGAAGCTGAATGGTCCGTCGTGGCCATGTCATTCAAGTTGTACACTGTAGGTATGTATGTTGCTGTACAAGACAGTTGAGCCGACAAGCACGTGAGTCTCCTCCACGCGACCCCCGGCCTGGTCGATTCTTCTGATGGCAGTACCGCTGTATCAGGACCCAACGTGGACGGGTCTGCGAACCGCAATGCTGATTGATCAACAAGCTGGGTCTCTGGGGTATGGGCACCGAGGCGTGCCGCCTGCCCCATGTGCAGTACCACATTGTAAGTTGTCGGATGCTCACATTGAAGACTCGTCCGGTAGGACTTTGCAAGTTACTGCCAAAAGACTCATGTCATGGCCCTGGCTCTTTCCAAATTTTCCTTTTCTTTCTACCGGACCAGTGAGTTGGGAATCCTATCAGCTGGAACCGCAATGCAGCTCGATACGGGCTCCGAACACTGTTCGCTTGAAAGTGCGCAGAGTTTCGGAAAAAAACTTGGCAGGTGAGTCTGGACGTCAAGGGGTATGCAAACATTGCTAGGACCGTTATCGCTGCTGCTGCCTTATCTATATGTCGCCACATCAGTCCGATGATCTCCCAAAACTGCTTGGACGCAAGCGTGAAGCATTGAATCTGTGATGTCAATACATGTTGCATCGTTCTAATCTGCGATCTTGGGCAACAACTGATCCCTGCTGGCCGGGTTGATGGTGTTGGCTATCGCGGCAGTTGTCTCTGCTGAACGGTGATAAACTTCAATCAAGGTCAGAGCTTCCACGTGAAGGAACGAGACCGTTGACTCTGCTGCTATCCACAATCAAGCCATGGTCCCATCAAAGGTCTCGCCACGAACCCGGTCAGGATGTTGTATGGCAGCATCGGACTCTTGCTGGATGTCTTGAATGTCCTTTGGACGCCGGGTCTCAGGCACGTGAAAAAGACCGAACCGCTGGGGAAGGGCATGCCATGCGGCGATGCCTCGAGCCTCATCCAGTCAATTTTGGTTTGGATAACTATGGTCGAGATTGATAGGTCTTATCTTTCTGTACGCCACACAGATTCTGACTGGGCCCTGTGTGGTTCGTCTCTTCAGGTCCCCATCTCCACTCTGTGCTGCTGGGCCGGTCCTCTCGGATCGCGTCCCAGATCATGTCGCGTTATCGACGCAGCGGTTGTGCCCACGGGGTATCTGGATGATCTGGGGTACCTGACGGCTCAAGATGGTAATGGTGATCCAGGCTCTGGGATTTGCCTTTCAACGTATGTATTTTCTTCCATTGCTGATCCGCTGAACTCCATCATGGGATTGGGCATAGTAGACGGCAGGGGTTGGTCGATCTAAATCTTCGTGAAATAGCTTCTCTTCATGTACTTTCTCCTTGCTGGTTTCCAAAGATTCGCCTTCGTTGCTTCTTTCCGACTGATCGACTTTGAGGCGGTATATTTTGTTTGACCGAGGTCAGTAAGTTGAGGATGACCTGCAGCCTGTCATTGCATGATTCAACAATTCGAGGAGAAAAGTGATGAGGTGGTAGTGAAGTGGGGAGGCATGGCGGGTGTTTGTGAAGAGAGCGAGCGCAGGCACGACGGCTGTGGTTGTATGTCAAAGTACACACTGGCATGGCGACAATATACATGGAAGCTGCTAGAGGAAATCGAGCAGACTGTGCAGACGCAAGCCGGTTACCACTGTAGATATGACGAGAATGAATATCGTAGAACAGAAGCATCATTCCGGACTTGAGTGGTCCAGGTCATGACAGTTCATTTAGCTGTCGCCCAAGCTCAGCGCTCTATTCAAAGCTGCAGTGCTAGCAATCCTGAAATCTTGCAATCTTGCAATCTTCTACAACTAACTCCTCCCAGAACCCATCCTGCCTAACCTGGCTCATCAGCATCATTACCATGAACGCCTACGCAATCCACGTCATCTGCGTTTTGTTGTCTCTATCCCAGCCGAGTTCGTCTGTCTGTGAATGTAGTGTTGGCATTTTACTTCTCCTCCGGCAGCGATCCAAACATGGTCTCAACGATAATGCCGGTAATTTCTATGGAATGTTAGTGCTCCGACTAGGTCGGGATGAATGGGTCAAGAAACTTACGATATGGGTCGGCATTTGACGCAGGTCGGCGGTCTTCAAAGTAGCCCTTGCCTTCCCGTGCGCAGGCTCGCGGAATCCGCACAGACGAGCCACGGTTGGCCACACCCCAAGTGAACTTATCAATACTCGACGTCTCGTGTTGACCAGTCATGCGGAGTTCGTTGCCTTCACCGTACACCTTGATGTGCTCAAGATGACGCTCCTCGAGCTTCTTCATGGCCTCGTAAATGTGCTTGATACCACCCTCTTCACGCATCTCCTTGGAGGAGACGTTGGTGTGGAGGCCGGCACCGTTCCAGTCACCGGGGATCGGTTTCGGCTGGAAGGAGACGACAGCACCGAACTCTTCGGCGATACGGTGAAGGAGCCATCTGGACACCCAGAGTTGGTCGCCCACTGCAATCATTGTCAGCGCTTCGTCAAATATTAGCAGCATAGGTGGTTACTCACAGTCAATTCCGGCACAAGGGCCAACCTGGTATTCCCACTGCGCGGGCATCACCTCGGCATTTGTGCCCGAGATTTCAATACCAGCGTACATGCATGCCTTGTGGTGGGCCTCGACAATATCACGGCAGAAGACACGACCAGTACCAACACCACAGTAGTAGGGACCTTGAGGGCCGGGGAAGCCACCTTTGGGCCAGCCGTAAGGCCAGCCATCGGGGCCGAGAAGTGTGTATTCTTGTTCCAATCCAAACCAGATTTCATGCTTCGCGTGGGCCTCCATCAGCCGGGCGGCTTCATGTCGGTAGTTGAACTTGTTGGGCGTGCCATCAGGATCCCACGTCTCGCACATGACCAAGACATTTTCACCCAGTCTGATCGGGTCGGGGAACATCGCAACTGGTCGGATGTAGACATCGGAGTTGTCGCCGGGGGCTTGGGCGGTAGACGAGCCGTCGAAGTTCCATTCTGGGAGATCGTCGACAGATTTGGGAGCCTTGCTCAGGGTCTAAGAATCGCCGAGTTAGTTAGAATATGATCCCAAAGTTGTTTGGATTTGATGAGGCGATTCGGTGCTGCGCCGCGACGGGTGCCATGAATAGCGCTGTGCATAAGCCACATCATTGGCTTTCGCCTCCCGAATGCCGAGACCAGTCGATTCGGGATTGGCGAGAAGTGAGAAGTGGGCTGCGCGCATTCAAAATGGCAATGAGCCACAACGTCCTAGCGTGGCGCCGGAGGGACCAGGATTCCCAACGTGGGAACCCTGCACTTTGCAAAGGCCAGCTGCGTATGGCATGCGCTCACTCGCAGACCAGAGTATTCTGGTGTAGCAGTGGCCCATAGTGTTTTGTAGAGCAAAACTCGTGTGCAGCGAAATGTGAGATAAGAGCAGCTGGGCTCAACACTTACCTTTGTCTTGTTCCGCAGGCCGTTGGTGCCATCAATCCAGATGTATTCGGCGAGGACTTTGCCTTTTTGGGGCAATTGCATGTATTTTGCCAACTGAGAAAAGGTCAGATAAGTGTCGGAGAGGAGATCGGCCTAGGCAGAACGCCTTGAGGAGGGACTCACGTTGGTGGCATTGGAGACGTAGACGGATTCGCCGACGCCAGCCTGAAAGATTGTTAGTACAACTGTAGGAGCGGTAAATGCGTCAGGCGCAGGCTCACCATGATGGAAACGTGTTGAGGAGAGATGTGGGAGAAAGGAACAACTCGAGAAGGTGGAAGACAACGAACAGTGTGTCGTAGTCTGGAGAAAGGATGAACTTTTGAGGCGGTGGGTAGTTGTGGAGGATTAGAAGGATTGCAAAGATTGGGAAGACGATAACGGAGAGGGCAGACGCAAAGAATAAATAAATGGGAATGGGAATCCGAACGCAGGACGGACTGGGGGTCGCAGCGCAGGCCGGGCGAGCACCGACAAGGTATGCTCGTTAGTGGTGTACCGCAGTTGGGGAGGCTAAGGCGATTAGTGACTCGGCCCCTAGCAAACAGGCAGGGAGATGCCCGACGCCCTCCGCCCACCGCCCACAACGCCGCCTAAGCCTAGGGCATCGCCCGCATGCGCACTACTACTGGCAGCCCTAGCCTCAGACGACTCGGGGCCTTGATTCATCACTTATCACCCTCAGGCACTGTACTACCGTGCTATCCACGACATCCTCCTATTACTCACGCTTCGTGTATCCCAGATCACTCCATTTCACATCAAACAGAATCAACAGGATGCCCCTCGGGTTTCCCCACCGACCGTGACCACCAAGAATGGCCTTTCCCCCACAGGGGCCAGATGGGCAGACTCCCATTCATCGTTTCGTGAAATATCGGCCCCTCTCTTCCAACAGTGGGCAAGCCCAGAACATCCTTCGGCTCCCAGCGATCGGGTCGCTGGCTAAAAGGCCGAGCGGAAATCCAGGCGTCTCATAACAACAATAATGGGTAGAGCCTGATTCGAGGGGCCAAACAGCGCCATCACCTCTGTGTCCTGCTAGCACAGGGTCCCTCCTCACCCAACGGTGCGCCCGGACTGACAATTGGCCCCGAAATTCGAGTCGCTCAATCTCGACACTTTCGTCCCGCCATCGCCTCCTCAACCCCACTGTCCATCCACGCTGTTTGACCACCTCGACCACTCATCGGCAGCCGAATTACGGCAACCGCAAGATAAGAAAATTGGCCGGGTTTCCTTCGTGAGATCGCTGAGATCTCCCTCCAAGCCTGCCTTGGGAAAGCGCCGGTGGCGTTGGGGCAGTGGTATGACTACGGGCATTATTGGACAACGAGTGCGATATCTGGAGTGCAGTCACGGCAGTTTACCGAGCCGCAACGGACCTAGACACATCCTACGACAATGTCCATGGCATTGGCCTTAGCCCGAGCGTCCGTTCCAGAACGACGACATAAAACAATATCACTTGAAACATATTCATGGTGGTAATAGTATTGGTGTAGGCAGCACCTCTATGGACTGTCGAGCGCAACTGTACGCACTGATACCTCGAAGGCGAGTGCATCTGGGATCCGGCTACTGCAAGCGTTCAAGCCGGGAACGGATTACCCACGCCCGGAATGGCATTATTCTATTCTCGAAGATTTATTGTCCCCACGTCAACAGGGACCGGGGGCAAGTCTGCGTGCAACACTCCGTTTCATGCATCCGCCCGTCACTTCTCCAGTTTCGCTCTCAGCTGCCTTTACCCCCTGAAAAACACAGACCTTACGTTGTCAGCGCAGGAAACCAACCCGAACGATTTTCTTCTGTTAGCAATAAAAACAGTCAGATAGCCAACAGCAATATGGCCTCGGGGGAGCGCATGCGAGCGGTGCACGCATTGGGACTAGTTGCGTCACTAGCTCGCTCAAACCCTGGCCATGGCGTTGTTCTTATCGTGGCACTGTGATTGGCTTGCGCTAATGTCTGACACATGGACGAGAACTCGATGACATAACAGGTGGCGGTGTTCAACGCAGTATCCGGGCACGAGACACTGGTCCCGATTGCGGAGGTGGTTCCGTTTCAGGCTGAGTTCAAGCATACAATGTACACTGCAGTCCCTTCTACCACAGTTCCCCGTGGGAAGGCTACCATCCGCATCTGGTGCATCTGCTCAAACTAATGTTCAAACTCATTTTCCTGCAGAGAGCAGGGAGGCTACGGCTGTGCGGTCTAGATTATCGTGTCTCCGACTTACAAATGCTCAGATACGATGTGGTTCATGGGTCACCCTGCCCACGACGTATACACAAGGCTGAGACGAAGGAGACAAGGCTGGGTGTCCCAAGTGGTGAGCGCAGCGACCAGTGAGACCATTGGGCATGTCTGTCACCGAGCTCGATAACAAGCAGACGATGCACTAAAAGCTCAGTCGAGGGCAACTATCACGACCTGATGAGCCTATCCACTGTTCTCTGCTATTTGAACTATTAATTGTCCAAGAGCTCCAGGATTTTATAGGCATCGTGGAGTGGTCCATCCCTTATTGGCGCTGTGGCTGCCATTTTCTTCGCATGCAGTGTCTGCAGGACGTTGTTCAAAAGCACATGGCACCGCCATCAACACACAGGTCGGCGCCTGTGAGGTACCTTCCCGCCCTCTTGCTGCTGAGCAGGACGACAGCGCCCGTGATTTCCTCGACATCTCCCATTCGACCCATGGGACATCGGCTGGCCCAGATGTCACGGACTGGCTTCAGATTGTCCCCAGCGTTGAGCACTGTATCCATGTAACCCGGAGATATGCTGTTGACTCTGATACCGTGAACGGCCCATTCTGCCGCCAGATTGCGGGTGAGATGTGCCACGCCGGCCTTACTAATGTTGTAGGCCACCTGGGGCTGAGGATAGTTTGTTGAATGAGCAGAGATCGACGCGGTAAACAGGATGGAGCCCCCAGTTTTCTGGTCCACCATCCAATGCGCCGCGGCTTTGGCGCAAAGGAAAGAACCTGTCAGATTGACATCGACGACTTTACGGAACTGTGAGGCCCTGACAGAAAGAGAATCGACACAGTCGACTATCCCGGCGAAACAGCATAATATCTCTATGCCACCCATCCACTGGTAAGCCTGGATGAATGCCGACCCGACCTCTTGTTCCGACGTCACGTCGACATGGATGGTCTCGATGGTCTTGTGAGGGAATTCCCTTCGGAGTGCCGAGATTTCGGATGCCGACTTGTCAATTGTTGACTGTAAGTCCATGAGAATCATGAACCTGACGCCGTGCTCCAGGAGAGCTCGCGCCGAAGCCAATGCTAGTGCGCCTGCTCCTCCGGTGAGTACGGCACGCTCCTCGCATTGGAACCGTGCAGCTGCTCGTTCGGCCGGCAAAGTCGATGGCGGAAGCGGCGGTAGCGGAGCCGTGAGCGGGTTGTCGGCGGTGGAAAGCGTCATGGTCGGTATGGTCCGAGAGGTGAGCGACGCTCTTTCATCTTGAGATGCCATTGGAGCTGCCGGCGTCGAGTCTGTGTCTCCCATCGTGTAGATTAATGGCGTGTCGTACTCGGGGCCGCGGTCTTCCGGCTGTGGATTGAAAAGGATCCCTTCCTGCTTCTTTCCACGCTTACGGAATTCTTGCGCGGTACATGTATACATATAATAGGAAAACCCCGACCGCCTTGTTGTCCTCTATTACGATTGATTCAGCATTGGGAGGCAGAGGTCATGACAGATATATGTATACCTATCAAGGGGTCAAAAAAGTGGATCAGCTCGCGGAGCCGGATGTTACAGGCACACACTGTGTGATCGTCCATGTCGGAGGGATGCTGGCCGGACTATCGAGACGAGGGCGACATCTCAATGCCAGCGTAGCTAACTTCTTTATACTACCATAAACCTGCCTGGAACTCTCCCAAGCCACCTACCTACCTAGGTATTCTACCACTGTATACCATGATGCGGTGAGGTATTACCAGCACTGCTAGTAGTAATCGAATGCTGTGAAGCACTGCGGCGGGATGATTGGAGGATCGTGTTCAACCTCTGACGCAACTTGGCGCGCATCATGATTCCGGCGATTCAGTTTCTCCGGATCGGCGAGCCCTGGCCCGATGGCAACTCTAATTTTTTTTTGAACGCAGCGGACATTGACATTTGTTAGCCTACAACCACGCCTGGATCCAAGTGCCCAACTCAAGTGGAACAACAAACTGATTCCTACTGTACAATAACTTTTCTGCCTTTGTTGTGATATCTCATTGCTGCGAGAGCGTCCGTGACCAAAGCGAAAAAGAACAAAATTCAATCGCACATGTCTCAATCCGACGCAAATGGCTCTCAGGCCGTCAATGGCAATTCGGCGAACCCTCCAACAACGTCAAATGGAACTGTAGCCACCACTACGCCGAACCAACTATCCTCACAAATCGATCTCCTCGTCTCCCTACACCTCTGGGCCTGGCCGGCATTGACGCTCGCGATCCAAAATGCCTGGGGCGGCTCCGCCCAGATCGCAGCCGACAAGCGCGACTGGTTTGCGGGCGCGGTGTCGGAACTGCTGACCTCGACGCCTCCGCAGTTGGCGGACGTGGGCGATCTGGAAGAAGTCTTGCTACAGGTCATGTTTGACGAGTTTGAGGTCGTAGTCGACGACGGGAGTGCCGAGCAGACGGCGCGGGGGATCTGGGGCGGGATGAACAAGTTGATCAATGGAGATGTGTCTGAGTTGCAGGACATGTATGTCAAATGGGAGGAGAAGGAAAAGAAAGGAAACAGCAATAAAGAAGTTGCCGGGTTTGTCAAGGGCGAGGATCCGAACCAGGAGACGGACGAAGAAGCGGATGATGATGACGACGAGAATATGGATGTTGATATGGACGAAGCGCCGCCGCTGGTCAATGGAGCCAGACAGCCTAGAGAGAGGGTCGAGCCTGAAGTTGATGAGGAGGGGTTTACAAAGGTGGTGAACAAGAAGAAGAGATGAGATGATGTGAGCTGCATTGCACTGCATTGCATGGTGTTTAATTGAGCCGCAAAAGACGCTTTTTGGCTCAAAAGACAGCCAGCTACTTGGAGAGACGAAACGAGAGACGAGATGAGACGATGCTAGACGACCCGAGATGTGACGATGTGAGATGACGATGTGAGATGACGATGTGAGAAAAAAAAAAGTACCGAAACGGATGGAGTTGAGGAGAAAAAGTCCAAGTCGTGGCAGGCGACGGGTCGGGCGCCACTTATTTGCACAACTGAAGTTACACGCTCTTTTCGATCCATATCTTCATTCTACACTACTACCAGTGTACGGACATGGCATGAGCCTTCCAGTGTTCATGTTTACCGGCACTCGGGTTCCCGCTCGATCCATGTGTCCCGTCCGACAAGACGGTCCAGCCGTTATCTTTTTCCAACGACCGACCGACCGAATGGGACGAACCCAAGCGAAGGCCAGTGCTGTCCACTGTTCTTCTTCCATCAATGACCCTCCGGATCAACCAGCCCCAGATCCTCATTCTCCTTCTTACTCCGCTGGCTCCACTCAGGCGGGACATCGATCCCTTCTTCCTCTTCGCGGTCACCCTGCGCTTTATCCTTATGTACCGACGTGGGCTTGTGTTCAGCGGGCGAATACACGGTATACAAAATCAGCGGCGTGGGACCGGTGTTGATGAATTGATGCTGCGTCCCTGCAGGGACGATAATCAGGTCGCCTGCTTTCACATCCTGGTCGACGCCGGCGATGGTCGCTTTGCCTTGGCCAGATGTGAATGTTAGGATCTGGTCGACTGTATGTTTCTACCGAAACAAAACACAAAACCACTCGTCAGCAATAATGTCTTTGAGGGACGGAAGATATTGCGCACCTCATCACCAATCTCCCCGCCCACAGGCACAGTCATCAACACCAACTGACTATACAGACCCGTCCACAAGACGCGACGAAAATCCCCCGACTCACTGGGCAGCGAGGTGGTCATTTGTGGGAAATACGCCATTTCATGTTTCGGCGGGTCGAGCGATGGAGTTGGGAACTTCATTGTGACGGCGGTCGATGTGAAATGTCGTCGGGGAATGTTACTAACAGTAGGGAGTAGTCGAGATGAATATTCTCTGCTGCTTCTAATGGATTGAGAGATTTGCAAACTGTTTCGCATGTATCCTCTGATGATCTGTTGACCTTGGACTTGACGGCGTGGTAGGGCGACACAAGTTGAATGGATCGAGACTCGATGCTGCAAGACAGCTGAAGACATGGAAAGATAAAAAGTACAACCACAACCAACAAGTATCGTGTCAAATACTAGTACCCGGTAGCTACAGCACCGTAGCTTCCAGTAGTAATGTAAAAGTCTTTTGAAATGGCTCTGGACGACCACGCCCTTATACTGTAATGCCGGTACTAATACTGGTGGTAGTGGTGGTGGTCTGCCCTCAATCTTATGACGAAACGAAACATGCACTGTCACTGGCACCGCGGCGTTATATGATTTTCCCGGTACTACTGTAGGGGCCTACTAGGTTGTATTCGTCCGGGGAAATCTGCTGCTAAACAGACCCCGGACACTTGTTCCTGTGGTGTCCGTCAAGGTCAGTGAGAGCATCAAGACGTCATGCCACCTGCAGTCAGGGTGTCATGCGAGTCCGTCTATGTTCGGCGACCACAACTTGAACTTGCGACTTCATCGCCGACCACTTATTAACGTGACCACGGCATCGTCGTCTGCCAGTACTATGTAGTTCCCCTTACTTACAGTACCTTGAGAGCAGCAATCTAGGTAAGATAGGTGACCATTATCCCAGGGATTACTATCTACAAGGACTGGATAGGATAGGAGGGAGGAGCCTTTACCGCCTTCAACTCAAAAGTCCCAGTATACAGCGTTGCAGTACCCCTTCTCGATTCAAACAGAAAAAAGAAAGTATGCCCAAGTCTCAAGTTTACGGTCTCGAGACCAGCGAGTCTTTAACAGTAGGTACCAATCTCAAACTTTTATTGCTTTCTAGTCTCGCAGTTGTGCATTTGCATTTGCAATAGTCATCCAGTCAAGGCCTGTCTGTATGGCCTCCAAGTCTCTCGCCAAATCAGCAAAAGAAAGCAATGCAATTCTTTTCTGTTCTGTCCGGCAAAAAAAGGCAAGAATCAAAACAACAACCCTCATGTCGCTCAATCTATCTAGGTATCGATTTCCATCCTCCCATCATGATACACAGTAGTACGCCATCGCAAAGAGACCGCAAAAAGAAAGAAGAAAGGTGGTTGATCGTCTCTCAAGCAAGTACCTAGACAAGACAAGCAAAGCGGCCCAAGAGGACCCCTTTCAGTTTCATGCTTCTGTTGTCCTCTATTTCATCCATCGTGACATGATCGTAGTAATCGTGACCTTGGCCGTGATCGTGATCGTGAGCGCCAATTGGCAGTAGCCCTCGACTGTGTGTGCTGTGTTGTTTCTGGCTGCAATTCCCAATCCTCAAGTTCCTAAAAAACTTAAACTCGTGTGCATCTCTCCTTCCTCACATTCATTCCTCACCGGTTTCCGCATCGACAAATTGTTCGCCGGCTGTTGTGGCGATGCTCTGCTTGCGACTCGAGTTCAAGGATGCATAGGTATGATCATCGTCGGTGGTAAACTTCGAGGTCGCACTGGCAGTGTCTACCGCTTCTTCTTTTTGATTTTCTCCTTCTTCCTCATCGTCATGAATAGCCGAAGGATGTTGTTTCCCAGCGTCATCGTGCATGGCTTTCCTCAATTTCAACCGGTCCTCCTGGGACATGCTCTGCCACTCGGAAGACATGGTGATGACACTGGCCTTTTTACCATGGAGAATAAAACTTCCCGTGCCCCTCTTGAGTTCCTCCACTTCATTCTGGACCGACTTCCCTCCATCGTCTGTGGCGGCGACGCTAGATCCTGAATCTCGCCCTTTTCGATGGCGATGAATACTGGGGGAGTGGTGGTGACCCTCGCGCAAACTGCGTTGGAGACTTCTTCGAACACTCCCGACCTTGGAAGTTTCTAACGGACTCGTGACGGCCGCCAGACGGTCCCTGTCCGACTCACCAGTATCCGGCCGCTTTTCCTTTGAGACATGGCCATCGGTGCCGAACAAACCTGCTTCGCGCAGAACCTTTTGCTCGTCATCCTCAGTGATGACTCTCGCTAGCCGTTCCTTATCACGACTATGATGAGAACTGGTCACAGACGCCCTATGAACCAGCACGTGCGGTTCTTGACTGCTCTCCTGCCCTACCAGAACATGTTCAGATACCGAAGGGCTGGTAGCGGCAGAAAGATCCGGAGGGCTGGACTCAGGTCGATTACCCTCGTTTTCGGCAGACGTAAGTTTCTCCGTCATATTGGACGCCTTCGGTGACAGCGCACTGACTGGCGATAACGTCGTCTGGTTGATGTCGTTGACGTTCCGTGCTATGTTTATTGGCCCGACTTTTATAGGAGTTGTCTTTTGGGGCGTGGACGCCGACGACCTGCGAGGCACTGGGAATGCCGTCACTCCTTCCTGCTCGAGATCTTTGTACAGAATATCACGATGGGTTCGTGTCCTCCATAATTCGACTCTTGTCCACTTCAACTTTGCCGACATCCGACCAGCCGCCAGCACCAGAGCCTCCCGAGTCTTTTGCTGAATGGGCAAGAGGATGAGCAAATGGCGTGCGTTTCGAAGGAGATTGTCCAGTTCCTTCTGTGCAACCATGATCTTGTCGTCGAAATCACTGATCCTCTCGCTGATGAGCTGTCGACGATAGAACATGATTTCCCACGTTACCTGAGGGTCCACTTTGCGCTCTTTCTGCAACGCCTGCTCGCTCTTGGTCGATTGCTCCGAATCCTTGCGATGGATATGTTGTCGGCCTTCATAGCTAGAACCCAAAAGCCCTCGCATTCTGATGCCGGCGGTCCGGAATGCAGCAGCATAATTCAACTTGCCGATCCAGTCATTCATTTCGCCTTCGCTGTTGGCCAGGAAAATCTCCTCGAAGCCGCCGTGCTTGATAAAAACAAACGCATTCTTGTGTTTCTTGTAACTGGTATCAAGCAGTGCAACTGCGTCATCCATAGACATAAGCGCATCTGGATCAAAGGAAGCCAGGGGAGGCTTGAAAACCAAAGGGCCGTTTTTGTTGGTCGATTTGGAATGTGCATCATACTGGCTGATCAGCTTCTTGACCCAACCCACATCCTTGAAGAAGTACAACTTGGAGTCGGTCAAGATGGCTCCCCATTCTTGCCACGGACGCTTTGCTTTCTTTTTCTTCGGGTCTTTGCGCCACAGCAATCCGACTTTGGCGACCTTGATGCTGACCAGCCCGGCTTGAGCCTCTCCAGGGTTGGTGATGGTTGCTTGCGTCGAGAACGCATCAGGCCTAGAACGTGCGGAAACAATTTGCAGCACGGCGGAATGGAGGAATGCCTTGTGGATCTCATTTGTATCAAGGACATCAGCCGTTCCAGTCGATCGATAGCAATCCTCAGTATCCATGACATCCTTCAGTGATGGCCGTAACACCTCTAACTTGTTGTCCAAGATCAAGATGTACGGATCCACAGGCCCACGTAGACTTTCCAAACTTCGGGTCCGGATCAAGCTCTTCTTTGGTTTCGGTGCAGTTAGACGGTGGCTATGAACCGCAATTTCATCCTCGAAATGGATGAATGGCGTATAGCACACATTGTCGTAGAAACATTCGAGAATATCGCTGGAAATATGGACCGGCCCCTGTTGAGTGTTCTTGACGTAGTCCTGCTTCTGCATCTTCCACTTGTTGTTCTTGTTGTGGGTGTCGGAGTGCAGGAGAAGGATTGAAAATGCAACGAAAGCGGTCTCGTCCGTTGATGCAAAGATGCCAGGGTTGCATTCGTAGTAGCGATCGGCAAATCCAGCGAGGAGTCGGTCGATTTGTTGCGTTTCTTTCGGCAACTCTACCTCCATCAACATTTTCCGTATCGCCATGTCAATGGATTCGCCAAAGTATGAAAAGCCTCGCATGTATTTCCTTAAGCAAGTCTTGGAGAAGTCGTCGCCGTTCTTACAAAGAATCGTTGCCATGGCACCGCGGGGAACCGCAGCCTCCAGCTTTTCCAGATAGCTTGCAGGCGTATCGTCGTCTTCCCGCTGCGGATAGACGCGCTCTGGCTCCGGTTCCCGGGGAATGTGTAGTGAGTTGGACTTGGAGCCGGGGGTTCCAGGACTCGAGCCCGCGCTGTGCCGGGGAGGTGGAGCAGAATTCTGCCGGAGTCGATGGGGCAGCCCAAGAAGATCACCAAAACTCCTCCTCCCACTTGTGGACGTTGAGGTTCTCGCGGATCCTGGCTGCGGCACGACCTCCGCTAGTTTCTCTGCCGACCTCCTCACGGAACTCATGGTCGAAGACCGTCCTCTTCCGCTGCCCGGGCGAGGCGGAGCCAAAGACACGGACGGTGCTGAATGACCGGAATGGGTAGACCACGCCGAGTTTTGACGCACGATCGTTGGGCCAGGAGAGCCAAACGGTGCGTTTGTCAGCGCAGTCGTCGAGTGAGTCGGTGAAGGCTCTGCTGAATCCTGTCGACTCGGAGCGGTATCGAATCGGACTGTGGTGGTGGATTTTCTACTGGGCGACATGGACCTCCTTCCTTCTGTCGTCTCACGGGGCATGGTCGAAGTGCTTGTCCGACCCGATTGGGGCGCAGCAAACCTCTCTGGCAACGGAAACAACGGCCCCTTGTTCTTCTTCCGTCGACTGAGCTTGAAAAACGTGGTGGTGGTGGATATGGTGTGAGTTGTGGTGGTTTTTGCATAGACATGGTGATCTGCAGAACTATCGTCGGAGCGAGAGGAGTCGGAAAGTCGTGTCACCGGAATCGCCAGTGAGGATGAGGATTCATCGCCATATGCAGGCGGAGCCGTGGCTGTGTTTGACACCTTTGGCCGGGGCAAACGTTCGTAGGAAGTGGTTTCACTTGGTAGTCGGGAGTTTGTACCAGACGTTCCGTGCTCTTCTAACAGACTTTCAGGTACAATGTCCTTCTGTGGCCGCTGCTCAGGAATACGGCTCTTGCGGAAAGGACTGGAAGATCGAGCAAACAACTTATGTTTTGGTGGTCTCAGGCTGCTATCCTCGAAATCGTAAGTGGGCGCGGTGGTGATTATCTTGGGCGCTAGATCGATCAGTCAGTCCCTGTGAAAAGAATCATGCGAAGATATACAACGTACGAGCAGCGTCTTGTGGTGTAACAACCAGCGATTTCCTAAATCTTGTGGACAGCTGCGAATCGGAGGCATGTCTCATCCCCAAGAGCGACATCCTCTGCGGTTTGAGTAGTGTTCCATCACCACCAGGACCACTGCTCGTCCTGGGCACTTGCATCTTCTCGGGTGGTGGCATAGGGACTGCGGCTGGGGTGTCGGCGCTTTTTGGCGGTGCTGAAGGCTCAGGGTTCTTGTCATCTCGTAGTGAGTCCAGGCGCGACTGTGCCTCGCCTGGCTCATGTGTAAAGAAGGGAGCAAATGTGTCTTCATTCGTGCGAGATAAGCCCAGACTCAGTCTCTTCATCGAGTTCCCGCGGCTGCGAGCCGGAGAAGGATTACTCTCGGAATCCTCGCCAGCATCCTCGATAATGCTACTGTGTCGTCGATGTGCAGAACGCGGACCAGCCTTGGAGAGAAGAGTTCTCAGTGGCATGTTCGGAGGTGCAGGAGCAGGCCTGGATACGCTAGATCATCTCGGGATCGCGAGGCTAAGGGGTTCGAGGCTTGTAGTAGGGAAGATGTTGTCGACATGGACGGTTCAGGCAGGCTGTCTACAGGGTTTCTCGGTCGGCAGGCCAGCTGCGACAGAGCGACGATGAGCCGGTGGTGAAGGGGCGCAGTGACATTTGAAGCGAGTGAAAGATGATGAGTAGACGCAGTAAGGAGTGATATGTGGATGAGACGCGGATGAATTGAACAATTCACGCGTAAGGACGAGCAGATGAGGACGAGAGACGAGAGACGAGGACGAGTAGACGGGGTCGAGTACCAGATGCAGTGAGGATGGTGAATGGGGTGCGGAGGCTGTGTTAAAAGTTGCAGTCTTGCTTCACTCCCTCAGACACCATGAACTCCATGTGCTCCACGATACTCGATCGATCAACCACTGCACCAAGTACTATGTACAAGTATTGTCTACCTCGCTTTGTCTATTGCAAGTCCATAGTCTACAGTCTATACCCGCTGTAGAGACAAGTAGGTATACTCTCGACCACTCCTAGCCCTCCTCCCTCGCTTGTCTCCCTCCTCCTGGTAGTATCTCACGCATTGTCGAGACCACTGGCCCGCCACGTGCACGCTCCATCGTTCTTCGGTTCGGGGGCTGGACCTGGAACCTGGACCGGGACCGGGACCGTTTTCTGACGCCCACAACTCTACGGAGGCAGCCGACTGCAAGTCCGGTACAACGACTGCTGGGGAGCCTACCAGGCACTACAATTGTAGTCCGGCTACCCACCTGCACTATTTTACTGTAAATCCCAACGCCCCAAGATGGCCGCGCAAGACGCCTAGACAAACAGCCAGCCACAGATCCGCCCAGAAGATAAAATCTGAAGCCCGAGCTCGGTTCATGACTACGACAGTGCTACTGATTATGCTGGCTCATGTTATTTCGCTTTCAGGGCCGCCACAGTCCATTCCATATTAGTATTCCTACCTATGCAGCATCGTTATGCGTGAACACCTGAGATTGATGATTCGGGCACTGTCCCTTCTAATGCAAAATGCAGAATGCAAACTCTCGCCCGTAATGCTCCCAAATGCAGATTTGCCGGTTCGCCATGCTGACTCTATACAATAATGCCCAATCTCCATCAATTACCTCGTCACGTAGCCTCCTTGAGGTGGCCTGTACGGTCCACCATATGCAGGGTTATATCCCGCATTGGGCTGCTGCTGTTGTTGTGGATGTTGCTGAGGCCCTTGAACATTCGACATGGGAGTCGGACCGGCAGCTGGAAATGCGCCGCCCCAGTAAACCGATGGCGGAGGGGTTGTCCATTGACCAGACTGCCGCGGATCCACGGATTGATATCCAGGATATTGCTGGTATCCGTACGTGCGTTCGGCAGCTTGTCTCTGTGCAATCGCCTCCTGAACCATATGACCCGCCACCCCGTCTTTTATGTTCTTCTTTTCCTGTTCCCGTGCTTGTATCGCGCCAATCAGGCCGACCGAAGGATCTGGAGTTCGGCTCCGCTCGCCCACCTGGATCAAAGGGCCGCCCGTCATTCGTGCCACATGCTCTTGTTCTCGCGCCGACAGATGGCTAGAATAATCCAGCAGCAGCGAGTTCCGGGAACTGGGTCGGACGATGGATTCCCTCTTCTTCTGTAGTTTGCTCGGAGACCGTTCAACTTGGCCTGAAGAAAAGCTTCGACGTGGGACATATCCCTGGGGCAGCCGCGCCGCCGCAGCGCGTTGCTGGACAAACTCCTCAGCCGTTAAGACTCTACTGGGGCTTTGTCGGCCGGTCATGGCTGCGGGTTGCCAAGCATAACTTCGAGAGCGAGCATGATTGGGCTGTGGGCTGATCCTATCAACATAGGACAGCCTCCGCTCGTCGCTGGGAGTCTGCCGCCCTAGGGATGCTCTTTCGTCCAAAGGCGGCCGTGACGGCGGAGTTCCACCAGGCGTCGCAGGAGCTGTGGCCGGGTGGTCGAGAGGTGACTGGCGGCCATGTATCCCACTTGCGGTCGGAGGACGACTCTGGCCTGGTGTTAGGCTCGGCACGACAGTCGTGCCGAAGTTGATCTCTGGTATATCGACTTGCAGGGATGATCGGGATACTTGGTGGTAATCTCTCAAGCTGGGATCTCCCACGGTCTTGAGCACGCCAGTCCGCGTTTTTCGGGGCCGAATGTCTGATGCGGCTTCCTCAGGAAGGCTGTCGTAGTCGGGAGTGCCGGATGATTCGTTGTCGTAATTAGAGGCGGAATATGGAGACATGTCGTCCGGGGGTTGGGAATGCTGGATGGGAAGCGGAAGGGAGGTGGTGGACGCCGGCACAGGCTTTCGATGAATCGGTTTCCGAGCGATCACGGATTCACTATTACTGGGCAGTCGGGCATATTCTGGTCTGAGATCAGCAGGGCTGTCTGTATAAGCACCATCTGCTACCGCTGCCACCGCTTCAGGGGGATGTTGATTAGCAGACATTTCTCTTTCGTCGTGAGGGGTCTCAGTATTTACCCCTCGAAGCCCCTGATCTTCCTTGTCATCCGGCCTCCCGTTGTTCCACGCCATCACGGCGGCCTGCCCCGCCGCCCCACCGGCACCGCTTACCATCTTGTTCACATCCGCCATCTGAGACAGTGTTGCATTTGACATGCGACTCTTCTCCCGCCTTAGATCCGGTCTCACCTCTGGTCGTTTCTGAGGCACTTGCCCAGCCTGATGTTGGAAGTGCGGAGGTGCGGCCACCGGTGCTGGCGGCGTCGACCCTCGCACGTCCTCCTGAATATCTTCTGGGTGCGTGTGCGGTGATTGACCCTCACTGTCGGAGCTGTACCTGCTATCGGATGCTTCTAGTTCAGTAGTGGCAGCCACGTTCTTGTTCTGGTACCGGTACGCTGGAGGCGCAGGCGGAGGTTGGATTGGCTCCATGTCAGTGTACTCACTGGACAATCGAGAGGGGTTGTAGTTGTCCCGTTGCTGGCGTGCCTTTGTAGGGGACACATAGGCCACCGACTCCGATACAGACCTTGAATGTTGTTGGTTCTGGGGAGGAGCAAGGTATCCAGCGTTGAGGGGCGTCGTGGCAGCCTTCTTGGGCGAAGCAAAGACGGCATCAGTAGACTGGTTATACTGATGTCTGGAAGGTGTTGAGCGGACAGAGGCTGCGTCGTCGTAGTGCACACCCTGGCGGGACTCCGAGAGCGTTCGGTTTCTCCTCTGTCCTTCCAAAGTGCTGCTTGACCGACTCTGCGCCGTCATAGCCATTCTCTTCGAAGTCATATCCTTCATTTGTTTCCGCCACTCGCGCTCGCTCCACTTGTCACTGCCTGGTGTATGAATTAGTGCTGCAACGTCTATGATGTCCAGGTACCCGTATCGGCGCTCCTTTGGCATAGCAAACATGAGGCCGCGGGTGTCCCACGTGTCCGCAATCAAGCGCTGAGGACGTCCGTACAGGTGGAAGACGTCGAAAACAGGGAAGAGCCAGCGTAGCATCATCTCAAACCCGGAAACGGCCGGGTGCAGCTCGGGCATCACGAAGACAAACCCTTCAGTCTTAGACTCCGGTTTCGAATGAATGGTGATTCTGCCTTCCACCTTGACGAGCGTCGACTGATCAATTAAAGGTTTCGACTGGGGATATATGGCATATGCTGAATACGCGTCGGTGATGGTTGCGATAGGGGTCGTCTTTTTGGTTTTCTTGGTGTCGTAGAACTTAATGTCGCCTTTGGGCAACGAGGGCTTTTCGTACGCCGATTTCTTCTTCAATGACTTGTTGGACTTCTGCCATTCTTTCTCGTCCGGCGGCTCGATGACGCACCAGCAGCGTCTCCAGGGCGTCCCAGCGCCAAAGCGGACACGCGCCCAATCTTCCGTTTTAAACTTGGTCCTCTCCATGATCGTTCGGATGTTGTTCAGATACTTGCCCTTTCCGGCAATCAATGAGCCCGTGTACAACTCCTGCAAGGATGCGTGTTCGAACATCGCTAACCGGATGCCGGCCGTCCATTGTGTCAACGAATGCAAGGAATTAAAGTGTAACAGATAGCGATTTTTGCCCGCGGTGGAAACTGAAAGAACGTTTTGTAGGGGCTGGACATCCGGGTTTCGTGTTGGAAGCGTCTCGATCTGCACATGGTGGTTCAGAACAAACTCCTCAATCATTCGTGACGGGGCAAAACGGCCTACCATTTTGATCGAAGCGTCTGCCAGGTTGATGAACGTGGGGGCTACTTCTCCATCCTGTCCGGCGGCATCGAGTGCAGCAGCATCCCAAAGCGAGAGCACCGTTCCTACCAATTGAGCAAAGCATTCGACCCAATTCCGGTCAGGGTATGGCCGTCCATCTAGGATCTTGACGTCAACAATGCCCCTGTATCAAAAAGCGGGAGCCCGGGACTTACGTGTATCAAGATCGTTCAGTTTCAGAAAGTAGCCTAGCAATGAGGGTCAGCATGCAGTTTTTGCCTCTTTCCGGACGTCTAGAAATACCTTCTTGATACAGTTTGTTGGCGTGACTCGAGAGGAAACTAACGGACATGGTCAGTGCTAGAACCAAGCAAGTATTCTATCCACATGAATACCAACCTGAACACCGGCGCCAGCTCTTCAATGTGGTTCTCCTTGCCAAAGTCCATGGACGGACTCGTGTACACCATGGATGCGGGACGAGAGGCTGGTCGGTTGGGCGCAGGGTTGGGCGGAGGAGTATCGGCGAAGGGCGCAACGGGTGAATTGGGCAATGGAGAAGATGCCTCTTTGTCGACTATTTGAGTCTGGCCATTAGGCGAGGCCCTGGAAAGGGACTGGTTCGACGCATTATTGGAACTCGAAGGGAAGGCAGCGGCCTTGAAGCTCTGAGACAGGTTTCGAAGTCGCCCCATGTTGTGCTGTTCACTGTTCAATGGTCCCTGCTCTTTTGTTTGACAGGTACCTGCGGCCGCGGATTCTCCAACTCAGTGCAGCGAAAGGAACAGGCACGGACAGAACCCTGCGACAATGGCCCCGTCTTCACCAACTGCGACAACCTCACTCCGAGCTCGTGACCCTCGTCAACCACGTTATCTGAATCCAGCCATGAGAGAGTGACAGAAGAACAGTCTGGAGGAGTATCTGTAAACAAGTGTGGCGCAGTGCCGGAGGTTGGAAAAAAGCCGACGGGGATAGCGAACGAGCGAAATAGCTAGGCTGAGGAAGCGAGCGAGCGAGATGAGGTGTAGTTGCAGTTTACCACGGACTGTCTAAGTTGGAAGCAGAACAAGATCACCGAAGAAACAAAAAGCAGGCGAGTGTCTATCTACGACGTATTTGCTTTCCGTCTTTCCACACCCTTTGGCTGTTCCGCCCACTTTTCTTTACTAGCGGTAGCTGTGTTTGGCGCCGCTTGGACACAACCGGGCGGGAGCCACTGCACTACTTTGACCACCGTCAATTGGACTTGAACCTATTGTATCTTGTACTGTACCACCTCGCATCGCATCTGGATGCCAGAGTTTGGCAGTCATTGTCTGGGTCAGTAATATTACCGTTGACCGGCATTGGCTCTACACAGCCATGGCCAAGTTATTGCCATGCCGCTAGACAAGACTCCGGTCAGCGCAGCAGTCTTATTATTATTTACAGTCCGAGTCTGCCTCATGGCAAGACAAGAGGTCCAAGTCCAAGCTGCCACTGCAGTAGTGTGGGCTTGCATCTCTGCAAGAGCTGTGGGTGTGGCTACTGCCGTGCTGTTAGGCGGAACATGGCCTATGAGTTCCTTGGAAAGAGTCGACATGTCAAGGCAGGCGGAGCACAAAACAGTCTTGGGGTCTGTAGTGAGAGATTGGCCGCGTCCCAAACCAGTCATGGAGACGCAATCAATGCTGCTCGCTGACGTCTCTCGGACTCGTTAGGACTCGACAGCGGGTCGCGGCTTTGGCGGCAACGATGCCTGTCGTCCACTGGCCTGGCACCATCTGCCAGCCGCTGGCTGCGAGCCCGGCGCCATGAAATCATCCTACCGAACATCTTCTGTACCCCAACGGTAGTACCATTGCTCTGCAAACCAGCTGAAGCACTGCATCAGTGATATTAACTGCAGACACTACTAGTAGGGACAGTTGTACAGCACCCACTACTACTGTACATACACCGGTAGTAGTTTGTAGGTATATAGTCAGATGATATCAGCGATACTCCCAGTATCCTCATCAGTTCCATTGAGAAATCTCAAAAAAAAAAAAAAAATTCCATGTATGACACCCATCGTCGACGATCTTAGGTGCGCCTGGGCGCTCCGAGGAGGTTTGGATGCTGATCTCGCCTACTGCTCGTGTTTAGCACAGACGACCAGGGTGGTCCGATTCTAGCTGGCCGCTCGCTCCGGAGTCTCGGATCTGCTGCCAGTGGTGCTGCCACTGCAGTGTCAATACTAATGATTCAACTTCTCAGAGTTCAACTGAAGTCTGTGGGATTGCTTTGCGTGCCTTTTGGACACTGCATTATTGGCATTCATAATGATAATTCGAGGCAGCTCCGTATAAGAGTATAATGTACATAGTACTATATATCAGCTCCTGTCCCACCACTAAAGTTTTATTTTAATGTGGTTAATAAGCTGGCTGTTGTTTTCGTGCCTAGCCTTCCAAAAAAGCCACCTGTGGACCACCTAGCACAGCGGAGGGTCACCGAATCACTACCGGCGCTGGCATTGCATGTTTTATTATTATTATGAGGACCCTTAGAATCCTACTACTGCCTTAGAAAGCGAGGTAAATTACAGTGGTAGATTGGATCGGATTGTCGAACGCCAATGTCTTGTTTGGGTATGTAACATACTGTAGCTGCTGCAGGTGTAAGACCGGATGTCGCAGGCGAGCCATGTAAGCCTTGCTTGTCGCTCTAACAACACACTATGTTTTCCGAAGTGCAGTCAGTACCTCCGGCAGTTGCTTCTTTGCCTCACAGGAGAAACGCCGGTACAATGCCAGTGTAAAGTTGACTTTCTGGAAATGGCATTCTGGTCTCAGCTTCAAGTTGCGCAAAGGACAGGAAACCCAACGGGGATGCAAATGTATGCTTGGGCAAAACCAGGACCATTATTGTCACCACCACCGCCGCCATAAGAAAGTAACATACAAGTGGAACGTCAAGCCTGGTGAAGTCTTGTTCCTTTGAAAATTGAATTGTGCAATTTAGCTGTCTCAGTCTTACTGTAAGCGTGACTTCGCCGAGTTAGCAATTCTCAGCACGAAATTAAAAGAGTATTTGTACAGGTGTGTCGGATCTGTCTCCTGCTGATATGCACCATGATCATCCACAGTCATGATTATCATAAAAGGCCTCCCCAGAAAACGCCGTTAGGGGTATCTCCACGCCGATAGAAAAAACCTTTGCCCCAGACGCCGAATGCATTGCCCCCGTCCCATATGCAAGACATTATCATCATGAGAGTAAGCACTGCCAGGACCAGAACAACCGCCAAGTCTCCCATATTAGACCTGGGCTTCGTTGTACTTTCTTAGCATTGCGACGTCCGAATCGCCCATGGCCTCCTCATGGTTCTCTTGGTTCAAGTTCTCGTGTTGTTCGTGCATGGTCGGCGCGCCATCTTCTCCCTCGAAACCGTCATTCTCTTTCAATTCGTACGATTTAAGTTCTGGCCCGACAGCCTGTTCAGCCGCCTGAGCCACGGTCGCCTCGAGGTTCGGATCGATTAAGGAAGCCGGCGTCTGGCCCGGTGGATTGAGGAGGAAATTGATGTTATTGCCTTGTCCTCCGTGCATCCCATTTCCGGCCTCGCCTCTAACAAAAGCATAGTCTGGGTGCGCATCCTGAGGAGGCATCGAAGTGTAATATGCCGTAGCTTGGGGTGGGTAGGAGATGTGGTCTGCCGCCGCGGTCGAGAGGGCTTCCAAGGTGTGCGCTGCGACTTGCTGGTACGACTCGGATGGGGTCTCGGTCTGCGGTGGTGGAGTTCTTGAATCTTCGGCGTCCGGGTCGGTGACATAGATCCAGGTCACTGTTACTTGTTAGTCATGCTCATCGTGAAAATGAGGTGAATACTCAGGACTTACAATTCTCCGGAACCGGTAAGAAGTAGATCGTCGAGTCGTAGTGCTGCGCGTACTTGAAGAAACTGTCGAGGGCATGGTCTTGTTCATCAGGGTCGAACGCCGCATTTTGATGATGGCGGAAGGTGATCGCTGTCAAGGTCAGTCGAATGCGCCTGATTCCAACGACTGGCGACTCACCTTCGGAGCGTACACACTCTCGGTGCGATTTCAGGCACTGGCCGCATATGGGTTTCGCCTGGAACACGGTTCGGTCAACAACGGATCTGAACGTGAACAGGTCGGACTCACCTCATCGCATTTGAGCTTTCGGTTTCGGCAAGTTTGACAACCAGTTCGGCTGCGCTGCGCTGGGCCAGCGCCCTTGGGCTTGACGGCTTTGGGAGGCATCTTTGTTTAGATTGGTGTGTCTAAGTTGTCTCTCAGCGAAGCTGAAGCTGTGAAAGGAAAGTCAAACGACGTGCCTTTTCGGCACCGGATTATCTTCGGCACAAAGATATTCCGATGCCGGAAAAGATAATCCGGTGCATTCCCAGCAAGTACAGTACAGCACCAGCTTCGCTGAGAGACAAACTTAAACAAACCAATTCCAAACAAAACGGAGTCGAGTGGCCACGGTCTGGCGGAATGTGAGATGAGAAGAAGACACGAAGAAGAGCAGATTGAGGCACGAATTTATACCTTTGATCCCGCCGCCGAGATTGCGCTGCAACACTACCTTAGTACTCATTGTGCCATTCACGTACTTGCGTTCAGCATTAAGCATAGTCACGACGGATGGATTACAGAGACTGCATAGGCAGCTTCCTCATACTGATACTTTTGATACAGATGGATCCTGGGTCCGAAGAGTATCTGCCTATTTCTTTGCCTTCTTTTTTGGCCTTCGGTCTTCCTCGTCTTCGCTGCCCGCATCTCCATCGTCCCCATCAGCATCATTCATTTCTGCATCGCTACCAGCATCACTGCCACTACTTTCATGCGCCGAGTCATACTCTTCGGCAACATCGCTTTCAGATGAGGCTTGGAAATCTTCATCCGGCGACTCATCGTCCTCATCAGCCGAGCCCCGATTTGCGCCTCCATTGTCATCCTCATCTGATGACGCAAGATCTTGATCTTCCAAGGCTGCTTTCAATAGCGTGGACGAGTCGTCCAACATCTCGTTCTTGAAACGGATACCCTTTGCCTAAGTTACGAGATTAGTCAATGATTCAGACTGCATAGAAAAGGGTGACTTACCTGGAAAAACGCTTCCAATGGCTGTTGCTCTTCTCGGTTGATGTTGCTAAACTGGTGCTCTCCTTGACCGTTCTTCAGAGTCATGGTGATGTCAAAGGTACGGCTGGCCGCCAAAGCTCCTCCTACTCGCGACATGGTGATGCTCTGTATCGAGTCGATCGGCACATAGGTGGCTGGCTTAGGCACAAAGATGAAACTCTTATCCAGGCAGAACAGCAGGCCTTCGTTGGCCTTGATGGAGCATTTAACCCCGTTCATGTTGTGATGACTGACAAAGTCCTTCGAGGGCATGATGATCTTCTTCCCGGATAAGCCTTTGAAGACTTTGGCGATGACATGGTGGATGGGCGCTTCGTAGTGTGGTTCCAATTTATCTTTGTACTTGGTTTCAAGGAGCTCTTCCGTCATGTTGAGGTCCAGATTAACCTCGTCGTCGAGTTTCAACTGCATCACAATGAACGGATATCTCGTTTGCCCTTGCCGCAGAGGTGGATCCAAACCCAGCGTAATCATTGTGTGCATTTCATCGTTTTTCGGGAGGATGAAAAACTTCTTGATCGATTGATATTGGATCTTATAATCATACGTCTTACCACGTAAGCGGAACGAGTTCTCGTACATGTCGATATCGAAACGTCCTCTGCATCCATCAGTTAGCATATCTTGTTGAATAAACCACTCCGAAAGTGGATACGTACCTGGGCGTGAGATGTAATATGTCCTGGAAAGTGGCGAACGTAGCACCGGCGACTTCTCCAATCTCTGCCTTGTCCATCAAGGTCTCATAAAACAAGTTGGCGGCATTCTGTTCCTCTTCGTCGTCCTCGTCGGCGCCACTGCCTTCTTCTCCGTTGACTTCTTTCTTCGAGACCGTGCCTGGGATATAGAACCGCATCTCGACAAGTTCGTCCCTGCCAGCAGCCGCCTTGCGCCCGCGATTCTTCGTGCTGCCCTCTTTGTGGCCGTTTGTGCCATTCTGGGTGGAGTCGGCATCGAGGTTGAATTCAACGGCAATCTCGTTTTTCCCCGCCAAATTGGTGTTTGAGATCTCTGTGTACGGGATCTCAAAGGCCGGTCTGTTCTGGACATTGAACGCCAATTCGGCTCGCCCAAATTCAGCCTTGCCCCAGTTCCACCCTCGTAGCGCATGTTCCTTGTGTTCTAGGTTGATGCCGTACCAGATCTTGAACGCTTTGGCCGCCCGGTCGTAATCTTCCTCTTCGAAGCCGTCTAGTTGGATGACTCCTGCATCCCGAGTAATGATCTTAATCTCGAACCCCTTTGACGCTCTGCTCCACTGCGCGGCACTGATCTGGTTGCTGTCAAGCGTGAACGGCTCGCCGCCACCACTCGGTTTCCATCCTAGCGCGGTCTCTGCGAGTCGACACCGGCCAGGCTGTTTTGATAAATCAAGGTAAATGTTCTCGAAGGTCTCCCTATGGTGTTGTCAGTAATGTTCGTGCAGTTATTGAGATCGTGGACCAACATGATTTGCGACACTGCGCCCACGGCAGCAACTGGTTATTGAACTTTGAGCCAGTCGACAATCGGAAAGTCGCGCTCTGTAATATGGCGACAGTAAGGACTCCCTGGGCGGATTTGCAGCAGATAGGAGGTAGAGCAGTGAAGACGTCAATGGTGAGATGGAAGGCTGAAGTAAAGTGTCGAGATTGACATGAATGAACTTGCAGTGAACTTGCACCGCGGAACTTGAAGTCGAGTTGGCGCGCCACGCGAACTTGAACGCAGATCATATCAGCCTTGGCGCGTTCTTCACTTTTGATTGCGGGTTTATTTACTGCCGGCGATGCCTACCTACAGTACAACAGTCATGTCTACCATACCTTATGCAATAGATTCTACAGGCGTCCATTTTCTCGAAGCGCGTATCAATTGCAAATATCGCATAATACAATGTTCCATGCACTTCTCGCTACCGTGGTCCTTTCCAAGATGAAGGAGATCAGGGAAGGACGGGATACCCACTGATATGCCCTTTCCCAAGAGGGAGAGCTCTTGGTATCACAATTTGGTCGAGTACCAGATAAGTCTTCATGGAGCTATAGGGACTGTTGCATCTACGCACAGTTGAGGTTCTGTGCAAGAGGCAGGTCTGCACATGCGATTCATTACTAATAAAGCCCTTTACCATCAGTCACGATAAATACGCCACGAACACCATCATACAGCACCTCCGTCCAGGATCCGCGTGAGAGGCTTCAGGGGAATCGCCCGGGTTCCACTGTGGTAGTCCACCTAATTACAAAGCGGTAGGCTTCGTAGGTATTAAACACTCAATTTGCATATCAGGTCCAGAAGCCACCACTCAACTCGTACAATGGACCGGAGCTCCTTCTCGTCATTACGGGTCCATCATATGTTGCTGGTCTTGGTAAACCATGACCTTCCGTTGGAGCTTAGAACGCTTCGTCGGTGAGGTCAGACTGAGCGCTGGGCTTGACTTTGCCGTTCTTCCGTGCAAAGGGGCCAAGGAACCCTTGTCCGTACTGGTGGATCTTGCCGGAAGGTCACCTTGATTCTGCCTTCGCATAAACGTTGGGCATCGCTTAGTCGCAACAGAGCTAACACGCTTTCTCTGATTCTGTCTTTGCAGGACTTGCACCCCGGATTGTGATACTACAGGGAGTGATTTAGTCCAGCTGGCGAGGCTGCTGTTTTCGAGTCCTGCTGCAACCACCTTTTGGGCCGCGGGTGCCTCGTTCTCTGGTGTCTGCAGCTCTTGTCGTGATCCCGTGTTGAACTCTTCTCGTACGGAGCAGGGTGACCTCTCGGATCCATCCTTTGGCACTAACATCCTTTCAGGTGTTTTCTGAATACTAGAAGCGCGATAATGTCGTGCTTCCACTTGCTCTCGTAGCATTTCCCGGTCGTCCGTACGGGATTCAAGGTTATCGCCTTCGCCTGGATGTGTCGTGATATGCTGGGCCTGTACTTGGCGTGTCGCTTTATTCTTCTCAAGTGCGGCAAGGATGTCATCTAAAGTACTCCCATTGAGGAGGGCTGCATGGTATATTTGCGACGCATTTGCCGATCCTTCACACTGAGATTCTCCTAGACCGGCGTCGAAAACCGTTGACTCCTGTCCTTGCTGGCTTTGGAGATCTATCGCACTGTCGGGCGTATCGGCTACTGCCGTCGGTCTGGATGGTCGATCGCTGGGGTTTTGTTCAAGAATTTTTCCAAGAGAATAAAGTGCCTTGAATATCTTCAGTGGGGCAGCGATGCCGTCCCAGACGTCAGGCCAAGTATGTACAGAGAACATATCCTCTGCTCTCCGGCAACAGCGGGTGCATTGAGCCAGAGCGGCCCCTGGGAGTCGCACAAATTGCCAGGCTGTTGAGTACCATAGACCACGGCCCGCTTCGAGTTTGTTGAGTATGTATAACAGTGGAAGCATGTATAGCCTCAGGGAGAGGAGGAGGATGAATATGAGATGCTGCAATAGCCGACGAACAGTGTCACAGAATTCGTGACAAAGACTGCTGCTGCCTCTTTCTGCAGCATTGGGGAGCACTATGCCAGTACGCTGAGGAGGCTTGGATACTGGTGTTTGGTATGCTGGAAGTGGGTGCGACATTGTGAGAAGAGTATCCCGAATGTCTCCGGAATCTACCTGTACCCTCCAGGATTCCGGTGGACTATGGGAATCGCCGTAAACAGAAGTAGGTGAGGGAATGAAGCATCCGCCATAGAACACAATCAATACAGGATGAAGTTATAAGGCCAGAAGACGTGACGGCAAGACCTGGGTAAACAAGATAGTCAGGGCAACATTAAGAGGATGGCTGTTGCATGCATCAACTGATGAGCATCCGAACAACACATGTCTGACAGCTTCAACTTCAGTATACATCAATATGGGGACGGAAGGCGTGTTGGAGCGTTTGACAGGCGGCCCCTGCACTCCGGAAGTGGTTGTGATATTGTGAGCTGGTCAGGTACTGCTCTATCTCATGCAACAGTCAGCTTCGCCGGAGGCACGGACCCGAGCACTAGGGAAATGCATCAAAACATGGGAGCGGAGTGACTTTGTTAAGTTATATTCGTTTGTAGTGTAAGCAAAGGGGCGGCAGTGCGTTCAAAACATTCCCCCGAAGGAGACGACTGGCACTGTTCATTTACACCACTTGTCGATCAAACAGGGATTTTGGCGCTGTCAGAGCGCATTGGCCGAGTGGTCAGAGAGCAGTCGTGATTTGCTTGTGACTTGACCATTTTCGAGACAACGTGCAAAGCGAGTCGGCCGGAGCAATTTCGAGCTTCCTTCAAGTTTGTAAAGCAATAGATGAATTGAGATTGATGAGCGTGTTTTGGCGTCCCTGTTGGGCGCGTTCAACTGCGTTTCAAGTTGGGGGGTAAGATTATGTAATACGACACGTGACTGGGGTGGCACTGGCAGTACGCTGCAGTACAGTGGAAGATTCTTGGGCTTTCGGTTCTGACCGCGAGCATCATCTAACCTCGATTGCTGCATCGGCATAGACACTCACACGTTCCTTCTTGAGCAGGCATTGCCATCCAGAATGGATCGACACCATGTGCTTTTCGATCACAGAGAACCATGGTTCGAGGACGAAGCCACGGACTCCCCTCGACAACTGGCAACATGGTGCCGAGTTCTGATCACTTGTTAGTCGTGCAAAACGGACCTCGGTGCGAACGCCCGATCGATGCCCTAGTTCGAAGAAGCTCTATCTGTTCAATTGTTTGACTCTGGCGTGAGATGTCTCAAAACCTCTGCTGGCACCGCATGTTTGAATCGTCGATCCGGAGCTCAATGTGGTAGGACACAAAGAAGGGAGACCGAACCGGATTACAAGAATGGGGCGGTGAGGCAAGCTTCCAACGAGACCTTTCACCGAACTTTGGTGCCTAGGAAAATGATCCACGGAGTTTGTAGGCTCAGAGGTTGTGCTCATCCCTGTCTCAGACCAAGCACTCCAAGCAAGGTCCTTCAACTCATCACTTTGCCAGAGTTGGAGCCTTCCGAATCGTCCGGCTACAGTATTTATTCTCAGGCACATATTAAGATGAAATCTAGCCCCATGATGAGAAGCCAGCACTGCATGCATTAGGGTGGCAATGGAATCGCTGGGGCGGCCGTTGCTTGCATTTTGCAATGGTCGGATCCCTCTTGTGCGCCTATGGTATGGCTCATGATGCATTTGAACCTGTACTTTGAGATTTGTTGGTTTTGTTATCAACCGATTGAGCTGACCTCGTCCTGTAGCACGATATTGCGGTTACTACAGAGCACTGAGTCTGTTGCACTGTAAGACAGAACAGTGCCTAGCTCAGCCTCAAGTCCATGGTCTGACATGGTGCCGGGAAGACAAGCAATGTTCCGTCACTTCAGCAGTATTCGCCACGGTACAGTATTTCAGAAGAGAGGGGAAAAAGGACCAGACGGTCTAGACCCCTGAATCGCTGTGTTGTCGAGACGGTGGGTGAAACTTTGCTTGAACTTGTTCAAGCATCAGGTCATACCAGGCCAGCTAAAAAAAATGTTGGTGAAAATACCCATTGATTCGGGTAGCCATGTCGAACATAACCTTCAGGGCGCATCACACCGTGGGCGACAATCAATAGGCGCTACCATGCCTGGTGATATTCCAAGGCTTGCACACCCATGCGAACGTGGACCGCTGCCTTCCTGTGCAGCTCCCTGCATCTCTAGCCAAGTTCACTTCAGGGGACCCAATTCTGTCATGATTCTACTCGCTCAAAGTGGGGAGGTCAGACTCACAAACACTAGGCAAGCTCCATGTTTCTAGCCTTACGTCATGTATCCTAAGAACAGGCTGTCTGTGAAGCTCTCGACAGCATTGGTACGGCTGTTAAGCAATATATCCGTTCCCCAGATCGAGTTCGACTGCGCGCTGTGTTATCGCGCTTTGCTTTTCAATGATATCTCCAGCGGGCCATGCTGTGTTAGGTCAACAATGGTGTCTATAAGCCGGCCAGAAGGTGCTCGACTTCCTTGTCATGGCGGAGAAATGCATCCACTTTACCTCGCTCTTGTCTTATCGAGTTATTAGTCGGATGGCCTGCCTTGACCTAATTGTACCACAAGCTGCAGTGGCTTTATGGCAGGCCTGTGGGCCGTGCCGCTGGTACCCACAGCACAGGTCCCTCTCAGCTCTCTGTTCCGTCTTCAAAGATGTTGAGGTTGCTCAGAGTGCAATAGCAAACCAAAGGTTGGATGACGGTGAGTTCTAGTCAACCAAATGCCTCACCAAAAGCTGAATTACTCTGGCGCTGAAGCAATAAACAAGTCATGCAGCTTGCCAAAAAGAACAGCTGGTGAGAATCCACTCTGAAATGCACGTTGAGGCGAGAAGCAAACTCAAGCCTTGTGCTGTGAACTTGTCTGGTAGACTGACGGCATGGGCACTGCATCCTCAGGGAGCACTTCATGAGACGCGGTCCCACTTGCACTCTCTGGTGTTGCTGTTTCTTGAAACCCACCCTAAAGAAGTGATCAACTTGAACATCAGATGGACATTGGGCTGGATCTTCTGCCAGCAGAAGACTCCAGCAGGAATGCTAACCTCTACCCTGGACGGCCGTGGCTCATGCACATCGTCCTAAGTCCAGGGGCTGCAGCTCATCCTGCCCACTTAACAAGGGTTGGGAGAATCTGGGCAAGACCTAACAACTTTTCCTAAGCGCCCCTGTGGGCCCCTTAAGTGGCCGCCCTCCCTCAGCTGCTCGAGGTTGGCGCCGGCATGCCAATCAGAAGGTTGTCAATCAGCCATTGATTCCTCGTAAAACGGGCAAACTCTAAGACTCGATTGATGATAGTCTCTGACGTGGACATGGACTCGCCAAAGTCTGCGCACGTACTGTTCGTTGTACAAGCCTCCTGGCATGCAGGAAATACGGGCGATGTGGACGCATCGCTCTAGCAAAAAGCTCAGCCTAACAGGGGAACCCTGGGTATCACTGGCTCATGAGGCGACACCGGATCTCGCGTGATCGAAGTTGTACAGCTACTGAGCACTTGCAAATATAGGCTCCCTGGCTATTAAGAACGACGGTCCGGAGTGCTGACGATTGCCCTGGACTACAGTGAGGGCACCGGCGCCGGATACACTTCTATGGGTGGGATGGTTAAGCCGATGACTATCTGAGGAGGAGAACGAACTGACCAAACTAGTGCGCAAGGGGAGGACAACCCCGAGTCTCGTTCTTATTCTCAATCTTTGGCTGTACGTAGCCAAAGTCGCCTACCACGACTAATTTTTCTGCCTTTTGCCCCGACCAGGTGTCCTGGCTCAAGGTACTCTCGTCTCCTTCTCCGGCAGTGGTCTGGCCCCTCGGTCTGTCGATGGAATGACTCAGGTATGTCAGCTTGCGCTGTGCCCTTACTTGTGAAATTCATGCAAAGGGCGCCTACGTGGTCCTGGTCTCCACCGTCCTTGAAGTTAGGGGCGCACTTTCGAGTGGGTGTTCCTCCTATTGAAGGTTTTGTCATGCAGTAGCTTCGCCCCCAGATGCCACTGAGTTTGCTGGACCAAGCTAAGGATGCCGACTTGGCTCAGCCTGTTGCTCCTCCCATTCCGTTTAGGTCCCATGTCTGTCATGCTGCCTGAAACCGGATGAACCGAGATGTCAACCGTTGCTATTGCAGCGTTCCTACACCTGGTTGGCACGAGTGTCGTTCATGCCAATTATGCAAGTACAAAGTCCGCCGCAGCCACGCAGCTATCAGCCTGGCTGTACGGGTTCGCGAGGTGCTCGTTCGTTGGGATCCCACGCCGTTGGGCACCATCTCGTCCGTTCAGGAGACCACTTTTCAATCCAGGCATTCTTGAGGACGCGTCTGGCAAGCTTCACCGCTCCTTCTGGGCGTCCTTGCGAAGTCTCGGGGAGGGCTCTTTCGACTGCTCAATGAGATGTATATTACGCGGTCTCATCTCACCCACAAGCCCCCAAAAGCTACAATACTATGTTGGCCCAAGTGATTGCAATCAGTCCCAATAGAGCCACGTCTGTCAGTCAACCGCTTCTAAGAGCGACCGATATATTCCTGACTCTCTGCAGACTTCCCCCGGCAACTGCCCATGATGCCTTCTCGAAGAGAGCGTGGGTCTCGGAGCACGCGTTCCCATGTCAGCAGATATTCGAGACACATTCACTCTTGTGCGCTCGGAAGATTCCTCATCCTCTGCCGATTCCTGCGACACGATGACTTTATGGGTGCATTGTGTTATGGACCCCCCCGGTCCTGGCTGTGCGAGGCAAGAGAAGCACGGCTGCTTTTAATTCTTGCCAACGCCCTGACTGTGTCAGGTCCAGCCGTGCCCAGCGACATGGAAACGGTCGGTTCGAACGCAATCTTGGCCATCGGCCACGAAGCAGGTGATATTGACCAAGCCCGGAGCCGGGCTCGAGACTTGGAACTCCTCGGTAAGTATACAACACCATGCAAGAGTATCACCGCAGGCTAATAACGTGCAGCTCACATCGGGGCACAGTTCACTATGGATTGAGGCTTCCAAAGAATTCGTGGGGGAAGGGTTCTTGAGGATCAGTCATGCGTGCAGACACAGATCCCCCTGCACATGCCTGCACCTGCATGCCGGGCTATAGAGTAAAGTAAGAGCAGATCTGGATAGGCTGCCTTATCGCGGTACGGGCCGAACAGAAAGTCAAGGCGTGTTCCTATTCTCATCGAGACAAGACATCTCACCGAGTATCTCAATGGCTTTGCACGTATACCAATTTATTGCTCACCGCTCTGCCTCAACTGGCTCAACACTGTTCAGGCAATGGCACGTGTTTCCTTTCTTTCTTGTTCTTCCTCTCCTCCATTGATTCCCAACCATGTCGTTGACAGCAGGGTTTTTTGCATGCAGTTGAAATTTACTTTGGCTATAGGATAGGCCGCGAAATGAGTGGAGCTGGAACCAACGGATCCTCATTCCTAGCGATAGGGCCAAAATGACGGCGTCGAAGGGATGGCGATTGGTCGCGGGGGCCCTCTGTGGCCACGAACACTCGTTCGTCGGTTCAGAGGCCACACCGTCGCCCTCACCGCCGAATTGGCAATGCTCAAGTGATCCCTGTTTTTGTCTGCGTTTACTGAGCCAGCTGGCGCCGGTAGGATTATGCATGAGATGGCGAGGCGAGCGTCATTGGGAAGACGATCGAGGAGGAGAAGCAGGTGAGTTCACGGGGGGTCGCGGAGCCTCAAAAGGCTGCTGGGGACCCTTGAGATCGTCCTTTGTCTTCGCCATTTAACGCCAACTCCAATTTGTACTAGCATGCGACTAGTACGTTAGCCAACAGCGGAAACCAATAAGAACATGTACTAAGGACGCTATTTCTACGCCGCGCAACTTAGCGCGTCTTGTCTACCAACGCATCAGCTCAGGCTGTGCATCCGGATCCTTCAAGTTCTTGTGTACGCAAGCTCCCCCAGTCAACTCTCTCCAGTGACAGTAGGTGGAAGCGTACGGTACGCAGTGTCTCCTGCGTTGCTCTGCTGCGGTCACTCGCCTACTACTCCTAGTATGTGGAAGTACATGCCATCCACGAGCAATCTTTTTTCCGTCAGTCCGTTTGATCCAACCGGACCACTGTCGGGGCTACCAAACCGGTGACATGGGCAGTTCACGATATTCGCCTCCTCCGTGCTTTTTTACCGCTATGATCGACTCCCAGTCTAGTACCACGGCCATCTTCGCTGCTGCCTCTGATGTCTGACGATCGAATAGTTGGAGCGCTACGTCAACCTGTGGTTGGCTCCACGTAGTACAGCAGTTGGTCAATATAGGAATGAAGGGCAATTCCCAACCAGGCCGCCTACAAAGTGGGCCGTCACCTATGCGGCCCTGGGGTCGGCGTGACAAGAAGACGAGTACCTCCAAAAGCCTCACGTTTCAAGAAAACTACTCAAATACACCGCTTGTTGTCACACCTTCGATCGGTACGATCGCCTGATTAGCCTGACTCATACTGGAAGAGACAAGAATTCGACCTGATTCTGGTGTTGTCCAGCATGGGCCATATCCTTGCAGAAGCCTCTCTCATCTCACAGATGGGATTTTTGCGCTCCAAATTGTACACTAGCTGAAAGATCCTTGTCCGATTCTACTACAAGGTCAACCGCTGTCACCGACGGCCTATTCAGATCCCCGCAAGCACCTCACCACTCTCAACGGAATTTGACCTATGCTCTTGCCCGCATGATCATGACACTTCGACTCAACACGGGACAACTACACTCCGCTTCTCAAACCCCTGGGAATGATTATCATGGCTCAGTCAAGGACAGCCGCAACTTTTTTCTTTCTGTCCTACCAGAAGAAAACCTGCGCAGCCGGCAGGAATAGATCCATGATGGCCTTGCGTGGGGTCATATTGATGCTGCTCCATGAAGAACCTGCCACGAACTGACAAACGGCCATTAGGCTGTCACACTCAGCTCAAACGTGGTTTACACCGTTTCTTCGGCACCTTTCCAAGACAATCTCAGAGTTCACCCTGTTGCTCGCTTATAGGCACGGTGTACTTTTCGCATTTTGCAGAAAATAGCGTCACCATAGTCGGCTGAGCGGATTACCAAGTTCTTGGGGAAACTCCGAGAGGTTCCAATCCCAGTAAGAGCGCCAACAGCTTGGTATCGTACCAGGCTATTAAACATGGTTCATATGGAGGCGCTACTGGCTCGCAGCTGCTCTTGGTGAGGTTGGATCGTGCTTGGGGTAAGATCTCACAAAATCATCGCCTCGAACGGGCTGTGACCCTTGACGAGCAGCCTGACACCGTGGAGTAATTGCATGGGCAGCCAGGTTCACACCAACGACCACGGCCCGGAGGCCTATAACCTTTTCCCCGATGCATGTCGTCGCACAGGGAATTTCAGCCTACTCTTTCTTTGTCCATACGGTGCACCTAACTACGTGGGACTTGTGCTCTCGGGGAAGTACGGATTACGCCTATACTTGCTCATTAGGTAAGGCTCGATAACTATGTTCGAGCTTTAGGTCTTGCCAGGTCCCAAGTCGAGGTGACCCTACCGCTACTCTAGGTATCCACATTCCACAAGGTAGAGTTGGAGTCCTGGCAGCAACGCCCAGTCTCCCAATGGCATACAGCCACCCACTCTCTTCCTCTTTACAGTGCTCCTAGGGTCGTCTCCTCGATCGGCTTAGCTGCTGGTCTGTTTACCTCACCTAACCATCATGGAAGCTCCATCACCCCTAGGTGCCTAGCAAAAGACGGCGCTCGGTATTGGCTATGGCCGGTTCCACAACAATGGCAGGAAAAAGTAGCAACAGCCGTTCAGAGACTGCACTTACTCGGCATATGGTCTGATGCTGTTGCCGTGTCTGATGATTTGGCACTCCTGCTGTACTCTGCAGGTGGACATGGGTTAGCCTGCAGGTATAGGGACATTGACACATTGTATGCACAGGGTACAACTACATCTGCTCTCTAACCAATATCAGGTCAACTTGAAAGGCCCGCTTTGCCCTTTCGAGGCCTATGAGAGGCAGATCTTCACACTTCTCGTGATTCTGTTTCTGGAAATGGGCAAAACTTGGAGGAGGTGGAATGGTAGATTTGTCAGGCGTTGGCATCGCCCTACATGGGTCTTTGTTGGTTGTTCTTGCAACCGCAGTTTATAGCCAGGATCCTGGATACTGGCCGATAGCGAGCTCCCACGTCGCAGACTGGTCCTCTGCATCGAGTATTCGTCAACATACATGGGTCCAGCCAGATCTGGCGACTCTGCCGGCGTCACCGCCTCACCGACATGAAAAGAAATCAAGATCTCCTGGTCTGTCCTGTTCTAGCCCCTGACCAAAAGGACCATACGACGAAAGTCATATGATGCTCTGGAGACCATTGGCTCAAGTCTCTAACGCTTCGTACTAGTATAAATGTCGGCGTGTCTCGTCCCTACTCAGTCGTTGTTCGACTACCCAGTGGATTCTGCAGTTATTGAACCCCTATCATCAAACACCGCTGCTGACTAAACCTCTCTGTTTGTCCTGCACTACAAGGTATTGCCGCCGGGCTTGAACCTCCTACTTCTTATTCAGGATGGGATTATACGTTCCATCAAGCCATGAGTCAAGGACCAGCACAAGAAAGCCAGCGATGCCACGAAACACAGGGCAGGGGGCCGCCGGGGCTGCTGACCAACCCCTCGAAAATGCACCCAGGATTGACTTAGGTACGTTCACTGAATGACTGTGACGCGTCCCTTTACTCAACGACACCAGCTCAAGTTGGAGCCCAATTCGATAGCAACACTCCAACATCTTCTGCTGGCAGTTCCGGGGTTCCGAAAGCAATTGAAGACAAAGCTACTCAAGGGCCTAAGCTTTGAATCCAGCAGAGTTTGAGAAAGGGCGCAAACCTGCTGGGATGACAGGCTCTCAAAACTGGGACGGGAGTCTGCGGAATTTTCTTCTTTGGCAAATAGTTGCCATGCCATTCGCTTGGAAGTTGAAGGATTTCATTGATGACCACACGGACGAAATGCCATTCAGAGACCAAAATCAACATGTCATATCCCACAACCTCGCACAGGCGTGTCGCTCTGCATGCCCCAGAATCTTTGTAACACCGCACCTGTCACATTATGCTTGATTGAGAGTGGCTGGTTGCACATGATTGCTACTCTGAAATAACTACAACGCAATACTCCTTGCTGAGAGATACAAGCCCCATGTGCCTGTCATGAGCGTGGCAAGGAAAGATGCATCATGCCTGCATGAACCATGGTACCCAGAGGAGAGGACACAAACTTTGTTTCCCTATTTGTTTCTGTTCCAATGCTTGTATGGATGGCATTTCCTCTCTGAACCTTGGTCTTGTCCGCTTTGGGCTGTCTTTTCACCATGTACAGCGTCCCAAGCCAATGGGAGAAAGGAGACTGGCTTTCCGTCAACCAAGCAAACTCCAGCATTCAAAAGTCCAAATTTCAAGCAGATCGTCGATCAACCCCAATCCCTTTATGGAAATCTCAGGAGGATCAGGCATGTTCCACAAACACGCATCACTCTTGTCCTTTTCCTTCTTTTTCCACTCTCTAGGTGGCCCCGTTTGCTGTCCCTGCCGGCTAGCCAATGAGATTACCACTTTTTGCCGCATCGGGCCATGGACCATGGTCGAGCACCTCGTTCGACTACTTGAATCTCGATCTTTTCGACCTTGCATAGCTGTGGGTCAGTCAACTAAGGCTCCATGCGAGCTGATTGCTAGATGTCATACGTCATGTGTTCTAACATCAGCTTCATGCTTTTCCTGCCCGTCATACAACATATCCAACAACCGATCCGAGATGAAGGCGAGCAAAGCACATTTTATCACGACATAATCATTCAGTCAGGTCACACATCCATATATCACACCCAAATGGCAATGGCCATGGCCCATGGCCATGTCTTGATAATCGTCAAGCGTGGATCGGACAGGGACAGGAGTCAGTACCATATGACACCGGCACATGGCACATGGCTCATGGCTGGTTCCACAGATGGTTGCAAAGGCCAACTCAACCGTGGCCGCGGACAGGAGGCAGTTCTTTCGTTTTGTTTCAGATGATACACCTGTTCTTCGGGGACTAGGGTACCTAGGTAGTGATCCCATCTACAGTAGCCAATACTGACGGGCGGTGCGGTCGGCCTCAAGTTTGATGGAGCCCAGTTCTGCTGGAGCATCGCCATGCATATCATATCTTGCCCATCGCTACGCAAATGGATCTGTTGACATGTAAACCAACTGACTGGGTATTGAATACCTACCTACCTATCTACTCAGATATGTAAATAGTACCGAAACTCTCCTGGATAGAATACCTAGGTACTAGTGACTCCCAATGTACACTGAGACTCTACATTGTTGACACAACGGTTCAGTCCACATTTATCTTTGACGATATATGTACAAAAGGTGGGTAGAGTATTTCGACAATATATCACTTGGGAGGAGAAAGATGACGGGGACGAGCGGGGCATTCGTCTGCTCCTTTCTCACCTACCTAGGTAAGGTACGCACTGCACTGAAAGGTAGGTAAGATGGACGTGGTTTCGAATGGTTCGTTTAGGCTATCGACATTTCATCCCTGAAAGGAAGGGGCTGGCCAGCCGGTTCCACAGTATAGTAGCTATGAATATTCATATAATATGTACAGACAGACCTATGTAAGTACTGGATGTGTATATTTTCGATGCTGAGAGCTACTGTAGTCTTAGATACCACCTACAGTAAGTAGCCACAGAGTTTCCAGCTCCATGAAACCGACATATTTACATAGCCGACGTTGTGAGCCTGATGCTGGCAAGCAAATAATAAATATCGCATCCTGCTGCGCCTGATACCAGATATCACGGGTCAAAACAAAACAAACCAAACCACCTTTTTCTGGCAACTAGTACCTACTTCTCTTGCTCCATAGGATGCTCAAGCTGGCTGTGCTGGCTGCCGTGCAGTGGCAGCACCCAAACTCATACCGACCTCGACATCCACCATGATTTTTTGGCGGCTCAACTCAAGCAGATCCTTATCAAACTCAATACGCCCCTTTTCAAACGCAACAATAATGCTCGACCCACCAAACTGGAAAAGACCGACCTCGTCGCCCTTTTCGATTTTGCTGCCGACAGTGCGACATTTTTCATGAATATCAACAGTGCCGACGTTGGTGGCGCCAATGGCCACAAACAGCACTTTGCCGAACTCTTCGGTGTCGAGACAGATACAGCAGCGGGCATTGGCGGTCAAAATGTCCACGTCGCTTTGGAGACACAAAGGGTCGACTTGGTAGTATTCCCCCGGGATCTGTTTGAACCAGTCCACCCTGCCGCGCACGGGCGAGTGGTACCGGTGGTAGTCTTGGGGACTGAGGCGGAAACTGGCTACTGCGCCGTCGGACCAGTAGGATGCGAGGCTGGAGGCCGAGCCTGGGACTGAGTCTGTCGCGGAGCCAGAGGAGGTTGACAAGTTGGGGTTGTTGTCTGTTTCGCCAATCAGATTGGCTATGGTAAAGTGGTGTCCTTTGATCCATAGTCGTTTCGTGTCACTGACGGTCGGGTACACGACGACGCGGGAATCGGCCACCACGACGGCCTTGGTGGGGTCGTCGGGCGCGAAGATGGGTCGGCTGCCGGGTTTGTGGCGGCGGACGAAGAATTCTTCAAAAGACCCATAGGCGGAGATGTCGGATGGCTCGAAGTCGTTCATGTTGATGTGGTAGAAGTCGACGAAGGGTTTGATTCGGGATGCTGAGGCGTGCGTGCCTTCGACTTTGCCTGTGGAAAGAAAAGAATGAGCGGTGTTGTTAGTTTGGATAGATCATAGTACTGTATTTCTTGTGCGAGTATGACTGAGGTTCGTAGTCTTGTTATACTTTGATCGACTCAGGGTAAAGTAATGTAGATTTAAACCGTGCGTGGCAGATAGGGTCCAACGAGGCCAATGGAAGCAAAAAGCCAGAAAGTGAAAAGAATCATGATTGCAGTGGTCCTCCAACCGAGTTCATAGCCAGAAACTGTATAAAATCCATGAGCTTGCCCACACTCCCCGGAATTATGCTATGTGACAAGGCCAACGCGGTCACGAAGGGCCCGGGGCAGAGAGACGTGGTAAGAAGCCAGCCTGACTAGTCACCTCAATGAAGAGGTACAGTATAACCCATACAGTGGCTGCAAACACCCGGCTGTTCAGGATCAAAAGGCGAACTGCCATACTTACCTTCCCTAATCGTCTTATCATGAATCCACAGCCTCATGGCCTTAGTCACATCCACCCACTCGACCAGACGACTGAACAGGATCAACAGCTTCAGCTTTTTCAGAATGGGCTGCTGCTCGCGCTTGAGTTGGCCCGTCTTCCGGTCCAATGTTTGCCATCCGATTTCGCGGTTCTGCACGAGTTTCACCTGCGTGAGGCAGTAGTCGATGGCTTGGTGGATCAGGTCCAAGAGATACATGATGACGGAGACTGATGGATATGATATGCTTTGTCAGGTAGTGCCCCTGAAATTTAAAAATGTCAAAGCAGCAGAGACCAACGACCAGGAACTACTGTAGTAGCTGGGATATTAGAAGGAATAAAAATGGAATTCAGAGTGGAAGAAAAAGAATCAAGAAGAACCCATATGCAAGTTGGCCACAATCAATGCCAGTGTGACAGTCGGGCTGCAGAAGAAGCTGATCATGAGCCTGAACCGGTGTCGATGATCGTGCGATGCGACGGCGATATGGACAGCATCCTTGGACGAGGCTTTACCGGAACAGGGGGATGGGAGGCTCTTCTCTCAGCGGCAGTGAGTGAAAGAAACAAGATTCGCAAGTCGTTCACGATGCCATCGACGTCATATCTTCTGGATTAGGCAGTCGTGCAGATGATTGGCTGCAATCAACCTGTTGAGATAATTGGCTACGGTACCAGGTGTTCATCTGGGATGACTTCATACAGTACCACGACTCTACAATTGAAGCAGAGGTACTAGTAGGTACGGTGCAGACCCTTCAAGTTGTTCGTTTGAAACTTCAGCAGTACAGTTCAAGTTGTTCTAGCGGTGCGCTCGGCTGATAGAACCAAAGGTACTAAGATGTTCAACTTAGAGTGAAAGTCGATGCGACTCCCTTGCGAGAAGCATGTATATTTCCAGAGGCGCGCGATTGTTGAGACTGGTCATTCATCTAAGACTCCTGCTTCATGCTGACCATGAATGTCTTTTATGACCCAATGGAATGTTTCACCCCGGGCAGTGCATCGCCTGAGGAAATAACTCCTAAATGCTCTTGTTGCTTTGCAAAGTGATTTGTTGTCCGTTTGATATTGTTGCCAATCAATGCGTGTAAGGCATTTTGTCTGCCTTAATCCTCCATCTTCAAACAGACTCGACCAGGCCATGTCCGAGCGGCTAGATGGACGTGCAGCTCAGGGAGAAAGACCAACCATGTGGCGACGACGAGCCAAATCCCCAGATAGTTGGTGGTAGACGAAAAGGGGGAAGTAATCCCAACTGGTGCTGTAATTGGCCACTGGAATGATGTGTGCCGACGGATATGGCTCTTTGACAGGACACACTCGAGCAGTGCATCTCGTATGGGCACTGGCACTTGGTTCCATGGCACAGTAGCGACACGATTGAATCTGTGTGCTGACAGGCGCGAGCCAACTGATTGACTCTCGGGCCAGCCCTTTGAGGGCTCAGAATCACCAGCTATATCACCAGTAGTAGTTGCGCACACATCCCAGTGTCCTTTCCATCAAACCGTCTTTAGTCACTGTCAGACAGTACTGGCAGTACTTCACCGCTCGCCCTGTTTATACCCCTGAATCTCTTTGAGAGTTTGAATCCTTCTCAGCTTGCGGGCGCCATAGATGGAAAACAAAGCACTCAAGACACAACAAATCGTCGTAACGACAGGAAACCCCAGGGGATTCTCCTCGGCATAATTAATGAGATTCATCCCAAACAGACCCGCGACCAAGGTGCCCGCAGCCAGACCAAGAGTATGAATCGCAATCCTGGCCTCGAGAAACATGATCTGATTGCGCTGGACAGCCAAAGCAGAGCGGAAAGTATTTTCCTTCTTTCGAATCACGGCGATCGCCCCCGCCGCGGACTCGACCAGTGTGTCCGCGGCCTTATGGTACGCTTCCAGCATGTACTCGGCCTCCTGGTGGTCGCTGACCGGATGCGGGTGGCCCCGCGCCGTGTCGGTCAGGTACATTGCCGCAAGGTCCTCGTCGGAATCGAGCACTTCGCGGATCGTCTCGCGCACCAGTCGGGCCTTTTGCTCAATCTGCCCGAGCCGCCGTGACCGCTCGAACAGCAGGTCTAGCCCGACGAACGCGAGGCCAGATTCCAGTCGCAGCTCTCGCGCGCTGTGTTCGGCCTCGTAGCGTGCCGAGATCAGCTCCTCCCGCAGCGTCGATAGAACGGCTACCAGCGCGGCTTCGACGGCGCGCAACTCGAATGGCAAAGCTGATGCGTTGGACGCTTCGTCCTGGTTGAGTCCGACCATGCGGGATTTGAAGTCTTGTTCGAGAACCACGTGGCCGGCTGGTGGTTTACTCGATGGAGCAGATCCATTATTGGTACTTGTACCGCGCGTGCTGCCGTGGGGATAGTTGTTGTTGTTGTTGCCGCCATTCTTGCCATTCTTCGACCCCTTAGAAATCCCGGTCACCAACAACGCCTCGTCCGCCTGAATAATAATGCACAGGTCGAAAAACTGCACGAGGATCGTGGCCGGTCGCACCAGGATTCTCGTCACCGCCTCCGATCGCAAATCAATGTCCCGCAGATCGCGGTACCGGAGATCGAATTGCTCCGCGATCTGCGTCTTGGTGAGTTCCGTCTCGTGCGATGTTTGAGGATCGTCTTTGGAGAAATAGATGCACGAAATCTTGATGTCGTTGGTCGCGGACGACCCGTTGCCAGGCGTGATGGCGATCGCTGCCGGGGGCTCGCTTGGGTCCTGGCCGTGTTCGTCCCCGTCTTCATCGTGCTCGTCGGGTTCCTTGTCCTTGAATCTTTCGGTGTGGTCGACTGTGGCCGTGCCTGGTTGTGGTCTGCTGGGTCGTTGAGAAGAAAAGTATCTGACGCGCCTGAATCGATTGCCTAGATCCCTGGTTGCAGCTGCAGCAGTCCTAACAGGTGGTAATTGGATGCATGCCTGTGGAATTCGTGGTGACTGTGGCCGTATCGATACAATCGTGCCAGGCAATCCCAGTGGCACTCGAAAATACGCTCCCAAACTTGAACATGCGGCAGACCGACACCGACCTGGCGGTACGGCCCGTAGGAGTCTTTTCAGCATTCAGTTTGTCCTTTAAGCTTTCCTTTCACCGTGCCATGTTTCTTTTGGTTCGTGCTCAGTTGCAGTGTTATGCGTCTAGATAAGAATAAATAGGTACAGCAGCTCCGGGTTGGAAGGGTGTAAACAATAGAGGTGGTTCGACGGAGAATGTCCACGTTCAAGTTTCGCGTGGAAGTAATACTACTACTAATGATAATTGATGATATGTTTGTTGATCGTGATGGAGTTGTTGTAACTAAACAAAGCCACTGACGTTGCACATCATGATGCCAGTGTGCCGAGCGAATCCCGGCCCGTCCTCTAGAAAAGGGTCAAGTATGTATCTACCCAGGTATACACCTATCTCCATGTAGGTACAATGTACATGGAACAGCGATATTTCTCCCAGACACTGTTTCTCTTCCTGCAAAAGGTGTACAGTATTGCTAGTCTGCAAGGAACATTAAGTCGACTGCAGTGAGGCGGGCAAAGCTCGAAGACAAGGTGGTACTAGACAGAACTGATCGCTCAACTGCCGGCATTGAAGAACAAATCCAACTAGGACTAGTTTTCGATCTTCAATTTATCTGCAGTTCATGGCGCGGAGGATATCTCTTTCCTTTTCCATCATTCAATCATCATTAAACTAGCAGTCATAGGTACTAGTAGCCATGGACACAAGAGGCCGTCATCAGTATGCGCAAAGAAAATAAGGTACAACCCAAGGCAAGGCTACGGAGGGTATATGAACATAACCACAAGCAAAGGGAGATTCAAATCACTTCCAAATAGGCAGGCAGAGAAAAACCGCCTCCAGCACGACTGTCACCAGCAACGCCGCGACCATGCTTTGAACGACGATGGTTCGCTGCAACACCCGCAACCCTTGGTCCTTGACGCGGATCTTGCGCTCAAACAGCATCATCTTCTTGACGAAGCGCATCAGAGCATTCGGACGTTTCGGAGTGCCGCCTTTTTCCATGCTGTCGACGCGCTCCCAGGGCAGTTCCTGGCGACGGGAAAACAACAGCAAAAGAAAACACGAGCCGCGCCATCCAGCGAGCAGGAAGGAAAACCCAAGCCACCAAAAGGGCGCCGCGGCCAACCCGCGCCATCGGTTCGAGTGGTGGATGGAAGGCGATGCAAAGGCCAACAAGAGCATTGTCAACAATCCCACACTGACCAAGAGGACGCCGGCGACCGTAACCATACAGAGCGTTTCGAAGGTGCCGTTTTTGACACCCAGGCGGATAAAGTTGCGATGCGAGCAGTTCTTGAGCAGGTAGTACACGTGGTCTGCGATCGGGGCAAGCGTCTGCGGCGAGTCGGATTGCTGCAGCCCGGCAAGGGCGCGTGCCCGCATGCTCGATGGGAGATTGAGTTCCTTGGGTGACCCGGGGACAAGAAACAGTTCGGCCACTTGTTGCAGCTCTTCGCTGTTCGAGTAGTTGCCCAACGTCGTTTCGGACGATTCCGATGGCCGCGACCAGAACGGACGGCAACGTTTCCACATGCTGAGTTCGGCCGATGGCATCAGTCCTTCAATGTAGCGCAGGAATTCTGGAGGGTAGGTCAGCATTGCGGAAGAGCTGGCAACTGGTGACAAGCGTAAGGGGAGAGCAGTACTTACCGTTTTCTTGACTATTACGTTCGAGGTCGGAATCCTTCCCGGACGAGATACCAGTCCATGTCGCGTAGACATTGTCCTTTTCGTTCGAAGGCTGCTTCAGCAGCGGCGTGTCTGCCTCTGGTCGGCTACCTTCTCTCTTCTGTTGATAGCGGGCTTCATAATCGCGATACCTGTGCAGCAGCAGGTTAGACATCTGGAAATCGACCATTTGAGGAGAGCATCAATACTCACCACATGTAGAATTCCAAATTCTCAGGCGACAACTCGATATGCTTGAGATACATGTAGAAGTCATACAAGGACAAAGGGCTGCCTGTAGCATAAGCAGTCAGCATTGATCTCTAACAATCATCTCGAAACACTTACAAGTTTTGTTGCTCAGGACACGATCCAGGGACAAGTCTTGGGGAATGGCCGCGTCGGATTGCGACGAGATCGAAGGCGCTCTGGATCCATGGCCATCCTCGATCGCCGCGTTGGTCGTCTGCGTAAAGGTCTTGGGATCGCGATAAGAAGGCTTCTGATACCAGTGCGGCCACGCAGGCAGAAGGCGGACCATGGCAGGAGTGCTGTCCTGAGCTGTGCCTATCTGATCAGTCCTGGTTTGAGGCCACCCTCCAGGCGCTGGGGAAGTGATGCGACTCCAGCAGAGCTTCAAGGACGGGATATAAAACGGTCGGGACGATCAAGGGCGGGTAGGACGAGCCAGGCACCCGAGATATATGGACCAGCTTTCCTTGTTCTTCGAATCTTCGATTGCCACGCCGCGGCGGCAGGGTAGAAGAGAGAGGGTGGTTCTTTATGCCTCCTCCGCCGCCGCCTCCTCTCCTGCAGCGGTAGCAAGCTGGGTGAAGGCTGTCATGGAGGGCCGCCGGCGCCGCCATGCAGTGTCTCTCCAGTGCCTGTTTGGGAACTGTCCGTCGGAGTGTCACTGTCCAATGCCACGAAGGATAGACGCACCGGGGTGGGGGTGGGCGTCTGCTAGAGCTTTGGTTTCTCTGTGGTTGCCAGCGATGAGCTGTGCAGTGCCTGAAGCCACTGCCCTGTGTAGCACCGGAGTCACGCTTCTGTCCCTGCCAGTCAGTGCGATTGTGCCATATTTCACGTACTAGGTTGATAAGGATATCCCTGCCGGTCTTGCGGCAGCCTCTTTGTTGATGGTGGTCGAGACTTGAACTCTCGTCGCGTAGTCCAAGCCCCGGGGCCCCCAACCGGGCGAAGAATCCCTCAGCTCGTCCACGACCGCCAGGGACCAGGGCTGCGGGAGCTGTTCCAAATGTTCCACGGGCAAGGGAGACTCTCTCTTTACGTACACCCAGCAGCGCCACGTTACCCCAAGCGGCCCTTGACATGTGTCAAGCTGATGTCAAGTTCGACCAGGTCTTGTGGTGGTGCCCCCGGTCGTGTTCTCAGCTCCGTTCGCTTGTGGAAATTGACGGCCAATAGTAAGAAGCCTCTGCGACAAGCCTTAGCGAGCGATGTGTAGAGAGGCACAAAATACAGCACCTTCAACGAAAGAGTACCAGTAACAGTGCCAGCGGCACGGACGCAAGACGGATACGTCGCATAGCAGTAGTCCTATAGTATATTCCCCGGATTTCAGAGCCCTTACAACGTACGGCTTTGCAGAGCAGAATCCGAGAGACTTGTTGGTCCAATAATGGTCGGTACTTCTAGTAGTAGTCCCCGCCAAAAGTGAGATCTCAAGGTTACCGCTAGAATTCAATGGCTAACGAGGACCATTGCAAGGATCGCTCTTTCGGCATCTTCCAGTTGAAAAGCGTGCATACACGAGCAAGGATCCATGGCTCCAGGAACTTGAACTCTTCACGTTTTGTCCTCTCAAGGCGTGATCGGATTGCATCCACGCTGCTGCAATATTGACGTCGTCCCGGTTCAGACTGTCGAGGCTAAGCTGGCGACGGTCCTTTTTCAGGGTCCGCTGGATCCATATCCTTCAATCCAAAAATCCAACTTCGGATCGAGTTACGGATCGCAAGGGATGATCGCAGTCGATTTGGGACAAGCATCGCCCAGAGAGGCCTTAGCAAGCCCTAGAGGCAGTCGCTATGCAGCACACTTTGCTGCTTTGAGCGTCGCAGACATCGTCCGGGGGCGCCCCAAGTTCAGTGATAGGCGGGCAGTTCTCCCCGGGGGCGCTCATCGATAGATACCAAGTAGCTTCCCTTTTCTAGAGGGCGACACCTGTCAATATGCACTTTTGGCAGACAACGGGCGACCCTGAGGACTTGTTCGCTCTTCTTGACGAGAGGACAGTCCAATCAAGCTCTTGCAGGTAACTTCCTCCCAAAGCCGGGTGCAGCGGTGCAGTGCAGCGTGGCTCCATGATGCCGATGAGAGTGCCACATGTGCAGCACTGTACTACTGGTATGGGTGAGGAATGAACAACTCCATGCCGCCGGCTGGCAGCGTTTGAAACCTGACTGACAGGCGGAGTGCAACTAGTAGTAGTTGTAGGTAGGAGTCAGCCAGTAGATAAAAAGTGTTCCATCTGTCGTGCGTCGACCGTGTCGATTCAGACCAGATGATCATAGTGAGCAGCTGCGAAGTGCCCTGCGCTGCTATACAACTGTATACCACGTCCTACATGAGTAGTAGGGCCGGCCACCGTTGTCCTACACCCTTTCCGCCCAAGATTCCACTTGATCATGAGTTGAACCGGCTGCTTCTTCTGTGACAATCAAGTGAGCTCCGACTCCTCTTCCTGGTGCTGTCTTTGGCAGGCTCGGAGCTTAAGGTTGAGCATCGCCATTCCAACCATTCTGTGTCCCATCCGCAGTTGGTGACTACTGCAATCAGCCCTTTGGAAGATTTTTATGTCAAGAATCGTTCTCACCGGGCTCCTGGTTTGTATGGCCTGCTACTACTAGTACCAGTATTCAGCATATCCAGGATCCCTCGCCCAATTTATTATTGACAAATAATTTAGCGTCGCAAGCCGAGAGAAAGGAGATTTGTGTGGTCAACATGCAAGGGACCAGGTACATTATCGGGTCTCCGCCCTTCAAGCTGGTGTCCCGTCCGGAAGGAACTGTACGTACTGTACTCTCATCCACTGCAAATCAGCCACCCGCATACCTACCGAATGCTGCCCCTTTCGAGGATTGTGTTCCAGACCAAACATGCTGCGGGTGATCTATCGACGTTCTCGAACCAGCCACACAACGTGGCTCTCTGGGCGCCAGAAGGTCGACAAGATCATTCAGAGACGAACATCGATGCCGATACTAGTACGGCCCGGTAGCCTGACCCGGGGACGCCGTAGTGCTCAGCTCCGACAGCGCCACGAAAATAGAACGCAATCATGTTCAAGTCCTACACATATAAAATATAATTATACCACACGTGGCACCCTATCCATCGTTGCCTCCCTGTGGGCTTGCATGGATGCTTCCCTGAAAAGCAGCAGTCAAACTGGCAATTGAGAGGAACAGTCTCCCGCTGCAAGAACTTGCATAAACGACCGTCAAACCACTGAGTTTGGCTAAATTCGAGGTCCCTTTCGTTCTTATCGACGCACTGCCAGTGCAGAAACTGCATATCTGATTGATGGCCGACTTGAAATACTGTCACTCGGTGCAATGTCGCGCCCAAGTGATTCTGATTTAAGATAAAGGATATGTGTAATCCGCGTCCATATGTTGACTTATTGCGGCCTGGGCATGAACTCGCTTGGCTTGTTTGACGTTACGGCCACACCACTGCATCCGAGGCGACTGCATATGGTGTAAGGATGTGCGCCATTGGTATCAATGAGGGTTGAAAGGACAGCAGCTTGATAGTGAGAACAATTGGCTCCCAGCCAGTGCACCAGAATCGAAAGTCTAGAAGACATTCCCAATCCGATAGTACTGTAACAAGAGAGCCAGAGCAGCAGGACTGTGGAGACCCAGGTAAATTCAATGTGCCTCCAGTGAGAGAGAAGGGGTGCCTGCCCTGCGCAGGGTAGTCCAAATGCCTGTGACTTCATCAGCAGAAAGCAGAGAGTCACGGTCGATATTCAGCAGAGGTGGAGGTCTGATCGCTCAATATGACAAGCTTAAGGAGCAAAGCAGCCACAGGGAAGTAGATACTGTGGGATAACAAAACTGGAAAGACCCCGACGGCCACCTGGGCGACGCCGGCTGTAACAAGGTTTCAGGGTAATTCGTGGTGACTCATTGCCGTTGTCTCTCACTGAAGCATGGAGAGATAGAAAGGATGCTGGTGTCGTGGCAAGCGCTTTGCTTTGCCCTGCTCCAGCTCAGCTATACACACTGTATTGAACTGGGTATTGCTCGTGACCATCAACGGTCGGTTCAGGCGACCGTCTTTCGCCTACTGAATACTCTCCTGAGCCTGTTCGCTTTTGCCGGTTCATCTTTGGTATACGCAGGCTCAGGCGCTTGAATGGCTGAGGTTGTGTTACTCTCCGTCACAGTGGGAACTCTAGCCACGGTAGCTCTTCGCAGCATATCGCTCGCGCTCGCATCCGCCCTCCCAGTGTCGGGACGGTTCAGGTAGTTTTCAAGAGTTCTGGTGCCATAGAAACCGCGCAACTGCTCATCACCCGTGTAGTACTTCTGAGAGTTGGCCCATTCCGTAAACGCTCTCAGATAAGCCTCTCGCGAGGGAAACCCTCGATAGCTTGTATCGGCGACCAATGTATCCATCGATGCGGCGGAGAAAACGCTTGGAGGCCGAGAGGGGCGGGGCGTCTGGTCATTATCCCGAGCCTGAGAGTTGGTGTCGGTATTAGGGGACGACATGGTTATATTGAGTTCAAACAACGATTTTTTGCTTCCCTTCGGCGACTATGAATATAATTTGTAGGATAAGTTATGCAGAACGTAAGTTTGCTTGTAGGTCAAGAGCAGGAGTTGAAGCGGCAGATCTCGCGGCAATATCAATATCTCGTATCCGTATAAACCCTACCTAGGCACCGTACTGTGCCGCTTCAAGTTGATGTCGGACATCCGTGACTTCATACAACACCAAGTTTGGAGATCCATGACTTTGGATGCACCCCGGCCGTTTGTGGATGTGCACCCACGTGCGAGGATGGAAGGATGCCATACGAGGAGTCGTTGGATGGATGATGGTCGGTGGCAAGTCTGAGGGGGGGAATGAAATGTAGCAAGGCCAACTATACGCCGCCGTAGAACTTCGGTCGAGTACAACCACGTCCTGCGCAGTTTCGCCGCTGCTAAGTCACGTGACAGTGGCGTTAGTCGGCTCTGCAGGAACCAGACTTGGCCGGCGACCGGAATTTCACGCCACTGGTGGACTGACCACTGGGCCCTGACCGGCCTGGAGAGGAGCAGCACATCAGCACAGGCACTGATGATAGGCACTTTTTAGGTACCCGATGGGGACCCTGCACTCTTTATCACTGCCAAAACGATCGCCCGGAGCCCGGAAATTCACAACGCCCTTGGAGCTCCCGAGTGATGCCACTCGGTCTAGTTCCCTCTGTTCCCATATAATCCAATCAAAACACCACACCAGGAGTCCACCGCCAATCAAAGAAAAGTCCGGTCTACGGGTTCATCGCATTCAAATTCGTTTACTTTTCTCCCATCACTTCTCTTCTTTGGATCCGACTCGAGCCTGCGCCTTCAAGTTTGTGCTGTTTCATCCGTTCTTCTTCGCATCTCAGTCGTTTCAGCAGTTTTTCGTTTTGGTCGCCGTCCAAGATGTAAGCTCAAGAAAACAACGGTCGAAAAAGGTCTGTTTGCTAATTCGTGCCTTAGGAATTCGACCTACAGCTCCCCAGTCTCCTACACCGACTACTACAACGACATTGCCCAATACAATGTCCACCTAAATATCTTCGAGAAGGCGTGGGCCGCCTGGTATGCCTACATGCAGAACGACGTCCTGGCCACCGGAATCATGTCCTTCGTTATGCACGAGGTGGTTTATTTCGGTCGCTGTTTGCCGTTCATGATCATGGACAAGATCCCATATTTCCACAAGTACAAGATCCAAGGGGTATGATTTTTCGCCGCATTTTGAAATCGCGATCAGATATGCTGACAGTTTCATCCAGCAAAAAATGCCGACTCTGGCTGAACAATGGCAATGCGCCAAACTGGTCCTCCTGTCTCACTTCACCGTCGAACTGCCTCAGATTTGGTTTTTCCATCCGATGGCCCAATATTTCGGTCTTTCCACCAGCGTCCCGTTCCCGCCGTGGACCAAGATGGCGTGGCAAATCGCTCTCTTCTTTGTCCTCGAAGACACATGGCATTACTGGTTTCACCGAGCTCTCCACACCCCTCGCTTGTACAAGATGATCCACAAGCTTCACCACCAATACAGCGCACCCTTTGGACTGGCGGCCGAGTACGCCTCACCACTTGAAACGATGATCCTCGCATTCGGCACCGTCGGCATCCCCATTGTCTTCTGCGCCATCACCAAGGACCTGCATATCATCACCATGTACATCTGGATCGTCTTGCGGCTGTTCCAGGCGATCGACGCCCATTCTGGCTACGAATTCCCCTGGAGTCTGCATCATTTCCTGCCATTCTGGGCCGGCGCCGACCACCATGATGTGCACCACGAGAAGTTTCTTGGAAACTATGCCAGCTCTTTCCGATGGTGGGATGCTGTTCTGGGTACGGAGTCGGGAAGCATCTCGGCCCAGGCTGCGGCCAAGCGCGCAAAGAAAAATACGGCCAAGGCGCAGTAAGCTTGGGCTGTGCTCTGAGCGTGCCGGAAGCTAGACCAAGTGGAGCCTCGACCGCCTTCGCTCTGCATATAAGGTCGAATTTACATAGACTGGTAGACTGGGGTGTGGAGTTGGCGTTGGTAACAACTGATAGATTGGCGCAGGCAGCAGGGTCGATCATGGACACTTTGGACGGTGTCCGAGTCGGGTTTTAATCTTCATCAATAGCGTTATCCTCATCCTATCCTTCGTTTCACAGACATCAAGTATTTTGTGTGTCTCCAACAGAATGTGTCCCATTATTCCAACTGATGAAACTCCTGATCGTCGAGGGTACCAATCGTAGGTAGTAAAAGCAGGCCATTATGCAAAACACGATTGAAATATAACCTACTGCTTTTTGGCTGAGTCGCAGCCACAGTTCTCCAATGCTTCTGCTATTTTCTGTCGATTGATCTCAATCATCCGCTTGCGTTGTTCAGAGATCTGTCTCTGCAATTGTTCCAGGTCCAGACTGGGATTCGAGATCCGAGCGGGCGCAGTCACCTGCAGTCCGGTCTGGGCCAACAGCTCGTCCACTTTCGCCGCAAGTCTAGTATCCCGAGCACTCAGCCCACGAGGACTATGCGTAGTGCACGTGATTGTGAAGCAGCTGTAGCCGTCCCCATCCTCCCGAGCAATGTGTGGATGGTGGTTCATCTTGTCTGCCTCGACCATGATCGTATCAACCACTCTATTACATTCTTCTGGAGAAGACAGCGCGACATGCCGATGAATCGCGTCTCCAAGCGGATCGAGCTCCCATTGAAGTGTGCCGAAGGATGGCGGTGCCGTATTGGTATTCGCACTGTTCAAGTTGGGCGTTGAGACCAACGAAGCCAATGCCTCGGCCAACTTCTCCAGCTTCACCTTGGGAGTAGGAGAGATCTTTTGCGTGATAGAAGTTCCATCTTTCAGGCGGAACGTGATTTCATGCCTATTCTCTGCAATTGTGACGGGTGAGACGGACGATAAGGTCAGGCTTCGTTGAGTTTGGGCATGGTATATGGACATAGGTATAAAACCGGGATACTCAGGCTGGCGACAAATGATTAAAGGTATATTGGTACGGGGGGCATAGAAGGTCTGATGGCGACTATGGCGGACGATCTGGCATGCTAAGGAAGGAATGCGCAGCATTGCTGGCGGAAGGAAAGAGTATGATGTCGAGACACTGAAGTTGGAGTTGGTTGCGGCCTTGAAGTCGTAACGGAACTGTTTATTGGTGACGATGAGCATCATTCAAGTTGTGCAGATGTATGCCTGATGCCGCTTTTGCCTCGACCTCTGTGCTTATATTATGGCGGCGCTACCACTCCTCTCGATCGGTCCAAATATCAACACCCAGAGTTCGCTCCGCCCTGCTCCTCATCCACAGATACAGCCTCTCGTGCTTGAAACGTGATTGTTCATTTCCTGTGATCCTGATCCAGTGCTTCAATAGCATCTGCGTACGACAGTACACTTCCTATGAGGGCTAGGGATCGTCCATGCTTTCTATACAGAGTATATCGTACCTGTTTCATCAAGCATGCCCGACACCCGGGCACCCTCTGCTTCTCTTCGGGGCACCGTTTCCGGCCTACAACGGTACCGTTAAACTTTTCCGGGACATCAACATGTGGAGTATTACTTGAGGAAGTCCACCGGGGAATGATGGATCAAGGCAATGTGTTCTGCCTTGCCTAAAATACCTGAAACGTAAGGTGTTTGACTCCCAGGACGCTTCGGCTACAGGGTTACTCAGCCTCCCAAAACGGACCGGTAACACACGAGCCTCCGATATAGGTAAGGCAGATACGGAGCAGTTCTCATGTCTTTGAGGATATGTACGGTCCCATTTACCCAGTGTGGTACCCATATGTTTCTTCTACACATTTGCACAAACGGCGCACTGGCAGTTCAAGTTCTTTATTTGTTTCTTCATTCCAGCGTTTTCAGCGTGTTCCATTCAGGTGTGTCGTTTTCCATCCTTGGAAATCGTCGTTGTCATTTACAGCCGTTGGAGCAACAATATGTGTCGACTAGAAAGCACGCTGCTGCTCTGGACTGCCTTTGGTGTCGGGGATTGTATTGCCGGTCTACCAGGACGCAGACCTCCCAGGCCACTGAAAGGCGGAGTCAGTGATATATTCGGGATTCCAACTGCTCTGCCGGTACCAGGGGGCAGTGGGAACACTGTCACGGCCTCTCCGTCTCTGTCACTAGGCATACTCTCTGAGCCTGGTACAACTGAGGCTTCAGCTCTGTCGACTGGCAACATACAAACAGATACCTTAACTACTCCTGGGCTGTCGATCATCTCATCCGCAACCATGACAGCAGAGTCGGAACAACAAACAGCCTCTGGGACAGCAGCTCCGCCATCCTCGGCGGGTTCCCCAGGCTCTGCTTCATTGGCTGGTACTGTCACAGCAAGTCAAGCTGGACAGTCAGTTGTGGCAGCCACACTGTCAACTTCAGGAGGGGCAAGTATTTCTATCGTTCCAACAGCAACAGACAGCGGCAGCGGCAGCAGCAGTCTGCCGAGCTCTTCTCGTTCAGGTGGTGGCTCCAGTTCAGGCTCTGTGTCAGGTTCAGGCTCAACGTCCGGACCAGGACCAGGATCTGGATCTGGATCAGGTTCCGGAACAGGCTCCAAGCCATCAACCGCTGAAACAAGTTCATCCAGCGGTCTGTCCCCAGGAGAAATCGCGGTATCGGTTATTCTCCCGATTGTCGCCTTGATTGCTATTCTCTTTCTTTGCTTCCGCTACATGACACCTCTACGCAAGCGATTCACAAGCTGGCGCCAAGAGCGACTAGAACGACGCACATACAGAAGAGCGCTGGACGATCCTGTGCTTTCTTTCGGGGTGCGTGAAAAGGGATTGGGGTTGGGGTTGGGAGATGTAGAGCAGTTGGCGCGTCCGCTATCCTTTGGCTTCCAAAGGCCTCAGCCTCAGCGCCAAGGTACCGTTCTTCGAGAGCCTTTGGGCTGGGATGGATCTCGTCTGGTTAGGGGTTCGGACAGGATATCTGCAATCGGCATGGCTGTCCCCATGGGTAGCGACCATAGGAGGACAGAAAGCGAGAGCTCAGACGAGAGCTTGGGGGAAGAGGCACGATTAAACCAGAGCCGCCCGTGAAGGAGGTCCTCCAACTAACTCCTTTATCGAGCATATAGATATTGAGAAAAGACCTTTTTTTTTGTTTCTCGCCGCAAGGAACTCGAGTGCAGCATTAATGGCAGACGACAGGGTGTTTTGGTACGTAGTGTAATCACGTCAGCAAAGCATGGTCACTGCTCGTATACTACGGCAGCATACCTAGGTAGGTAACGCTCGAGTATAAAATGCTGATATATGTGTCCTAGGTACCAGATACAATCGCTAGATACCTGGTAGGTCTCAAGAAGCCCCTATGGAGCGTGAGTTACTAGCACACAAATTCGCGCGAGGCTGATGTTCACGATCGGTCAATGATACGCCGAAAATCATCCTCCACTTTTGTCACAGCAAGAAATCAAGCGCGCAGTGGTCCTCGACTCGGACTTGTATCATTCTCCAACACTGGGCTCCTAGACCAGCACGTTCAGATTCTGACCACCGTCTGCATTTATCGTATGCAGTGAAACCCAACAGTGGCAGAGACGACAACTGGACACACAACTATTCCGGACCTACCACCATAAAAGTTGACCACACTTCCTTGGACCCCCACCAAAAGGAAACTTGAACAGTCCGGAACTTGAACAGCTTTACAGCTCTTTCTTCCACAACGCTGCATATGATAAATCCTAGAAGGTAAACACAACAAAATAAGCAACAACAATGGCATCCAACTTTACCGCCGAGGACATCAACCTCCCCCAACTCCGCGACCGCCTAGTCCGCATCGCCCTCTCAGCCGGCTCAATGATCACCAGCGCAACACCAACAACAAGCGCATCAGGCACCAAGAAAAACTCCGCCGACCTGGTCACCGAAACCGACCAGGCCGTCGAGGCATTCGTGTCATCCGAACTGAAAAGACTCTACCCCAATTTCAGCTTCATGGGCGAAGAGACGTATGTCCCCGGTCAGAAACTGGGTCCCGAACCGACGTTTATTGTCGATCCGATTGATGGGACCACCAACTTTGTGCATCGGTATCCGTACACTAGTGTGAGTTTGGGGTTTGCGGTCAACAAAGTTCCGACTGTGGGTGTGGTGTATAATCCGTTTACGGGGGCTTTGTATTCTGGGATTAAGGGCCAGGGAAGTTATGTCAAGAACGTGGCGAGCGGAGCGAGCCAAGTGAGCGCACGCACCGGTACCGACCTCGATCCTTCGGATCTCGGTCAACAGCTTCCTTTGAAACCCCTGGAACCCCTCGGTGCTCTCGACTCTTGCATTGTCGTCATCGAGTTCGGATCAGACCGATCCGGCCAGAACTGGAAGAACAAATGCGAGACTTGGGCGCGACTCGGGCGAAGTAAAGACGAAGGCGGCGCCATGGTTCATTCTGCTCGAGCTCTAGGGAGCGCCGCGCTCAACATGTGTGCTGTCGCTGAGGGAACTCTTGATCTCTATTGGGAAGGCGGCTGTTGGGCCTGGGACGTCTGTGCCGCATGGGTCATTTTGACTGAGGCGGGTGGGATTGTGGTTGATGCGAATCCGGGCGGTTGGGATATTTCTGTCGATCATCGAAAGTATCTTGCTGTCAAGGGTGCTACGAGTGGTCAGAGGGAGTTGGTTGAGGAGTTTTGGAGGAATGTCGAGGGGAGGTTGGAGTATGAACATTGAAACAGAAACAAACACAAATTGATTTCGGCAAGTTGAAGGAAAACTTGAACAGGACTAGAGGAATGGAAGAATGAACAGACAGACCGCTATAGAAATAGGAGATAAACCGGATAGACGAATAGACGAATAGATGCATGGCTAGAGAAAAAGACGCATGTAAACAGAAGCAAAACACAAATGGATTGTCTCGATGTACGGACAGGCAATTGTATCGTTTTTTGGTAGAAGTACAGCTGGTGTAGTCTCGAAATGTAATCGCTGAGGACATGCGAGAGTTGTCCGTGCTTACTTCCACAGTTTGCCCAGAGACACTTCCTTGTCGTCGTGCTTGTTCAACACCTTTGCAGTGGCAAGATCGAAATCTTCCTGAGTGACATGCACTCTCCTCTCTCTCAGAGCAAACATGCCGGCTTCTGTACACACACCTTTCAACTCAGCCCCCGAACAACCATTCATCTTTTCGGCAATCTTCTTCAAATCGATCCCCCGCGTCAAATTCATGCTTCGAGAGTGAATCCTCAGGATATCCGCGCGTGCCTCAACACTTGGCGGGGGGAATTCGATCTTCCGGTCAATCCGTCCCGGCCGAAGAAGGGCAGGATCCAAGATATCCAGCCGATTGGTTGCCATGATGACCTTGATGTTCTTGGTCGGTTCGAAACCATCCAGCTGATTTAATAACTCCAACATTGTCCGTTGCACCTCGGAATCGCCACCACTGCTTCCTTCCACACGGCTGGAGCCTATACTGTCGATTTCATCCATGAAAATGATACTGGGCGCGTGTTCTCTCGCCATGACGAAAAGCTCGCGAACCATTCGACTGCCTTCACCAATATATTTTTGCACCAATTCTGATCCCGACACTCTGATGAATTTACAGTCGGCATGGTGAGCAACCGCACGGGCCAGCAACGTCTTTCCGGTTCCAGGTGGCCCATAGAGCAAGACGCCCTTGGGTTGCGCGATACCTAACGACTCGAACAATTCGGGATGGTTGAGACCAAGTTCAATGACCTCTTTGATCTCCTTGATTTGTTGATCCAGCCCACCGATCATGTCGTAAGTGCTGTCCGGGACCTTTTCCACCATCATGAGAGACACTAGGGGATCGACGGAGGAAGGTAGCATTTTCTCGAGTTTGTACGAGTCGGAGAGGAGGGACACCCGCTTGCCGACGGTCAATTTGCTAATGTCGACACTGTCCGCAATATCGACAACTTGTAACAGGTCAGTAAAACCACATTGACAAGATCGTACTCTGGTGACTTACCATATTTGCCTTCAGGATGGACCTTGACAAGAACCTTCTTGGTGCTCATCACTTTTACCACCTCTCCAACATAAGATCCAGGTTGCTGCAGCAGTCCCAATTCTTCCCGCAACAACCGCACTCTTGAGTTGTAGTCATTTCGTTGTGCTTCTAATCGCCGGAGGACAGCTTGGCCTTGGATGATCTCGAGCTTTAATGATTCGATTTTGTTTCGGTAGAAGTTGTCGAGCGCCATTCTGGCGACGTATCCGAGGAACCGTTGCGAAGAGGTGGGGTTGAACTTCGCTGAAGGTACGGAGAGAATGTGAAGGCCGTGTTTGAGCGGGAAATGTAGATGTCAACTTGAACGGGATGAAGATGGAGAGGACGCGCCTCCAAATTGTTGCCTCGCCGTAATTACTGCGGTGAGGTTACCAAAGACTGCGGCAAGCGACTATCGCGGCTAATAAAGGCTGCGTCCAGACTGAAGCGCGGTGGCGGTGCGCTTAACTGGTGGTACTGTGGCGCTGTGGCTGGTGCTCGCTATAGGGAGTTTGGTGGACTTTGGGAACACCCAGATGGATCCCAAGTCATGAGCCAGCTTCCTCCCGTAGGGCACCCTGCACCTAGTGTAGGTGCCCGGAAATGTTCGGTTGCAGCACCGACTACAGTGTAGTAGGATCCCTAAGCCTTCCAATGCTGAGGAAGGCCAGCGCATTGCCCATGAAGACTTTGTGCCTCTCTACCTAACTAATAAGGCAGGCCTCTAAATGTTGTATGCATGAAACCTGGGACCGCTGCAGTAGTAGCCTACAATCACAGCCCAGTTGTTGATCACCAGCTGTCAGTCCTGAAGAACTTTTAAGTTGAAGCCTGATAATCAAGCGCATCCACCACGAAGCCGCGCCTGTCTGAGGTGGGCGCACAGCGGCATTGGTGTGTAATCTCCGTCGAGTTGGTGTGTACCCACTTTTAGTGTGGCGTATATCTAGTAGTTTCCAGTAGTTACCGATTCCGCGCGCTAGTCTACTTTTAGTTAGTATACTTAATATAAATAAACTGAGAAGTCATTTCAAAGATATTTAAGTTTCGCGTCTAGTCGCTACCGGTAATAGCTCTTTATTCTAGTAACTACTAGATATATCTAGTTATTACTCGTTACTATTATAAGTACTTTAAGCTAAATAGAGTATCTATCTATAACTAGATATATTCTTAGACTATAATACTATTACTTAAAGTTCCTATTATATACTTCTAAATAGTAGATAAACTTAAGTAGTATCTATCTATAACTAGATATATCTAGTAGTTACTACTCGTTACTACTATAAGTAATTTTAGATAGAGTATCTATCTATAACTAGATATATCCGGTTACTACTCGTTACTACTATAGACTTTTAATAATACGAACTCTAGAAGAGATAATCTAATAGAATATTTACTAGTAGACTAGAAGTCTAGATTATAATATAGAGAGTTACGCGTATATATAGTAGAATAGAGAATAAAGTAGTATCTATTTATAACTAGATATATCTAGTTATTACTCGTTACTACTTATTACTACTCGTTACTACTATAGATTTTTAAATTTAAATTATAAACTCTTAGTCTAGAAGAGATAACTTAATAGAATATTTAGTAGCCTAAGACTAGAAGACTAGAATATAATATAAAGAGTTACGCGCGTATATAGTAGGATAGATAATAAAGTAGAACTAGATATATCTAGTTACTACTCGTTACTACTCGTTACTACTCGTTACTACTCGTTACTCTATATACTTCTAGATATAAAGTTATTAGGCTTACTATAGTAGTTGTCATTACATCTCTATATATATTACGTGATCAAGCACCGCCACAAGTTAAAGTGGATACACACCAACGCTACGGAGATTACACACCAACGCCGCTGCAACCCCGTCTGAGGTGCGAATTAAGGCCTCGTGTAGGGGCTCGTCAAGCCTGGAGGCGCCTGTCATCCACTAACCAACGACAGCCTCAGGGAGCCTACGCCATCCACTCTTGACATCCGTACCGCATCCGCATCCATCAATCACCTCCCGCGTCGAGCCTCTTTTCTGTATCCTCCGAGCCTCCCATATGCTCATCCGCCAGTGTGATCCACGCTCTATTGTGTACACACCATCAGCGCCTGCTCCTACTTGTTGATACACACCAGCACGTGCCCCTATCGACGTGCTGTCGCTGGTGCACACGCTCCCTCCCTCATCCGCTTGGGCATTTGTTGTCGTCCCATTCCCCAGAATCCCCGGTCCACACCTACGTCGTCTGCCTCCCTGGCTCACAGTTCCACTACTTTCTTTCGCTCGCCCATCTGTATTTCTACGCATCTCTTAGAGCGATCATCTGACGCTATAATCCATGGACGTCTGATGCGACGAACCTTTGCCAGGTGTTGACCTGTCCGGGTGTCAACTACTCGAGCTTCCCGGCTCTTGCAACAACACCAACATACGCCTGCCAGTTCTACAGTCAGTAGCGGTAGACGCTGTAGACGCTGGAGCCGTACAAGAAATATTCCGTGACCGGCATCCTTTTTGCAACATGTCTCCCAGTGACACTCCGGATGTGAAGCCGGTACAGGAGGGTCAACAGGAAGCTGGGCAAGAGTCGACGGTTCGAGATACCACAATTCGCCGGGATTATGGTAATGCTGGCCCTGTTAGGTTGGCAGAAGAAATAAAATTAACACGACAATAGGTACTCTCGGTGATACCCCGACGAGCAGCAGTCAAAGACCACGAAGTGCCCATCGATCCGAAGACGCACAAGATGCCGTTTCCGGTATGCCCTCACTGTCACCGCAGACTACAAGATCCAAGAAGCCTGCGACTATGAGACGGGCCTCCACGAGGAAGCAGCTGCCTCATCGAGGCGAGCAATTCTCGGTAGACGATGATCCGTCCGAGGTGGAGGAAGCGCGAGCGCCGCAGACACCCTCTACTCCGATCCTCCCTCCTGCCAGTCGACAACATTCTACTGTTCGTCGACGAACTCACGCCGGTGTGGCCCAGCTCCCCCGCGTTGAGTCTGCCGATGAAGAAGTGGACCGCATAACTCTGGAAACCGGAGGTCCTGTAGAAGAGCTGGAGGATGACGTTGATGATCCGGTACTTGGCGACTTGGAAGAGCCAGACCTGAGTGATGCCGAGAGTTTCACTTTGAAAGACCGGCAGTTGGCCATCAACGAGACGCATCCGTTTGGTATCCGGATATGGAAACCTGCGCTATACAAAAAGAACAGATCGGTGGAAAAGGGCGCTGAGGAAGATATCCATTCGTCTCCCAGTCAGATCGTCAGCAAGTGGCTTTGGGCTTTCAATTGCTTGTGGACGATTCTTTTCGGCTGGTGGCTCGCTGCAGCCGCCGCGTTAGCTTCCTTGGTCTGCTATTTGTTTGCGTTTGACCCTAGTGCGGCAGCATATGGTAGCGTGTTCTGGGGTCTGGCCGGATACCTCTTCTGGCCCTTTGGCAAGTTTGTCAAGCTTGAGCAAGACGAGAACTACGCCGACGAAGACGAAGGCGAAGGCCGAAGTATTAGTGAATACGAGCGATGGCAGAGCGGCGACTTGGAGTATGGCCGGCTCATGTTTGGGCCGCATATGATGCATTCAGGCTCAATCGTGGGCCGACGTCGAAATAGCGTCGACTCTGCCAACGAAACCGACAGCCTTCTGGCCCGAAGTGGGAGAAGCGACCTCGAAGACCCCGGTGTCCACTTCAAGGCGAAGCGGCGACTTTTCGGCCGCGGCCAGTGGACTCTCGGCAGAGTGATCTTCTTCATCTTCTTCTACTTCTTCGTGGCCCCTCTAATGCTGACGGTTTCTATGATCTGCTGGTTCATGGTATTCTGGATCCCCATGGGCCGGGTCACGTTGATCCTGTTCTACCACTTGAGAAAAAGGCCGCTCTCACTGACTTTCCACCGCGACGTGTCGGCCGCTAGAAGCTCCACCAGACCGTCGTCGATCCTGCTGTGTACCTATCGAGCCGTGGGAATCAAATATTGGAAGTATACCGTTGATGGCACCAACATCTTCCTCATTAACTTCCTGGCTGTCGTCGTCTTGGTCATCCTGGATTATTTCATTCTGAAGCAAGCCTTGGGTCTGAATATTTGGCTCACGAGCCCGGCGCTACTGTTTGTTCTAGCGTTGGTTTCTATCATTCCCTTGGCGTACTTCATCGGCCAGGCGGTGGCCTCCATCTCGGCACAGTCGTCAATGGGTATGGGGGCGGCAGTCAATGCCTTCTTCTCGACGGTTGTCGAGGTGTACCTGTACTGCATTGCCCTTAATGAGGGTAAGGGGCCTCTCGTCGAAGGCAGCATCATTGGCAGCATATTTGCCGGTATCCTTCTTTTGCCTGGGCTATCAATGTGTTTCGGAGCCATCAGGCGCAAAACACAACGCTTCAACGTGAAGTCGGCTGGTGCCACTTCCACCATGTTGTTGTTCGCTGTGATTGCGGCATTCGGACCAACCCTGTTTTACAAAATCTATGGAAGCCATGAGTTGATCTGCAAATCCTGCGCGGCGGCAGATCTGGACAACCCCAGGGATTGTCGCCAATGTTACTTCCGCCAGGTCCCCGCAGTCACCGACGAATTTTTTGTCAAGGCTGTCAGACCGTATTCATGGGTCGCCGCTGCCTTTTTGTTCTCTTCATACATTATTGGGTTGCTCTTCACTCTGCGGACACATGCTGCCATTATCTGGACCACCGAGATCGAGGAGAAGAAGCCTCCTCAAGCCGCGCAGACCGCCGATGTGAGCCCGATGGACACTCGACATCAAAGCGTTGTTAACTCACAGCAGTTCCAGCAGAACGGCTCTTATGTACCCAGATCAGCGATTAGAGAATCGCAATTGTACAAAAGAATTCTGGGGCAGTCTCTACGGTCAGCAGGATTAGCTGACGGCGATGGTACTGCCGAGCAGGAAACTAGCACTGCCAACGCACCCTCACAAACACACGGACTTGATCCCCCTAACAAGAATGACTTGCCCCATGTTGTACCGCCCAAATCGAGTCACGGATCAGAGGCAACTCAAAGTCCATCCTTACGCCCTGTTGTCCCTGGTTTGTCCGAGGAAGATAACAACAACCTGGTTCGTCAGGTGGCTGAGATGGCGGCCACGGCAGCCACTGTTGCAGCACGCGACGCGGTAAATCATCCTCGAGCAGCATCATACCAAGCGACCCATTCATTCAAACCAGACACGGTCAGGACCAGCAAGCCGGCACTCACCCGCACTAGCACTGCGGTGGAAGATGTCTACACTAATGCTGTTGCCGAACAAGCTGTCCATGGTGACATAGGCGGGCACGACGCTCCCAACTGGTCGCGGACAAAGTCGTCCGTCATCTTGTTAACGGCAACAGTGGCCTATGCTATTGTGGCAGAAGTCCTGGTGGACACCGTTGACGTTGTCCTCAATTCTATTGAGATTGATGAGAAATTCCTGGGGATTACCTTGTTTGCGCTTGTGCCCAACACCACCGAGTTTCTCAACGCCATCTCCTTCGCTATGAACGGCAACATTGCGTTGAGTATGGAGATCGGGTTAGCGTACGCATTGCAGGTTTGCTTGCTTCAGATTCCTGCTCTTGTCCTGTTTTCGGCACTGCACGGACAATTGCTCGATCCCCGCGATTTACTTGATCATACTTTCAACCTCATCTTCCCGCAATGGGACATGGTCACGGTTATCCTCTGTGTGTTCTTGTTGAGCTATCTCATACAGGAAGGCAAGAGCAACTACTTCAAGGGGAGTATCCTCGTGTTGACCTACCTTGTGGTAGTCCTGGGATTCTACTTCAGCGGCTTCACCACCATCAATATCATGGGAGGAGACCCATACGATACCCTGGCGATGCAATCAGGCATGGTATTGCAACAGCCACGTCCGGCAACAAGTAAGCCGAACGGCAGAGAATTGTAATAGGGTTGCTTGGCACAAGTCGATGTGGGATCGTTTATACCCTTTTTTGAACCAGCGCGGCGTTGTCAATGGGCATTATTAATACATGGCGGCGCTCAACAGGCAGAGCAGAGCGAGCTGACGCAAAGATGCGCGAAAGCATCCGCCCCTTCGTCATGTTGAAGGTGGTTGCGTACATTTTGCCTTCATTTATACAGTGGGACCTACAGGAACAGCCACTCCGGTCGCTTACACCTATAAATCGATCCATTTTACCTTGGAGTTGTTGTGACCACGTAAGTAGTGCTGAGCACCGAGCACAAAAAGTACACATTCATAGTCCTATTTCCATCTTGTACGGGGCAGAGCGGCAAGGGTCCAAGGCTAGAACGGAAGACTGAAGAGTGGAACCGGGCGCTTAGAGCCTCAGGCCGACCAACTGAGGTCGGAATAGGGACAGGTCTAGACTGAGAGCGGATTAGTGTGTAGGGTCTCTCGGGCGGCCCCGCAGGCAACTGCGCTTGGCACGTGCCGCCTTTAAGACCTCATTCCACAGTTGATGTCAGGGCGTCAGTCATCATCATCAAACCATTCCTCTCCAACGTACCATTCCATGCTGCATTGCAGTCCTTGGACTGATCTTCCTTTTAGGCCGTCTATCCTCGTCCTTGGGCACACTCTGATACCCTCCTATTGATTCATTAATGTCCTTCCCACACGGGCGGCCATGTCGACCGACGACGCCTTGTCATGGTGTGGCGTGCCGCCTCCCCTCGTACATCTCTTCACGAATTCCATCATCCTCGACTGTCTTATCTCCTACTTGACTCTGCCCTCTATATTCTCCCTAGCCAGGACATGTCGGTCTTTGCGTGACTTGCTTTTCCAGAACCCCCGTGTCTTTCGGTACATAGATCTTTCCAGGTGTCGAGGCGCCTACGTGCCGCCGAACCTGTTGACCAGAATCGACTCTGGCGGGCATTCATGGCGAGCGGAACGCATGGACGAAAACCTGACCGAAGACGAATTCTACGCGGGGCCACTTCGTGGGGTTCTAGGAAAGTTGGGTCGCATGGGCGTCTTGAAAAGCGTTCAGACATTGGTCCTTGATGAACTCGCATCTGTCACGCATGATCTCATCAACGACATTGTGCTGGCTCCCGAATATAATGTGCGACTGTTGAGTATCCGGCGGTGCCTCAATGTCAACCATTCCAAAGTGCAGCAATTGCTGCGCCACATATGTCGGCCGAGCAGACCAGAAGGCACTCCTCGGTTGCAAGGGTTATATGTCTTTACTCATCCAGCGTCATCATCCATCTTGGACCATCAAACCCCCTCAGACTATAGTTATCTTGTCGCAGGGCAAGGTGCAAGTGGACCGCTTGAACCCATTGCGGCTTCTATAGCAAAGCTTCGGCCTGGCGGAGGAGGCGATGCTTGGTATTCGCCATCTGGGCAGGTGATTTCTCTGGGCCACGCTCACCGGACATCATGGGAAGAAACACTTTTGGCGTGCAAAGGCGTCATCAGCTTCGATGCCGTCCCCTGCACCCACATGCATGCCGACATGGCGCCCGTGCTTCACGTGGCCTCGCGGGACTACCTGACGGAAAATAAGGCCGGCATACCTCCGCTCGCCACGATCGCTCTTGGTCCCAAAGGTTGTGCAGGTTGTGGACGGGCTCCTCGAGGGGCACCCGTTTGGGGCGAGAGCGATCCGTCCGAGTTTCCACTGCTGTGGCCCCCTCCAGTGACGGGCAGACTGGTCGATGCTGTACGTCCCCCGCTTCGGAGAAACGAGAACAATGAGATTCTTCCTCAACGTCTTATCGTCTCTTGCACCTGGTGCCTTACGAATCGACATTGTGAAAGCTGCCATCGGTGGTGGTGTGCCGACTGCTACAATCCGACCATCTCGAAGAAACTTAATGATCTGGAGAGGTTAAGCCAGGCCGGGTTGTCATACTTGCCTTCGATGGAAGAGCTGGACAACACTGCCATGTCCGGCGGTCGTGGTGACCATATAAAGGTATTTAACCGTCTGTGTGTTCAGAACTGTCTCGTTGGTAAATGGCTCATTGGGGCGGGTGATGGTGGTGGCATGTGGGGATAAAGATGGCACAAGGTTCAGTGTTCAAATTGTGGCACAGAATATGAGCGAGGCTATTGCCAGAATTGATATCACACGAAGAATGACAACACAACATCGCTACCCTGGAATATGAATGGGGAAAAACACGTTGCCGGACTGGCTGTCCTGCCTAGCCGGTACAAGGGCCAGCCAGCCTAGGCACGCTCCTGAACCATGGTCCCTCTCGCTCCCCACATGCCCTCTTGCACACCAACCCGCTCCGAGCCTTGATCTCCCCTATTCACCATCTATCCCGGGTTCCTTGCCTTTCTTTGTCTTCTCGGTCCATGGCTAATGGCTAACACACTCGACTCTATCTTTTCTCTTTGCACAGCAACAACAACAACTCAGAATCCTCCCAGGCCAAGCGGCCGTGACGCGCGATTGCTTCGAATGCGGCCGAGTCTGCGGCCTATGCGCCCCCTTATCGACACGAATATGCAAGAGATGCAAGAGCAGTTATTGTCTGTTACATAACACAGGATGCGACGAGGAAGTGGTATGTCCAAATATTTCTTGACTTCCGGGAAGAGAGGGGATTGAAATGTGTTTTGTTATCCGGAGTACAATTTGCAAACCATCTCAAGAGGGTATATGGGCTAACTGTAGTGGTAATTGATGTCTTTTAGTGCGACTGGTGTATGTTCCGCGGTGGCCGGAGAACGCGCGAACTCTATTGAAACGGACATGACAATCGACATTCCATCTCTTAAGAGGGCTTGGATTTTGCCCCGCCGCCCTCACGAACGGCTTGGAACGGTGAAACGAATGCGAACGAAAGCCGGTAACCGGGGCGGAAATGGGAGCTATCTATCTATGCCTGACATGTGGCACGGCGTTGCAGCGGAACCGTTGATGGTCCCTGGTTCTTTCGTTCCCGGAATAAACCAAAACCAGCTAGGACACAGTTTTGTTCTGCAATGGTTTGAAGGATGTAAACGACAATGACACGCCTGGGGATGAGATTTCGTCAACAATTCGTTCGCACGCACACAGACACACAGACACACATACACACGCACATACATAATGTGTCGACCGTCGACATCTTCGCTCCTCGCTCCTCTCGTCTCTTCCCTGGCAGACTGGCAGCACTGCATCATCAGAACGGCCGAACCGAACGACCGACCGCCCCCGTACCGATCAGGACTTTCAACCGAGTCGAGCAGCCCCGACACCTCGACCTTTCTTCCGAAGCTTTCTCTTCTCCTCACAACGTGTCCTCGGGAACGACGAATGACAGCAAGCATCCAAGCTCCGATTTCACGTACGCTGTACCGTTTTGAATGGCATAACCATAACTCCGTGCGCCACCACCTCCTCCTCCACCACCTCCTCCTCCACCACCACCATCGTCACCACTACCACCGGCGGCTCCGGGCGCAGCGGCACCAACTAGGATATGCTAGTACGTAGCTACTAGCCAGCTATTTACTGTTCAATCTGACGCCCGGCTGCCAGATCATATTCTGTCTCAATGATCGATATACAATGTACAATACGACTAACTTCCCCCGACTCTGATTTCACCATGAGGCTAGGCTGGGTTGAGCCCAATCTCATCTCTCAAGGATCTTTATATCTTGTACGACTAGCATGGACCCAACCTACCATATCATGACAATACAATATCATACCATCCGAAGAACTGGAAGTACTTAAGAAAGTTCAGGCCATCAAGCGTCTACTGACGAATTGATATACTGGAGGGAACTGGAATATTTTCGCCTTTTCTCCATGATTGATTGCTACCTAAGTAGTACTATATCTATCACATACAACACCGTAAGCTTGTTTTGTCCATGATCAGCGTGCCAGCAGACAACGACACTCTCCAAACATTACTTAGACTGATAGCATGGGGTGGCAAGTATTTCGGAACATTTTGGACCGGGCCTAGCTCCACACCCTTCATTATGCTGTAGCTGTTCAGTTGGTCCAAAGTGAGCAAAAGCTACTCGGCGCCAGTCTCGTCACACTTCCATCGGCAGTCACACTTCCACAGTTGGGATTTACAGCTCCTTCTTCGTCTTGGCCGACTTCACGTCCATCAAATCGATCAGAGCAACGCCGACCTTCTCGGTCTCAGCCCAGCTGCGCTGATGATTCCAGAAACGATCGGTCGGGGTAGTCGACGACAGACTGTCGCGTCGGGCATCCTCCTCAAGACTCTCGCGAGTGATCTTCTCAGAGAATGCTTGAGACCCAGACTCATCGTGCAACACGCTGTTGGGCGCCGAAGTGAGCGGCTTGATGGCGTCCGCGAGGCCGGCTTCTTCCAAAAACTTCTTGCGCACCATGAACCGTTCGCTGCGCTCCTTGCGCATGGCCTTGCTGTCGAGCTTGCTGATTGCTGAGCGTATCAGAAGCCGGACGACGAGGAAAGTGTGCTCGCTAAGAAAGACGCTTAGGAGGAGAGCCCAGAGTTTGAGAGCATGTGGCTTGCCGTCGGGTCCATTGCCACCACTGAACATGTACACCAAGGCGGCGGTGGTGATGCTGCCGAGCCATGCCAGAAATTCAAGGCTGTCAAGCCACGGTCCGATACTGTCGGCTCGCACAGGGTTCGGACGTCGGCACTCGACTGTCAACTTGAATGTGTCGCCGCGCAGCTCGACCCAGTTGTTGATAAAGTAAGACACCGGTGTTAGGGGCCAGATGACCGAGAACATGGACAAATACCCATATTGGATGCACATCTCCCGCAGATCCGATGTGACATCGTATTCAGGCAGTGCAGCCTCTTCGCGCACTCGGGCGAGGAACTCCTTCTCCTCAGGAGGGTCGTTGGCCGACACCGACGGTGTTGTTCCGCCAGCCTTTTCAGCTCGAGAGGATTGCATCTCCTTATATTTCTTGGTCCCTTTTTGAGTGATGACAGGCATCACGGTCTCCAAAGCAAAGTTGACAATCTGGGCAGTCACGGCGAAGTAGATCATTTGATTTCTCAGTCGATTGGGGTTGATGGTGAACGCAGCCGGCGGGGGTGTCTGCAACTGGTGCTCGTTCTCCGCGAATGGCCGCACCGTCAGGCTGAAGATATCCAGGTACGGTACTAGGATCGAGGCGAATGGCACATACACAAACGAGGTCAGGAAGATTGCCAGGTATGAAGTGATGAAGTTGATGACAAAGACTTTAGAGATCACGGCCCTGTCGTGTGCTTCCTGGGTTTCGTAGTTCTCATAGAACGTCAGCTTTTCGGCAAACTGGGTCAGATAGTTGCTGATGGCCGGAACTGCCAGCGTGAGGATTATGGTCGGTGTGAACACGAGGATCGACTTGAGCGGACCTCCATACACTTCTGAGATGAAGATTTCGATCGCGTAGCAGGTGCAAATGACCGTCCCAAGAGCCACCACGCAGAGGATTGCCAGTGGGATCTGAAGTAGTTGCCTTAGAATCCGCTTCTTTGCCGGGAAATATTCCACCTTTTCCCCTGTCACTGGGTCTGTGGTGACTTTCTCGGGCACGAATTCCCTCCGCCTGGCCTCGATGGTGGAAACATTCTTGACACCCCATCGGATAGCCAGTTCTTGCTCCTGGCGCTTCCAATACTCAACAAACACAATACACCACAGCCCATTGACCACGGCGTATGTGGCCGAGAAATTTCCCAGCAACACCCAGCAGGAAAACCCAAATGCTGCAGGAAATACCAAGAAGGTAAAGTAGGTCTGAAGGAAGGCGTAGTAATATCCAATCTGCGAATGTGAAGTTAGCAACAGACTGAGTTGTGTCAAGAGTTGTGACCACGAACCTTCTCCCCGACTGTGTCTTTGATTTCGTCAATGTCCTCTGGGTTCAAAAAGGTCTTGCGAGTGAACTCCGTCAACCACTTCTTATTCTGCACATGATCGTGCAAGGGGAATATAGCCTCCACATTCTTCCATTCACCAAGCTTCGCGGTGATTCCGGCTCCTCCTTCCTCTCGTGGAGCAGATATCATGTGGTAAATGTGTCTGTGTCGTTCGGCATCGGTCAAGGGTTCCGAGCTGAGGACTTTGGCGGGATCATTGGGAGGCTGGACATGTCGGACGCCGTATAGCCAGTCTTTGATACGCGACCTGTACACCACATTCGCAAAGATCTTCTCATCGGAAACTTTTATAAATATCAATAGGGATGTTTCATCGCCTCGGCGGACTTCTGTAGTCAATCCCGTCTCGGCGAGGGCGCGAATGAGCTTCTTGAACTGAGCCGTGGCCGCCTGCTTGTCTAGATCGTGTCAGCTGCTGATGCAGTTTCAAGGCTGTGAATAGGTGCCTACCATCTTCTGGCACCCGGTAACTGATGACATAGTCCACGTCGTAGTTTGTCTGCAACACTTTCGACGCCATACTGTCCGCAAGTGGAAGGGTCAGGTAGAGCAATTGGAGCCTCGAAGAGTATAGACAGCAACCGACCAGGAGTAGGTCGAACAGAGAGGAAAAGCTCTGCAGAGGAACTTGAAGGGTGCTTCCATCAAAGACCGATACCAAGTTGAAACTGGGAACTGTCAAGCACGAGATGATGTCGACGCAACGTACTGCAGTTGCACGTCAAACAATTCGACGTCATCGTCGTGGATCGTTCGCTAACAAGAAGGCTAGATCTAATCAGGCTAAACCTGAGATAGCGTCCTCGGGAATCGTTGTTAGCCCTTCTTAGTGACCCCGGCTTTGACAGCCAATCAGGGATCGTGTCGTCGTGGGCATCAACACCACAAACACCCCATACTCCATATAGAAGTAGTACTACTCCTGGTATCGTATACCTCGGCAGTCAAGTCACCATCCTCCGGATGAAGTTGACTTTTGTCCTCGTTCCATCTTCAGCATCATTATCATCATATATACATTTATTGTCCCATTTGGATCTAGAGGAGAGCTCTGGCATCTGCTTTACAGTGAGCAAACGGGGACGTACTAGTACCCGCCTCGAGCCGTATCATGGCCGACAAGGCTCTTGCCGACGCTGCGAAATGGAATCAACCATATACTGAACCGGACCCTAATAACTACTCTGCTTATCAACGAGAACTTTACCAGCAGCTCCGGACTCCCAAGTTTTCCACCAAACCATCCGAATGGGAGGCATTGGCCCGCTCTAAAGTGCCAGCCGCCAATTTTGGCTATGTGTATGGCTCAGCGAGTAGTGGACAAACTCATGCTGCCAACATCGCCGCTTTTGACCGCTACCGGCTTCGGCCACAGATGCTGGTCAATGCAACCCGACGGGATGTGAGTGTCGAACTGTTTGGTAAAAGATATCCTAGTCCACTCCTCGTCGCTCCTGTCGGGGTTCAAAAAATCATGCACAGCGATGCCGAAGAAGCCACCGCCAGAGCGGCTCGGAGAGTGGGCGTGCCCATGATCCTGTCCTCAGCAGCAACCCGCACCATTGAGCAGGTCGCCGAAGCCAATGGTGATGGTAATCGCTGGTACCAGCTTTACTGGCCCAAACCTCAGTGGGAAGAACTCACCGTCAGTCTGTTGAACCGGGCAAAAGCCAACGGATACAAAGTGCTGGTAGTGACTTTGGACACTTTTAATCTGGCTTGGAGACCGACCGACCTAGACAGTTCCTACCTGCCTTTCATCTGGGGAGATGGGTGTCAAATAGGCCATTCCGATCCCGTCTTCAACAAGAGGTTTGAGGAAATGCAGAAAAATGATAAGAGAACCTCCCGCGAAAAGTTGGCCGAGCTCTGGACGATCTTGAGGAGACCTGGATCGATCTACGGTGCTGCTCGTGTTTTAATGAACATCAATACGTTGCAGAGGTCTAGGGTGTTGTTGGACGCCTTGAATTCCGGCACATATCGTGAGTGGCAACATCTGGAAATCCTGAAGAAGCTGTGGGACGGTCCCATTGTTCTCAAAGGCATTCAGACGGTGGAAGACGCACACAAAGCGATTGAATATGGCATGGATGGTATCATTGTTTCCAACCATGGTGGTCGACAATGCGACGGCGCCATTGCATCACTTGATGCACTTGCCGAGATTGCGGCCGACGAAACGGTCCAGAAATCCAACCTGACCCTCATCTTCGACAGTGGCATCCGCACTGGTAGCGATGTTCTCAAAGCATTGGCACTGGGCGCGAAGGCCGTCTGTATCGGTCGGCCATTCATGTATGGCCTTGCCATCGGAGGGCAAGAAGGCGTGGAACATGTCCTTAGGTGTATATTGGCCGACACGGATAATATGCTTGGCAACCTTGGGAAAAAGAGTGTCAAAGATCTCTGCAGGCACGATTTGCAGATTCGTCATGAGTCCAAGCTTTAGCATCAAGGTCATCAATTATGTTCAAGCCCTGGGTGAAAATGACGGTCTGCGGCGGCGTGGAGCCGTTGGCCAGTGCTCGGACTTGCTTACAGTAAATACCTTTCTCTATCATAACTTTGAGTAAATCGTATTTGTACCAGAACACCATTGTTCTCTTTATTGGCGAGTTTTGTGCAGCACCCCTTTGATCCAGCATGGAGTAGCGCCAACAAAAGAGTCTTTTGTTAGCAGCACCTTCGATCCAGAGTTGGAAGTTTCTCTTTGTCTCCGTCATGAGATACAAAATATGGTATAAGTACGCTCCTTTGCAGATGATGGCCATCCGTGGATCAATTGTCGACGACTGTCAGGACACTCTCACCTCGCTTGTACCAGTCAACTGCACCAACTCGAGTGGTTGTAAGCCAGATTCAGACTTACGAACAGAGCAAACACAGGCTTCACAGACAGAATCCACCACGCGCAGACATGACCGTTACCACGGAACCAGTCTCTGACCAAAAGGCCGAAGATGTAGCACAAGCTAATCATCTATCAAAAGAGGATCATAAAAGCAAAGCTTCCCAAGGCAAGGTAAGTACGGATCTCCCGGGTATGACTGACGGCATATCACAGGTTTCCCTGGATTCTGAACATTGGCGTTCCGAATTTTTGACCAAGAATCGTGCTGTGCTGGAGTCTATCAAGTTTCGCGGCGAACTGATGCGTCAGTTTGAGGACGAGTGCAAGCAGGAAGCCATCGATCAACAAGATCAGGACGAAGATCTTGAACTGCTGCCGTCAACCAAACACATTCGGATGGAGGCAGAAAGGTTGCTGGAGGAGTTCGCTAAGAACCCTGTACCAGACCTTGCAGACTTGTGCGCAGCGCGCGACCAAGAAGGTAAGTAGCCGCCCTTTTTCGATGAATGCTAATCCATAGGACGTCTTCCAAGGAAGATATAGGCCGTAGTGTCGCACATAGTTGCTTTCATCTGCATCAGGCCGTGAGCCGGGGTTGGTTTGGTGATATTCTGTAGTCAAGGGAGTCAAGGTATGTGTAATGCGGTACAATGCTGATATACGTAGAGGCACCTTTACACACTGGCGCTAGAATGGAGTTGTGGTTCTAGCCGAGATACCTTGTATAAAACGTGAACGGTAATGAGTCTGCAGAGTAAAACACGAAGGAAATGACATCATTTCGCGACGCGGTCAAAGTCGCGTCGTGGTTTCGCGTTTTACACTTTAATTGAAATCCCGCGTTCAATCCATCAACCAACAACAACATCGGAAAAGAACGACCACTGTGTTGTACTACTACCTCGTCGCAACGTACGGTATACCTCTGGCTGAAAGCGTTGGTTGACATGGCACCTTCTGCGGTCGACACAAACGGAGTGTCGCCTCCAGGCGATTCGATGAACTTTCTCAAGGAGAACGCCAAAGCGCAACAGAACACCACCTCAACGGGATCTCCATCACCGACAACCACGCAAACCACGCAGTCAGCCTCTACGGACATTCACTCGTCCAGCACCCGTCATCACGAAGAATACCAATACCTCGACCTGATACAAGAGATTCTCAACCGCGGCGAACATCGACCCGACCGCACCGGCACAGGGACGCTCTCGCTCTTCGCGCCGCCTCAACTGCGCTTCAGCCTGTCCAAAGCGGACCCATATTCGTCCACTGGCGAGCGCATAGCGGTACTCCCTCTCCTGACAACGAAGCGGGTGTTCCTGCGCGCCGTGACCACCGAACTTCTCTGGTTCGTATCCGGGTGCACGACATCGAAACCGCTCTCCGAAGCCGGAATCCACATCTGGGACGGCAACGGGTCGCGCGAGTTTCTCGACAAATTAGGGTTCACGGAGCGTGAAGAAGGGGACTTGGGCCCTGTATACGGCTTCCAATGGCGACACTTTGGTGCCGAATATCAGGATTACAAAAGCGACTATACTGGTAAAGGGGTGGACCAGATCAAAGAAATCGTACGAAAACTGAAAGAGAACCCTTACGACCGGAGAATCATCCTGAGTGCCTGGAATGTGGCCGACTTGTCAAAGATGGCCTTGCCGCCTTGTCATATGTTTGCACAGTTTTACGTCAGTTACCCTGATGCTCCGAGGGGCGAAGCTGCTCTTCAACAACAACAGACCAACACAGAGCAGAAGTCAAAGGGCAAGGGTGACCTGTCATGCTTGTTGTATCAACGATCGTGCGATATGGGCTTAGGCGTGCCGTTCAACATCGCTTCCTATGCCCTGCTGACGCATATGCTCGCCCATGCATGTGATCTTGTGCCAGGCGAGCTGATCCATACCATGGGTGACGCCCATGTGTACCTTGACCACATTGATGCCTTGAAAGAGCAGTTGCTGCGCGAACCGAGGGAATTCCCCACGTTGAATATCAAGCGCGAGGATAGAGGGAGCGGCGAAATGGACGGTTGGAAACTTGAGGAATTAGAAGTCGTCGGATACAAGCCGCATGGCGGGATTAAGATGAAGATGAGCGTATAATGGCAGTATACCTGATGATGAATCTTTTTTAATCCGAGTTGCCACAGTCACATTGTATATGCAAGATGCGCGAGGAGAGTGGTTTTTTTTAGGCACGGTTAAACTGCCCAGCGTGCTTTAGGGACAATCGGTTCTTCTGTAGGGGTATCATATCACAATTGACGTCTAGAAGCTTTTTCTACCGTGGTATCATATCATATCCAATGTTTGGAGACTTGTGCAATGGGGTATCATTAAAAACGAAAAGAGATATGTATCGAGATGCCCTGGTAATTTATACCATGGCGGCAACCGCCACCAATTCATTTGCTTCCATCCACAATAGCGAAATATCCCCGAGCCTTTATATTGAATCCTGTAACGCCGACGCTGTGCCGCTATTCTAACAGTAGGCGCGAAAATGCATGACCGAGAACCACTGCTCCCAGCGTATGAAGCAAAATGAAAAGTAGTTAGAACCACAAACATGTTCGGTCGCATTTCGTCAAGACCGCAACACGATGACCGATCTCAGCAGCATTGGGTATGTCGCCTGTGCCAGGACATTTCTTTTGTTTCATTTCACGTTGCCGCAACCTCCTTCGGCCCAACACCTCTCAACAGCACGACAGTATTTCCACTTATCAAAGCCTTGCCGACCTTCTCAGAAAAGTCCAACAACCGGCCCCCTTCAACATGATAAACCCTCAGGCGCTGCTCCTCCGAGTCAACACGGTTATTAACATTCGCGACCTGAAGCCTCTTAGCCGCCTCGTCCAACAAGCGTCCAACACTCCAATCCTGCGAGAAAAACAGATCCGCTCGGGGCAATTTACTCGTCGTGGAAGCGGCCTCGGCCTCGACATGCAAATACACCCGTTTCGCCGGGTCGAGCTTGTCGTCACCCTTTGCATTCTTTTTGAGGGCATTCAACGCCACAATCTGCGCCGCTCTGCCTGACGATCCCTGTGGCCTCGACCCGGACACCATAGTACTGGTGTCTTGTTGGACTTTGGCCCCCCACGATTTGAGCCGCCCAAACCCAAGACGTAACTTTTCTTTATTGCTCTGTAATAATGCCGCTCCTGCTCCCGCTGGCCGCGCTCCCACCGGTATAAGGTTGGCGCAGTCGTGGTCCTCCCGCATCCGATGTTTCAGACAATATGTCCGGTTACACTGGGGACAGTGGACACCGGTGTTTTGGAGTGTGTGTACGAACGTCTTGCATGTCGGGTTGCTGCATTGGATTGCATTGGTGTGATTGGGACGCCCGCCGCCGCCGCTGAGAGTGGTGGTGGAGGAACCACTGTTGGTGGTTGTAGACGTTGGTCTACCCACGCTGTTCCGTCGTCGGTTCTTTGCCCATTCGCCGGCCCGTGGGCATTTGTGCGCGGTCTCCGTCCGGTGGTCTAGACAAAAAGTGTGGTGGCATGAGTCGCACCGAAATGGTAAAAAGTCGAGTTGGTGGCAGTAGGGGAATTCGCAGTGTGAGCCGATCGCTTCGACGTCTCGGTCGTAGTCGTCGCCGTTGTGTCTCATGGCGGTATAGGATTGTTCGGAAGGGGGAGGAGTAGGAGCAGATGTGGACATGGTGCGCAACCCAGGAAAGGACAGATTTGGTATATAAATGGAATTGGAACAAAGTTATGTAGTGGCGGTTGACTAATTACAAAACATGAGCAGTGCCAGTATGCACAGCAGGGAGGCAGTATCTTTGCGCCGCCGCCACGACCAGGCTGGCAATGAGTTCGTCAGCGCTGTGGGGTTGAAAGATGATGGTGATATTGGTAAACATGGAGTGCAAGGCTGGAACGTTCGGGACGATGCCAGCCTCGGTCGGACTATTGATTCTCCGACCGGCAAGGCTGAGAGGCGGATTCGTTGCTTTGTCAGCCTCACCGCGCCGAGCTTCAATTTCCTACAACTAACGACCGTACGCATACAGGTGAATTCTTTGTCGTTTCTGCATTAGAGATGTTCATAATAATGTGGTCGTGCGTACGATGCACCGTTGGTCACTATCATGGCGAAGGCCCGCTGAATCCTTGAACGTATTGCCAAAGAGCCGCGGTATAGCCCCGACGTGGCGGCAGCCTCTTGACAACTAACAGACCCTTTAGATGTCTTTTCCCTGGCGGTCTAGTTTGCTTTTATGTCTTCATTAGTGCTGAATTAATCCCACAGTAACACTGCCTTGACAGTCTTGCCGCTGTACACATCCCGGGCGGCCCGCTCAACATCTTTGGCCGGATAAGTCCGAATGAGTCGATCGTAAGGGAACTTGCCCAACTGCCATGCAGTCAAGAGTTCTGGAAGGAAGTCCTGCGGGTAACAGTCACCCTGATTGCATCCAATATAGCTGCAGCCCGCCTGAACCATTTCAAACATGTTGTGGGACACTTCGGCCGAAAGCTAGAGAAGAACTGGTCAGCCACGAGACAATACGATCCAAGAGATTGTATTGTGGTTGATATACCTCTCCAACTCCAACGGTGACGACTTTCCCTTTCCGTGCTGCGCTGTGGATAAGAGCTTTGACAACCTCTGGCTTGCCCGTAGTATCAATGGCGCCATCGACGCCGCGGCCATGCGTGATGGCCATCAGGACCGACATCAAATCTGGCCGGACTTTGGAATTGACGCCATGAGTGGCCCCAAACGATCGTGCCAGCTCCAGACGGGATGGGACGACGTCGACGGCAATGATCTTCCTCGGAGGATACTCGAGTAATTTCAAGGCCATGATGGCCGACAGCCCCACAGCCCCGACTCCCACCACGGCGACGGTCATATCGTGCGCCGGATTGATCACATTCAGCATTGCTTGCCATGCGTTGTCAGTAGGAAGCACTCAAGCAGGGCACTCGTAGATCAGGTAGTTTAAGGTAGATAAGGAAACTTGAGCTCACCTCCCGCACCCGTCATCAATCCGCAACCCAAAGGCGCCAGGTTCTCAAAGGGTATATGCTTGTCAACCCGCACCAGACCGTTCTGCGAGACCAGAATGTCTCGGGCAAAACTGCTCTGCCCAAAAAAGTGCGAGGTGATTCGTTTGCCGTCCGTTGGGGACGAGTAGGTCTTGGACCCGTCCAGTCGGCCCACGCCGAAGTTGTACTGGAACCACAGGTCGCAGTAGGACGACTCCTTGCGGAGACAGTACTTACACTCGCCGCAGCATGAATAGCAGACAATGACGTGGTCTCCCGGGGAGACTTTGGTCACGGCAGATCCTGTACGCTGAACAATTCCGGCCCCTTCGTGGCCCAACACTGCGGGGAACAGTTCGGGCATAGACTCTTCTTTGGCAAAATTCAGGTCCGTATGGCATACCCCTGTAGCTTTGATCCGTACCGCGACTTCATCTGGTCGGAGGGCTTCGTTGAGCTCGACTTGCTGGTACCGGAATGGGGCGCCCGGTTTGGACACCACCAACGCCTCTGTGATCATCTTTATATATGCGAGACTCGATAAGGGTAGACTTGGTGGATTTAGGGCGGGCTTGGGATATCCAGCTGCCAGGGCTTAGGGTATGTCCAGGATGCTCATCAGCTACTAAGGAAGCACTGGAATAAAGACGCCGAGGTCCGCTTGAAGCCCACTGCACTCACTGCCTTCTGCTTGGCGTGATAGCACAACACATACAATTAGGTTCAAAAGAGTGACTGGACGGTATAGACACAGTGGATGCTTTTAGGACTTGTAAAGATGGTGTTGAGGAGAATCCGGAGCTGGTGGCATGAGTGGAAGAGAAGCGGGATAATCCATCGCGAATATGTACCAACAACTCGAACAGCCTGATTCAGCATCCACATATATGCATACAATGTCTAATGATACGAACCATTGATTTGCTGGATATATGATATGTTATACAATTTTGACACGACCACTGGATCTTTCAAATTCAGTCGCCAGGAATCCTTTTCGCTCAGCAAGACCAAACCAAGTTCGCATCTACCGCTGTACAACGTATTGTAGTACCTGGTGCGAAATCACCCGATCAGGTAGCACAGCCGCATGAGGTCTCTCGCCGCTTTCACAACGCCTATATATGTCGGGCACCCGCCCCTCTGCCGCGTTGCTACTTTGTCTTTACTTATTTTTCGTTACGCCTCCTTCCCTTGCTGAAGGACCGAGTCAAATCCTACCGACAACAGACCGTCCGGCTCCCGGGCCATCAGGGCAGGCTAGTGCTGAGTGCAGGCTGCTGAATCTACAGGCGGGAGGATGTCCCCGGCACTCGCGCTTGACATTATCCTGGTTGTGTCGAGTCCACTTGATTTCCAGGCAAGGCGAGCGCAGTTGGCTACACGACACTAAGCCCGCCATCTCTGAGCGTCAGCGGCCGAAGGGAAGCAGGTGTTTACAGCAGCATAGGCATACCGAGCTGTGGGCGTTCACGATCGATGCAGGGTGGCCTTATTCACCTCAGTTTGACCTGCAGGCGGCCTGAGCGTGAGGGACGTGCCCTCCTGTGCCGGTCGACTGTGTAGGTCCCAGGCGAAGGAGGATGAGAGCAGATACGACGAGCTGGCCGAGGCTCTCGGGCAGCGAGTTAGTATTCAAGATAACCTTGTGTGCTAGAAAAGTGCCTATCGTATTTAGATCTCGTGCTCGCCTAGACATTGGTTATCTCAATTTGTTCCTCAACAGACTTAATCTACGTTCTTAACCAGCATCACCTTCCCGTGGTGGTCCTTCTCTTTCAAGTCGTAATTCTATCGTGAGCTGCGCCGACGGCGCGGGCTTGGATCACTGCCAGAGATGCCGGAAGCCAATTCATGTCGTCAATACCGCTTGCAGAGGTCCAATAAGTCTTCCATTTAATCCAATACAGCGTCACGCACTCCGGCTCGACACTGCCGTGCCAAACCGGATTTGGTCATATCCTACCTCAGGATTGACGGCTATTCTATACACACCAAGGAGACGGATGTGACGTTACTCCAAGTGAGACTTGTCCTGAATGTCGAACTAAGTAGAATGACAAGGTTCAGTCATGCCGGCCACGCTGAAGATCATGATCTTTCGGGGTACACCAGATACGCCAAGCAGACGACATACAGCTCTCTTGATCGAGATGAGTGACGGGTCAAATTTAATGGTGCACATTGTCGGCGAGGCACCTCACTTTCGCAAGGATATGAGAGAGAATACTCGCCCAGATCAGAGTGTGAGGTTCCTCAAAGAGATCTTTGTGGCGAATATCACCGGGAAGACCATGGCCCAAATTGGAGCAGTAGTATTTGGGACACATATCCGAAGTGGTGGAGATTGGAACTGTCAAAACTGGGTCAGTGATGCGCTCCGGGCGATCTGTGCAAAGAATTGGATCACTGAGCATGCTCGATCCGCGGCAGATGCCGCAATGATGGATACGGTGAACACGGCGAGATGATGGGCGAGACATGGGCAGAGAGCTGTAGTCAGGATTGCTTTCTGCCTACCTATAGTATTGACAGAGAAGCTCCAGGTAGCCGTCATACCGTTGCCACACCACAGTAAATAAGTACCCAAATCCATGGCTTAGTGACGGAGAAAGCGCTCGAGAAAACTGTCGGCTAGAAATTCACCAATGTAGGTCTTAGAGAATATCTTATCAGCATAGTCGACCCAATCCAGCGAAGAGTCCAATGCATTGAAGAACTTTATGTACTCCCAATACTCTGGATACCATCCCCCAGTTTCCCAGTCGAGTATAGCCACAATCTGACCATCGTTGACCATAATGTTTCGTGGATTGATATCACCGTGAGTAAGAACGATATCGTGGTCGTTCTTCATGGCTCGTTCTAGCATTGAATAGTATAACCTCGGAGCATTGGGGATCATATCCGATCGTAGAAACTCATTAAATCTTTGCTCGGTAGCGAACGGGCCGCCCTTGTGCCTAGATTTGCGGGCGTCAACTGCAGGAGTGTCATGAATGCCTCCGATAATATTACTCCGGTGTCGCCGCATCTCGTCAAGAATCTCCCGAAGCTGTCCGACAATGTTCATCTTCTCGTCGGGACGTAAACTCGGCCATAGTTCGGATAAGACATGGCCTTCAATGTATTCCATGGCAAGAACTGCTGTTCCATCGGCATGGACATGATCACGATATAGCCACGGAACCGGAACATTGGTCGTCTGGCACATAAACTGAAGAGTTTTCGCCTCGAAGGGACTCACCCCCAATCCAAACTTAAGAACAATGTTTCCATGGCGAAACACTTTCGTTCCCATTCCGTCCTGGAAGATCGACTCGGACTGTTGGAAAGCCTGATTGAGCTTGGAAAGATCCTCGACAATTTCAGAAAGCTTGACTGCAGTGGCCATGTCTTCTGGGTCGCCTCTTCGTCTGAACAGGGGTTTGAAAAACGTAGTCGGGGGAAGGTACCCTTCCAAGGCTGAGAGCGACACATCGTCGTCCGATGACATGACAAATGTATGGTAGTATAGAGCTGACAGCTCCTAGTATGGTTCTGTTCTTGATCCGCAAGAAAGGGGGCTGACGGTCTCTCGATCAAGGTTTGGATACCAGGTACCTAGATTGCAGGAAATTAAGCGGTGGCCGCGCTCGACGTTCTCGTCAGCAGGGTTCCCTGTTTTCACATCCGCGCAGAGGAGACTGCATTTTGCCCAAAGTTCGGCCCACCTGCCTGTTTTTGGACGCCCGAGACTACATGTGTGATCTGACTGAGAAATGGCACATGCTCAATTCGACAACAGCGCTCTGGTGGCATCTCATCATGGATCCCAACTACAGAAAGTTTTGTTTGCTGGCGATAAGGTGCTGTGGTATGTCAAGTGAGGGCCCTGCCGCCCCGGTCCGACAACCGCTACGCCATTCCAATCACTGGTGATCTAACCTACAACGGTAGCACGATCTTTGTGCTTCCATTCGCCCGCAACCATCCTCGATAGGAACAGACTTCAACCTATCGGGGATTTTGATGGTCCATAAGTCGATGGGATCGCGGATTCGTAGGCTCGCAAAGGCCGAATCGCGAAAAGCAAACCCAAGGACGAATTTGACGAGGCAGAACGACGGCGTGTCACGACACGACGCTCGACGAACTAGATCCAGGGCCTGAAGTGTTCAGTACACACCCTTCTCATGTTGCATATAACAAACACGGTTCCCTCGGCCTGGGTGAACTTACGGATTGCCTCTGTTTCGCCGACCCTTGAGGAGACGGAGCCTGACGAGCATGCCCAACTTCACGCCTTGCGACGGGCTGTCCGGGTCGGGCAGGGCGTACAGCCGGATGTCTCTGTGTTGTACGGCGTCATTGTAACCATAGTAGCAGCTGGACTTGACCACGGTCCCGGCGCGCCGTCGTAGAAGCACAGAACAAGATCATGCACCAAAGCTGAAGGAGATGTCGTTCGAGAGGATAGGCGGCCGTATGAACGACCCACAAGAAATTGGAAAGGCTCAGAAGATCATCCGAGTTCATGTTCTGTCGCAGTCGACCCTCTTCGCTGTATCCGGACTCGTCAACGAGCTGGTCCATGATATACTTCGAGATCATTAAGTCAGTCTGCCAAGCCGCTCGGGGAGGGGCCAGGGACTTGTATATTCTTTATATCCATCTTGATATTATGGTCAACCTGGCAAGATGTGTACTAGTGCACGGCCATCCGCCACGTCCTCGCAAAGACGAAAAGGGACGACGCTTTCGTGCGAGAGGAGAGCTCGCAGTCGTAGACGAGGAAAGCTCGCGCGATATGGTAGGCTAAGTGCTTCTGCCATACTTCCACGGGGTCCGGTGAAGGGAATTAGACGCCCTCTCGAGACACACGTTCACAAAATCGAAGGGAGATATATTAGCTCAACGTGATAGCCGGGGCGGTAAATTCATGGGCGCGCCTTGGGAAGGAAGAGCGGACTCGGTCTAGCGTTTCCACACGCGTGTAATACCTAACAGCGTACTGTTTTCATAGCCTGGATGATAAGAGCCATCCCGACAGTCAACCAGACTGACCTCGGCGGCAAACGATTTCTTCGGGCCGAGTGTCTTTTTAAGTATTACGTTTCGCGTTGCGCGTAATCGTTATGCTGGACGGTTAAGCTTAAGCGTCGTCGTCTAGGGTGGGTATCGGAGGACTGGCAGATATCGTGAAGAGAGCAAGGGAAGGCCCTCGAGGATCGCGAAGGGGTCTTTAGAGGAGATAAGTGGGAGCACTAAACGTAGAGGTCTGCTGGTCGACTAGCACAAAGCGAGGCGTGGTGACCGGCACACCCTCCAAGAGAATGAATGACATTACGGGGAAAACCGACCGGAGTTAAACCCAGACGCTTGCCAAACGTCGACCTGTCAGTTCCATTCCCGTGGTTAGTCTCCGACGTCTGTACCTGTGTAGGCAGAGACAGAAAACCGTGGGAACCGAGCCAGGTCCGTACCAGCCGAACCATCAGAAACCGTGACCGAGAACCAGTCAGGCTTGTTAGGATTGATGGGTGCCTGGCCAGACGAACCCTGCCCCCACGATCGGTTCTGACGACGATTGGTTTTGGTAGAACCGAACCCCGGAATCGTCCAGTCGGTCGGTGGCTGTGCTGGATGCCTTCATACAACTACCTACTTATTACAACCAAAGCTCCATATGCTTTTGACAGGAAAACGCCTTAGCCTTACCCAAAGGAGATGATTCTGCGACAGGCTGCTACAGACTCTGTGAAACGACTTAAGACATGAATGTTCGAGCATCAACTTCAACAGGGGCCTTCGACGATTTCTCTGAGTAGACTCTCCTTGCGCATCTTTATCATCCGCAATTCTCGCAGAACTGTTGTTCAACACGAAACAAGGCCAACTTGACACTTTCCCGCAAGGCTCCAGCTCTGGCCAACTGTTCCAAACCAGTCAGGAGGACCGCCTTTCTCGGTCCAAAGAACATTGATCATATCTATTCATCCACCCATCCATCCATCCCCACTGGGATCTACACGATCAGAATGCCCCCTAGCGAAAAAGCCAGCAGCAGTCCTCAACCGTCGACCAACATGTCGATGTCGACCATGAATACTAGTACTAGTACTCCCCAAGATCTACCGCCATCATACGAGACGACCATCAGCGCCCCATCAACATCAACATCCATACCAAACACACCATCTCACCATCCTCCTTCTCCTGCCATTACCATCCCCAGTCAGAATCCCCTCGAAGCTCTGCCCCGACTAGCAGCCATCAACCTATCCAAATACTGTGTGCCGGAATCAAAACTATCCGACGACTCGACCACCGTGACGACCACCAAACCAGAACTCGCAACGACGCAATATGCCCTGGTCAAATTCATCCGCGAACAAGCCTATTTACCACCGAAGCCGCTCATGATTATTCGCGGGACTCACGAGCGTGGTAGTAGCGGGTCGTTCGGCGACGATGGCATCGTCGACTTTGAGTTGAAAATCAATTTGACCAGTCTCTTGGACATCGCCTCAACAAACTATCCGGATGGTGGTTATGCAAATGGCTCAAGCTCATCATCACCATCATCATCATGGTCGGGGCCGAGCACCAGTGATCGTCGAATCCGCGTGCAACCCGTTGATCAGAGTCTTTCCCCATCCACAACTCCAAAGCAGACATCGACCATCACTACTCGCACCGGCTCCGGTAGCAATATCCGCGGCGGCCATGGCCGTGGCGGTGGTCGTAGTCCACAGCAGCGCGACAGCAGCACCAACAGTCTCAATCCCAACCTCACCCCCCTCGAACAATGGATCAAACGCTTCTGCGAAGACAAGACCGAAAACCGCAGCTTCACCATCCACCGCCGTCCGACACCGACATTCACCACCACAACCCAAATTCTCGAGGGCATGGTGCGCACATTGCTCGCATCCACAAAATACCGCGGCAAAGTGACCGTCGAATTTGTCTTTCATTACTCGGCCGTGACGGTTCTTAGGCGTCCGCCCGCATCTTCGGGAACTTGGGTTTGGTTGAGTAATATGGTGCAAAATCTACTCAGTCGGACGAAGAAATATGAGGTTGTGGAATCGGTTTGGGATGTTGTTGGTAGCACTGGCACCGCAGATACTGCTGGTACTACTAACACTACTGGTACCGAGAGGCTCAGCGGTACCGCTTCGCTCGCGGCCCAAGACTGGTGGCGTGAATGGCAACCTGCCATCCGAAACGCTGTCCTCGCACGCCGTCAGGGCTGGGTGACTGTTGAAGACTGGCTTGAGGCCCGGATGGGGGTGAGGGAGAAAGATCGGTTGATGGATTGGGGTACTTCGGGTGATTATTGATGATACATGACATACAGTGTTGTGTTCTATGTTCACTTTATCTATCTGCTTCAAGTTGTGTCTCAGCTGCATGTGTGTTTACTGTGCAGAAACAGACCTCAGAGTTTCTCTGCCCGGCGCCCCACGCAAATGCTGTACAGTACTTATATAATACCATACAATTAGGTCATGATCGATATCAGATCTCCTCCGATTAGCAGAGCTCCGGAAGCCTATATGGCAAAGTAGACCTCCAAAGAGTGGACAGAAAGTCGAAACAGACGAGGAAAATGCCCTGTGATGAGCTGTACCAGCGTGCCTACGTACTACCTACCATTGTAGAACCTACGGGTAGGTAGTTGTACGAAAGAAGGAAGAATAAAAAAAAGAACAATCAATTCATTTCTCTGCTTGAAATCTCTCTAACAACTGCCACTGATGACTGTCCATCCACCCACCGGCTTCCGAGTCCCAGGCCGCTACTACTGATGTAGTCCAAGTTGTGGCAGGCCTCGCTCCATCAGCCTCCATCTTCCTCTCCATCTGCAAACCGTCTCCCCGAAGAAACAAGCACAAGCACGCCTCGAGCAGTGGCAAGTCACCATGCTGCTCATCTGTTTTTGCGGTACAACAGACATCATGTGAAGCCTCGATTTGAGACTTCGAGACACCAGTGGTGGTGTGGCAGGATAACGGCAAAGACCGTATGTCGCTTCGCCGTTTTCTGGTTCTCTGGAAGCATTCGATCACTCTTACACCATCTTCACCGTCATACCCTCAAAACTCCCATGGAGGTCACTTTCTGTTCTCCTCTCTGATCAGTCTTCTTCATCATCGTCATCCTCGTCTTCTTCTTCTTCTTCCTCACTGCCCGAAAAGTCTTCGTGCCACTCCGGTGCCCAAGGCTCACTTGCAGCAGCCGCCGCCGCCGCCGCATAAGCATTCTTCACATCGGCATCAGCCTCGCTGGACTCGATCTCAATGTCCGTTAATCGACTAAATTCAGCTGCTTTAGGATAGAGCATTTGGAACTCGTCATCGCCAGGTCTAACCGGCATATTGGCGACTTCGAGCAACTTGCCGTACCAGTGCATTTCTTCGCGAACCTTCTTCGCGGCGTTCTTGTCGGGGGTGGTGCTGCCTACTCCTTTGAAACCGAGTTCTGCGTCCATACATACGACGATTTGATGGAGATAATACCGTCTGCCTCGTTCTTGGAGACAGCTCCATGATGGCCATTCATCATTCCCCTTGGTGTTCGGTTGAAATGCGTGAATGGCACGGGCGAGCCCACCTTTGCTGATTGCTTCTTTGACGAGATCGGCTGCCGTGAGTTTGGTCAAGACAGAAGCCGGGTCCAACATAGGTTGGTCAGCATCACTGTCGTCGGAATCACCGTCGTCGACCTCGACCGACCAAGTCCGAGTCTTGGGAATGGGTATCATTCGAAATTCGTTGTGGCCCCAGTCAAGGACCGCCCAGGTCGTAAAAACATGGTCTCGTTCTGGTTCTCCTTGTTCTTTCTGCCGCGCCCCTCGTAGCTCGGGCCTATGTGCTGCTACCTTCTCTTTGCCCTTGGAATTCGATTTCTCCTTTCTCTCCTCTTTCGTTTCTGGTTCGACTGGAACGGTCTTGCGCTTTTCCGGTTCAGGCTTCTTCACCTCCGGACCAATGCGATCAATGCGCTTGAAGATCTTCTTGTCCCGCCCGAATAGTGACAATTTTGCTACTTCCGTACGGTCCATTATGATGAGTCGCTTCTCACCGCGGCGGCGCCCGTGCGGTTCGTCTTGCGGCTCTCTTATCCCTTCGTCACCAAATGTTGGTACACACACCATAACTCGAAACCACGCGGCCGGCACAAACTCTGGACTGGGTTTCTTGAAATCATAGATTCTGAAGCGGTCCCAACGTGTATAGAACGTAACCCGACAAATTGGGCAGCGTAGGCTTCGAGGAAACTCGCCGTTGTCCAGTTCAATACTGATCCATTCAAGGAAGCATCCTACAGGCCACGCATTGTCGCATGCCGCGTAGCGTGGTTCGGCGTAGGTCTTGGTCGTAGTCTTTACCCACGAGGGCTTAGCATGACCCGTAGCCGCCAACTGTTGGGGTTGTTCCTTCATCTTTGCTTCTTCCGGAACCGTTTGGCCTTGTGCAGAAGCCGCTGCTGTTGGTGTGTCCTGATCCGTCCCAATCACTGGGGTTTCGGCCACGGCTGCCACACTTTGAGAACTGGTGTTATAAACTCTCGATTCTGCGGCGTGCACGAGGATTTCGGTGGAGTCGCTCATGGTACCGCGGCACCAGAGGCAATGTGTATGCGAACGGGGCCCGCGACCGCGGTCGAGACGCCAATCGCTTAGATGTAAGGCAATGAGGCGCGTGAGGGTAACAGGATTCGTCATGTCGACAGGGGGATGCATGTCGTCTGCGCTGGTTTCTCTGATGAAGGCCGTGCTCGACCTCGTTCCGGCCGTGTCATCGCCATCCACCATGCCTGCGCTTGAAGATGCGGAGCCTTCAGAGACGGGCGTGGAGGCCATGGCTTTGGAGGTGCTTGTTTCGGATGAGGCTGAAGGTATGCTTTCGAAGGTCTGCCAAAAAGCGAGCTGACTCTTTGCCGATCGAGCTGCGGCCGCGATCGCTTCGAGGATCTGGCTGCTGTTTCGCATGTCGAGAAAGGAGAAGAGAACAAAAAGATCAAGAAGTGAAAGTTAACTCATGGGAAGGAGGCGCCGAGAACATGAACATGGGATGCCCGCGGTGGCGACAACAACCTGAGGGGCGCGAACACCATGTGTAGAGAACACAATAGACATGAGCGACTTCAGACAAACCGTGCGCAATAAATTTTATAGACAGCCTGTATGGTTGGGAGACTAGAAGGACCTGCAACGCAGATCAAGGTGTTGAATTTGATCTTCGCGGTTGTCCTCCTTGCATGTCCGACGGTGACACAAAGCATCCGCCACAGCCACAGCGTTCCATGAGGCAACCTCAGCCTGGTTCAGAACAGGCAGAGTCGATGCCTGAGGCAACAAAGGAACCCAAGCCAGGCACCGCACAAATCCCCCACATTCACCCCATCAATACCTCATCAGACATTATATCAATCTCTCGTGATTCCGCCTTGCACTGCATCAATAGCTCCTTACGCCAATAAACACAATCTCAGATTGCTCGGTCAGCCCTACCAAAACAGCCCAGGCATGACGAAGCTTAACACTGCATCATACGTCTGCTATACGCGGCTGACTTGAAAAGTCAATCTCTGCAACACTCCACATAGGGCCACCTCCAAGCTGTCGATCGTTGCGCCGCTAAAACGCGGACCCCGGCCCTAGCGATTAGATTCGGGATTCATCAGTTGCAGTGCTGGTCCTCGCCGCCGCAGGGCGATCCCGTTCATTGATCGTTCAGCAATGGCGCGCGTTCCCGATCCTCGCTGACAATCGCACCTTCCTGCCGAATACTGTTGTCCTGTCCAAATAGCCTGGGTGCCCCGATGATCAGAGATAGCACTAATAGAGATGCGGCAATGACGAAGGCAAAGATCCACTGGACGGCAATAACGTGAGAGGTGACTTGACCGAGACCGAGTGCTAGAAATCATTGTCAGCACAATATTCCATACCGAAGGCTTGCCTATTCTCACACAGTGACAGAATTGCCAACTCAATTCCCATCGTGTAGTCCTTGAATGTAAGGATGAAAAAGCCACCCAGGACCAAGATACCCCAGATAAAGACATTGGCAACGATCCTGGCAGGCAGGCTATGAGCGTGAACCATAGCCGCTCCGTCCCATAGAATGGCGACATAATTCCATGCCAGCGGAGCGGACACAATTGGAATGTGGATGAAGAGCGGCGTGGTGGGATGGCCGAAGTAGAGCAGGGTAAGGTTGAACAAGTTGATGATCAGGAGCAGCTCGCCCTGCCAGAAATGGCCTCGAACCCAGAGCATAATGAATCCAAATGTGAGCAGATTATGCTGTAGTGAATGGTCAGTGTCCGCGCTGGGAAAGCGTGGGGTAGAGCTTACAAAGATGAAATGGCTGCCAACATTGGCCGCACTTGTCACAAGCTCTTTTTCCGCATGCCATAGGTACCGGATGTAATGCGCTTGCAAGATCAGGACAACAACCCAGTAAATGCTGGTGACAACTGAGTTCAAGGTAAAGGGCGTGACCACATGGTTGTTCTGTCCCCATATTGTGTGGCAGCGGTGTTTATGTTTGCAGTCTTCTGGCTTGTTAAACGTGTAAATTGCTCCCACAACCACCAGTAGTAGCCAGGTGAGGATGGTGAGGACTTTGTAGGCAATGAGGTTGTTCCGAGTGAATTCCTCGCGCTTAGCGAACGGATTGTCTGGCAGACTGTGTTAGCAACAACTCCATGGAAGTATGATGATAACTTCATACAACTGCTGACCGCCATTTTCGAGGCGAGGATGTTCAGCGTTCAACGAAGACTGCGTTTTGCTATGAGGTCTTTGCCCAGCCCGAGAAATGGTCGAAGGATGTTGTCGATGGAGGGCGACAGACAGCAACTTTCGTGCTTGGATGGAGTGAAAGAGACGACAGACACTGCCAGTGCCAGTGGTAGAGGATATGCGAGGACGATTGACGCTCCCAGGATGCTACGGCGTATGATCTCACCCTGTAACCTTCCTGAAACTTGCACCACTGCACCTCGTGATTGAAGTTCGAAGTGGAGAGGAAACAGAGAGAAACTTGCACACTGCCTGCAACTTGGACCTGGAACTTGAAGGAACCGAGTTGGGTGTAGCCTTAGCTTCGACGTAGACGAGCACTAAACTGCCGCTAGCAGATAAATCGCCCTGTTGGTGCTGCATGATTGAGTGTAGTGCTGCAATTAGTGACTGAAAACGCAGCACTAGTCACAAATCTAGCCTCCAGTCTCCGCTAAATAGCAGATTGCGGGGGATTATTGACGTCACCGGCACATACCGTCCTCCGATGCAACAACGGAATGGAGAACGCCGGTTGCCTGATCCCTAGGTGCCAGGTAGGGTACCTAGTAATGGACTGACTCGGAGAACAAAGAAAATACTACCATTAGAACTTGAAGCAGGAATAGGTATGTAGAAAGAAGGAGGTATAACAGGTTTAGGAGGCCGCAATGAATTAGTGCTACCACTGCATTGCGTACAATAGCTGATAGACCTGCCTAGGTAGGTACATCGTAGTAGTATCAGGCAACTATATATACTGTATATCATTGTAAAGCATCGTCGCTCTAGAACGGTGCAAAAGCAGCCTCATATGCAAACCCCAAGGTCATCTTCGCATGCTGCAACATATGGTCGAAGCTCAAATATTTGATGAGATCCTCCGTAGTATGGATCTTTTTGTCAGAATATTCAAAGTCCGACTCAATCACAAATGCCGATGGATAGCCATATTTGCTAGCTGATGCGTGGTCTGAGCAGGCATAACCGCATTTGGTCAACGTATATGGGATGTCACAGTATGTCGTGATGATTTGCTTGATGAATTCGGTGAGGTCGGGGTTCACAAAATCCGTGATCACCCCAACCGACTCTGGCTTGCCGTGTGCCAGTGTCTGCTCAATGTATCCGGTCATGTCTTGTTGAATCATTGCTTTGACTTCCTTCTGGGCCTCGGAGTAGGATTTGAAGATCGCCTGGCTACCAAGCAGGCCTCCTTCTTCCGCCGAGTACCAATGGAACTCGACCGTGTTCTCTGCTTTGCCGTGGACGATGTCCTCAGACTGTAGCAGGGCGGTGAGAGCCTCGAGGATAGTCACCGTGCCGCTGCCATCATCATCTGCACCGGGCGCCGCAAAAATGGCGGGCAAAAACAGATTGATGCTGTCCAGGTGCGCCCCGATCACAATAGTGTGGTTGGTCCGCCCGGGAAATCTCGCAATAATGCTGAACTGACCCCATGGATGTGCAAACTTGTTCAAACTTGCTCCGTGATCGAAAGCCCCCGCTGCAGAGATGACCTTGTCAATCTGCCCATAGAGCCACTCGGCGGCGCGGATGCCGTACTCGCTCTTGTAATATCGAGTATGGAACGATGTGAGCCCTTCAAGATGCTTCCGCATGTTATCCTTGTTCAGCCCTTTCGCCAGCGATCGGACTGTCTCGTTATATTTCGGCTTCGAAGGATAGGTTACGGAACTGGACGCGGTTTGTAAAGGATATGTGTGGCCATTATCGGTGATGTCCATGAACTTGATGTCGTTCTATCATCAAGTCAGCTGGTTATCCATGGAGGGATTCCGGGCAGTACATACTCTCTTCAACTCCCATTTCTCCTCCTCGGTTACCCATCTCACTTCTCCAGGACTCAGCTCTATCAGGTACTGATCGGGCGCCGGTGATGGATTCTCGAGGGCAACCTGTTGTTGGTGACGATTGTCAATGGAAAGGCCACTGACCACGGCGGCCGCCCAGACGGCGAGGAACAAGGAGGACCGCATAACTAGCCTCAGAATTGACCGGCTCAATGATAGTCCCACTGGCAGATGGAAAGGATGAACGAAGTACTTGCAAAGTGTGGATGGCCGTTGCAGTGGTGGTTGCAGTGCGCTTGGACACTTCAAACTGGCTGGGGAACGACCGCAAGCAGCACTACAATGGTACTATCGCGGACGACCAAACTCGACTACTACCTAGGTACGCATCATCACTGCTTTTTTGCAGTAGTAGGCTACCTACCGGGGGCAGATAAGCTTCAGGTGCCCCGATTGGTTTCAACGCCGTCGTTATGCCCTGACCCTCATAATGTAGGCATAAACGGTATTGCAACGACTACACTTCCATACGAATTCATATCATTATGGTAAGGGTACAAGATTGCGGTGTCGATTGCTTGCGCTGGTCAAGGTACTCACCTCGACAGACCCATGTGCACCGACGCTCATCGTCATTCGTCCGCCCCTGGCTTCCACTTCCCGCATCGAGTCCGAGACTCCGGACTTGAAGGCAAACTCGTCCGTCCCGCGTCAACCTCTGCAGCACCCTCAGTAGTGGCAGCGTCCTGTAGAGTCATCGCTTCTATCTTTACCGTGTCCTGCTTGCCTCTTCTCGTTCGACAAATCTTTTCCTTTGCTCGAGTAACCGAACAGAACACATTGGTGACGCTGGTCTGATTTCGCACACATATCACTATCTATACGTTATCGTCCGTTGTGCGCCACCACGACCGCACACTCGCTACCATGGCCATCGTCCCTATAATGCTGCCCCCAGAGCCTGTGCAGGCTCCGCCCGCACCGAGCACGGTGGAGATCACGATGCAGATGGACAACGTCTCGATAGACGATGCGGCGACTGCGCAGGCAACCCCCCAGCCCGCCGTCCGTATCGCGGTCCCGCTCGAAGCGAGAAAGAGACCTGCAGCAGCTACCTCCACGATCCATACCGAGCGGAAGCTTCTCCGGCGCGATAGCATGGACCGAAGGGAGGCCCTTCTTAAGGGCAAAGAGGGGTCACGCCAGCGGCGGCGGTGGGAGAATGGTATGGACGCGTCAACGTCTTCTGGCCGTTGATGGTCTGGGCTAATCCATGGTCTACAGATCGTCTGCTCTCGAACCCATGGGCCCAGCCACCTTTGCCCTCCGATTGGGAAATCAAGCCAACCTACCAGCGCCGTACCGTTCCTTACTACTTGGCCCCTTTGTGGGATGCGGCCGAGTTCCAGCGTGCGGTCGAGGCCAAGATGAAAGGGCGTAAGAATAGCACAAGAGCCAGAGGGAAAAGGACCCACAACATGGGCGTGAGTCCAATGGAAGAGGCGGCGTCCAGCATTCCAAAGGAAGTCCGGGCCAGACTCAAGCGCGCCAAAGCTGCAAAGGGACTGCTGCATGACCTTGAGGAAACAGTAAGAGCCTTTGTGCAAAAGTGGAATGCCAGAGAGGCTCGACTGCAGGAAGAAGGTCTGCAAGACGTCCCTTTGACCAGTGACAGTGAAGAGGAGGAGGAGATTGTCTTTGTCGGCCGAAATGGAGCCATGCATGATTCTCCTGGTCGGAAGCAGCAGCAGAAGGAAAAGGAAACGGATGAGACGATCAGCACTGAAATAATGGTTTTCGAGGGCCTGGACACTGACAAGGGTGCTGCCTTCGCCCGCTGGCTCGTGCATTGCATCGGTGCCTACTACGGCTTGAGAACCTGGAGTGTCACTCGTGATCTGGGAGACGAGGGAAAGCGAAGGTTTGCTTATGTGGGTGTGGACACCAGAGCCAGAGGTTTCATGGCCCGTGGTGTCGAGTTTGGCACCCGAGAGTTCGAGCTTCCTCAGCCCTTGTGGGGAATGATGTGAACGATGGATGAGGTTGTTGTCTGACTTTTGCCTCGTCATCCACCGATTATCTTTTGCACAAGATTCCGTTCGACTATTGCCGTGGTTTCATGTTGATATCATGTGTGACCACACTTGTGGAATGCCGTGTTAGCGCAACTGGCCTCAGTTCAGTCGGACAACCGGGTGCGGAATGTCCACAACCGATGGTTCAAGCTACCACTGGTCGAAGCCAGGCTGTCGTGGAGAGCGGCTAACTGCATGTGCAGACGATCGCGCTGATACGACCGATTCCTCGGCGTTGGGGTTGGCACGTCGCGATCAACAGGCTACGGTTCCAGTTGGTGTGGCCATCAAGCTTGCTCTCATCAGTCGTGAGTGGAATGATGTACCAGCACGGGAAGAGACGGGCTCAACTACCTAGGGAATTGTGTCTACCAGCGACTAGTCCATGCCGCCATCGTAGGACGACTCCGATCAGCGAAGAGCTAGAAACGGGCTGGACGTACCTGTCTCCTGTGGATCGTGCGGTACAGCGACTCGCAGAACAGTGGCAAGCAGCATATGCCCGCGTTGCAGGATGCTACACAAGAATTCAGCTGTGGACAGTGAGGGTCGCGCAGTGGTTCACACTTGGCAATGGGCATAAGTGAGCTAGGGAGCCTGTTGCTAGGCCCGCTGCTCCAGCGGCCATCTTGAGGCGACTGATGAGGACCCTAAAGGTCTGCAAGAAAGCTCCGGGAAGTTCTGCTGGCCGTTCCAACGCCTTCTACTCAGGCACGTGAAGCTTATGACAACTTGAGAAGTTGCCCAGATTCAAAATGCTTGCCGCAGTTTGAACCACAAGCCGGAACTCGCTGCTGCTGATGATGAGACGATGCGGCCTATCTCAGGTTCCAGGAGCTCCAGGGTTGCATGACTTGAGCCAGGATTCGTGCAAAATACCTCATCCTCGACCGCTATCGCGTCCGGGTTTTTCAAGCATTGCACCTACATGAACCATGCTGGGATTTGCAGGATAGCTGAAGCTCAGAAATGCCATAGTCGAAACTGGGAATGAAGCAAACATCGCTGCCCAAACTTTGTTCCCCTCTGGGGTGCAGCCTCTTAGCATCTGCTGTGGCACGGGAGTGCAGGTACAGCAGCTCGTGGTGAACACATGTTCATAGGTCGCTATCATCTTGCCTAGCCAGCATAGCACAGGAAATACCCGATGAATTGAAGCGACGTATCAGAGGGCGATGGTCGGAAATATAGCACGGCATGCCAATGAGGTGGTGCCACGCTGTATGAAAGAGTGGAATAAAAGTCGCGAAGTGAGACGGAGGATGAATCATGAGCGACGATGCAGCTAAATCGATTAGCGTAGGTCGATTTAGGCATGCGGCCGCTAAGCCCAGAAGAGCTCTAGCAGACGGACGTCCCGTCAGTCCGTCAGCTTCAACCCGACTAACACGGGCAGCACCGAGCATCATTCGTCTGACCAGGCCGGGCCCCAGTTTGTTCATTCGCACCGGGCGGGAGTCGCCGTCTGACCGGCTCCATTCAATAATGTTAGGGGCCGCTGCCTGTCTGACACTGGCGTCCGACTCCGTACCATCATTCAACTTGAAGTTGGAGCACTGCCACCAACCTCTCCCTCGTCCTCGATCCCACACTGCACGGCGCTGGGCGAAAAGTGGTCTTACCCAACCATCGTCCTGCTCGCTCGTGTCGTCGGGCAGACAGGATGCGCCTCTCTATTTCCATCCCCCCTCTTGTTCGTCCACAGTCGGAACCATTGTTTGCCTCCTCTGCATGGCGCTGCAGTGGTAGCGAGGAACGTTTTTGGGCTCCCCGTCGAACGAACTATGAACGAGGGCCATTGCTCCCAAGCAACAACAGTGTCTCACTGTCTAGCCTCGGCTGACGACAGGACCGCCACTACTACGGATAGAGTGCCTAACATACGAACACTCGAATTCGCGTTGCTTTAGTCAGGGTCGTCAGTCGACCTCGTCTCAGCATACAACCCCCCTTAGAAGCAGACGGTCCCGCAGCCGATTCCGGCCAGACCCGCCTCGCCTGGTTTCGGCTTCGGGAGCCTGCAACTTGAACCCATGGCTACAACGGTGTTGTGCCATGGTCGGCGCGGTCCTTCCTCGTGGAAACGGGAAGCGAGCGGTAGCTGTGCCGTTGTGTTATTCATCAGATGTGGAGTGATTTTTGTACTCGGAGCTGTTGTTTGTTCTTTGCGCTGGACACCAATCATGGTCATGGCTCTGATTGCTTTTGATATGGCCTGAGTAATGCTCGCTTTGGTCGTGTTGATTCCTCCCGCATTACTTATCAACAACACTGCTCATCACACCTTGACAACTTCTCATAACACAAGTGCAAGAGCCCAGTAACTACTTTATCCTAGCACGCATCAACACATGCAATTGAAACGAAAACATGGCACGCCATAAACTTGTTCGAGCCTGGTCGAAGGGGTCTTCCACATCTGGTAGTTCAGCCTCCACCCGCAGATGTCATTCCAGCCGGTCCAGCCACTCTCAACATACCGACATAACCTCTTACAGTGACGTGGAGCCTCATGTCAAGCAATACCATGAGTACGAAGCAGACGAAGTGGTTGTGGAGCCTTGTGACTACAACGACGAACAACATGATGACCCCCGAGCGTCCTGCGTCACATATGCTTCAACTATTGCTTCTGAAGAAGAGCCTTCAAAACCACCAAGTCTCTGTCCACTACCGAGACAGATATGTTATGAACCGGATGCTGTCGGTACCACGCCCAGTGAATTTGCAGAGCTGTTCCCGTCTTCCAGACGGCTGCTCATCCAACATGACGACACAACACTCGATGGCAACCTGAATCTTCGAGTCGACACCGAAATGATTCTTTCCAAGGGCCGAAAGCTGAAGCTGACACTGTTCCACCTGCGCATGAACAACCTCGGGGAGCGCCAATTCTCACTCCGTCGATATCATCGGCAATCGGGTCGGGAAGTTTGCAGCTCGAAACGAAAATATCTGAAACCCAGTGCCAGGCCATCTTCGCAGCGAGGCAAGAATCTGGGTGGTGCTCTCAACATTGTCAGCCTCAAGACACTGGCGGCAAAGCGGAAACCCACCAGAGCTCACCACGAGTATGAGCAGGAGCAAGAAGAGTCGGATGATGACCTCGACCTTTTCACTGCTCAGGCCGGCGTGAAAGCCACCATTCCTACCGACACTATTCGGATTGAATTCTCGAATTATGCGCAGGTCGAGCTGCAACGTTCAAGGAGAGGAGACGGCAAGCTGTATGATTTTGAGTACTGGGGAGAGAAATACACCTGGAGACGAAATGTTTTTCAGGATGAGTCCGAGTTGGTCTTCACGTTCGAGTTGGTGAATCGGACCACTGGCGTCTGTCTGGCTCATATCACCCCGGACCGGTTATCGCCTCGACAGAGCAAGCTCGAAGCCGCCCAGGGGGGCTGGGTACCGCCGTGTAGTATGCGGATCGCAGAGAAGAACATCTCGAGTGATCTGGGGGATGTGATCGTTGCCACCGGATTGATCGCACTCACCGACGATTGCATCAGACAATATTGGCATGAAACTCACCGCCATTGATTTGACGTGAGGCACAAGTCACAGATCGGATCTGGGTTGGCCCAAGTGCAGACAACGTCTGTCACGGAATCTCCCTCTGGATCTTGTGTTACACCACCACCAAGGGCGGTGTGGGATGGACGTCAAACGTCACGATCGAAAGAGCATGATGGCTCACCGTGATAGGGAAGGCTTTCACGAAGGGAACACTCGATTCCATTGCACAGCGTATGTGTTTTGGCTAATGACAGGGTATGATCAAACAATGCATATGGTATGAGAGATCTCCAGATGGAGACACAAGGAATATATTGGTTTCTAGCTCGGGTCATACCCGACTTCGAGAAAAGTCACGCCCCAGCTTGGCTTTGCTGATCATATCCTACGGGGGCTTTTAGCCGTATTGCTGATCATATTCGCCGGCTGCACGTACGCAAAGAAGGAATTAATATGAACCCGCATGACAGGTCACAGCCCAGTAATTAATGGGGTGGCGTCGGACATTTTAGAACAATCCAACGATTCTACGTTTCTTCCATCCCATCTGCCACCATAAGGTAGAGCACCTGCATTCCAGCGGTGAGTTGGCTCGTCAGGCCATCACCCGCCAGAAGTCAGTTGTGTGCGAGGAGTTCCAAGATCGCTCAGGCTGAGCTGTGCAGCCCAGTGGAGTGGCGTTCGAGTCTGAAACGGCGCAAGCAGAAGCCATATCGGCCAAACCTGAAGCGTATGTACATACTACCTAGGTTTGTGAATTGTGCGATTTCTACTATCCTGCACAGTTATTAGTAGTACCTGGTAGTAATGTGGGAATTCGCAGTTTTGACCGGTTCCTGCCGCCGCAGGCCCGATCCCTCCCAGTCCCTTCCTGACTCGCCCCATCGCGCGTTCATTCTTCGCTTTTCTCTCCACCATCTTTTTCCACCGCCAACTTGAACCTCGAACTCCATCTGCCACTGCATCTCCTGCTTCGAGTTACAACAGCCTCCAAGTTCTGCATCTTGTCAGGTCTCCATCACCCTAGTCGCTACGGCCGCCATCCAGTCCCTTCCTCCCTATGCCGTACTAGGTACACAACCCACTCTTTGACAGCCGTTTCGAGTTCGATTATAAGACATCTCGGCAACTGCAGGCCTTGTAGGCAATGGAAAAGACTATCGTCCTGACTGGTCTATCGCTCTTTTGGCTTTTGTTATACCTCCACATATCGATCCACGCTTCTCCACTGCCGTACCACTGAATCGTCCTTGTCGTCCTGTTTCTGTCCTAGACAACCGTCGCCGCTCGTATCCATTTGGTCCAGTAGGAACATTCTCACCCAAGGCTTCCATGCACCGCGCAGCTATCGAGCATACCTTATTCTTGATGTACAAGCCAGATGGGTTCGTTGACGGGCTACTAGGAGACGTGGATGGTCAAAATGCGTGTCCCGACGCTGTCCAGATGTTGCTGCCCAACGGCTGTCAGCCCCTCCAACTTGAACCTGGGCAAAGCATCCAATCAGCCACACTGCCCTACATCCGGGACGCTACAAGACAAGATGAAGCAGAGGTAGGTGAAAGTGAGGTCGCCTGGTCCCTTTATCAACGATATTTCGGGCATCAGTAAGAACCAGGATCCCCCTCGACAGCATATTATGGGCAGTTTAAATTGCTTCTTATGCTATTGCGCATTTTGTCCCAATGCCACCGGGACAATGTACAAAGTTGGTACGCCCCACCTCGATAACCTGACTAGGCATTATTCGTGCGTATTCTAGCTTTTTCAAAGGTCACTCGCCAATCCGGCTATTGCTAAGGCTCTCTCCGCCATCATGCATATCATGCCTTGGTTGCGGACCTATCCACTGCACTGCGTTGTCCGAGTCGGATCCTGATGTGCTGGCAATTTCTGCTGCAGTGGGTGAGGCTGGTGCTGGTGCTCCATGGTTTGGTGGTTGCTGGGTTTCGCCATCCCGTCGTCTACCCACGTCCTCACACATCGGCTTTCTGCATGCTCGCATCTGTGCGACGTCAGGTCTTTATAGACATGTCAGGGCGGCCTCCACGGATCGATAACGTGTCACCAGATCTCAGATCATGTTGCACAAAGAAACAACCACTGCTGCTGCTGCTGCTGTTGTGATGCTTCTTGGTGCCTTGATTGATATGAGGCAAGGGCGATAGGAGCAGAGCTGTCACTGAAGAAGTTGCATGGCGGTGTTGCTGCAGCTATCCCTCATTCACTGCTGCATAACTCTCTAGTCGTGGTGACTCTCACTTGGTGACTCTGGGCTGATTGCAGTGTCGTTTTCTGCGACTTGTTGGATATAAAAAGTCTTTGATGTCTCTTCTGCCATCGTTATATCTGTACCAACTTGTCCTTTCTTGATCAACAGAACAAGAGATCTCGATCAAAACCCCGCGGACGAACGCATCAACCGTCGAGTATCGTCGTCTGTTAAGTCAACGACCAAGACATCTCTCAACCCATCTATTTGTCTTCGACATGGCTACCAAGACCCATACCACCTGGCAAGAGGAACTCATCGGTAAAGCTCCAGTGGACCAGTTCAAACCTAAGCTCCCGGTATCTAACATGATTGCAGCTGAATGCCGGAAGCAGAGACTCCCTGCCCCTGTCTTCAACATCGTCTCTGATCGCCGCGGTTGGTACCCCTTGAACTCAGCTGCGCTTCTGCCAAGATCGAAGGCTGACTTTGCTGTGTTTTTCTAGGCGGACGTACAGCTTGGTCTGCTACAGTGACCATCCAAGGACAAAATCTTGCGGCGCGGTATTGGTATGATGGCCAATATCTTCACAACGCCAAAGAAGACGCCGCCGAAGTCGCATGCACCAAACTCCGCAACCCTTCCATCACCGCCGGCCACCAATCCCTTTACCGGGCCGGGCCAAGCTACGCTCAGAGCGGTTGGGCGCGTTAGGCGATGACAACTAGAAACGGCTGGCAGCGGATCTTGTGCCGGTTTGAGGAGATCTCTATGGAGAGACTCCAGTTGGATCTTGTTCTATGGGTGCTCAGTCATGACAAAAACACGAATTACAACAGGGGCATAGCGAAGGCGTTCGAGCGGCAACTGGAAGCAGGGCAAGGCCCATTTTTCTTTAGGCTTGGACATCTTTTTCTCTTGTTTCCTTCACAGAAACCTCTTGGAGAGGATTAGAATGAGGCTCGCTGTTGGGATGGGCAAGGCAGCAGTCGCTTCGTCCCGACTAGCAGACGAGCAGCTTCGGTCATTTCTGAAATCTCTGACCGCTGTTTAGGTCCATAGAAGAATCCCAGGGACTTATTCTTTGATTTGCTTGGGCATGCTGCATGGATACTTCCGGAGTCTTGCATGATGTAGTGCATGTGACATGCCATGCGGACGTCTTCCTCGTCTTCCATGGCACAATCAAGATCGCGGCCAGTAGTGAGATCTGGTAGGACTGAGCCACAGTGTTGTGGAACGTGAGCTGTCGTACAACGGAACGCAGAAGGGGGATTCTCGTGATCCCTGATATAGGATATGGGAGCGAATCCACGGGGGACGATGAAGTCCGCTAGAGAAGCGAATTCAAGTTGTCGAGAAACTTGGAGACACTGGAGTTCGCGCTGTTTGAGCAAATATTAGTTTTTGGTCGCCGGCAGAAAACCTTCCGTATCAGGACAGCGGTGGACAACACTCCAAGTTGTAGCCTTACGATTGAAGATTCCACGCAGTTTGCTCCGAGTGACTTTGTCCTACTACTACTATTACGCGCCCTGGTTTGGCTTGACGAGGAGGTAACTTGAAGAGAGGGAGCCCGAGGGCGGAGGAGAGGTTTGGTTGGGTTTGATCGCCGTGCGACGTTGACATTCACGTTTACCTTGCGGCCGGGCGGGCGCATTTGCATTTGCAGATTCTCGCCGTATGCACCCAATCCTCCAGCACGGAGAGACCAGAGTACCGCAATACCTGCTACGACTACGATACGGAGTACTTGACATCTACACCGCCACCGCCGCGGCAAGGCGTTTCACGGGAGTCGTCGGCCCTAATCCTCCTCATGCCAGTTCACCGTCGTTGAACTCGAGGCCAGTTCAAACTGCGGCCATGACTACTGGTACCGCCGCGGCACCGGCACCGTCGCCGGCTTTAACATTTGACCTCGAGGCTCGATGTTCGGTATGTACGCATCGTCTACGCAAACTACGTATTTGTCAAATTTGTTGCGTATGCGTATGGAACGCTCGGTTAACCGCAAGCGGTCTATATGTCTAGACATCCAAAGCCCGAGCCTCGACCCTCCATCTCCCCCATGGATCCGTCGATCTGCCCATGTTCATGCCGGTGGCGACGCAAGCGTCATTAAAGGGGTTGACGCCCGAACAGTTGGAAGAGACGGGATGTAAATTGTGTCTGAACAATACGTATCATTTGGGCCTGAAGCCGGGCCAGGCCGTGCTGGATACGATTGGGGGTGCGCATAAACTCCAGGGGTGGAAGGGGAATATTTTGACTGATAGTGGTGGGTGGGTTAGTCCTCTATCCTCGGTCTCCGTTGCTGGGAAGTTGAATGTCATGATTGTCGTCAACGGATGTTATGTTTCTGTATCGGGATCGAGGCTCACGCTGTCATTTTTGTTAACAGGTTCCAAATGGTCTCCCTACTGAAACTCGCCAAAGTCACGGAAGAAGGAGTGCGGTTCTTGAGTCCGCATGATGGAAGTCCAATGTATGTGATGTTATGTTCTTTGTCCGAGTTCGAGGCTGGCGGGCGCCTGAGGCGTAAAGAGTGGGCTGGTATTGATGCTGTCTGCCGTGTTTTAGGCTCCTCACCCCCGAACATTCCATGTCCCTCCAAAACTCCATCGGCTCCGACATCATGATGCAACTGGACGATGTCATCCAGACCACATCCCCGGACCATGCTCGCATGAAAGAAGCCATGGAACGCTCCATCCGCTGGCTGGACCGGTGTATATCCGCGCACAAGTACCCAGACAGACAGAATTTGTTTTGTATCATTCAGGGCGGGTTGGATCTGGAAATGCGTCGGCAGTGCTGTGCGGAGATGGTGAAGAGGGATACGCCAGGGATTGCGATCGGTGGGCTCTCGGGTGGAGAGGCGAAGGAGGATTTTTGCAAAGTGTATGTGTTGACTGACTATGGCTGTCCTTCCACGGCGGACGGTTGCTCAACTGCCGTCGGACCGGAATATGAAGTGTTTTTGTCTGTGACGAATTGCTTGCTAATAAGGGTTGAGCAGAGTCGATACGTGTACGGATTTGTTACCGGAACGGAAACCACGATATGTTATGGGAATAGTAGGTCCAGCAAACACATTGCCCGGGTTCCCTTTCTTTCGTCCTCCACGGCACTGGCAATGATGGAAAAGATCATCCGTCCGTCCCGGCGCCTTGATGGGGCCATCATGGGCCTGTAACAGACCTACGGTTGTTTTTTTGCTTCTACTATCCAGTATCAGTAGAGCTGACTTTATTGTGATTGTGTGCAGGGCTATCCCGAGGATATTGTCGTTGCCGTAGCTCTTGGAGCCGACATGTTTGATTGTGTCTGGCCCACTAGGACAGCGGTAAGTCAAAACAATCAACCCTCTTGTGGCAGGTCTATAATTCGGAGTGATAAACAACGGTGTCGCCGTTATGCTACCTGATCCTGGTTGACCCGTTCAACGATCGTTGGAAGTAACTCAAGCTGACAATTTTGTTTTGTTTCGTTTAGCGCTTCGGCAACGCAATCACCACCCACGGCGTCCTCAACATCAAACACGCCCGCTACGAAAAGGATTTCGGTCCCGTCGAACCCGGCTGCACATGCACATGCTGCCGATCCAAAGAAGAAGGCGGGCTGGGAATCACGAGGGCGTATATTCATCATATTGCGGCCAAGGAGACTGTCGGGGCACATTTGTAAGAAATGGTTTTTGACTTGCAAGTCGTGTTTGTGAAACAAACGGGATACCAAGAACGTATACTGACTGACGTTTCTGCGTGTTCAGATTATCAATCCACAATGTCCATCATTTGCTCTCCTTAATGAAGAGAGCCAGACAGGCGATTCTGAATGATCGATATCCGGAGTTTGCGAGGGATTTCTTTGCGAGGTATTTCGAGGGAAAGGGGGCGCCGAGGTGGGCTGTTGATGCGCTCAAGAAAGTGGGGATTGAGATTTGACGGCTTGGACTTTGAGCTTGGGGTTTGACGCCAGCCCTTTGCTGTGACGCGCTTCGCGTGGTGAGCGAGCGGTTGAAGGAAGGTAATACATGTATATGGATGGTTGAAGTCGTTATTGTCTGTCAGTCTGTCACTAAGGTAATCAAGGTGGCTGACTGAAGGTGTGGTGGTGAGACCCGGATCAGGAGGTCCAGTGGGGATTTGTGGAGTGAGAAGAATGATGAGAACTGCCTGAAAATCAAAGAAGAAGTTTGGAATTTTTAGGGGAAAAAATCAAGAAGATGTCGAAGAGTGAAGACTAGGTCGGGTCTATATTCGTCCTCTAGTACTCGATCTATCGTAGCTATCTACAGACATCCTGGGAGTTCGAGCTCGATATATCTGTATCTCCGGTGTACTACTGAGGTAGATGGTATATACTACCTCCGAATGTCATGTCTCGCCCAAAACAATGATTTGCAACCCAACGCAATGCCTGACAAGATATCAATCAGGTCTGCCGTCGCGCGACCGTGGTGAAACGGTCATGACTTCGAGGGGGGTGCTTTGCAGTGCCTCAGGTGCCGAATTTTCATGCATTCATATCACGGTCGATGTGTTCTGGTACTGTACGCCTGGCCGATGGCTCTCCGTGTGCAGTGCTAGCAGAGGACGTGCCCTGAAGTCACCTGAAGTCAAGGTGATGTTGACATCGCAGGAGATAGGAACGGAGCACTTAAATGGGTTCAACCTCCAGAATTCCATCAGGATGAGAATCACGTCACTGGCTACTCTGCTCCCGCGCATGTGTAAAACTCCCATCGAGAGCCTTGACAAGAGCATAAACCGCCCGTAACAGCGGGGTATCGACGCCCTTTTCTTCGGCGATACGCAATGCGTTGCCTACGATGGCATCCACCTCCATGTTTCGACCGGCCGCAGCGTCAGCAAGCATGCTCGGCTCGACGCCTGGCAAAGGCCGCGCCGTGGCCCGGCCAATTTGAGACTCGACCACGGACCGCGACACGGACGGGTATCCGGCGGCCTGGGCAATGGCGGAAATTTCGAGCATGACGTCCTGGATCAGATTGGGCGCATACGACGAGGACTGGATGAACTGGGCGTCGCGACTGCGGGATAGCGCACAGATCGGGTTCCAGGTCGCGTTGACGAGCAGCTTGCTCCATCGTTCCTGTTGCACGTCGTCATGCACCTTGAAGGAGGCGCCGCCGGCTTGTAGCAGGGCCCCGAACCGCTCGGCAGATTCCTTGTGCGACTGTGGTGCCGTAGCCGGGTACGTGCCAAGGTGCAGGAGTTCGATTTCTTTGTGAGTGACAATTCCTGGAGAAATCTGCGTGGCAGGTAGGTAGACGACACAACTCAAAATTGGGTTGGAGGGGAAAGCATTCCGGTAAAGGTCTTCGATACCGATCCCATTCTGGATCAGGGCGATGGTTGTGTTGGGAGAGATCGCACGTCGGATTTGATCCGGTATGGATGGTGTGCTGGGGATGGCTTTTGCCGTGACGATCACATAGTCGAAGGGTTTATCCGATTTTGTCACAGCTTCTTCGACGCTGCGCACGACTTGGGGTCGTACGTTCAAGTTCTGGCCGAAGATGGTCGAGTTGATGGTAAAGCCTTGCTTGGCCACCACGTCGTAGTTTGATCGACAAACCGTAAACACATTGGCTGGCGTGACGGCGCGAGAGAAAATGTATGCGTACACGGCGCCAATGCTGCCTGTGCCGAAGATGAGAAACCGAGGATGAGACATGGTGATCAAGGATCAGCTCCGGAAGTCCTTTGTGCGGCTATCTATCTAAGCCGGAGATGAGTGCGAGATATAGTGCAGGAAGTTGATATATGCAAAGTTGAGAGTAGCAAAGGGCCGGCGTCAAAGCGGGTCGACGCCGCGGGATAACAAGATACGGGGAAAAGCCGAACAACCGATGAGCTTAGCTAGCAACCAACCCGTCTCCACTCCCCGGGCATCCTGGATCGGGTTGGGTTGGATCTCCCGAATAGCCCTAGGGACAATTGAGATCTGGAGGAGTCGTATGCATCTTCAGACTTTGGAGAACTCGCCTACCTCTTGTTACAGACTGGCACAAGTTATCTGAGCGACCACGGCAGAAACATCGAGCTCACCTAGGTCCCTGGGCATAGTCTCAGCGGTGTGATCTACGGTCGACGGCGGAGTCAAGGACCCGTCAAGCATGATCGGAAAGCCGTGTATTTAGGAACACACTGGCAATGTGTTTATGGGCCGCAAAGTCTTGACTGACTGACCGGCAGTCTGGCTGGATAATTGTGCCCTAAGATCCCAACTTTCCTGATCGTGTTGAGCATATGGACGGTACTAGACATGTCTCTTCTAGCAACCGATCTCTTTTATGAGCCTCGATGGATCTGGCTGTTTCATCCACGTGAAGATGTGCCAAAGCTTGACATCGGTGGGCGGCCCAGTGGGATTCGAGAAGAGAGGAGGATCTCGATCTCGGGGAATTCGTAACAGCATCGGGGACGAAGAGGACTAAAAGCAGGGTCCCGTTTTTAGAATGCCGGAGATCCAGGCTACCACTAGTAGTAGTTGTGGGCTTGTGATCGAATGCTTGTCACCAGGCTTGCTGACCAGGGACGGAGGACGAGCAGAACCCACCAGACGATGGCGCGTGTCGCGTTGTAGGCAGGTCTGATGGCTTACAGTGTTCGCACTGTCTTAATGAAGATAGGACAACCGAAGAATCGCACGAAGAAAGGTCAATAAATGGCGACGCAGAAGCTGATGTGGTGGTGTTCATATTTAATTGCTGTGGGTTTGTTTAGCTGCGGCGTCCAAATCGCGGTCGCAAAACTTGAATGACGTGGATTTGCAGCGATTCGCGCATTGATTTCGGTCTCGATTGACCACTTCGACTTCAACTCCATTTTACCACAAGGCCACGTCTGCGATTGTGCTGCACCCATACACCTCCTACTACACTCGCATCTTGCGTCAGGTGGCATAGCGACGGCTGATTAACCTTGATTCCAGCAGAGCGACACCACCATGGACCCCGATATACCAGCGCCCTCGATTGAGCGCGACACCCTCCCCGATGCCACCTCCCCCTTTGCGAACGTTAGCAACAATGAGACCAGGAGTGACAGTGCTACTACGACTGCCAGTGCCACTGCGCTCAATTCTTCTTCTGCCTATCCTGCACGATCCAGTCCTTCGGTTGCTGCCTCCATTCCACTGCCTCCATCTTCGCCCATGCGCACTCCTAAACAAACACCCCTCCCTGGCGCAACAAAATCCTACTCGCCTAAGCCGCCTTCAAGATCACCCTCTGTCACAAGTTCACACCGCGGCGAAAGACAAACCACTCCTAGACAAAGCACCCCTACATTGATCAGCCGAAGGTCTACACCCAGTCTCAACGTTTCAAAAGGCGGGACACCACAGCAGCCACAATTCAGACGTGCTTCTTCAAACCTCAACCCTTCATCTCCAGCCCCAAATGGCAAGATGGCACCTCCGCTGATTTCAGAACGTCCAGTAGTGACGGCCAGTTCGGTTGCCAAAGAGTATTTTCAGGTGGAACTCGAAGCGCATTCCACTATGTCCTCGCCGGTTGCCGTCATAGTCCACGATTCATGCTATGGACATCGCTTTTCGCGTCCTCGTGCCACCAAAAACGCCTTGGCCACAATTGTCGAACGACCAGAGCGAATCCATGCGACTGTTCTTGGAGCATCAGCCGCATATGTGCGCTTGGGCGAGCGACATGCCGACGGTCGATACGCTCCTCGTCCTAAGCACCATGCCACTGACGTGCGGGATGTGCCCTTCCAGATTCGAAAGACATGTCGCAAAATTCCGCTTACCCACCCATCGGTTGCTTTTGTGCACGGCTCGAAATGGATGGAAGAGTTGCAGATCATGTGTGATACCGCTGAGGGCAAGTTGGCGCTGAATGGGAAAGAATTGGTGAGGCCGATCGGCTATGGAAAGGACGAAGCCGGAAATGCTCTACCCAAACTGCATGAAGGCGATTTGTATCTGTGCGCCGAATCTTTGGCTGCCTTTCAAGGTTGTCTGGGCGGAGTTTGCGACGCTATCGACACGGTCTTTTCACCCTCTGTCACAAACCGCGCATTTGTCTGCATCCGCCCTCCAGGCCACCACTGCTCGTCCAACTACCCTTCGGGGTTTTGCTGGCTCAACAATGTCCACGTGGGTATTGCTTACGCTGCCATGAATCATGGTTTGACGCATGCCGCCATAATTGATTTTGACTTGCACCACGGTGACGGCTCTCAAAACATCGCGTGGGACCAGAATCGCAAAGCGCACACTGCGGCTAAGAATGCTGCACAATACAAGAAGACTCCCATCGGCTACTACAGCCTGCACGACATCAACTCATACCCTTGTGAATGGGGTGACGAGGAAAAGGTCCGCAACGCAAGCCTGTGTATTGAGAATGCCCATGGCCAGTCCATCTGGAATGTCCACCTGGAACCCTGGAAGACGCCGGACGAGTTCTGGAGATTGTACGCGAGCAAGTACACGGTCTTGCTGGACAAGGCCAGGACGTTTTTACGGAATCACACCGCAAGATGGCGTGCCTCGGGACATGTTCAGCCAAAAGCTGCAATCTTTATTTCTGCAGGATTTGATGCCAGCGAGTGGGAGGGCGCCGGCATGCAGAGACATAGTGTCAATGTACCCACCGATTTTTACGCCCGTTTTACTGCCGACATTGTCAAGCTGTCTCACGAAGAGGGCCTGGGAGTAGATGGCCGCGTGATTAGTGTCCTGGAAGGAGGCTACAGTGATCGCGCCCTGACTTCGGGTGTTTTCAGCCATATCTGCGGACTGGCTGGAGACACCATAGGCCAGGATGCAGAAACGTCTCCGACAGGCAATGTAAGCACGATCAACAATTGGACTCTCCAAGCCATCCCGACGCCGCGCACTGGAGGGAAGGTTTCTTATACTCCGGAATGGTGGGCGAGGTGGAGTTTGGAGGAACTAGAGGCGGTTGTTGCTGGATACCAACCGCAGGGCACCAAATCCGCGAAAGACAAGAGCGCGAATTACTCATCCCCTACTCAGGCATCCACCCTCAAGATGACGGAGCAGGCACGGGAGAAACAATCGCTTGCTTCTCTTCATGCTAGACTGTCCCTAGAATCCCAGTACGAGCCGCCTCCGCCTGATGTGGACTGGGCCACCGCAGCTTATGAACTGTCGCGGGTTGTCATCCCCGCCGACCGACAAACCCTGAGTTGTACCCACGAAGAGCTGAATGCAGAGGCTACAAAAGCCCGTCGAGAACGAGTGTCCAATCATGCTGCCAGTGCAGCGCCGGTGGCATCGGAGGAGCGAATGCAACTGAGAGATCGCAAACCTAGAGCACCACCAACAAGCACGAGCCTCGCGGCCGGGAGGACGACCTCACGCAATGGCAACGGCAACCGGCGGACCACTATTGCAGCTGTCAGCGATCTGCCCGACCCCACGATGCAGCAGCAACCTGAACTTCCAAATGGTAGGCCACGGCGAAGATCGAGTGATGCTTCGAGCATCTTGTCTAGTTTTCGGGGTATGAAGATCTCGGAGGACGGTCCGGAAGGTGGCTTTGCGAATCCGCCGTCAAGAGCGCCTTCGGCTGTTCCAGAAAAGGCTGCAAAAGCAGTGGCAGTCAAGAAGACTAGAACCGCACCGACCACAAAGGGCGCGGCCAAGCCGAAGTCAAGTCCACGCAAGCCAAAGGGTACTACTGCACCAGTCGCAACTACGGCTTTGGCAGAGGCAGGGCTTCCTCTCAATTCCGTGCAGTCAAAGCCCTACACTGCGAAAGCAACCCCTACTGCCTCTCAGACTGGGAGCACCGGAGGGGGCTCTAAGTCTGATGATATGGAGAGCTTGTCAAATGGCTTAAAGAAGATCAGTATCAAGTTGAAATTACCAACTCCAGAGGAACATGCTGCCAGACAACAACAACAACAGCAGAAAGCTGCTGCTCTTGAAGAGAAACAAAAGAAACCGCGCGCTCCCAGAAAGCCACTGCTTCCAAAGATTTCGAAACAAATCAAGACAAGCAGCCCGGCTCGAGATACGAATACTGACGAGAACGTCCCATTGCGGCAGCAGGTGGAGAATAAGTCGTTAGCCGGGACAAATGAATCTGTTTTGCCTGTGAAATCCGAGCAGGTCCACCAGAATCAGGAGGCGAGGTTTCCGTTGAATGGGAATATCGCGAACATGAACAACTTGAAGGAGCAAGTCTCCAGTTCCGCTTCGACAAACCAGGCAACATCCGGTTGGCGGCAAGACGCGACAGGCCCAGCTTCTGTCGATCCTACTTTCATACCTGATCAAGTCCCTGCAGAGTCCGCGCAGACGAGGGTACCAGAGTCTCTTTCGAATCCTTCTGTCATCACTTCTCCGGTCGTGGAGCAGCCTTCCGCTCAGCAGCAGCAGGGGCAGTGGCAAACACTACCACCACAAAGCGGTACACAGCCGAACTTGAGCGTATTCGGGCAGACTTCATATGGACCGGTTCCGGTACCGAATCCGAATCCGAATCCATCGGCCAATAATGTACAGGGAGGCACCAAGCAGGATTTGCCTGTGTTTACGTCTCAATCGGCTATTCCTTTTGCGCCGGCACCAGCTCCTCCTCCTGGTTCTCACTGGAATGCGAGCACAGACGAAGTCCAACCTGACCAGGGCAATAATGGTGCAAATTCGTGACTGTTGATCTAGGATGTTTCCATCAGACTGCAGCGGCCCTTGTGGATTGTTGTTCAGGGTTTGCGCAGCAAGACTCTCCACAGCTGGCGGCGATCCTGGGCAGATATGCCGTGCGCGCGTGTGGTATGGACACCGGTGTCCTGCAGTGATATTCTTGTCAGGGTCGCAGTGGGTCAAAGGGGTCGGAAGGATGGATGTTGGGTTTCTTTTCTGCCTTTCCCTTCCATCCTCCGGTCACGATTGTTGCTGCTTGCCAAACAGAGGTTCAGAACTGCAGAGCTGCTACGCTGCTGCAATCTTGTTTTCGACTCCCTTGTCTTTTCCTTTTCTTTTTTTTTTCTGTTGTGTGCAGAGGGAGGTATTTGGGTTGTCAGAGTGTGTGTCTCTGTGTGTGCTGTATGATTGAAGTTGAAATGGAAAGATGATACCCCACATAGTAGGTTGGTTTGAGGATTGGTCGGCAGACAAGGTCACGGCGGGATGTGGGTTTTGGGGAAAGGGGGATTGTATCCGGAGAGGGGAGTTGGAAAATGAGACTCTGCTAGACAGTCACGAATTTGAATGGCTCATGGTCGATGTTACTAGTAATCGCAAAGATTTCCAATGTCTACTGTTAGTAGTGTATTATCAAATTAGTAGGGTTACCTAGGTAGAAGGACTTGATCAGTTTCAAGGAAGGATGCAATACACGAAAGGAATGATCGGCTAGTATGAGTATTCGGTTAGTGTAGAGGAAAGTAGAGAAGAGTAGATGATATTCTTTCTGATGCCTCATCAGTATGAGCGCAACTACTGTATTTCCATAGTAGAAATATTTATGTCACACCCGCACATATGGACCATGCATTAGCATCAGTACCTACGTATCAACCCTCATTCGCCCTGCGGCGACATGCACTGTGGTAACTTACATGACAACACACCGACTGCTTCTCTTCTGGTTTCTTGTCGTCGATCCCTTAGCCGCGCGATTCGCACGCACTCGGGCATCGTACTCAGCGAACAACATCTCTCGATCACGTTCCCCGAGTTCCTGGAACAATGGGTGGCGGAGCAATTCCTCACGAGTCTTGTATCGGCGGGAAGTCAGCAGTTTCTCGCAGTCCTCATAGACTTCGCGGCGGCGACGGACGTCGAGTTGGCGATGGAGGTTGAGTACTTTGCGGGTTTCGAGGGTGCCTTGGGTGGGGTGAGCTTGTCTACCACCACCGACAGCGGCACCGGCACCGGCTCCGGCACCAGCGCCCGCTACGGCTCGTGAAGGACGACGAGTCGGTTGCTGGTTCCACTCTTCTTCAAGAGGAGAAACAGGTGAATTGCGGTAACGCGAAGACCCACGTCGGCCATAGCCAAAGTCCGATTGTTTGAGTGGTGAGACGGGCGATGGAGACATGCGAGATCGCGATGACCGCCGGTAACCCTTAGAGATACCGCCGTCATGGATGGTGTTTGCTGCCAAGGGAGAAGGAGAAGCCGTGGACCGCTTGCGCCGACGGGTCGATGGGGCTGGTTGTGGAATGTGTGGAATCTCGCTGAAGTCGCGGAGGTTGCTGTTTGTGTTGTATTGCGCTCCTGCTCCGCTGTTGCTGTTGCTCCCGCTGCCGTTGCCACTGCGTCCGGTTGAGCGTGAGGATTTGCGGGCGGTGGGTTCATGAAATGAAACTGGAGGCGCTGCCAGTGGTTGTCTTGTCCGTACAGCGGAGTCTTGGTTGTAAACATTGGGCATCACGGGAGCAGGACCATTGCGGTATGCTGGATGGATGTATGCGCTGGCTGAGGTGGCGCGGTGCTCAGGGCATGGCCCGTCGAGATTCTGAACAGCCGGTCGGAGGAGTGCTTTGCGGCATTTCTCGGTTTGGGCGCCGCAGACGTACCGTTTGACTTCTTGCGTGCAGCCGCATGTGAAGTGGAAGAGTGTGTTGTGACACATTTTTCTCTAGATCTTTCGCTTACCTTGAGATGTGATTTTGAGCAGCCTTGATTTGACAGGTAATTGTGTGGTTAGATTAGAAGGATGGGACAGCTGGAAGTGGATGCAGGGTATAAATGGTTGAACCTGGGGAAGACAGGTTATGAAGGCAGGGGGAGAGGAAGTGACTGGGCAGAGGCAGTGGGCGGGCGAGGACAATGCGACTCGATTGCACAATGGAGTCGAGGCAACTGCTCGAGTTCTGTCGTGACGATCTCGGTCAAAGAACAGGGGAGAAAAGGAATAAAGAAATCGATCGAGTCCTTTGTCCTTTTGCGCCGGAACCGGTGAAAGCTGCTCGCCTCGGTCATGTGTAGGTGCCCGACAACACTGCCTCGAAAGTCCCGAAGACGGAGGTAGTTCATTCCGGGCAGTGGCCGTCTTCCTGGGGTGCACTGAGTGGCCTACCTGTCCTGGAGCATTGTCTGTTCATGGGGGGTTTCTGGTGGCAGTGAGGAGGAAGGGGATATCCTCCAGGCCTTCTACAGTGCGCTATTGCCATCGTATCAGCGAGATGCATCATAAGAGCCGTCAATGTGGACAGATGCCGAAGAATGAGTAGCAGTGAACGCGATGGTGAGGCAGTATCGAGGAGGAACAAATAGATATGTGCTGTGTACTTTGTAGGTAGTGTTGTTTCAGGGACGCTGATGACTAACCTGCGCAAGGCTGAGATGCCAAGCCACTAGTGGTTGCCAGGGAAGAAAGTTGACAGTTCCACTTTCGGAAGTGTCGCAAAGCATTGTCGGCATCCGTACAATCGCAAGGAAGGTTCCGCGCCATCAGTCAACCGCCATTCGATCATTATTCTCCGATTGAAACAGACCTCAGCTGTGCGGATCATCCTCAGTCACTATATTGTATTGCTCGGCGCATGGACTGAGTTGTGATCTGATCCCACATCTATCCTCAAGTAAACAAACTTATCCACCGTCTATTCTTTCGTTATGGACGGACCTCCCTCCCCTACTCGAGTTCCTCCAAGCTATACAGATGGACCTCCTTCTTATGTCGACACCCCCATCGCGGATGAAGATACTATGAGTGTGCCCGGAAACAACTCGTCGCTGAGACTGCTCCCGCAGGGCCAGGACGAATACAGATCGTATGTGAAAACTCCCGCTTTACGCAAGTCACCCCACGGCGATGGTTCACCCAAGCGTAAACCTGTCCCTACGTCGAAAGTGTCGCATGTAACATGGAACGACTCTCCCATAGAGTCAGAACCTCGAGGCCGCTCGAGAGTGCAGTCGCCTGTGTCTTCATTGCTTGCGGAGGCCGAACAAAGCCTCAATCGCAGTCGGGAGACCTTCACTTTCGTCGGCCGTGCCCCTACACTCAAGGCTACAGTGACCCTTAGAAAGAGCCCAAAGACTGACCGAAGTCGAACATCCAGAATTTCGCCCCCCAATCGAGTCTCGCCAGACCGATACCACAGACCTGCCGCTTCGACCGCTTACAGCTCGCGTCCCGGATCCAGTCTGGGCAGAGCTCCATCGATACCACTTTCTTCATCCAATCCACGCTCTCCTATCAGACCCTCCACACCGTCTCGAGTATCGACAGACTGGACGCGACCTCCCGCCCCAAGTGTCGCCTACGAACCGCCCGACATCAACGGTAGCCCTCGGCCTGGAACCCCATCATCACAATATGGAGGAAGTCCTAGAAGGCCTCTGCCACCGGCGCCGCTCTTTTCGGCCAAGGGGGCTGCGGCCGAAACGACAATCCCAATGCCAGAGCCGGAGTCGGAAAACGATGTCTTTGTCGATAACTACTCGATAATGCCGGACAACGACCCAAGGGCAAGCTTGAAATCGGCACATTCGTACACGACTGACTCGACCTTTACGGAAGATGATGACATTACCAATGAGAAGTTGAATCATTATGGCCCAGCGCCGGAAGGAAGACAAGATAGGCGAGGCCTTCGAGAAGCACAAATGACCAAGAAGGAGGTTAGGTTGATCAATGGCGAGCTGATTCTCGAATGTAAGATTCCGACAATCCTGCACAGTTTCCTGCCTCGAAGAGATGAGCGCGAGTTCACCCACATGCGATACACGGCGGTCACCTGTGACCCGGATGACTTTGTGGTGAAAGGCTACAAGCTGCGTCAAAACATCGGCCCGACAATGAGAGAGACTGAGCTGTTCATCTGTGTCACCATGTACAACGAGGGCGAAATTGAATTCACCAGGACTATGCACGGTATCATGAGGAATATTGCGCACTTCTGCTCAAGAACCAGGTCCCGGACGTGGGGCAAAGATGGCTGGCAGAAGATCGTCGTATGTGTTATTGCAGATGGCCGACAGAAAGTACATCCTCGGACCCTGAACGCCTTGGCCGCCATGGGCGTTTATCAAGACGGTATCGCCAAGAACGTCGTCAATCAAAAAGAAGTCACGGCCCATGTTTATGAGTACACGACTCAGGTCTCGCTGGACGAGACATTGAAGTTCAAGGGAGCCGAAAAGGGGATCGTTCCATGCCAGATGATCTTTTGTCTTAAGGAGAAGAACAAGAAGAAACTGAATTCCCACCGTTGGTTCTTCAACGCTTTTGGACGCGCTCTGATTCCAAACGTCTGTATCCTCCTCGATGTGGGGACGAAGCCAGATTCGAAGGCCCTCTATCATCTCTGGAAAGCATTCGATCAAAACTCCAATGTTGCCGGCGCTGCGGGAGAGATCAAAGCCGACAAAGGCAAAGGATGGCTGGGACTGCTCAATCCCTTGGTCGCATCGCAGAACTTTGAATACAAAATCAGCAATATTCTCGACAAACCGCTCGAGTCCGTGTTTGGTTACATCACTGTCTTGCCCGGTGCATTGTCGGCTTATCGGTACCACGCGCTGCAGAATGATCCAAGTGGTCACGGTCCCCTCAGCCAGTACTTTAAAGGAGAAACACTGCACGGTCGTGACGCTGATGTTTTCACGGCCAACATGTACCTTGCTGAAGATCGAATTCTTTGCTGGGAGCTTGTCGCCAAACGCGATGAACAGTGGGTCTTGAAATTCGTCAAGAGCGCTTACGGAGAGACCGATGTTCCAGGTAAGCCACGTCCAGCCCGAAGGAGTTTCTAAGCTGACATTCTTATAGATACCGTGCCGGAATTTATTTCGCAGCGACGACGCTGGCTTAATGGCGCTTTTTTTGCCGCAGTGTACGCTCTTGTCCATTTCAAACAGATCTGGCGAACCGATCACAGCTTGACCCGGAAGATTCTCCTGCACATCGAGTTCATCTACCAATTCATTTCGCTCCTCTTCACTTTCTTTTCGCTGGCCAACTTTTACCTCACCTTCTACTTCGTGGCTGGTTCATTGGCAGATCCAACGATCGATCCGTTCGGGCACAACATTGGGAAATACATATTCGTCATACTGCGATATGTCTGTGTCCTTTTGATTTGTCTTCAATTCATTCTGAGCCTGGGAAATCGACCGCAGGGCGCGAAGAAATTGTTTCTGAGTACCATGGTGACGTATTCCATCATCATGGCATACACGACCTTTGCCTCCGTGTATATTGTCATCAAGCAACTTACGACGCACGCTCTAGAAAAGACAGACCCCAACAATCCCTACAAGCTCGGCAACAACATATTCACCAACCTGATTGTCAGCTCAGTCAGCACGATTGGACTGTTTTTCCTCATGTCATTCTTGTATCTGGACCCCTGGCACATGTTTACCAGTTCAGCACAGTACTTTGCACTGCTGCCGTCGTACATATGCACGTTGCAGGTGTATGCATTTTGCAACACGCACGACGTGACCTGGGGAACAAAAGGAGACAATGTGATGCACACCGACCTCGGCGCCGCCAAAGCTATAGGGTCTGGAAACACAGTCGAAGTAGAGATGCCTTCGGAGCAGCTCGACATCGACTCGGCGTACGACGTCGCCCTACGCAATCTGCGCGACCGGGTCGAGGTGCCCAAACCCCCCGTCAGCGAGAACCAACTCCAAGAAGACTATTATAAGTCCGTACGCACGTACGTCGTGGCATCCTACATGGTCTGCAATGCCATCCTGGCCATGGCCGTCTCGGAAGCGTACCCTGTGGGAAGCCATATCGGAAGCAATTTTTACTTGACTTTCATTCTTTGGTCGGTGGCTGCATTGGCTTTATTTCGGGCCATTGGATCTTCCGCTTTTGGTGTCATCAATATCGTCTCTGCTATTGCCGAGGGTAGAATCCAGGCCAAGTTTGAGAGGATCTTTGGAGGCGGAGACGAGCGTGGTCGCCATAGAGCTGGGTTGGGGTCTGGGTTCAGTGAGTCCGGTAAGACGGGTATCACTTCGGGAAGTGGTATGAGTGGAATGAGTTTGAGTGATGTTACGAGTAAGATTAGTGAGAAGTTTAGCTGGATGAGTGGGAAGTGAAGAGAAGAGGTCTGAGGACTCAAGACTCCCACTGCAGAAGAGCAGAGAGTTGGGGAGATTGTAATGATGGGATGATTACTGTACTTTTGGTTTTGGGTTGGTTTGGTTCAGGATTGTAAAGGAGGGGATTACCTAGGGCTAGATCATGATGACTTGGGTGTTCTTGGAGTCATTACATACCTAGGGAGCTACTGGTACTACTACAGTCTACTAGTATGGCACTAAATCGTCTTGTTGGTATGCTGGGATTCTGGAACTTGAACAAAGGGTGAAGATTCAAGTATGTGACTACAATTGTATGTGCTCTTCCGGATTTGGTCTTGTTCGTCATAGTTCTGGTTTCGGATGTGTAGTTCCCTGTAGAAAGTAGAATACGGCACAGGATAGTGCACTCTTTGTCTGTGGCTTTGCCTTTTCGTCCCTCATTGTGGACTTTTGTCATCTCTCACCCCTCAGATATGTGTTTCATTGGTTCTTTGTCGCGATGCACTGTTCATTGATACTAGTATGGCAGGTGAGGATAACAGCAGGCTTTCTAAGGACGAGACATCAGAGAATTGAAAATAAAAAGGAATAATGAATGCGCGGCGCAAGAAGGGGGAGGGAAGACCAGAGTGGTTGCATACAACAAGAACGAAGAGCTTTTTTGGAGAATGTGATGGTTGTGATGGATATAGATATAGATATACCTGGTAGATAGTTAGATATACCCGATAGATATATAGATATTCCCATGATTAGTAATTACCTACTCACCTTGAGTACCTTATCCAGTATCCATGATGGATCAAGACCTTACCTTGCCTTACTTACCTTTGTCCGGTTCCCATTTTTTTGCGCCCGCGGCTTTCGCTTGCCCCAGTACCCACAGCCATGCCCTGCCTTGCATTGAATCACTCTTTCGACCGCCAGGATCAAGAGACAGTAATTGTGACAGGCAGAGATGACGTGAAGTGGGTTTCATGGGGTTGCGCGAAGCCACAGGAGTTGATGGATCTTTCCCATTTTTTTCTTTCTTTCCTTCTCTTTTTCCTTGCCTTTTTTTGTCACTTTTTGTCGAGGTTTGTTTCAAAACAAAGTTCCGCCACCTGTGACAAAGGAAATTTGGGTGCTTCTGGGCTGGGGGGGAGGACGAAATGACCGGGGGGGTGAGTGATGGGGGTTTGGGGGATGGGGGAGGGGATTGGACTTACCTTTTGGGGGAGGGGGGAGTTTGGACTTACCTTTTCTCTCTCCCAATTGTCTCACTTACCTTTTCTCTTGAGGTTCCAGGTCAAAATGACACAGAGAGCCATTCAAGACCGCCGACGACGAGCAGCTGGAGCTGAGTTCCGCAAACGTTCAGAACGTCGCGGAGGAGACACCGTTGACGCCCGTGCGGGTCTCAGTTGTGCTGTTGGTCTCGGTGCTGCTGCTGCGGCTGCCGCTACTGCTGCCGCTGGGTCAAGAATGGCCGGCTGGCGGTGGGCTGGCAGTTCGCGGAACATACCGACGAATCGACCGCCTTGGGTCATGCGGTACCAGTCTCCTTCTTGGGAGGGATTGTTCATGCTCGCCTGCTGGCCCATGGGCTGAGGTTGAGCGTTGGAACGGCGGGCTCCACGGGGAGACGGAGTCTCGGATTCAGATCCGGATTTGCGACCTCGAGAACTGCGCTTAGATGTGCGCCTGGACTTGCGTCGGTCGTTGGAGCGACGATGTTTGCGGCGGCTCTCGGATTCAGACTCAGACTCGGACTCGGATTCACTATCGGTTGAGTCATGTCGTGCCTTGCGCTTGTTGGAACGTCGCTGTCTGCCGGGGCTGTCGGACTCGCTATCGCTGGAAATGGCTCGTGCCTTACCCTTGTTGGAGCGTCGCTGTTTACGATTGCGACGGCTCCCTGACTCACTAGCGCTTGAGTCGTGTCTCGTCTTACGCTTGTTGGAGCGTCGGTCATCGGTGCGACGATGTTTGCGACGGCTCTCAAACTCATCATCGCTTGAATCATCTCGCGTCTGGCGCTTGCGCTTGTGCTCGCCGCTGCTCGCTTGGTAGTTGCGGCTGCTAGACGGAATCACAGGTGCAGGGCCTGCGGATGGAAAGAGTGCCTGAACGCCTGCCGGATTTGGGTAGCGGAAGGTGAACTGCTGAGAGGGAGCACCGACCGGTTGGTGGACTGGCATACCCATAGTTCCTCCTGCTTGGAAGGGAGTTGGGGCAACGCGAGGCACCACTTGCAGTGGCTGTGGGACTTGCACTACAGCGGTCGAGGCATTTCGTTGCGAGAACAACGGTGCAGGTAGCACGCTGAATTGCTCAGCTAGCTGCTCTGCTCGGCTGGGTGTCGGTGAACGACGCACGATCATATCATCTGTCAGAGTCAATGGTGGGTCGAGGTCGAAGTCGAAGTCGAAGGGGTCCAAGTCGACTGCCTGGGCCAAGTTGGCGAAGGCCTGCTCAAATTCCGATTGCAACTCGGAGCCGTGCTCTTGAGGCTCTTGAGGCGTCCTACTGTCAGCAGTCAAATCTTGGAAATCGCTCGTTAGGTTGTTCCAGATGGAGTTGTCTTGCACGGCATCCCAATTGCTAGCGTCGATATCAATTGGAGATTCTGCTGTAGCCCCAGAATTGGGCAGCTCCGGACCTTCAATGGTTTCAGGAGAAGAGCCACTGCTGGGTACTAGTACAGGACTTGACGCGACATCAGCGGCTGCTTCTTCTTGGCTTAGAAAATTTACGACAGGAGCCGACCTGTCCGCGGGGGGTCCAGTAAGGTCAATGGATCCTTGTGCGGTAGCCTCTTCGGCAGCGGGCATCGGGAATGTAAATCCGAACTCATATTCGGTCAGATAAGACTCACCGAATTGAAGCAAGAAATCGGCATCATCTCTCCATGCATTCAAGTCACCGAAGACCAGCGCATTGTCGACTTCTTCCGAAGATTGGTTTGCCCATGGCAATGGTGCTTCGGCTAGCTGGATCTGATTGTCAGAGGGTACTTGAGGAGGGTTCTCTTCAGACGACGCTTTCTCAGGACTCCCGAAGGATTCCTCAGAACCAAAGTCATAGTCTGAAGTGAGGAAGGAGGACCAGCCTCCGGGTGTGGTGAAGGGTGAATTTGATCCTTCCTGGTTGGACGCCATTGGAAAGGTCTGATCGAAGAATCTGCTCTCTGCTGAAGGCCAATGAAGACACTCTGCGGATTGAAAGCCGATGCCAAGATCAGATTGAGTTCCCTTTCCGGGGGCGCTTGCAGGTGATGGTCGAAGGATGAAGAGGAGATTGGATTGATGGGAAAAGTTGGTCCTATTTATGCTGTTTCCTCGTCACCCGAACGAACACTTGCAGACAAAGATCCCTCGAAAAGTAGGCAGGAACACAATGACCCCTGAGACATATTCACGAATTTCAACAGTAACCACTGCTGAGGTCCAACGTGTTTCAGGAGAACAGTATTGCTCTTGACAAGGTCGACTGCCGGTTCTTCTATGTATCACAAAGGTCTGTCATAGGACATTTTCGTCCCAGGCGGTTGCTTTGTCAGGTCAATGGGTATCAGTTGAAAGAAAATGGTCAGTAACCCTTTCTTTCCTTCTCAGGCAGTGACTTCAATGCTGCATTGTGCAACAACAATGAGCTGCTGGATATCACAGACGATTTCACGGTAGCTCAGTAGTAGTGGCGGGCCTCGTTACCTCTGCATCGAGAGGCAGCGAGGCAGTGATATTGCCTTCCCATTCTCAGCAAATGACTGCAATGTGCGTGGATTGTGCACGACAATCAGCAACGAACCAGGAAATGATTTCGCGGTAGGGCAGTAGTTGCTGGCGGTGGTTACCTCTGCCTGGAGAGGCGGTGATACTGCCTTTCCGGAAGTCAAGTCGCCTCGACGGGAGGATATGAAAGAATCCTTGAAGCAGACTTCCGTTCTGCACAAACACCGGCACGAATCTTGTATTGCCTCCAAAAATCAAGATGATGGATGGACTCGCCATCTTTGGCGTCACAGCATCTGTGATTGTCGTTTTGTCAATGGTCGTGACCATCATCTCCGAACGGAAGCGCCATCACGCAAGACAGAGGCAACAAGCCGAAGCTATCTGTTTTCGCAGATATGCTGAGTCATGGCCAGCTCCAGCCCATCCGCGCGCAAAAGGTGGTCAAGGCAAGTCATCGCCTCGAGGAAAGGCTAACAATGTAAGTGGTAGGCCGAGCAAACCCCTGGGGGGCGCGAGCGTTCATGGAAGGACTCGGCCCCCTGCGCGAGGAGAGGTCGATCCATGGTCATTCAACAGCGCAGTGACCTTGAAGACGGTCGACCCGGCCCTGGTCAATTCCACGCTTAAGGTGAGGGACGGCGATATATTCTTTGCTCCACGCCATGCCGGCATTCAGGGTGGCCACAGTTGGGTATAAGCAGGGCAGAATTTGCAAAGCTCGATGTGCGTGGGTAGTGTTGTACCTTGGTAGGCTTGTCAAAAAAGAGATGGCTCGCTGTTCAGGGAGCCACAGCACCAAGGATACACCTGAGCTCGCTGATGACAAGAACACCACAGTCTGAGCGGAGACCCCTGTAGTAGTACTCTGAGGTCAAGGAGATGTAGAGAGTGCTGTTGAAAATGTGAAAGTCGTTTACCCCGATTTTGAATAATTAAGTTATTGGCATAATTTCAAATTGAGCCTGTCCTCCTTCGAGGAGATACAGAGATCAGTCAAATACTGCTACGGCATCATTATATGCGACGTTAGAATGGGGAATTGAGCTGTCGCCGCAATATGACGATCTATCTCAAGGAGCGGCTGATCAGCCGTCGGCGGAATTGAAGACGGCAGCGGTTTTCGGCAATTGTCACCAGCATGTAAAATCCCATTTGACTTCGCTCCACCACAACGTACAACTTATTCTTCCTCCCATTTTCTTACTGCCTACCCATGGCACTGCCCACCATGGGCGCCTCTCCAGGTGCTAACGACAACAGTGACATGGAGCTCACGAATGCCAACCCAGTCTCTGGTCCCACTCCGAGTCCGGATCAAGATGTTGCGGCTTCCCCGCCGGTCGATACCAAACCCTCGCAATTGTACGTTGCAGATGCTGTCCTCACTTGACATCAGGTGTTGATTATTCACCCTTTTTAGACATCAAGTCACAGTCGTCCTGGCAGGCTTTGTTGTCGTGTCAATGACTTGTTCCATTGTCTTCTCTTTTGGTGTCTATCAAGCCTTGTACGAAGAGATGGCCAAACAGCCAAACACGCCGTTCACCGGGTGCTCGTCAGCGCTGATCGGGCTGATCGGAACATTGGCATTATCCTTGATGACCATGGGAGGACCCCTCACCCTTAATTGGGCAAAGCTACACTCTCCGCAAGTGGTCATCAGCGCCGGAGGGATCCTCTTCGGCGTGGCATTCATCTTGGCAAGCTTCAGCCAATACCTCTGGGAATTCGCCCTCACTCAAGGCCTCCTCGTTGGACTCGGTACATGCATGTCTTATGTGCCCATGACCGCAGTGGGCCCTGCCTGGTTCGACAAGCGGCGTGGCCTTGCCATGGGCCTCATTATCAGCGGCACAGGGGTTGGAGGCATGATATGGCCACCGATATTACGTGCCCTGATTGAGCATGTTGGTTTCCGGAATGCAATGAGAGTGTCTGGCAGCATCTGCGCGGTACTGGTGGCCGTGGCAGGTTTCGCACTGGCATGGGAACCCAAGTTCGAGGACAGAATCCGTGTCGAGACGCGTCCCCTTAGAGAGAAAAGCATCCTCGCTCAGATTGTATCTTTTCCAAGGCTGGACTGGCAAGTTGAGAAGTCAAAGAAGTTCATTGCTCAAGCACTGGGCAACTTCACTCAGGCCGCAGGGTATTCAACTCCGCTGTTCTTCTACGCTGCCTACGCACAATCACGAGGCTATAGTGCGACCGCAGCAGCCAATTTTATCACCCTGAGTAATGCGGCCAACTTCGTCTCTAGGATAATCATCGGCCATGCAGCGGACAAATTGGGGCGGTTATATGCCTTGTTTGGAACCACCTTGGTGAGCGCGGTGGCCGTGCTTGGGTTCTGGTTACCCAGCACATTTTGTAACAACCGCGAAACGTGCAGCACCAAAGCCGACGTCTTGTTTTTCTTCTTCACCGTCCTCTACGGGTCCTTTGCCAGCGCTTATATCTCCTTGTTTCCTGCAACTCTCCTGGAGCTCTTCGGCGTCCAGCATTTCACAGGCGTCAATTCCGCGCTCTACTTGCTTCGAGGAATGGGCGCATTGCTCGGCACACCTCTCACCGCTCTTCTGATCTCTCAATCGACCGCGTTAAGCTTATCGAGGACATATATTCATGCTGCCATCACCGTCGGGGTCTTGATGGCGGCAGTTGCTGCTTTCAGCTTCTGGGTCAGGCTTGAAGCGACTGCGAAGGGCCAACGGAGGTGGAAAATGTGAGTCTAGAGATCATTTCCTACCCTCAGCATCGTCCTTCCCAATACAAATGTCGTGCTAGAAGTTGATATTGTACTGTATCATCCAAGATACTCTGGCATAAACTACCATCTACTTAAGGGTCTCGATAAGGTATCTTACAGGATCTCAAAGCCTCAGCTTGAGGCGCCTTACATAATCACAAAGCTCCGATTTCATCACACGTGACTTATAGGGCTTTATCTTGTGATTTTTCGGAGGACTTGTCCTATTTCAACGGGGCCTGGGGCCTCGTCAGACTATATACTTTCTAGGGGTTATACGATAGCGTACGACGCTAGTCGAGACCGAAAGACAGTCCTCGACATCTTTATAATACTTAGTACGTAGAGTATCTATTTTATTATATCCTTCTCTATCTAGACTATTAAATAGTCTTATTTATCGTCGAAGGACGTTAAGTATCTTTATTAATCTTATAGTAGAGAATAAAATAGTATTCCTATATTCTAAATACTTCGTTTCCTAAGTAGTTCTATCGTTAGAATAAGTATTTATAGTATCTATATCTTCGATATCGATCGAGATATATAGAGCGAGTATATATCTCTTATCTTTAGCTATAGAAGTAGTATATACGCCTAGAATAGTAAAACTAAATAAATTAAGAGTAAATTAAGATCGTTAAGACGGTAAATAAAGAGAGTCTATATATATAATAGTACTTATCGTTACTCTTCGAAGCTAATTCGGGATTAATCCGGCGGGGTTTTAAGAAGTATAAGTAGGCGTCTCTTATTTCTTTTCTTCTTACTTTCTTTTATATCTTTTTCTAGTCGTTTATATTTCTAAGTTCTAAGTCTTTTATTAATTAAAGCTAAATCTTCTATAACTACTATTATAGTTATTATACTATCTAGATAAGTTAGAACGCTAACTAGACT